AAATGGTACCGAGATTACTATGCCAAAAACAAACAAGCTGAAAGGAAACAATATCGAGACCATTATGCTGCTAATACCGAGGCAGAGAAGGAGAGAGCTAAAAAGTACAAGAAAACTAAACAATCAGGAGACAATGTTTAGCTCAAAAACACACCCGATAATAATGAAATTTTCATAATAAACACAATAGTTGCAGAGATTTTCTATTTACAAGTTAATACAAAAGATACATTAATGTGGTGGAAATAGGTTTGAATGAATCGTGCTGTCTATCACGAAGATATCAAGGAGTGTACAGCTAGAACTTTTTTCCACTGCGGTGGACATTTTCAGTACTTTGCTCTCCGTGAAAGAAAGTAGCAATGTCAGTTCCACCACTGATGACTTTATCATTATCACTGGAGTCTGAAGGAGTCATTGACTGACGAGGAACTACTTGTTGCGAAGGTTTTCCACCGCAGTGGAATTGTGCTCGTTTAAAACATTCATATCGTCGTCATCCATTTCATCATCAACATTCATCCAGTAGTGTTCAGAGTAGAAATCAGAAGAGTCCAAAGCTTGACACTCTGGTGACATAAACCATTCCTTGATTTTTGGAATCATACTTTTAAACACTCTAAAGGACACTGCCAGCGTTTGGAATTTCGGATACTTTGACATAAAGGCATAGTGCTCCATATAGTAGTAGTAGGATGGTTTGGAGATGCCAAGTCTGCTGTTGACATAGTCCAAGAAGCGTCCCTTGTGCCCATCCCCAAATGTTTCCAGTAGTTTCATCAAGGACCTGGCTATCAGCATTACTTGTTTTGATGCCAGTACATCGGTCGCTTTGAGTTGCTTCATATTCAATCGGATGTATTTCGTCAGCCGGTTTTTGATTTCCTCAGCATCCAACCCAGTAAACCTGTATGACGACGACTCATCCAGCACACTGAGAGATTGATGTCGTAGTGTAGCATTTCAATAAGAATGATTTAGACTTTTCAGTGTCTGTTTTGACAGTTTCTGGCATTCCCCTTGACTGGTCAATTCCCTTCAATATAACCAGACAAATTTAATGTCAATTTGAGTGATTGTTGCCTCCAAGGTTGCATTAGGACATTTTCGCTGCTTCTTGACTCAGTTAGTAAAGTGGTTGTAGTCACTCATTTGATTGTTAATGAAAGAAGAGGAATTGAGAAGCTTCTGGGTTTATATACTCGGACGCCATTGGGATGTTTTAGAATGTCGTGGATTTTTTTTTCTTTCCTTTAAAAAAACAACAATGTTGAGAATCGCTCGCTACAAAAGCACTCTGGCCAAACTTTGGATCAAACACAACGGTGGCCAGGTTATTCAAGTTCCTACTGCCGGCTGTGACAGCGTCAGCGACCTGGTCAAGACCGTCAAGAAGGAACTACCCAAACAACTCACTGCATTTGACTCAAATGAACTCACTCTGCACCAGGCAGTGGATGCTACTGCCCTGGAACCTGATCTCCCAATATCGAGTATTTCTGCCGCCGGTCTGTCTGCCAAGTCACCACTCATCGTCAAGGCACCCGAAAAGAAGTCGAAGGTCGCATTGGTGTTGCAGTCGAATGCAACAATCGAGGAGAAAGAGTCGCTCTTGGAGGATTTTTTGCAGGCCAAGGACCGAGAAATGCAGGCCAAGGATTCTTTACTTGAAGAATTGAAAGAAAAGCTCCGCGGGATTGAATCAGAGCGCGACTTTTTGAAAGGCATGCTGAATGCATGCAGTATCCTGGAAAAGTACGAGAAACGTTTCAAGGACAAGAATCTCTCGCGGACTCAAAACTGGAAGATGCATTTGGACCGCAACCCAGCATTAAAGGCACGACTGCAAGAATGTAACAAAAACATCGCCTGGCACGACAAGGTTGTCGATATTTACAAGCACCTATCTGAAATCGTACACCAGGACACAAGCAGGCTTGGAGGCAGTCGATTCCTGGTGATGATCCGAAAGAATCTTCCGGAAATTGACGTGTGTTTTATCCAGGCGATTGCTGAGCAAATCTATGGTGAACACGTCAGAGTCAACGCGAAAGCAGATGAAGAGGATTAAAACCATATAGTTGCGCAAAATAATAAATAGTTTGATCATTATTTCTGTATTTTCACTTGCATATGTCAATGTCAGATACAGCGGAAATTTCTGCTGGAAACTAAAAACGATATTGTTCGATGCTCTACACATACTACTGACAAGTTCTTGAAAACGTTTGACACAATCACAAAAGGGAATATTTCCACATAAAATAACTCGGAATTTATCGAAATACATTGATGAACACCCAGAGTTGACACAATATTCCAATAATGTCATTCAAGTTCTTAAAACACTCACATATTCCATCCAAAAAGTGGTTTTACAACAATCTAAAGGGAGAATCAGTTTCATCAAACGATTATAATGAAATGGTATTCACTCACACCAACCTGTATGATTTGTTGGACGACTACAACAATTTGGATGTGAAGCCAGGCGTAGAAGCGACAAAGAAGCTGGGTAATTTCTTTCAGTCGTTGAATCTTGATATCCACAAAAACGGCATCTTTGTTCCTAGACTCACTCTGAAATATCTCTGGCACACAAAAAGCAAAGACTGCAAGTTTCAGTTATTCAAAGGGAATGAAGAATTGTACCACAAATACAGAGATAATCTGGTTGGTGGTCCAAGTATCGTATTTTATCATTATCAAGAAAAAGACGACCAGAATTAGAAAAGGAAAGCCTTGTCAGGGAATACTTGGATATGATACCAATGCTTTATATCTGTGGGCGATAAGTCAAGATATGCCGTGTGGTGAGCACCAAGTAGTTCAAGTCTATCCCGATATTCTGAAAGATGTCTTGGATAACACGTTCTTTGGAATGATAGAATGTGATATTGCTGTTCCTGAGCATTTAAAGGAATACTTTGCTGTAATGCCTCCTATTTTCAAGAATGTTGAGATTACATGCAATGATTTAAGCCTTGACACAGGCACATGTCAAACCAGATTACAAAAGTAACAGATTAGTTGAAAGTATGTTTGATGAGACGATGATGTTTGCTAATAAACTGCTGAAATGGTATCTTGGACTAATTGAAAGTGCACTTGTACCTGTCGCAATGTCAACCTTTGGAACTGTCGTTGCTGGAGTCGGTGCACTTCACGCACCAATGGTTGCAGGAGGTTGTGCTGCTATTGACTCTATTTCTGATCAACAGAAAGCTAAATCATAAAATAATCATTTTGAAAAGTATTCATTGAATAATACTTTTGATGACTGCAAGAATGGCTGTTCTTAGCCCTCCTTGAGCAATTTCATACTTTTCTAATTCAGCATCAGTTATGACCAAGTCACCAGTCTCCATCAAATCTTCAAAAAGAATTCCTTGTTCGGTAAAAGTTTCTTTGAGCTTGATGATATCAAATTCGGGTCTTTTTCGTTCAATTTTCATCTTGTCAAAGAAATGCTCTATATTCAGGTTGTGATCTACAGCTTGTTTCTTGGGAAGCTCTTCGTTGACGGTTAGGGCATAGTACAAGAATCCATCACGCAAGTTTTTGACATCGGTAACAACTATAAAGTCATTATCTGCAAATCGGTACAACATTTTGAAAGGCACAGGCTGAGAAAAAAATGAATCAGCTGTTGATATGACTTCAGAAAGAGATTGCATAGAGGAAACTTCCAGGTCAAATGCTCTTCCTTTGTATTTGATTGAAATGTGCTTTTCTTTGACAGCTGGAATCCATCCCTCTGCAACACCAAAACCTGTAGCATTTATCATACTAGCGAATGTTTCTCTGGCAACTTTTTTCAAGTTTTCAGTTGCAGCAGAACCACCAAAGGAGATCTCTTCAAAATGCTTCTCTAGAAATTCTTCAGATGATGGGTCTCGTTTCAGTTTTTCTGGAGTGTCTTCAATGGTGACTGAAGAAAGTCTATTTTCTTTTTCAACAATACTCTTTTTCCCCATACAATGGCAGCATCATAACCGATGAGTAAAAGATCCTTAAGGTATTCCATAGAAGAGGACACTGCTTTCGGATGTCCCTGTATTGTTACTGCTGTGATTCCAGAGTCTGTATCTCGGATTTTAGCAAGCATATTTACTTCAGAAAAGTATTCGGCAAGCAGTGTTTTGAGCCCTGCACAGTCTGAATTGATCGTTGCTTCTACAGACACCATTGGGGTATCAAGTGGGAGAGCATTGTAGAATTATGTGTATTTTGGCCTAACATTTTGATATTTGTTTGGGAAAGTTCATCAAACTGAAAATGGATGCCATCTGTAAAGAATTCTGGCCACTACAGCATTAAAATAAACTTATATCCTGGTTAAAATATTGAAAAGAGTTTGGCACAAAAGTCTCGATTATCTCGGGCTATATTTTGGTACAGGAAATATCAACTTTTACAATTCATCAAACAACTATGGGTCCCACTCTTGATAGTTCCATATACATTCATCAAAGATGTTTTACATAAAGCGTTGGTATGAGTATGGCAGTGAAAGTTCCTGATAATTCAAACTTATAATGTATCCAGTGCTCTATACCATTGTTTTTGACCTTGATTGCCTATCTCCGATAAATTGTTATATTTGACAACTTGCAAGCAAATTGAGCAGTAAATACTGGTCAAAAAACCGACTTATCTTTGAATCCAGCACATAAATCATCCAATAATTTCGGGCAATTAAATTCTGACTAGATTCTAAAAGCATGCCGGAAAAGATTGCAAGTTGGAATCAAAAGGACAAGATGATGACGACAAAGAAATGACAGGATAAAGCAGACTGGTAAAGGATGTAATTACCCACATGTCAAGTATAAAAAGGATAGCATAGTTTAATCAAAGAGTCTCGCCTAAAAAGCTGATATCGTTCTGTTCTCTATATATACTCATGGAGTCATAGCAATGACTTGGCTGATTCTTATTGAATCTTACAAATGTATGACTCTCATTTCTAGGATTTACGCATGAAAATTCTTTGTGTAGCGTCAAATACAACTCGACATTATAGATCTCTATTACAGGATGGCCACTTTGAAGCGTCGGGCGAAGCCATCTCAGACAAATTCCACCAAGCAAGTATGGACTCAAGATGACAGTGATAGTTCATCCAGTAGTGAATCAAAATCGGGGTGGCATTTCTCAGCAGATGTACTACAAGGGCATAGTACCAGCAAGAATTATGCCGCACTTGGGTTGAAACCAGACCATCTCTTGCGTCCATTATGGGTTTGCAACACTGGCCGTATTATTCTCGAGGCCTTTTCAGTCCTTACTTTCCAAGCGCAGGACTTTCTTACAGCGATCGCAGAACCTGTTTCTAGACCTGAGCATATTCATGAGTACCGATTGACCGAATACTCTTTATATGCAGCCATTTCTGTCGGACTAAGACCAAAAAGCATCATAGATGTTCTTGAGCTACTTAGCAAGTCACATCTTCCGGAGGAAGTAAAGGAGTTTATTCATAAACACTCGTGCTCATACGGCAAGGTCAAGGTTATTCTTCGAAATGGCCGTTTCTGGCTTGAAACAACAGATGATACTGTGCTAGCCAAGCTTCTGAACGATCCAATTATTAGTAACTCCTTGGTGATGGAGTCCAAAGGTAAAGAGTTCAGTTATCTGCTTGGATACTCCGCCGTGCAGTTGTTTTAATAATCTCTTGATACTAATTTATTTCAACAGACACATCTATACATATAGATGCTGCACTGCATGAAGATGAAGCAGCGTCAGACAACCGTTCTATTGATACATTTTTGGAAGAGGAATCAATGCCAGCCTCTACTACTTTAGAGCCAGGCTTGGATCTATTTGATTTGTTCAATGAAGATGCTTCCAAGCCAACACATATACCAGCATCCGGCGTTTCACAGATCTATAATACATCTGCAGTTCCATTAAAAACTAATATAGCCGGTTCTATAGCTGAGCGATTTGAACAGCTTTTGGGTGAGAGCTCGGCAGGAGAGGCCACTTTACAGATGACAAAGTCATTTGAAATCCACATGCAAGCTACTGAATCAGTGAAACGCCGTTGTGTCGATTTACTTCTCCCTGTATTGGAAGAGTATGATTTTTGTGCTGATTCTAGAAACCCAAATCTAGAAATGACTCTCAAGCCTTTTGCAAAACTCCGCCCTTATCAGGCTAATGGACTAAGTAAGGTATTTGGCAATGGGCGTGTTCGTAGCGGTGTAGTTGTATTGCCATGTGGCTCCGGAAAGACACTTGTTGGAGTAGCTGCGGCATGTACTGTTAAAAAAAACTGCCTTGTTTTATGCACATCTAGGTATTATCGTTTTGTTTGTAAAATACCGAGTTTGGGCGGGTTTAAACAGCTGCTGATTCTCAATATTTGTCTGATATTGATCAACCAGCGTGAGCGCTGAACAATGGCGTCGAGAATTTTGCCATTGGTCCACTATTAAAGAAGGCCATGTTGCCAAGTTTACATCGGGCTCAAAGGAAAAGGTACATTTAGGTTTTTGCGGTTGTCTGAACTTTTCACATCAACTACCTCTTCTGATCAATCTCTTATCAGTTTGTTGGCCCGGCAGGGGTAATGATTAGTACATACACCATGATCACATATTCGGGAAAACGTGCATACGATGCACAGAAATTGATGGAATTTATACAATCCCGCGAATGGGGTTTGCTGATTCTTGACGAAGTTCATGTGGTTCCTGCAGAGATGTTTCGTAAAGTATTTACTATTATTGGCACTCATTCAAAATTGGGGCTGACTGCAACGTTGGTCCGCGAAGATAACAAAATTGATAATCTCAACTATTTGATTGGGCCAAAGCTTTACGAGGCAAACTGGATGGAGTTGGCGCGAGGTGGACATATTGCCCGTGTACAGTGTGCACAAGTTTGGTGTGATATGACACCCGAGTTTTTTCGAGAATTTCTTCGGGAAAAGTCAAGGTAGGAGTAAAGCATTTGAGCGGATTGTTTGTACCAGCTATACCATATCTGCGCAACTGCCTTTTAAAACGGTTTCCATTAGAAAACGACAGTTGCTATATACAATGAATCCGCGCAAAGTGCAGGCGTGTCAGTATTTGGTGAATTTCCATGAAGCCATGGGAGATAAGATTATTGTATTTTCAGATAATGTGTTTGCCCTAAAGGTAAGAGTAGCTTAGACTAAATATTTCATAGTATTGCTATTTCTGTGTATCTAAAGGTTCAGAATGCAACCATTACTGTAGCACTATGCCACAAAACTTCACCGACCTTTTATTTACGGTGGAACTTCTCAGAGTGAAAGGTTTCGTGTACTACAGCAATTTCGCTTTAACCCAGCACTAAATACTATTTTTTTGAGTAAAGTCGGAGATACATCAATTGATCTGCCAGAGGCTTCTTGTCTGATTCAAATAAGTTCTCATTATGGAAGCAGACGTCAAGAGGCGCAGAGACTGGGTATGCTGATTGTAACCAAATATAAGGTGTTAATGAGTGGGTCGTTTATAGTCTGAGCCATGATCACTTGTGATGGGCTGATGCTTTATTTTGGTCTAGGGAGAATCTTGCGTGCAAAACGAGGCACGGACACAGGCTACAATGCATATTTTTACACTCTTGTATCAAAAGATACAGAGGAAATGTACTATGCTACAAAACGACAGCAGTTTCTCATTGATCAGGGATATAGTTTTCGAGTATGTGTTTGCTATTCAAGCATATGTGAATTGCCTGAATATCTTGCTAATGCGATATTGATTCCAAACGTTTTTTCCAGATTATCACGCATATTGAAGGTATGGACGATTCTGCAGGTCTTGCATACAGCTCTTTGAAAGATCAGCTCGAGCTTCTTAATACGGTACTCATTTCAACAGAGGCAGACTATGAGCGTGATGTTCATCAGGATGAGCTAGACGATGCATTACAGACATATGAAAGTGAGGAGGAGGCTGAAATTGAGGGAGTTCAATGGATGATGAGAAGTTCTGGAACCATGAAGTCGTTATCAGGAGCAGATTCTATGGCATATCTAGAGTTTAACAGAGGAACGCCCAGCATACTACGTGGAAAGCGTCGACGATTTCGCGAGTAACTTTGCTGTTTAATTATGAACATAGGGCTACTGCAGTATGATGGTATTGATCTTGATTGGTTTCTCTACTATTTGGTACAAATCCATTGTATATATATGGATTTACCAATATTGGCGTTTTCCATTTATTTTCTAGTATTCGTGTTTTATCAAAGCTAGTATTTAGAATTTTCTGCATAAAGCCACAGTTTGCTAGCTTATGGGCTTTAACTACTAATAAAACTGGATAGGCTTGTAATGGGTTGTTAATGTTTTTGCTAAAGTGAAGAACTGTGTTACAGATTACATGCATTGATGGTGTCCAACCAATTGATATTGCACTGCAAAAAAACAGTTTTTTGTCATAATATAGTTGAAGCATTGTTTAATGTTGGATAGGATAGTGTTGAGATCTTGAATGCACATTTTGAGCATTCCATTCGAGATTTTCCGTTCAGCCAGCAACTCATTACATCTAAACCAACCAGATTTTGCTTTAGATTGATCATGTCCAGCCTTCTGCATTAAATATGAATCCATCAGGTTTCTACAACTGTTATTTCCACCACAGAAATTAGTCATACTTGTGATTCAAAGCAGCTCGTCAACATGGTTGTGCTATATTCGTTAATCTACAACCAAACCGTATTATATGCTGGCAAGTACTGTCAATTCATCTAGGATTATAACTAGAAATGACAGTACCAAACAAGTGCATGTGTGATCAATAGAATATACTTTTGGAACACTAATCTGTAAAGCAATTATTTATTCCAAAGGCTATTACAAGATACAGAAAAGTGGTTCATTTTATGTGAATACGGCTTAATTTGCAAGTAGTTTATTTGGCTAAATTTTTCACTGGAGCAAATAGGCAAAAATGAATCAAGTTCGTGCTTCAAGTTTACACTCCCTTTCGCAATCATGGTCAGTTTTGGTTGTTCGTAGTGCCCATCCATCCCCAGAAACCACATATATATGCATTTCAATACCCTAGTAGACCATGCATGAACCTTTCTATGCATCCATTCATCAGACTTTTATAGTATAGTCTTGGATGGATGCATGCATGGAAACAAGTCAGCTTTTCAAAGGATTTGCATGACCAAAATGGGACTATGAGACTTGCTTGGACCTGAAAGTTGTATGTAATGACTTATACAGGAACAAACAGAGCATTTATGATTTTGGCCTTTTCATTTTAGCCCACCCAAGTCGGAAAATTCCGTTAATATGAATCCTTACTATCCATTGATCTTTAGAATAGTAGGAGCAGGTGTATTATATAGGCAGATTTGCTAACATTTCCCTGTTTTTTACTATAGTCTCTTGTGGTTCCCAATAGCGGTCAATTCCAATACATTATTCGTTTGCTTAACACCAACATTGATGGTAAGCGCAAGATTATGTACGCTCTGACTTCGATCAAAGGTATTGGCCGTCGTTATGCCAACTTGGTTCTTAAAAAGGCAGATATTGATCTCAACAAGAGGTAATCATTTTTCAAGTTCAGGAAATGTCACAGTATATTTTGAACCAGTGATATGATAACGATACTGACTATTTTTATGGTATAGAGCTGGTGAGGTTACAAACGACGAGCTTGAGCGTGTCGTTACTATTATGCAGAACCCCCGTCAATACAAGATTCCTGACTGGTTCCTTAACAGACAAAAGGACATCAAGGATGGTAAATACACCCAGGTTATTGCAAACGCCCTTGACAACAAGCTTCGTGAGGATCTTGAACGTCTCAAGAAGATCCGTGCTCATCGTGGTCTCCGTCACTACTGGGGGGTTCGTGTTCGTGGTCAGCACACCAAGACCACTGGCCGTCGTGGACGCACAGTCGGTGTTTCCAAGAAGAAGGGCTAAAATCGTTGATCAGTCTAGCAAGGTAGGCTTGCATTGATTTATTTAGTCTGCATCTTGTTATTTTTCACAAACTATGCCTGCTACGACCATGTTGATGCACAGTGATGAATTTCAAATTTCTTATCTACATTGCCTGAGGCATTTTATGCCAGTGCAGAACATCTGTGATATGAGTGCTATTCAACATGGTTATTGCAGCAGTATGCATGTTTATTGGATCTGATTTTGATGATCAGTACTAATACTAACTTTGAACAAGTTTATTCTAGGCTTTTCAATTGTGTTCCATAAAGCTTGGTACTTTGGCTTTGCAATTTCAATGAATCAAGTTTACTTTTCTTAAACATTGGCTTTATTTATTGCATCTCGCATTGTTTGGATTGCTAGTGGAGCAGAAGGGTGCCCAAATATACCAGTTCCAGAAACAATGACATTTGCACCGGCTTTGGCAGCTAGTCCGATATTGTGTATGTCAATACCACCATCCACTTGGATATCAAGGTTGGGGAATTTAGATCGTAAAGCTGCAACTTTTTCCAAGCATTCAGGCATCATTTTTTGACCGCCGAATCCAGGTTCTAAAGAGAGTGTTAATATAGCTTGATATAGGACTGTTGATTACGCAATAGATTTCCAATCAACTCACCAACAGTCATGATCAGAACTTGATCTAGCCTGGGAATAAGATCAATGATGGTTTCGATTTCAGTTTTTGGCTTGAGGCTGATGCCTACTTTCATTCCAGTTGCTTGAATACGATCGATGAGTTTGGAAGCGTTGTCTAGAATAACGAAACATGATGCATTAGGGCTGAATAGCGATTGAGCCAGATGATTGGAAAACCTTGAGCGATGGAGGATAAAACCAGTAGTCATTTCACTATGCTTACCTGTTGCTTCAATATGAAAAGTGAACAGAGAGGCTCCAGCTGCTGCAAATGAATCAACCCATTGTTCGGGATTGGTTACCATGAGATGGCAATCTGTTTAAAACACATGATATAGAGTTGAGTGTGCAAGTGGAGTCGATTAGTTTTAGCACAATTCAACATTGGTCTTTGCCAGGGCTTTGAAAAAACATTTTAAATGATTGTTTTCTAGACAATCAAGTCAAAGGTAGCGCAGTATATATCAAAGAGTACAAAGTGCATACCAAGAAAGGCGTCTGTATGCTTGCGCAGACACTTGACGATTGGAGCACCTAAAGTCAGATTAGGTACAAAGTGGCCATCCTTGAAGATGATGGATTGGATTAGTATGAAAGTTGGTATGTTGAGCATTGGATGCAAGTATATACTAGAACATGGCAGTCAGTGAACCAAGCTTACCATGACGTCCATGTGTAAGTAGTCGGCACCTGCATCAACCATCCGCTTGGCTTCTGACGCAAGACAGGCAAAGTCACTGGAAAGCATCGAGGGAGCAATCTTGGCTACGGGCATCTTGAACTGTTTGATAATAGGCAAAGCTTTGAAAAACACTTTCGTCATGGACAAGGTTGCAAGAATTGCTGGCCATCCAAGAACTTGTTTGCTTTGTTTCAAAATCGAATCAACTCAATTATTAGCTACTCTGTCGTGTAAAAGGAATCAAAGGATGAATAGTCTATTAGAAAGCAAGTCTTTCAAGCAATCTTATTCAAAACACTAGTCAGTCCACCCCTTGAGCTACAACAAAACTTATTGACAATCCTAACAAAAACAATTGGCTGTTTATTTCAACGACGAGGAGATCCAGATCTCGAGCGGTCACGGCGACGAGGAGGACTAACATTCACAATTTCAAGAGTTAGAAAATTCTCGGTAAAACAGAAAATCATATACTTGAGCTAGCTTACCTGCGATCACGGTCTCTGTCTCTTCTGTCATAATCGCGGTCACGGTCATATCCTCGATCACGGTCACGGTCATACCCACGGTCACGGTCACGACCACGGTCTCCGCGATCATAGCCTCGATCGTAGCTACGATCGTAGCCCCTGTCTCTACGAGGACTAAACACCACGAGTTTAATCAGTAAAAGTGTTTGAGATTCAAGAAAAAGTCGAAAAGGGTTATGATAAAATACCTGCGATCACGACTAAAAATAAGGTTTTGTTAGTCCAGGTTATCAATTCAAATCTGTAAATTAAAACAGGTTGGTGATCCAAGCCATGTCACTTACCCACCACCACCGCTATTGGGACACTCACGAGCCCAGTGGCCTGTTTCTCCACACTATAAGCATGTTAATTCAAATGTTTACCTGGTTTCATTAAAAAAGCATGCAAACATGACTACATCAACCAAAAATACCTTGAAGCAACCATCACTTCGCTCACCACCGCGACGACCACCGGCCTTGGCCCATTCAACGTACATTTTGGCACCATTGAATTCAAACTAGTCATTCCCAAAGCATTGTAATTAGAATCAAGATAAAGGCAATATCATTTCGGTGAAAACAAAAGCTACCTCGGTTTCTTGACCAGCCTTTACAGCTTCCTCGGCATCACGCTTATCCTCATATTCGACAAATCCAAAGCTGACCTAAAACATCGACATTGTATTTGCAAGTTAAACCCAGTAAACTTTTAAAGCAAATGCCACAATATAGAAATAGTACACATACAGATGCTCCGTGTTTGACATCGCAGCTAATCATGCGTAAATGCAATGTATAATAAAAACAAGTCAATTAAAAGAAAGCGGCAAATCAGTTAGTAAGCCATGTGTCAGAAACAGCCATTGTTCTCATCGCATTGACAAGTTTTAAGCCAGTCAGATCAAGATTCTCAAAACCGTATATATATATGGACGACAATGCTCCAAACTGAGTTTTCGCTTGTCAAACAGGAGCTCCAGTTTAAAGTGCATGCCATACATTGCTATCACATCTCAGAGTGACGTAATTAAGATTAGGGCATTATGAATAGCAAAACCTACCGAATGATCTTGCCATACTTGCGGAAAATGTCTTCCAAATCCGAACTGCGAGCGTCTGAGGAAATCATTGCGAGCGTCAGCATACATCAAGAAACAGAGACAAGGGAGAGGGAGAGCGCACACAACGGACACTTGTAGTGACGCAAACCGCCAAGAAGAATATCTGGAGCGGGTCAGCAAAAGAACAATTGGCTGGGGTCAGAGTAGCAACTGCCTGACCAAGTGGAGATATCGAGGTAGGTTCAACCGCAGACAGGGCAATAATGGTCCCAGTCTCTCCCATGCCATCAACATCCATCTTCATTACAACGACAAGAACACAGTGATGCTATCGACAAGAAACTAACGCAGGTGATGGTAGAATAAAGCGAACAGCAATGGGGAGAGCCAATGTAAAAGAATCAGACTCAAATGCTGCACCTGGATGAAGCAGCTCACCATCGACTGGCTAGCAAGACCACTGCTATCCACTACACAGGTCTTTGAAGATGCCATGGATAACTGCAGGTCCTCTTTGGAAACACCCACACCCCTTCACACACATGCACTCAGCGACAAAATCAACAACACCACCTTCGGGAACTCGGCCAATAAAGAGAACTGACATAGTTTTTCTTCGTTGGATTGGAAAACAAAATGCAATAAATTTCATTTTAATCAGCGCTCGGACACCCGGTTAAATCTGCGATTGTATTTGAAGAACCAGCACTGCCATTTCTATTGTCCACGGCGCAAGACTGTTCAAGTCGAACGTTAGTTCAAGTCTGTGATTTACATTCAAAAATCTGCGATCTTATTGCTCAATCTTAGTACCTGCAAAACACAAAAATGTACCAGTACGATAGATAGTGCCATCCCTCTGTAATAAACAGACATAATGCAATAGTTCCTGTCGCATGCGCGCAAATATCTATTGGTTGGGTCAGCCAATAGTCTTGTTAATCTATTGCCTTTTTAGCTTTGGCTGGTGTCCATTTTCATTCATTTTCATTCATTTCACTTACTGATGGTGTTGGACACTGCACTAAACATGGTCCTCCCAGAAAACAACCCTATAAATTCTGTTGCAAAACAAATCCATGACAGAACCAGTGCTGCTACAATCCTGTTTCATAATTATAGTTTATAGTCGTGTCCAATCATTTCTATAAACCTGATAAAAATGTGCAGACCTACTGCCAATTTGATACCCATGAAAAGCATAATGGATGTTGAATAAATTATAGTATATCTAAACTTACGACTGATTAAAACTTTTGTAATCCAATGTAGATGATATAGGTAGTGCTGCCATAATGTTACCATCCTGATTCATGTTACATCAAGAGATTGTTGTATGGGTAAAGATTAACAAATGGTTTCATGGCACTTTCATATTTATCATCTTTTACTTTCAAATATGATGAGGCTTGATTTTACTTTTGTTAGAAAAGCCATAATGGTTGCAATGAGATGGCTGACTGTCACCAAAAATCGAGCAGGAACGATAGAATCAATGCTAGCCATTTAATGTGTCCTATATTAAAAGTGTCGTTTATAATCAAAGGTTGATGTTGGTTTAACGCATTAAATGACTGGTTTTATATAGTTGTGCTTTCCCCTAAACTCCGCTTAAATATCAATACCTCAATCTGAACGCGTTTGATAAAGTCTGGTTATAGTGCCCGTCTAGAATCTATCTTGACTACGAATCAGCATTGGGGAATGACACATTTGCGCATCGACCATGGAATTCATTGAAACACCTTATAATACAAGTATGTCTTCATTACAAATAAAACCTCTGTCAACATCAACTTTGGATATCTCCGACTCGAAGCACCATCCTCAAGCTGGGTATTCCACCTCGCTCTGTTCACAAGCAACGCATATCCATTTGTCCAAAGATATTCCAAAACAAGAAAACAATAGCCGTATAGATCCAATCCATGACGACAACCTTGCTTTATTGATGGTACATAGGTTTCCACATCTCACTTTGACCCAACGATGCCAATTTCTACATCAGTTGTTAAAGTGTTGTGATCCATCAGACATGCAATTCCTAGCAACAGTAATACCTATGTTGCATCGTGACTTTATCACACTACTTCCTCTCAACATTTCTCAAATGATACTCATCTATATCCATCCACGAGATCTAGGCACGTCTGCTCAAGTTTCATGGGCTTGGAATCGAGCTGTTTCTAACAAGAAATTATGGGAGCAGCTTTATGGAATGATTGGCTTACAGTCCATGGTAGATGTATTTTTTCAATCAACCAAAAGCGTCACAGCCAATGCAAAGCGTTTGTCGTTTATGAGTCGCTGGGCAAGCGGAAAGTTCAAGTATAGATCCTTTCAAGCGCATACACTAGGGATCCTGACACTTGCATTTGATGGAAAGTATATCGGAACCGGAAGCACAGATAAAACTTGCAAAATTAGCTCAGTCAGTACAGGTGAGTGTCTACGAACCTTGAAAGGCCATGACGAGGCTGTATTGACCGTACAATTCGACAAAGACAAGGTCAGTCGCGACTAAATCTCGACTACAATCCCATACTGCATACAGATTATGTCTAGAAATATAAATATATATTAACAGTATTACAATTATTTTGATATGAAACAACAGGTATGTACTGGAAGGTGAGAATTGCTTTTGAATCACACAATCTAGTCTAGCTACAATCAATATAGCATGTGTTTCTTTTAAATTAAAATAGCACTATTTGATGAAAATTATATTTAGTGCAGACTCAACAATCAGAATTTGGCTTAATAAAGACGATGGGCCATTACAGCACATTCTAACTGGACATACTGGAGCAGTAACGTGCTTGAAATACGTTGGGAATTGTTTAATTACAGGTTCAGAAGACAAAACTATAAAGATTTGGGACATGGTAAATGTCGGTGTACAACCAGATCCGTCTGATTTACCAGTTGACACCACTACCCTTTACCGCAGAACAAATGATAAGCACAAAGACAAAAATCGCAAGACAGCTATGCATATCATTAAATCACATTCTTCATTCAAAAAATCAGACATTTCACTTTCTGATTGTGGCGTTGCCATGGACCACAATAAAATGACAACGTCGTCGTCCGTTGTAGCATCACAAAAGTTGTCAAAACCCAATGGCATAGTTATGAGTACTGTCGATCGTACAACTCGAGCATCTCAGTCGTCGTGTATAAATATCCGTACTTTATATGGTCACACGGGTGGAATCAAATCATTGGATTTTCATAATGGAATCTTGATTAGTGGAGATCTTCATGGAATTATCAAGTTTTGGCATATTAAAAGGTAGGTAAATTGCCATTATACAGATCGATACATTGTGAGAAAGTATAGTCGTATTAATGCCAGCTTTATGCATAACAACTCCTTGCTATAAAATAGTGGAAACTGTGTAGCAACGTATTTTTTAGATCATGCTTGTCTAGATGCTCCTCTTACATTAATTGACAAACACATGGGCCAATCGCAGATAAAAAACCCACATGCGCGCTCCGACCCCGTATCATCGTTGGTGTTTAACGATTCCAGACTATTGTTTGGAATGCTCTCTGGAATCGTGTACCTCTATGATGTACATAATATTCCATTGGTTTCTAAAATCCAAAGTGTAGGATATGACCAACTTTCAGAATGGGCATCTCATCCTAATACCTTTTTTTTAAACAGAATATACCACTCGCACAAATCAATGCCATTATGCCAGAAAACCTCGGCAGATGCTTCATCACATTTTGAATTTGACTCTCAATCATCTACAGCAAACACATGCATGGTTGAACATGGCGCTTCAAAAATCAGCCCACAACGCCTTAATACAAATAGTCAAAAGGTAGCACAAGGAAAATGGTCTTTGTGTGTACGTGCGGATGACTGGAGATTGATGAGTGCTGGCTCTGAAGGAAAGTGCACTGTTTGGAATCATCGCACTGGTAAAATGATCTACCAACTCAATGCCATCAGCGACGCTGCAGATGACGGACCACGTCAAGACGCAACTTTGAAATTGTCTGCGCCAGTTGGACGACAGGAAAGCCTTGACCAAGAGGCCAAAGCGGCGACTGACAGTCAATCACAGCCTACAGATGTGTGCCAGACATCAACAAATATATCTATAGGACATTCAAAGTCATTAATGGGTAGAGTTCTTACTGGAGTAGCATTTGATGATGGCTGTATTGTCGCTAGCAGCACGGATGGGTCTGTAAAGATATGGGATGCAAAATAAAACAATCGGGTTTGCTGATCATGAAGTTATTTTGACGTACATAATAACCAACGATACATTGACTTTTATCGAGAAACTATATTTCCAACAATCGCGTCTTTTGCAAAGTAGACCCAATGCAGAGTCAAGATTGATGTAATAATTCAGTTACCGCTGTATTCAGCAAGATGTATCATTAAATAATAGTGCCAATACATAAACAGCTAGTCTCATGAAATGATTGATGTCACCACATTTATTGGACAACATTGTGCCCTTTAAACTCGTAAAGTTTACTGGCTTTTGCTCATTTTTGTATAAACTGAGCAAATGTTCACATTACGGTTTCAATAAATCCCATATTTGTCCAATCTCCAACTCTCGTTTCATCCAAGCCGAATATTACAATATTGGGAGATTGGCATAGAAGCAGCTGTTGTATTTCCAAGATATGTAATCTGGGTTCTTGAACTAGAGCCATCCAAGATTCTAGAGTACAAGGTCAAGTTTGACAAGTCAAATCCAATATCTGGATTGTAATGAATGAATCTGGGTTTAAACTTGGTGATCGTACAATACGTGGTTATGCAAAGTGTGGATAATCTCAGTTCAAAATTATAGTCTGACTGTGTGCATCATATAATGAACGTTGTGTTTTGAAGAATCGAGAATGTCTATTGAAGAATTGGGAATGTCAATTTGCAGTAGGAAAGCGTAACGATTATTTGGTCATTGTCTATCCCAAAGCAAAAGGTAATCACTGCAAAATAAATACAAAATAGTCCATTTTGTGAATACAGCTGTGAAATAATCCCTGGTTCATGTGGTAGTATATTTCCAGTAGACTCATTGTCCAGTTTTTGCATCATCCAGCATTTTGCGATGCTCTGCCTTGCGCCTTGACAAAATATCGTATTTAATGAGCTGTAAGGCGGCAAAGCCAACCAGTGCGAATGCTCCCCTAAAGCAAACCCATCCAAAACTGTTAGGCTTAAAGTACTAGAGTATCAATCATGTATATATAGGACGTAATCAAGGCTGATGGATCTGATATTCTAGCTGCTACATCAATAAACAGGCTCACCATCCTATCAAAACTTTGACCAGCGGAGATTTTCTGGTTGAAGTGGGTGGATGAGTCGATCGATATGTCATTGGTAATGTCAACAATGTATGAGTTGGATGAGCATTCGATGTGCTTGGCCTGACAAGGATGACAGTATTCAGGGTGTTCAACTTCAAAGTCACGGGGAAGCAGGTGTTTTCTTCTGCAGCAACTGCAAGCCTGCCAACAGCTTGTTTTTCGCTTGATTTCTTTTTACACTCTCTGTGCAAATGTAAGATTTTTGTATGGTTTCTGGTCGGTTTGACATGATACGTTCCGTCGACTGCTATCGCACTTGTGGATAATTGTATTTCACGGAATGACTATGAGTTTGGTGTTTCTGGAGAATGCTGATTGATTCTACTTGTGGTCACTTGCACATGCTGTCACTGAAGTGGGATCTTCCATTGGTTTAGTTTTGGTGCATTTTTTTGCAAAAATGGGGTTTGAATCCCAACCACAGTGCTAGCCGTTCATTCAGTAATCATACTACTTGGCCCATGGGACTTGTAGATGATGCCGTGTTCCTGTCAAGAATACCAATCATTACTTTTACAAACTGTTGTACAGTCTTGTCGCTGGCTCCTTCTATACTACTCGGCTTGATAAATCTTGCTCACTCTTTCTTTTTATAGGGCTAACCTCACAACCCAGAAGAGACTCGCCTCTGCTGTCCTTAAGTGTGGCAAGCGCAAGGTTTGGCTTGATCCTAGCGAGATCATGGAAATCTCTGCCTCAAACTCTCGTAAGGCTTTCCGTTTTTATGAATCTGGTTGCTATTTCGGCTAGTCTGTTTGAGCTGTTTTTCAATTATACTCATGGTTGGATTGGTTTGCATTGTTTAGGTCAAAGCATTCGCAAACTTATCGATGATGGTTTGATCATCCGCAAGCCTGTTGTAGCTCAGTCCCGTTACCGTGTTCGTGCAATGGCTGCTGCCAAGCGTCTAGGTCGTCACTCTGGTACCGGTAAGCGTCGTGGTACTGCTAATGCCCGTATGCCCACAGCTATCCTCTGGATGCGTCGCATGCGTGTTCTTCGTCGTCTCCTTCGCAAGTACAGGGAGACTGGAAAGATTGACAGGCATTTGTAAGTCGATTGGCTAATTTACAGATCTTTTTTGATCTCCAACATCATCTCATGTGTATTGTCAGTCCTGAACTTGTACTTATGTTTTTTTGGGTTGGTTTTGAATAGGTACCATGAACTGTACACAAAGTCCAAGGGTAATGTCTTTAAGAACAAGCGTGTCTTGATGGAGTACATCCACAAGGCCAAGGCTGAGAATGCTCGTGTCAAAGTTCTTGCGTAAGTTTCTAATAATCACAATTCTAGTCAATTATTGGGTGTCTCAGCTTGATCATGTCTAGCGATTTTAAAATCATTCTAACGCCAATATCTTGCTTTTTTTAACCGATATTAGTGACCAAGCCCAGGCTTATCGCACTAAGACCAAGGCTGCTCGTGAGCGTCGTGCACAACGTGTTGCCGCTAAACGCGAGGCCCTCTTTTCCGATGCTCCTGCACCAGCTGTTGTTGCTGCAGCAGAAAAGGCTAAGAAATGAAGATTTCATGCTGCTTATTGACGAGGCATATATTTCATATCATTTTTTGCAATATAATTTGCTACCCATGAAGGGATTTGAGCCATCACATACTTGTAGTAGTTATGTAAAAGAATATGTACAGATTCTTGGTTTTGGTTAATTAACCTCAACGCGTAGCAACATTTGGCGCGTCCGCCATCTTGAACTTGCAAGTTTAAAGTCGATATTGTAATAGTAGTTTTAGCAGCTAGTTTATGAATATGAAAAAAACCACTTCTAATCAGCCTGTGCCTCCTCGGCCTACTACCAAAGTAATAGCTGCAAGCATAAAAGAAAAACGACCGGCTAGTGGTGGATTATCATCACGAAGTACGGTTTCAGAGCTTCGCTCAATTGGAAAACCCAAGGCTGCAAAAGGAGGTAAACTCCGAGATGCCGAAGATGCCACTGACGAAACAGTAGAGGCAGGTTTAATAGTTTTTAAATTTGGTACTCATGGAATGAGACCTGCTGTTAGGTCCAATGGTTGTTAATTTTTACTCAAGGATTATGCCCCGACATCACCAAAATAGACTAAAGGACCAAAAGAAGGAGATGCGTCTTTATCATGGTTGTATCTTACCCAAGAGAATATTGATGAGCTGAAGGCTTGCGAACCTGATGATGAGTTGGGGTATGTGCAGCTATACTCTCCCAATCAGCTATTTATTTACTATCTATAATATACAATATTTCCCTTGTTTAGAAAGCTGGCACAGATTATTGGTATGCCATTATGGAAGGACGATATACAATGCAGCATCCTAATGTCGTTTTATTATAGTAATTATTAGTATGTATCATGTGTGCAATTTTAAAAATACATAGTATTTGCATTTCAAATCATAAAAACTGAAATTAACTATATTCCAACTTTGTTCATTTGGGTTAAACCATACTCTAGCTTTTCCAAGGAAAACAAGTTTTCTCCTATCCAGATCAGTGTCTTTTTTTCTATCATGAAACTGACCTTGGACAAGTCATTAGGTAGATCAATCAAAAAAGCTTATTTTTCAATGATTCATATTTTAAACCATCTTGTTTGTCCACGTAACATTGCAATAAATATGGCAACTTGGCTTTAGAAAAATCCTTGACTCATACGCAGACACTATCAGAGTTTAAAAAATTGCTGTTTGACAGCTTAGCTGAGCCATCATCACCTGCAATATTGGCCAATAGTACTAATCAAATTGAAGATCCTACCAGCAGTATATTTGAGCCGGCAGAATGCAAACTCATTATTGATTATGCAATGACCACGTAAATAATCCTTGCTTTGCCAATCTAGATTTATTGCCAAGTTCATTTATTTTCAAAATGCATAATACTCACCAACAGCAACCCACATGTTTCTACCTAATTAAAATCATTAGGTTATTTCAGCATTTTAAACTATTTCATTATGTCTTTAATAATGATCAAGAGAAACAAGAGGTCAGCTGGCCAGTAGCTCTTGAAATACCATTTTCAGCCTTGCCATTATCTGATGCAGACACATTTGAGGTGCACGAGGCGGAAAAAGCTGCGCGAGAGCAAACCAAAGCTGGAATATTGGACGTCAAAGGATTGTCGTATACTCGTAAGACTTTAAATATTTTCTTTGTCTGCATCAATACAATGGAGTTTGAGATATAACTGTTATTTTTATACATTCCAGCCGATATTCTTGGGGTTCTTCCACCCGACGAATTAAAGCAAACTGCATTAGAAAATATATCTGAGCTATTGGAAGGTCTATCAGGCGATTTTGATAGAATGCTGTTGGATCAACGCCAGAGATTCTTGAATCAAATATCAAAACTTTCCACAACAAAGGAATAAATGCTTGACAAAAAATATCATTTTATCTGATCATTTCCTTTATTAGGTAGTGTTGCCAAATTAAACAAGAACACTTTGTGGAATTGTGTCATTCATAGAAGGTCCCGTGCCAGTTATAGGCTGAGCAACACTAGAGTGCACGCTTTTAACCTTTCCAGCCATATTGGCTGTAGGCAAATCTTGCATATGGCTGTATTCATCAATCTGGGTAGAAAGAGCAATAATAATAAAAGTTGGATGAGTTGCTGTTTAGCCACAACTGATTTCAAACTATTTGGATTTAGATCGGTAAATTACCTTTTCAAGAAGTGTAGCAGAGTACCCAGGGGAGTAGTAGCGCACAATTTCTTCTGGGTAACATTCGTTAATTATACGAATGTATTCGCCCATTTTAGTTCCAGAAAGTCCATTTGGAAGGGTACCACCTTGCTGAGTAGATGAGCTATAACTGTTTGCAATATCTTGCACGCGCTGTAAACCTCCACATGTAACAAAGGCACGGCGCGCTGCAACATCATGAGGAAGGATTTTTGCAAACTGTCCAGCAACATACTTCAAAACGCTAGGCGGAGTAGAGAGCTGAAGAAGTGGCTCAAGAGCATCCATGTGTAGCGACTTTTCCAAGATACATTTCAAGGCTCTTTTTGTTTTGATTCTAAGATCAGCTCCTGCCTCTTCATTATCCTCGGTAGCCATAGTGAGTACATTCAGAAGCCTGGGCAACACAGCATGGTCAGCAAGAGTTTTGGCATGGTCGGGAGAATGGCGACCTATTTGTCCAAGCGACCAAGCACAGGCAGCCTAAAAAGATTTGGTGTCAGATATACACTGCCATCTTCCATGTGTTTTTTCTTGGTTGAATATATATTTTCACAAAATGATCGACCCATACCTTGATGTGTTCCTCAGATTCAGAAACCAGTGCATTTGAAAGCGGAGGAACGCCTTTGGAAACAATTACCGAAAGAGCCAAAGTCTCAGAAAACGCTGCAATATAGCCAAGGGTCATGATACCAGGAAGACTGGCATTTCCAGATGTTTCGTTGACATAATCAACCACGGCAGCAATTCCTCCAGAGTTGACAATTAGCTGTGCCAACTATTTTATGAGTTGGAATTCAAAATAGATGAGTACGATTTTATCATTTAGCTGACCATAGGCCATTCACCTTGGTTATTGAAGGTGTATATCTCAGATAATAAAACCGCGATTTGATATACAGTACAAACAAGGTGGTGCAGATTTACCTCTGGAGTATGCTTGGCAATTTCGCAGATCAAAGTAGCAGCATTCTTTTTGACATACCCATCGGTATCTTTAAGACAAGTAAGGACATTGGGGAAGATTTCTCCATCTACAACGGTTTCTGCCAGATCTACAGTGTGTTTTGCAATCTGAGATAGCGCTGAGCACACTTGTCGACGCAGTTTGGCATCCGGATTAGACAGTAATGGGGTGATAAACGAAATTGTGTTTGCATCCACCACCGATTGAGCAAGCTGTTTAAATGTATTGTCAACAATCTGCTCACTACAACCACTATCGATCCAGTCAATTTACGTTACCTCTGGAGAATGTTTTGAAATGTCACTCAGTGCTGAAGCTGCAATGCGTCTAAGAGATAGTTCTGGCTCTTGGACACATAAAACCAGTAACGGTATAGCACCTGCATCAACAACAGTCTGCGCGAGTTCTAGAAATTTCATTGCCATTGCAATCGTAGCATAGATAGGATTAGACGATTGTCAATCAATAAAGTATATGGCACTTCAGTTTGTTTTTATAATAAAATAGCTTACCAGAATTATGACGAGCAATATACCCCAATGCCCAAGCTGCAGATTCTTTCACTCCTGGGTCAAATTCTTCAAGACAAGCAACAAGTGCATTCAGAGCACCGGAATCCGTGACAGACTGAGCCAAACCAGCCGAATGTTTAGCAATAGCACGTAAAACAAATGCAGCGGCTTTTTTATAGAAACGCTGGAATGTATAAATGCACCAGTAAACCCATGAGTAAATAGTCAATATCGTGTACAATCTCGGAATAAAAACAAAGCATGATGATTTAAAACAGTATTTCTAAACGCAAGTGACAATAGAGTAGATTGACTACATTTGGTTGCGCTTGTCAAAATAATAGAGTCACTATGGCTATATTGGAGTCTACAATTATGCCAATCACCAAATTATTCTATTGAAATTTAATAATTCAAACCACGTACATTCTGTTCGCTAAGAGAATAAACAAGTTGTGGAAGTATATCAGATTCAACAACTGCCTCAGCAAGCTCCTCGTTGTAATTAGCAAGGCGACCAAGAGCAAGTGCTGCAGCCTGTTGAATTGCCGGAATATTATCGAGGAGAAGAGGCCTCAGCAGCGACATCACCCCAGCACTCTGTAGAGCATCAATATTGCCTTCACGCGACGCCAAGTCGGCAACAGTCTGGACAAATAGCAGTCGCTCTTTTTGGTATTTTTCAAATACTGAAAGTACCACTCTTGCGCTTGTTGCAGGAGTATTGGATGCCATTCACAGGATTATTAAACTATTTCAAAAGTTTAGTTGATTTCGTATACGTCGTTTAGCTGTGAAATGTTGCAAGTTTGAAAATTTTCTTGGTAGAAAGTTATCAAGCTTTTCGAGACATGAGCAATCTCGTGCCATTCAAAGTAACCAAATATGTAAAAGTAGACCTACATTAGAAAGTAGATACCGCAGTAGTGCTACTTTTAATTAATATTGTTTGAGAATGACATTTAGTATATTATTCTTTATTGATCCCTCATTTGTACTTGTATCTGAACTTGTTTACAAGCATATCGAGTTTCCTGCAACAACTCCTTTGTAGTTGCTATTGAAGTTCAATAGTTTCATAAAATAGCTGCTTTTATTGCATTCCATCATTTAATCAAGTGTGTCTTGCAAAGTCATCAGCATTTGATCCATCCAATCATGTGATTCGCTACTCAACAAATATATATGACCAATCCCATTATTTAATTGTTCATTTTGCTTAGTGAGCCTGTGCCAATTCTGAAAAGAACCCAAGAAGCTCTTCCTACAATTATTTATAGAGTGATAGCCGGGTTTAGTTAGTAAATAGTACAGTGAGTAAAGATTGATGCTATTCTATATTAATTTCATACAAATTATAGAAAAGATGCAGTTAAATGTATGGTTTGTGATAAATTACATACCATGGTGAAGTCTAGGCGAACAGACACCTCTGGATAGCATTTTGCAATCAATTCCTCATAGCGACGTAACTGTCGAGTAAACTCTTCCTGTATTCCACGCCATACGACCTGAAGCAATCCCTCCTCTTCAGTAAAATGTTTGTCAACACGCTTGTATAGTGCCTCTAAACCTTTTTTAACCTAATTATATGCGCGTTTGGATTGTCAGTAAAATAGCTTGATGGTTAATACTGAAGATGCTCAAAATAAATCTCCAACGTATACCTCTTTTCCTGGATATTTTCGAATAATATCTTTTACAGCAGATTTGCTGTATTGAATATGATAAGGCACTTCCTCAATCGGACCTGTTTTTAATAATCCTTCGATTCCTTCAAAAAATTCCTAAACATTGGTGGATATACCGGCGGTTCACATTCAATGTTAAATAATATCGCATAATGATTGTAAAAACAATGAATTATGGCGCTTACCAAAAGTTTTCCCAGCGGTTTTCTAATAACAACTTTGCAGTATGCCTCTAAATTAACATCGTAAAGAACTTTGGCTTGCTTTGCAAAATTATCAAGACCAGGCACTTTTCGTGCACGGACTTCAGCATGGAAATGATGCATATTTTCTAAAATAATCATGTTTAAATTCAGTTAATGTTAATCAATGTTGGTGTAAAAGTATCTTGAATAAAGAATTCAGCTAAAACACATTTTTAAACACTTGCCAACATTGAGAATGTGTATGTTCAATGAGTCCTTTTCCTCGCTGTTTGCCTTGGAGTCGTTTCCAGCTTGTTGTGCAACTGCGTCCAATGTTTCAAATATGCTTTTGATAATCCTGGAATATGCTTTATCTACAGTTTTCCTAGCGATCCCATCCCAGTTGGATAGCATAGTTTCCATTCGATCAACAAACCTCTATTATTTAAACAAAATATTATACGTCTTTAGTTGCATTCAATAACGCTATTAAGTAGTTTAAATCTTTGATAAAATTTCATAAAATAATACCGGAAAAGTTTTAACAAAAGGGAGAATGCCACCTCTTTTTCGGAGTGTAACTTTAGTGTCTTCGACTGCTTTGATTTGCTCAATCTAAGATATACACATTAAATAAGTCGCCGTTTGAAAAAAGCAAGTGCATTTATATAGTCTAATGTTATTTTAAGCATGACCATACCACAAATTTTTCAAAGATTGCCGATGTACGCTTTTGGAGATTTTCTAAAAGATTGATTACAAATACATGTGAGGTGTTGGCGTACTCTTTCGTGTAAAATTCAATATGGACCATCATTCCAACGGAAAATGATTGATCATATTTTAAGCCGCTTTCAATTGTGCCTAATAATTGCTCCCGCGTATCTTCAAAGATGCCTTCCATCATTTCTCTATTATTTGTGATATACACATATTTAAATTAGTCATAGTATGGCTATATTTTAGTACATATGACAAGATTAAAATACTCATTTAAAGCAAATGATCGCTCCAAAGCTGTATTTTAATGTTTCACAATACAAAATCACGCACTGGATTCTTTTTTGAGCCTTTGGGTCCTTGACAGGTTCTCTTGGTCTACCAAGGTCTTCTTGCCAAGACTGAAGCGAAACTGATAAAATTGAAGAGGTTGCTTCTGCAGAAATCTGCAGAGTACTTGCAGCATTTGACAACTCGCTGCTTTTAATAATGCTGAAAAAATCAATGATAAAGTTTTGTTCACGAACCATGATGTTAACCATTTTTAATAGTGCATGCCCAACAGCCTGTAGATTTAGTAAATTTATGGGCAGTGTTAGTAAGCAGGTATGGTTTGATAGATCTGTTATACACAGCTGGTAAAATATTAAATCTTTCCTCATCTGGTGTCATGCGTTCTTCTGGGCTCAGATCAAGACTCGCGGAGCTTCCAACCCGCGATGAGTTCTTTAGACTACCAAGTTCGTAGAGTCCTGGCTTGGATGGGGATTCCTTCAACCCATCATCACCTGTAGAGTGCGATCCTGATTGTCCAGAAAAATCAAACGCTTTACCAAGCTTCTTGCGATTAGGCTTCCAGCTTTCGAGTTTTTGCTTGATTCCACCAGAAGGACCATTTCGATCAGATGTATTGCCCAAATTTGATGTGCCTGAACGAATTGCAGACTTGATGGCATTACTTGCAGCTGAAGACACTGATACGCCCTGACCAGAAAACACTATTGCATTGAATAATGAAATTTCCAGACATGTTTAGACTCGATTTTTAAATAGATTGCAAAAACCACAAACTCACAAAAATCCATTTCTTCCTGTGTAATTTTGCGTTGTGTATGCTGGGTCTTCAAAATCTCGATAAACTCTTGTGTTTCGCGCCTATATGGACGAATAATTTCCTTGACATATGCCTTGAAACCACACATGTCAGCATTTTACAACTAGTTGAATAATTTTTCAACCAAATCACTTTTAGCGCAAAGAAATGGTTACCATTTGAAGTTCATGATGTGCACGAGCGTCAATATCTTTAAGCCAGCGCAGTAAATTTTGAAATTTGAATAGTTTTTGCTCAAGACTCTCATGTGCATAAAGCTTCAATGAGCCTTTTTGAGATATACGAGCCTTGTCTTGTAAATAAAAATCTGCCTGTTGTTGAAAAGATATCATAAAGTTGATCATGATTTATATAAAGGTTAGTTTAATTGAAATTTCAAGCCAATTTTGAATATGTTTTGATTCAATGACCAACCAGTTTTGAAAATGTTTCCAGTAAATATCCACACAGTCGTTTTGCAAAATCGTTTGCATATCCCTGTAAAAGTGCTTTTCTTTCTTTAATGACAGCCATGTCACCCATATCTACAGAAATAGATTTTACAAAACAGAATAGTACATATTAAACAATATATACAGATACCAACAGGAAAATGCCGTGTTTTACCTGTAAGCTTTGTATTGATAATGTTCATGAGTTTTTGAACTGCAGACTCGCACTCGCGTACGCCATCTGGACTGTCAAGAGGTTCATTTCGAAGCACCTCTAATGTATATCCTGAAATGCGCAAACTTCCCAATAACTTTTCCACAGAAGTCAACAGACATTGTTGATTTGTGGAAGTCACTTGCATTCCTTTGTTCTGCGTCTCGATTTGGTGGACATCTTGCCCCATTGACTACAAGGAGAGTTTGAGCAGTGTGTTAGTATCATATAGGCTATTAGCGATAAAAATGACATCCATTGGAAAAAGGCACTGACACTTACATCAAGCAAGGATGTATAGTGGGAAAGCCAATCATCAATTTGGGTGAGTTCTGAAAGAGCTTGTTCGATTTCGTTGACGACAATGTTGGCTTGAGATTCACTTTGAATAATATCGTGTACATTGGCCTATTCAAGTGTAGATTGACGGACGGTAGTCAGTTGAATGTCAGTATATTTCTTTTGGATCTCCATTGAGCCAAACAGGTGCTGCATTAAAATTATATCATATATATTTGTCCATATGAATCAGAGAAAACGTACTGCTTCTAATGCCTGCAGTTCTGAAAACAATCGTGCTTCCAAAGCTGCTGCATCGCCGCTTGCTTGCCAATTAAAATCACTTAAAACAAGGCTCAAATCAATTGTAGGTAAAGTTTCTATTGCCGTTACGGCTAGCCAGTTTGAAAATTCAATAATATTATTTAGCGAAATGCCCATGTTTGAAAGTCTAATACAAAAAACGCATTCGACACCAAACCTTCATCATCTCCACTGATTTGAAGCTCCTGACTAGCAGAATCCATCTCAGTCCCAGCTAATTTGACGTGTGTATTGCTCGTTCCAAGACCAATATCGACTGGAACGGATGCTTGTACTTTAAATATCGTATTGAATACAAAGTTTGGAATGAATCATTACAGTTTTCAGTTGATGAATATTCTTTGAAACAAAAAAGTTCAAGCAAGTTATCATTCAATATTCTACATTGTGATCTTATCTACCTTGCATAACCGACTCTCCAATATTAATTAGCTTGGGCATTTTTTTTGTATTTGCTCTACAGAGCTAAAAGTTGAATGTAACGATAACAATCAATGACCAATCTCATTAACCAGATTTATAGAAAAGTTAACAATCGTGTACGCCTAACCTTGATAACCATTTCCAAGAATTGAGTTCTCTGTTGGTTGCTCTCAAATGTCCATCGGTATATTTTCCCCAGATTGACCAGAACTTGGCAGTCCTAGTAATAAATAGTGAGTCGGTGCTTTGTGAATGAGCAATTTCTACCCATAGTGGGTGCACTGCAATTACATACTTCTCCATTTTCTAAAGACTTGAGCTCATCTAGCCCCCATACTTTTATAACGGAAAGACTGCCAAAGCGTTCTTGCTTGAGTTTATATAAGCGTATTTTTGTACCTTTCCGAACTGGGTTGGTCCAGTGAGTTGTCAGCGATAAACATCACGGTGTTCAAAAAGCATGGCGTATCAAAAACAAATAGATTGTAATTGCATTCAAGTCAGTATGTTTGCCCTTGGAATATGGCATTAGGAGATGTTTCAGCCAAAAAACAAGAGTACAAATTTACAGTAATAGTGTACAGGTCAATTACGTAGCTGGTCTATCACTGTACATACCAGATAAGGATATAATGCGACTTTTCCATTTCCCCTTTATCCCTGGTTTTTCATCGTCATCATCGTCGTCATCATTATCATCCTTTGCATCCTTGGAGTCTTTGCTGTCTTTATTCTGAAACGACACTTTAAGTAAATCCTTGACACCACGCACCTCTCGTTCTTCCTCAAATACTCGTGCATGGAAAATGAGCTTTCCGGCGCTACCATCCTGCCCACCGTACCCACCTTCGCTTACATCTTCAAAGAGCTGCTGGATAAGCTGTTTTTTAAGTTGCTCATCCGACATCTGTACTTCATGTATATTCAATTTAAGACGGAGTAAATTGCCAGACTTTGTCGGACCTGAGCCAATTATAGAATAATAATTTTGCAATTGGCAAGATACGCGTTCAAGCTTATCAAGCTATTTTGATACAAAGCAATGTATTATTCTCTAGCAATCTTGATGACATCATTTAAAATGATTTACAGTCGTATTCATGAAACTAAAGTGTCAAAGTATTGACTAAACAGTTAATCTCATGAATGATAATTCCTATTAAACTTGACAGCATTGCTTCCTGTAAACTGTTTGTAGAGTTTGAGAACAGTCGTATCCAATATTTGAATTGCAATAAATGAATCTGGTTTCAAACTCGGTGATCGTACAATGCATGGTTGTATCAAATGTGAGGAAAAGGATAATCCCAGTTTAAAACTAATTTATGTGCATTATATGATGTACGTTGTGTCTATTGAATTGAAAATATCTATTGAACAGTCCGTTTCTAATACAAGTGCACAATGAATATCTAGCCATTGTATATTGCAAAGCAAGAGGTAGTGCCTGAGATACGAGCTCTTCATTTCATGTGAATACGACTAGCAAACTGTCAAATTGCTGGATCGACAATGAGATTTCTCAATAAGCATCACCCACTACAACTAAAACTTTTATGAAACACTAGGTGAGTTGATTTACTTGAGCTGTTTATAGTCAAGATACCGAGTCAAAATCATTGCTTTATCTATCTAGCCGTATATTCCCATCCCGCTTGTAACCAAAACACAGCACTGGTTTGAAGTCGATCCACTATATATTACCAATTCTCCTAAATTAAACAGTTCATCAACTTTCTTTTACTGAAAAGCAGGACCACCTCTGCTAGCTTCCGCCTGGCCACCACTGGAAAAGCCAGTTCCTTCAATATCTAAATCAATGACATCACGTTCCTTGCATTTTACATCACACACGACGCATTTGCACGAAGACTTTGTAAATTTGATGAAACATGGTCTACAAATAGCATGACCACAGTTTTTTAAAACTGTGGTTAAAATAGTTTAATTCTCGATCAGTACAAAGAATCCTATGAGCCACTTTTGCCAATATACCCTTTGGTCTTTACATTGCAAGCAATATACATGATGGACTCACCGACAATTTTTACACCATTCCTAAATGTAGTAAGACAACAGGGACAATGCTTTCCAGGTCGTTCAAGCTTTTTTTCTAAGCCAGCCGAGGTTGAGGATTGCGCGAAAACCACAGGGATAAGCTTTTTGAGGCTAGATTAGTGTAAAAATCAGCCATGATATTTCAGGACTAAATTAGACTAGTATGAGGATCAGATTCAAGAGATTGTCAAATATTGCATACCTGATAGAATGAGGTTCAGATGCGGCGCTGCATTGCGGCTCAACCTTGTCTGCTTTTGGGGCACTTGGAGCAGCTTCAGGGGTAAGTGACGGCTGTATTTTCAAGATAAAGTATACATTCACAGTAAACGCTTTAGTAAGACATCTCGTTTACACAGTAGCAGTTAAATTAAAACTTGGACTTGCCAGCCAAAAATTGGAAAGACCTGGCGTAGGTATGTCGGCATTGCCATTTTTTTTCTGGACAGACGTTGAGTGTGTTTCCAAGTTCTTGAAGTCTTCAATTTGCTTTTTTTGAGTTTCCTCTGCTTTACTAGCATGCTCAGCTTCAATGGACTGCTCAAAGTTTTTTATGTCTTTAGATTGACGAAGTATTTGTTTTTTTTGAGCAAGGATGCTTTCAAATATACATTCCTATAACAAGATTTAGGATTTGCAGTAGAGTTGATAAGAATCAGTATATTACTATAATCCTGAGCAAGTCCGTCCCATTGTAGTCGGAATCACCTTGCAATACAAATGGCCTTTTGCACAACACACTGGCTGCACAGCTGCACGCAAGCACAATAGACAGGCATCGTAGTCTCTCATACTGTCTCTCCCTAATCGCTGCTTTTGAGTACCATAGGTGAGTTTGGATCTCTCTGCACTAGTGAAGAATGCTAGTGCAGTATTGTTTTTCGAATGTCGAGGCATCTTTGAAATATGTTTGTATGTTGATGCTGAAAATAGGGTAGAAAGATTACGGTTAGTGATAAAAGGTATGAGAACGGGAGAGATGAAATATTCATATTTCAACCCAATTCATCATGTTTGAAAACATGATGGTATCGAGTAGACTGCTGTTGAGATTCCAAAAACGTGAATTCTCTATAGCACTGAACGATTGCTTCAGACTAGCGTAGATTCTCACAACACGATGCACTCTAATGGGATGGTGTGACAATTTCTCACTTGTTTCTGTCCTTGTCGCCAACTGTAATGAAATACACTCAGTTTGATATAATCTTTTTAGACCAGTTTATTTCTGAATATACAGATCATGAAGAGACTTGTTAAGCTGAAAAAGACCATTCAGGCTAAACAGTCGATGAGTCGGCATTCTAGAAACATATACAGAAATACACGGTCAGAGTCTTTTAGGAACAAAGTATAATTCAAGGTTACCTTTGATAGCTTCCTTTTACGATCTTGCCATTTTGAACAAGGACATTTCCCAAAATATCCTCTGGATCGCTATTACCAATGATTTAATGATCATTGTTAGTATTGTCACTATTTAGAATATATTTAAGAGGTGATTGGTTTACGATCAGTGTTTGTATAGCTTACCTTACTCTACCCCATGGTGTAAAGACTCGTTCGTCATTAATATTCAAATGACCTTCTTTTTGATAATTTGCTAGAGCTAAATTGCATGACCGTTAAAAAATCGGATGAGTTGATGTCCAAGTTCCTTGGTTCAAACATACATAGTGAGCAAGTCTAGCTACCTTGAGCTGCTTCATCTTTATGAATGTTTTCGGCAAGAAACTTGTGCAATCTGGATTCAAATTGATGATTCGAGGTAAAGTTGAATGGCTTTATACTAGATATGGCACTAGATTCTGTGTTCAAGTGAAGATTCTTTGAAAAGACACTACGATCAACCCAGCCAATGATATCCTCATCGGACAAGGTTGAATGGGCCTGGTTCGGCAAAGTAAATGTCAATGCAACTTTATCCGGATCATTCACATCTGCCACATACAGATTATGACTATAGTTGATACCACATTCGACAGCAGGTCGAATTCTACAGATTCTAGTAGACATTTCTCTGCTAAAAAAGGACTTTAAGCAAAGATTAGCCATCCGAGGAAAAGCATGAGTATGTATCCCAATCATATAGGTTATTTTTAACTGGAAATGGTTCGACTTTGAGTTGATCAGTTTTGACAAGATACAACACGTGATTTATAGATGTCTATTTTGAGCATACAATTTTACCAGACCAATTTTTATTGATTGTGCAATGTCATCACTGGCTGAGCGGATACAGCGAAGAATGGATGAGCAGCAGCAACATGCGAATTCATCTCAAGGTCAAATGATGGCAGGTTCCAGAGATATTAGTTTTTTAAGCGGGGGATCTGAGCTTCAATCCGTTCATGGTGAACCAGTCGGGGAGTATCCTAGTCTGGAAGATATTTATGATGATGACGATGATGGTACAGTAAATGCCTGGCAAGTGGCAGTTCTTTTGATCCCTGTGTTGTCCAAGGCACTTGGTAGACTGAGTACGAGATTTTGTTTGTATGCGAGCTTGTCCCGAGTTTTATTAGTATATAGCTGACCGATGCTATATTTTGGTGTCTCCAAACTTTATTTCGTCACTAGCGATGATACAGCTGGGAAAGCAGATTTTACTCGGACTGGTTTATGCCATGTAGTTTCTGTAGTACTGACTGTATTGGTGGGTGAATCCAGTTTTTCTAGTCGAGATTATTGATGCTATATTTCTAGTGTTAATTTTGCAGAATCGATCAGGATTCATATACAGTAAATCCAACCAAATAGCCAGCCAGTATTGACGACAATCGATCTATACATTCCGAAAGCTATCCAGAACTAGACCTGCTTATGCTTTTTTTAATGGTGCAGCTTTCACACTTCAAGTATTTGCCTTGAAATAAACTGTTTTACTCGACAGACTAAAATATTTTCATTTCATTGGAACGTCGAGCTGTATCGACACTAGAACAGACTGGATTTGGTTTAGCTTATTCCAACTCACGTGACCAGTGTTTGATTGAAATACTTTGTCAAGGGTTGATTATTGGCAATTGATTGCAACGCAGCAATGTGGACACATCCAACAGTGGTCGAAAACACTTCCTTTTGGAAAACTATCAAGGCATGTATCAGAGAGTATATATCTACCGATTCCATTTAGAATTCTACGCAAGAATTCGCTTGCTTTGAATTTTATCATCCCTAGTTATATGGCATGTCGCTGGGCTTACATTGTGTACATGGAATGCTGGATCTGAAGCTAGTTGACAGTCCTGTATCTTGTGTTGCAGTATGGGGCTGTTGAATATCATACATTGAGTTTATCTACTTGTTTGTGATTCAGAAAAACTCAATGAGATAGCATTCGACTCGAACAATCATGTAGCTGTTTGAACGTTGATGGGCTTGGACTGAATATGAATTTTGAGCATGTTGGCGAGTATAAATACTTTTGATGCAAAGTAGCTCTCGAGTACTGCAAATTGGTCTTTAATCTGATGACAGGAAATATGATAAACTGTCCAGCCACATCCATACTTGGTTATATTAACAGTTTATTTTGTAATTCTTTATGCTTCACTCTATTGACATATCTAGGAAAATGATCTTTTTTGGATGCAAAAGTCAAAAGAAAATGAAGCAACGTCAACTATGCTGAAAAGTGTTTGGGCAACCTTACAAAATGTGTATGAGCTATTATGTGATGATTTGTATTACTGAATCCATTCATTTTATACAAGCTAATCCAAGTGACGATTTAGATTTGATACTAAGCAGTCCCCGTATCGGATTGTACTGCGCACTTTTCAAGGAGGAGTGCCTGATCCAAATGGACAGATGGTCGCAGTAGGTTACAATGCATATTTTTACATAAGAGTTGGTTGGATTTAGAACTGATTGGGTCTACATTGGTCCAAAAGCTAACCCTGCCTGCTAGATTAAAAATCTTTCCAATTCTAACTGGCTGCAAAGCACTAATAACGTATTCTTGAATGTTTGGATATATTAGGCAGCAGAGACATTGAAAGAGATTGAGAATGATTGGGCTTGGATAGAAGGTTTGTCATTGTTGTCTAGCATCAGTCGATATTCAATTTTACTATTTGAATAGATGCTTGGTGATGTATGGCTGGTCACATTTTAAATATTGCAGTGGATAAAATGCTAATTTAAGCTATATTTTGAAATATGGTAGAAACTCTTTTGCCTGAAATGAAACAGCTTGAAGATAAAGGGGACAAGGCAGCCTATGCTCTAACTAAATTTACATCCATTGTACAGAGTCAAGGTATCTTGCTGCTGTGAAAATCATGGGTGTAGTCAAATGTAGTTACTGATTGGTTTTGATGATCAAATCGTAGATGCAGATACGGATGAAAAATCATCAGACGCAAAGTTTCGAGCAGCTGCGAGATCATGGAGACAATTGTTTCGGATGGAAGAGTCTGAGCGACTTGTTAGTTGTATGTTTTGACTGACTACTTGATGAAATTTGCTGAATCTCAAGACTCGATATTAATACCATTGCCATTTAGTTTATTCTTGTTCGTATCACAGAAAACTAATGAATCAAGGCTGGATGTATGTGTCGCTGTCATATTGCTGCTTTTATTCTTTTGTACTCGGAACAGAGACCAAGGTGGTTATCGAGCTTAAAGACATTCAAGAGCTGTCAAAGGAAAAGTCCAAACGAGGAATGATTTCTGACTCAATTAGGATTGTCACCCGTAACAAAACAGAGGTATACATTTAGAATGATTTGGGTTTTGAATCTGCCGCTATTTTAAAATGTAAATACAGGCTATGAACTAACTATTTTGCACTGTCAAATCCTTGTTGCATTATTAGCACTTTTTTTCAAATCTTTTTTTTCGCGACGAAACTTTTGAATTGCTTGAATATCTCACGAATCTGGCTTTGCAGAGATTGCTTAAAGCCATCAGCACAGAACCTGCTCCCGGTCTTTCTTTGAAAAATACAGAGCATACACAGGATATTATTACTTCTCCCGCAACAATACTGGGTCTTGTACAAAAAGGCAATCTCTCAATACCATTAAAGCTGGCATTTGAGCTTCAAAAAAAAAACGCCAAATTTCAATGGCTGTTTAATTTACCAAGCACAGAGACTATATTTGAAGACATTGACGTAGCATGCTCGATATCTGGGACAGATATCAATTTCAATGGCAGACTTTATCTTTCTGACACATTCTTGTGTTTCTTGTCTACCGCCAAATATCAATGCCAGCTGGCATTGCCTTTTTTTTCAATCATGCGCGTTGAGCGAATCAATGCTTTGGCGTCCGCCACCATCGCGATTACAGTTCGGCATCAATTAAAGTTGCTATTTCAGCTTGTAGGAGGACAACCGTTGGCTGATAAATTTTGTGCTACTCTCAAAGATCGCTTAGAGTCACACGTCGAAGAAATGAAGCGCCTAAAGCCATTTTTGACTACATGCCCATCTGAAGATTTGATTGCAGGAAAGGATACTAATGTTGGCGGACTTGGTGTCAAGTACGGCTATGTTGATTCCAAAAAGTAGGTGGTGTAATGTATTTTTTTGGAAAATGCAAAGTTCCATTGTTTTTTAATTTGAGTGACTAAAATCTATGTTTGATGACTGTTATATTGCTGCCATTTAGGGCGGTAGAAAAGAGCAAACTGAGATATTGGATTTCATATTTTAAAGGTAAACTTTTGTTTTTGGCATGAAACATTGATATTTGCGATCCTGTTGATTGTTTTGTGGTTTAATTTGAATATTTGGTTTGTAATCTAATATGTTGTCATTATCTAGATTTTGGACGAAATTTGACTCTTGTTCGTCTTCCAACATTTATCAAATTGGTTCGCATTGGTCTCCCAAATACTCTTCGAGGAGAACTTTGGGAGCTGTGCAGCGGTGCAATGTACAAACGGTCTGTGTTTTGTATATTGTCTTGCATATGTTTTTATTAGTTTTTAACGTACATTTGTTATAGATTTATAAACGACGGCTACTATGAGAAACTACATATTGAACATGGTGGTCAGGTTTCACTTTCTACTGAGGAGATTGAAAAAGATCTAAACAGGTCAGTCTGTTTTTCAAACGTATCTTGACTTGAATTTTATCTAACCACGGATTTTTGTAAATCACCTGTAGGAGTCTTCCAGAATATAGTGGATACCAAACACCAGAGGGAATTGATCGTCTTCGTCGGGTTCTCTATGTAAATCTTGCAAATATTTTTTGACCATTTCATTACTGCTACTTGGATGAAAATATACCAATGCATCTTTGTATTTTAATTTGATTTTGTTAGGCATTTTCTTACCACGAGCCCGAGATTGGTTACTGTCAGGCCATGAATATTGTTGTAAGCGTACTATTGATTTATTTGACAGAGGAGCAAGCCTTTTGGATTCTGACAGTTCTATGTGAAAGAATGCTTCCCGGATACTACACGTATGTACACTGACCATGAATGTACTTTGATTTAAACAACTTTAGTTTTTTGAAATGATATGTATGTTTTAACTATTGTTTTTGGTCATTCAGTGTCAATATGGTTGGAGCAGTAATTGACAACCATGTGTTTGAGACTCTGGTGAGTTCAAGATGCATCGCTTATTAACCACTCTCTTTGCAAAAAATAGAATTTAAATGTGTTGTATATCACTTGTATCTGGTATCCAGGTGCATCGCTTCATGCCTGTTTTAGGTGATCATATCAAAAAATATGAGATTCAACTTTCTGTTGCCTGTTTACCGTGGTTTTTGAGTCTGTTTATCAATTCCTTACCGTTGCCATATTCTTTACGAATTATGGACTGTTTCTTCATGGAGGGGGCCAAGGTATGCTAGCATTACTTTTGAATTTTATTGAGCCATCCTCATTGCCTTTTTTATTATATGGGCTGACATTATACCGTTACTCAATTTAGGTGCTTTTTCAAGTTGGGTCAGTGTATTTTCTTATTTCTTTGGCTATAATTGAAAAGTTTTATTTGGACATTTGATTTTTAAAACTAATCATCGATTTTGCTGATTGCTTTGATTATTAGTCTGGCTATTTTGAAAATCAACGGAGACGCCATTTTAAACATTAAAGATGATGGTGAACTTATGTAAGTATTGCTCAAGTTTGTTTGTGCACCTATTCGAGTTTAACAATATGTACATATTTGACCGTGCTTTGATAGGAATGTTCTTAAAGAATATTTCAGTAATCTTGACGATATTCTTCAAATGGAGGGACAAAATGTGCGACCAACCACAAAGTTCAATCAATTGATGCTCACTGCATATCGTGAGTTTCAAAATGTGACGAACGATATGGTGGTAGATTTGCGCAAAACACATCAGCTTAAAGTTATTCAAAATATGGACATGTATGCAAAACGAAGTGTTGTACGTAATCTTACATCCACTTCCAAGTTTTCCAAAGACGAACTTCTTTTTCTATGCGACCAATTTTACACTGCCCAATTTTATGAAGCCAGATCTGCTAAGCTGCATCCAGATCGACTGGACTTTCCTCAGTTTAAACGTCTTATTTCCAAGATTGCTATGTGGGCCAACACAGATTCTGACCAGGATGATCAGTTGGCACGTAATGGAAATGATTCTTCCAAGAAATCTGTTGTGGGCTCTGATTTCATCGAGCGTCTGTTTGCTAAAGTCTTTGATACCAATGCAGATGGCTTGGTTGATTTGCAGGATATTGTGAGTGGTTTGGCAAAGCTAATTCATAGTAGTCCCGGCACGTGGCTCGAGATTATTTTTGATACGCATGATGGAGACAGCGATGGTCTGCTTACACGTGAGGAGACTATCCATGTATCAGAGACGTTACTTTTTCTTACCAGACAATTGAGCGGCGATGAGCATCTTGGCTCTGTTTCATCGTTTCTTAATCGATCGTTTGCTGCTGGCGAAGCTGAGAATACTTCTGGCACAGATCTGAATACAGTCATTGATGTTTCCAAAAAACAACCCGTTTCAGAAACATTCAGTCTTAAAAAAAGTACATTGGCTGCAGTGGTTTCTGAAGACAAGTTTCTAAAGTTTCTCATTGATGAAACACTATCTACCCAATTTATGCTTTATAATACAAGCACGGGTGTAAAACAAAAAGTCTTGGCACCCCCGCCTATGCAAGAAATCAGCGAGTCGCTGTGGTCAGGCGGATTCAAGTGGGCATCAGGCAAAATGGCAGGTAAAAAGGAGCCTGTAGGTGTAGTGGAGACGGAAGTACCTGCAGCGATCGATGCCATGTCCGAGTTGGCACTACCTGCTGACGACAAGACTGATGGCCAAATAAAGCTTGACACGATCAAACTCGCTGATGCTTTTGACGAGGATGCGGATTATGACTGTGCTTTACTTGAAGAGGGTAAGATTTGCCGTGTTTGATTCGCTTGTTGCAAGGTTATTGACCTTGCTGATTCGAACCTAACTCATTTGACTGTACTATTAATATATTAGTGGATACGTTGCTGAGAGAAGAGCTGTTTAATCCAAATCCGACAGAATTGGCTACTTGATTTGCTATTTGAACTAAGCTATATTACAGCCGTATTCACGTAAAACGGAGTACTAAATAAAGTGCCAAAATACATAATAAATAGCCAATCTCATGAAATGATGGATGCCAGTTACTAGACAAAATTATGTTTTCTGAATTCCTTGACAAAGTTACAGATTCACTGATTAGGTATGGTTCGCCAACCGTTTAACAGCAATGTTGTGAGGTATAGAGCTTTATATTGTTCATTCTTGGACTGCTAAAATTACTTTGACAAAAGATGGTCTTGTATGGCGTGAGATTTCATTCCAGATACTTAGAAAGAATTGAGAATGTCTATTCAAGTCAATTTCTAATAGGAGACGCAACACATATTTAAGCATTGTTTATTCTGAAGTAAAATAGAGGCCATCGCTGCAAGATAAGTACAGAAATACTCTATTTTACGTGAATATGGCTGTAAAATTTCGACTTTATCACATGCGAAACTTTCGAGGTCGAGTATGAGCACGCTCCCACAGCTCGACATTTGTGGCTCTTCTTAATTGTCCAGATTGGTCTCGCACAATGAAAGAAGGATTGGGTTTGCTAGTATCAGCCACCATAAACTTGTATCGATTCTTCAAGCGATCGTTGCGGTTTATAATAAGCGACTTTACTTCTGCTGGTGGATTGATGATATTGGGGGCATTTAAATCAAGTTTCATTGAATTGTTGCTGTAGGGTTGCTTCTGAAGTAGTTTGGCGGCGTCCTAAAACATGTAAATCAAAAAATAGACTATTAGTGATTAGATGCGGTATTTTCTACTAAACACAAGCCAATTAATTTTATTCACAATCGGTATAGTAATAACCAGCTGTGCAACGCAGAGTGTGTCTACAATATATTATAGTTTTGTTTACCTCGGGTGTAACGGAGACTTCTTCGTCCAACAGACGAATGTATTGTGACATGGATCCACCAAAGTTATATTTTAGAGGCTCTGATAGTTTGGATGGATGATCCTTTTTGTATTCAATTGTTCGCGATCCCAGTAGTCGCTCCATTCCGTTGGTAAATTCAATTTGTGGTGGAGATCCCTAAATAAACACATTTTCATTGGGTTGTTTGATCAATATTGAGTGTAATGGAATGGCCAAGCCGTGTAAACCAACATTTATACAATTATGGATGCAATCTACCTCTTTTTGTAATTTCCCTTCAAGAGCTTTCAAGCGAAGAATGGCTTGCACACGAACAATAGCAATGCCAAATTGTTCTGCGAGTCGACGAGGAGTCCAATAGGCTTGATCTTCAAGAAATAAAGCATAGATGGCTTTTCTGGTTTTATCTGACAATGGAGGATCTGGCTTAAAGTATGGATTCATTGGAAATGGCTATTGTGTCAACCAGTAAAATCATTTGTTAGCAAGATTAAATAACAATCAGGCCTGATCATAGTCTCTATAAATTATACAAAGATCATTGATACCTGATTAGGCAAGGCAAAGTTTCGCATAGAAGGCATCAAAAACTTGTCATGAGCTCGATTGCGAAGTGGAAAGCGAGCATGCCAATGCTCTTCCTCTGTTTTTTTACGAGGAGTTTTTTTGATAGCTTCAGCCTTTGTTTCTATATCAATGGACTCGGTTTCTAATGCATTTCTCTCAGCAGCCTCTGCGACTGGTTGAGATGTGTCATCTTTAACGGTGGAATAGTTGCGAGTTTTGAACTCGGTTGATCTGATTGCAGAAACTGGAGCTGTATAATAAACAGTAGATATATATCTGAATGGCAGGGTCGATAGCGGGCCCAGAGGCTTTAAAGTAAACAGCTTCATGGCGACAGCAATAACGAGATTAGTGATTGCAAAACGCCAATTCGATTATAAAAATCAAATCCGTTTTTTTGGTGTCCAGCCATGATATGGATGGCGATCAGACTCTAAATTATGGGGTCTCTTTGGCGAGTGGTTTTCGTTTATTCGACACTTTACACATTTATCTATGGCAGATCAGGATAGGTCTGGCTCACCCCCGCCAGGAAAAGACTTGCAGGCTTCTGGAATTACTGCTCACACTCAGGTTTCTGATAGGCTTGTTGCTCACTACCTGAATCAACGAGGTGCCAATATTCGCTTGACTTGACATTGTTTTGCTTCAATTCTCCTGTTAGATTCTCGCTGCTATTGTCCGTAAAACCCTTCAGAATGACTTATCTTGCATGTTGTTTTGTTTAGGATTTCGTCAGGCGGAGGCAAGTCTTCGATCTGAAGCAAAAATTAAAGGTGTACAGGATTTGCCAACAGATGTCAAAGTAGACGAGGTTTCTATTCCAAATTTCATTCTGTTTTACAACGAAGCAGAAGCAAACAATCCACTTGCATATGAGCAGAGCTATACTCGGCTACGTAAATGGATCGACGATTCTATTGATGTTTACAAGGTAAAATCAGGATACGGTGGTTTTGCAATACCGTTTTACGCCGTGGAGTGTCGTAAACACTCGGATCTTGATGTTTAAAGGGTTTTGCTACTATACAATTGTATATGTAGCGTGTTATACTTGCTAGTTTACTAATATTCATGATTTTACGCACATATAGCTTGAACTTCGAGTAATTCTTTTCCCCATTTTTGTCCATGCATATCTGGATCTAGTTGAAAAAGACTTGCCAGATCAAGGTAATCATTCGGTCTCTTGTGTATGATATTTGATACATAATTTAGAAACATAACCTGATTTTGACTCATGTCTCTAACAAATCCCATTATATTGCGGTTGAATGGAATCTGGATCTAATCTATTAGCAAAGCACTTTTTCGAAACATGTCGAATTGATCATTTGGAAAATCACAGTCCAGATATTTTGCGCCTTGGCGGTATTCAAGATGCACAGCATATTTCTGAAAGCGACTTTGTTCAAAACTTTCGTCAAAACAAGTATGGCGTAAAGATGAGCAAATATGCGTTTGAGCTTTTGCTATGTTTTCTTCAAGATAACAAGTTCATGTTGCTTCTGCGTATAACGAATCAGTATGTATCGATTCAAGGTGAGTTTATCGCTATGCATTCATGCACCTTTGGTGCTTTACCATGCCGCATGCTTGAATATCAGTGCAGGAAATCAATATTAAGCGTCACCTATTTCTGTATCAATAGCTGTATCGGACAAGTCTGTCCATAATGTGGACGATATTGATCCAGATGATGGCGCAGGACTTATTGGACAGTATATATCTCAGCTTCAAAGCTTTAATCGCGAACCATTATTACTGGGCCGACTCCCGCCTGATGTTCAGTTTTTGGGCGACGTTGAAAAAGCAATTGCATTACAGGTATGTTGGTTTGATCAAAATAATGTGAGCCTGATAATGCTTAATACAATATTTGAAGCTAATCCAAAAACCCATTTTTAACGAGTGTATAGCGGGTTGAGGATACCGATGAACTGAAACAGCAGATTGATGCTACATTGAAGGCCACAACTGAGCCGGATGCACCTTCTCGAGAAAATGTCCCACTTCCTCCTAGGTTTGCTCACCTGTCTTGATGGCAATTTTGCCAAAGTGAAAAATATTTGAGATGACCAACGTATTCCATTCTAAGTAACATGAATTGGTCTATATTTCCCGCATAATGGTATAGGCGTCGATTTGAAATTCAAGAGGAAATGGATGCACTTCGAGATATTTGCAAGCAGGTCAGATGCAGTCCTAGTGCGCTGCCTTCCATATGTTGTTACACATTTCACAATGGATACGGCGGGTGAGTTTATGTGTATTCTATAAACACCATTAGCGGGTTTCAGTTAATTTATCTTTTTATAACAATTGTAAATGACTACATTTTAAAATGCCATAGCATCAATACACTACGCGCATCTCCATCAGCAGAGTTTCTAGCGGCAGGATTCAACGATTCGTTTATTAAACTATGGTCTCCGAAGGAGGAAGAGCAATCTCGTCGTCGCCATGCCAATCGAAATTCTAAAGGTAGGTCTATTGCTGTGTTTATTGAGTATCTAGGAGCGAATTCCGTTGACATTATTTAAGCTGGCACAGATCCCATTCGTCCATCAACAAATCTAATTGGACACTCTGGTCCTGTCTTTGGTTTGGATTTTAACAGAAGTAGCCAATTTTTACTTTCTTCATCTGAAGACAAGACAAGTGAGTGATGCTATGCTAAAGTGGGCTGTTTTAATAGTTTTATAGACTGACCAGTCTGTTTTGAATTGCATTATTTGAACTAGTTCGACTCTGGAGTACTCACACCAAGACAAATCTTGTCGTATTCAAGGGTCATAATTATCCAGTTTTTGATGTTTGCTTTGGACCTTACGATGTATATTTTGCAAGTGCCTCACATGATCGCACTGCTCGGCTATGGAGCTGTGATCACTTGTTTCCTTTACGTGTATTTGTTGGCCACCTTTCAGATGTTGATGTAATTATTTTAAACTATAAGTGTGTTGTCGAGTTTTAGATTGATACTTATGTATAGATTTACGTGTGTGTATGTTGCTGAATAGACTGTGAGATTTCATCCCAATTCGAATTACCTTTTGACTGGATCGGCTGATCGAACGTGTCGACTATGGGATGTCCAAAAAGGTTCTTGTGTGCGAATTTTTTCAAAACATCAAGGAGCAGTTTCAGCTGTTGCCATCTCACCTGATGGGCGTACTATGGCTTCTGGAGGTATATTGAGTTGAACACTAAAGATTTACGATGTAGTCTTATTGCTCATGTACTAGATGCTAATTTAAACTAATTCTAATATAACCAACCTTTGGTATATTACTGGAAACATGGGTTTGCTAGGCGATGACAAGACGATTCGACTTTGGGATTTAGGATCGGGTCGACGCATTAAAAGTATGCATGGCCATAATAGTTTTATTAGCTCGTTGGAATTCAGCCAAGATGGCAGTCTTCTTGCATCTGGGGGTATAGACGATTCTGTACGACTTTGGGATGTAAAACGTGCTGACACACACGAAATTAAAATGGACTCTCAGATTAGTGATCAACCATCAGATGGTGCAAGGTAAAGCCAGTATCTGTTACTGATCTTATTGTTTTATCCCGTTCATATAGCTATGCTAATATGTGCGTATTGGTTCGTGAACAATGATTGATTTACATATTTGACTGTCATGTTTCTTGCTCAGATCCGACCATATTGCTGCATATCCCACAAAGCGAACGCCCGTTTATTCTGTCCAGTTTACAAAACGAAACGTATTAATGGCTTTGGGGGTATTCAACTCACAATTATAAAGAATCCAAATTTTGCCAGATTGGTTTAAATTTTGAATAAACTATTGGTGTATTTGACTGGCTGTGGTATTAGTGATTGTCTACCGAGTCCATTTTGAAACTGATACTCAGTGAACCATAGTCATGAGCAAAACTTTAAGAATCTGCAGGTGTTCATCCGCACCATCCACTAGGGCTCGATCTGTTTGACCTAGCAATACAGCTACTTTACTTTTGTGTCGTTCTTTCAAATGAGGATCTTCTGCAATCAGATTCGATAGTTGCTGGATAAAGGCTGTGCCAGAATATCCCATGCGTATTGTTTGCTTGAGTTCAGCTTCAACATTTTCGACTTTACCAGAGGACCATGCCTGTATAATGCCAGCCATTACTGAATCAGGAATGATCTATTTTAAAATCAGGAGGTTGAGATGCAAATAAAATAACAATAACCAACACAAGGATTAGATCCAACACAGTCACAAAATTCAACAAGTAGATTACATGCAATGTTTTGACAAATCCAATACATAAAGGAGTTCAATCCTAGTGCAACAGAAAATGATATTCAGCTTACTCCAGAAATATCTGCTACTAAACTTTTAGTGACTGTAGAGCCTATGCTGACTTTCTTGATGCTTTGAAGAAGTGTGATGGCTTTGCGAAGATCGCCAGCGCAAGATGTAGCTAGAAAATCCAGCGCCTAAATATGTGTTCAATGCAAACATAAAAATATAGAGTATTAGAATTTGACAATTTCTAATGGTTTAAAGTTTGATATCTACAGCCACATTCGCGTAAAATGAAACACTAGATAAGAGTGCCAAAATACGTAATAGACAGTAGTTTCATGAAATGGTTGGTGCCAGTTTACTAGACAGCGTTTCCCCTCAAAACTTTTTGATAGAGTTACTGATCTTCATGCTCATTTTCGTACAAGAAACTGAATGAGCGTTCACATTACAGTTTCAGTAAGTCGCACATTTTTGACATTTGTCAATATCCAACTCTCCAAACTGAAGGCTACAATACTGGAGATTGACATGAAAACAACAGTTGCATTTTTGAGACATGAAATACATATAGATTGGTAAAATACATACTCCAGGAGCAAATGACAGCTTTTCATTGCTACAAATAAGCTCCAAACGTTCAATGACAATAGGCATAGGTATGGGTTTGAAGCGCAATTTAGCACATCTCGAAGCAAGTGGATCGATGATTCTATGTAGTTACAATTTTCAAAAAATATCATATTCAGAGTTTTGTTGAGAGTGTTAAAAATGATAGTTTTTGAAATTTCCAGATCAGCTTAAAAGTTGCTTATTGGCAGCCATAGTTACTATGACAAGCATCTTACCGGCTAACATAGTTACAAATTAAACAAAATCGAGTAATTTTGGAGTAATTTTCCATGATACGACGCAACGCAGATTGAGCATCAGTAGTCAGCGAATCTGCTTCATCCAATACAATAATTTTGTATGGAGGACTAAAAAACAGAATTTAAATATCCAGAATTAGTCAAATATAAAGTAGCATTTAAAATAAAAGTTGTCGCTATTAACAAGCAGCTTACGCATTAGAATGAGCAGCACTGACGGTGATTTTTGCAAAGTTTTTGACTTTTTCTCGAATGACGTCGATACCTCGTTCATCAGAAGCATTGAGTTCCAACAAACGTCCTTTAAGGCCATTTGCACTGATTCCAGAAAAATAGAATGAACAGACACATAACGACAATACCAAAAGGTTAGCAACTCTGTGAGATCAAAGTAAAGACAGTAAGGCAGATCGGAGCCATTAAAAAATTACCCATAAAGCTGACGAGCAAGAGCCAGAATGATGGAAGTTTTTCCAGTTCCAGGAGGACCATATAGCAGCAGATGAGGCAGCTTCAACAGATTGCATGGAAATAAGTGTCCAGAAATTGAAGACAAACACAGAACAACTTGATATAAATTACATTTTGGGTCTGTATGGTATTTGAAAGAACAGCAACGACCTCGTTCTGTCCACTGATTTCAGACAGTGTTTTTGGACGGTATCGCTCAGTCCAAGGAGAGCGATCGACGAGATCGGACATTGGCAGTTGAATGAAATTGAATGAGTTTGAATGAGTTTGAATGAATCAAGTCACGAGAAATGAATTTGAATGAATCAAGTCACGAGAAATGAATTTGAATGAATCAAGTCACGAGAACTCAACTGCTGAAATCAAACGTCAAGTTCATCCATTACAGTCTTATACACGATGGTACGGTTGTTGAAGCTGCTGTCGCTGTCAATGGTTATTACTAACCATTTCATTTTATATATTTATTAGCTAAGCTCTTCTTTACAGTCTAGTGCACTTCCGCCAGTTCCTACTAAAGCAACTACTGATACTACCACCAAGGCTACTGAAACCATTCATACAACTACTGGAACTGTTAATAAATCCACTGATACATTCAATGATGCTTCTACTCCCGAGAGATTTCAACCCGTATCACCGCATCTGTCATCATCCTTCCGCCATGCTGAAGCAGACTCTGATGTCAAAGAAGTCGACTTTATGTCGCAAGACTCTCTTATGAATATTGTCCAAAAAATAATGTATCTTTGTGAAGATCAGGATGACGGAAAGATTCTAGATATTCCCACTTCTCAATGGCTGCCTGACCTCGTTGTTTCTGTTGGTCCGAAAAATTGGCCCAATATCGTGAAGCTGTTGCCTGAACATATACAAACTTTAGCAGATACAATATCTCAGCCTGATTATTTACTTCATAATTCTATTCTAGAACATAGCAATCATGATCTCAATACTCGAGACTTTGCAGGAGATTTCGGACACGAACCTCGCAGAGATTCAAGCGCGATTTTTCTAGCTGGCCAAAGTACTCCATCAAACATTACTAAACACAATTATAGCAATAGAAACAGCCCTTTGATGGATGCTGAACTTATGTCTTTTAGTCCTCCTAAAAACTTGCATGCTTCTCCAAATCATACAGTTTCTACAGCCACTACGTCCATACATAATACTATGAATCCGTTTTCTCCAGCTGGCCTCGACAAATTTTCTGGTCCTGTACATATGAGTAAATCTGCAATCACCAGCACTCCTGTGGTTTCAAAAGTCGATCTCTTTTCTTTAAAACCTTTAGCATTTGAGCGTGCACCTGTCCTGTCGTTTCAACAATCTGCTTCATTGCTGTCATCCACCCCTGTTTCATCAGCTGTTAAAGCATCTATGTCTAGCTCGAGCAAACATTCATTTAGTCAAGATCCTCCAAAATGGGAGCTTCCATCTAATCCATCATCCTATATTGGAAACCGTGCTTCATCGGCCACTAAAGTACTCTCTAGACGAATACCCACTTCCACAAATATAGCCATGACTCCAAATAGGAGTTGTGTTTCTTTAAGTGCTATTGATCAAACTGAGCCAGATCAGCAACAAAAATCACAGTCTGATTGGATGGTTGGTCATGAGTCGCCTGATACGTATGCAGATATTTTCAAAGAATCAGATTCTGTTTCGTTTGAGGATGACAATTCGGGTGAAATCGACATCCTTGGAATAACTGGTCTTAGTCAGATTTGTGACGAATCGGGTGCGCCTGGTGGTCTTGTTGGAAGCGTCACTGGCTCGATTGGTGAACCAGATACTAGTTTTGCTTCTATAGAGTCTCCTACCAACAGTTCCGCTTTTCGACGCCTTCAGCGCAATTTCGATAGTACATGCAACGATTTACGCAAGCAAGAAGAGCATAATAGAGATTTACAGTCAGATTTAAATGCGGCGAAACAGTCGCTTCAGTCGCAGAATTGCGAGTTGATCACTAACAAAAACGAAATCGAGCGACTTCATGAGGAACTGATAAAGGTGGATACTTTTATCCAGCAATAGGCTGCTGCATTGGATTTAGCATATTTGTTTAGCTAATTCGTATTTTTTAAATTTGATTATAGGCTCGACTAAAAATTGATGAGCTTTCAGCTTTGGAAGTCAAATATAATGATGTATTGACTAAATTTGAAAAAGAAAAGGCTAGATCAGAAGAAATGTCTGATTCTTTTTATCAAAAGCTAATGGACAAACAGGAAAAGTTTAATGATTTGCAAAACAATTTTAAAAACCAAGCTTCTGTAAATTTCAAGGTAGTTTCAGTGATTACATGCTAGAGTTGTTGCTTCCAATCTTTAAATTACTAACTTGATGGTTTTAACCTATAAAGCTTCAAGAAAAAACCAAAGCTCTAGAGAGTCAATTGACTATCTTGTCTGCAGAAACTACTGCGTTTCAACAAGAGTATGGTGTATATCATAACAAATATCACGAAGAATATGACCTTCGCGTCCGGCTAGAGGAAGAGGTGTCCAATTTAACTATGGAACTACAAAAGTCCAAATCTCGTTTTAAAGACTCCCATGACTCTAATACTAGCCGTAATACAACCACTCTTGCTACTGAGCTGCTTTTCCAATCAAAATATGTTAGTCAGCAGGTAGCATCTACTCAAACATTGCCTACAGCCGAGGATGAAACATTATGCATGCTACAGGAACACCTTCGAACATTAGCTGACGAAATGGTTACCATTGAGAGTCAAAAGGTATATATTTTGTTTTGCATAGATGTGTTTGTACCATAAAGGTATAGTTTTTGGTTAGTACTTGTATTGATCTATTTTATCTATAGGTTTCATTTAGATTGGAAATGGATCAGGTTCGGGAAAGTGCCAGAGAGACACGTCGTGTTCTACACCAATGTACCAATGTAGATGCCGAGATGGAACGTCGCATGCAATCTCTTTGCGAAGATCTAGCATGTGTTAAGGAGGCTACTAAAGTGGTTAAACAGAGTAAGCCATAATTATCACATCGGAATTACTTGACACACTTAGCCACCATTCTAATTTCAAGTACATTCTAACGCACTATTGGATTTCATATTTTAGATTTAGAAAAAGAAACCAAATTTCAGCAACATATATACAAAAAAGTAGTTGAGCGACCTGCAAGTGTTGGTTTGAAAGTGCCTGTCAAAAACTACAGAGATGCAGGAGTCCAAGCAGGTGCTACGACCAAAAATGCAGCATCCGAGTGTAGCCAGGCTGTGGTACCAAAAGGTAAAAATGCATTCAAGTTGAATTCTATAGGTGAATGGCAATATAGGTTGAATACAAATTTCTATATCACATGCTGAAACTGGCTGCTTATTTTTGTAGAGCTTTTACTGCCATCTGCTCCAATTTCTCATTCAGATCTGCCTATGATTCTCCACAGTCCCGTCCAGCATGCTGCATTGCCTGCCACATTCACAATCAACAGAAACACGATTTTATTTGTTGTTTTTATCATTATGGTATGGAGTACAGCTGCCAACTCAAAAGAAATATTGCATTCGTTGTTTGTGATGCTCGAGTCTTTATTGGTTGATCCATATGAAATAAAATCGACTATTTTTTAATATCTGGACCCAAAATAATTGATCTAAAGATCTGCCATCCTTGGCTGTTTGTATTGGCAAGATTGTCGCGTTGGTGATGTCCAGCAAGATTGCTTAAAAGAGGATGTAATTTACTGCATAGCTCACTGGAGAACAAAGGTGTATTTAAAGAAACGTGGGTTGATTCCAACACATGAGCACATGCAATGGTACGAGCGACAGCAGAAAATACCACAGGATCAGCAGTCAACCATAGCAGATTCGAGGAAGCTGTCAAAGCTGTCACGCCCCTTTCAACAAATTCTGACAAGGCAGATCTGATCTCATTAGCTAATGTAGCTGGGATTCTATTAGATTGGAAAGCGGCCACAAGAGACTCTCCGCTCAGGATCACATCGCCCAATTCTTCGAAAAGTGAATTGGGGTGCTCTTTGTCAAACAAAACATCCAAGCTGCATGTTTTGTATGAAAGTGCAGACGCTTTAATCACCATAAAATGATAGTCAGTAAATATACAAAAATAGGTCACATCGTAGTAAAACCCATATATAGCCAATCAAGTGCAAGCATTAATGAGTAAATCCTCCACGTTTTACAGACTTGCCCATCAACTCAATCACTTGGCAATATTTTCAAGCTTACCAGTATCTATAGAAGACATGAGCGGGGTTTTAAAGAATTCTAATACTTGATGCCAAGTTTTGACTGAATTGGCTTGTCGAACCATTTCTAAACGACACAGCCAACGAGCAGGAAGCGATGCAACTGCATTCTAAATATGAGAATTGCCAAAATAAAATTGCATTCATCGTATTGTTAATTATTAAATCACATCAAGTCACATTTAAGCGAAATTAAACTCGATTGGTTAAAGCGGCCTACCCCATCATTGGCAATATTAGCCATGCATTTGGCTGCCATAGATCGCAAATCATTGGCTTCGCCGCCCAAGTATTGATCCAAAACAAACAGAAACCGAACTGATATGGCAGAATCAACTGTGGCAAGCAAATCCAACCATTCAAGTAGTTCAAATGATTCTAGCAAAGCACGAGAGATCTGTATTGGCTACATAAGTTATTTTGTTCAGACATGAATTCCGCGTAAATTAGTGATTTGTCAAAACTCATACTATGATAACAAGGTAAACTTTAAACGTTCAAGTCAATTATTGCTCAATAGTGTGCAAAAAACTCACTCGATTAGTTTCGGTAATCGTCTCTACAGACTCGATAAATAGTGAAGCAATGCGATCCACATTCGAGTTTTTTGTAGCAACAGCATGTTTTAGGTTAATTCCCATCAGTGACAACCACGCTTGTATAACATAAGCAAGCGATGGTTTGTGGAAACTTGCCGCAAAATGACTGTGCAATTTCAAAAGGCTAGTAAAAGATTGCCACTTTTTGGCATGAAACAAGTAAACAACTATATCGGCAGTGATAAGTAATGCTTCGTGGTCAGCAATGTCTGAACCAAGCAAGCAAATAAGCATATCCTCATGATCGATGCTAAAATATAAGTCAAGCGTAAGTATTACTAGCCAGCAATGTTGTCTCAAAAAACAGCACGTGTTGTAAAGTATGAAACTCTCACCCAAGTGTAAAATCACAATGAAGAATAATGTGTTTCAAGGCAGTGAGAGTCGATCTTTGAATTTCAGTAATGCTAGAGTTGACTAGAGAAGAAAGACGAGATATGGATAGTTTCAATGGTGGATTTTGAATCATACCAACAAAGACAAGAGCTGCAGACCCATAGAATGACTGCTGAAGAAGCAATTTGGCAGAGAGTATCTGGCTGGATGCTTCAACTAAATTTTGGGCCGTTGCTTGCACATCAACATTGTTTCTCCAATTAATTTGTGCGCGATCGCACGCAAATGTAAATGTAGACGCAATCTCCATAACAACAGACGCAGAGATAAATTGCCGAGTATCGATGAGCCATTCGACATTCATATTCTTGATAATTTCAAAAATAGCTGGAATCATTTTTTCTAGATCTATTACGGTCATCAATACACAATATAAACTATTAGCTCAGCCCTATTTTACATCTGTAAGCCAAACCGACAAATTAAGCATTTACCAGCTGTGGTCACTTCAGAAGTAGAGTATGTTGCCAGATGAGAGCGCGCTTGCAACAGTATGCCGTGTACTTGATTTGCAGAACACGTTCTGAGAAGTTTTACATCTTCAGAAACAATAGCCAAAACTTCTTGTTTTGGAAGCAACGATTCAGTGACACGAGCGGCCATTTCTCTAACAGCCCAAAGCCGAGCATTAGCACAACGACGGACCAGTTTTACAAATGGCATCAGGCTAAAAAGCGATCCCTTTTCCGCGGATTTGCTAGTGTATTTGACTAATCAAAGTATGTATACATTGAAATATAAATGTTCCATTTCAAACAGAATCACAGGATTAAATTTCGTAAAATAACTTACGACGTGCAAGAACAGTCAGGATAGGGTACAAAAGTGGATAAACAGTCCCCTACACAATAGCGAACATTTTATATTAGCAACCAATTCAAAATCTGCATTGAGTTGATTAAACAGCCATAGTGTAAACTCCAACCTTTTCAAGCTCTGCCACTGCTACCTCGAACTGTTCTAGCAAAATTGGATACACATGTGGGAATTTAGCAAAAAACTCATTTGCGCTTGCCGAGTTGATGGCATCCGAATTATCTTTACTTTTCTGTTCAATAATAAATCAAAGCAAGTGTATGCGTTCATTAGTAAAAAAAGTGCACATGATTCATTGAGTTTAGTCAATCTTGCTGTTTGGATTTCAAAAACTTTGGATTATACATGATTGAATGCAAAATACTTGCCTGAACACCAAAACATTTTCCAAGAAGCGAAGCAAAAAGCATTGCAGCACAGTTTCGAATAGGAAACAAAGGCGAAGAAAATTGTTGAATACAGAGAATGAAGCATGTACCCAAATAACGGCGAACTTTGTGGCTTAGTTCCGAGTCGTGAAAAACAGTTCTAGTTTACAAAAAACAGTTAAAAACAAATAGTAGTAAAACTGCAACATAAAGCCATGTTACCTAAGGATATTAAAAGCGTGAACCTGTGTGTGATCAATCTGTTGACTACGATCTAGACCAATCGGCTGATTCACAATTTCACATAGCTTTGGAATAGTATAATTCAAAAAATAATCCTGTGATGGACCAGCAGGGCTGAGAAGTGCCAAAACGGCATAAGGAAGACCTAATATCAACGTATATAAAATTTAAGAATTTAAAAAAACGCAACCTTAATTTACAATCACATTGATATACCTGCACTTCGACGAGTAACGGATACTTGAACACTAGTAACTTGAGCCATGAAACCCTATTTCAAAAATCAACAAGATAATTAATAAAAAGTAAATGACTATTTCAAAGTCTACTGAAATAACCATCTGATATTATACTGACATACCTCAAGCCAGTTTCTAGGCAAAGCAGCTAAATCTTGAGACGAACCCATCAAAAGTTGGTGTGCAATGCTTGTAAAACTAGAATGAACAGCTGAAAAAGCTCCACGATGGCGAATCTAATATTAAACTTGTCAGAGTTCAAGCTATGAAAACAAGCGTCAAACTATCGTTGAAATAGTTACCTGTGACAAAAGTGAACATAATAATTCACCAATTTCTTGAACATGCTTATAAGATAATAAGGTCGTCTTTTCAACAAAATCAAAATGTTTGACAAAGGTAAATTAAATACTGCAAATAATTCATATTTAAAGAATAATCAGCATACCGAATCGTTGGTGGTTTGTGGTAAAATTGTATTGCAAACAAGCGATTCCAGCACAAAGGTAGCTTCTTTTATAGTACGAAAGCAGTGACGAAGAATAATCTGGGCTGCCGCGTCCGTTTTTGTTTTCCGAGTCATCTCAACAAACTCAACAGTAATACCGTCATTTTCATCCTGTGCCTGGGCAAAATTCTCAGGAATATTACCTTCTATAGTTTAAAAACAAAGTTGGTAAATTCTTTTGATTGTATCCCAAATTATAATTGCTTAACGTACCAGGAGATAAATCAGAGCACACCCCAACAGTGCATCGACATGCTTGGAAGCACATGTTTATAATGCTCTCAAGCTGTGCTTTCCATTCATTGCCAAATTGCTGACTCAAATTGCAGGATTTCAAGATGTTTCTAAAAATAAATTAAACTCTGTAAATATAGCGTTACACGTCAATACTAAAGTGAATGGTACTGCACATAGTCAAAACATACCCAATACACGAAAGAAATCCGTTAAGAGGATACTTTTCTGATGATACTAGCAGACTATTAGTTGCAATTGACAAGTGGTGGTTGAGAATATTTGATAAACTATGCAAAATAGATACTAAAGCGACGTTAATCAGCAAAAACAAACAGTAATTCAATCCATAAGCAAAAGGCAATTTCAATCAAGTGCATTGATTTGCTTACATGTTGGATCAATGTTTGAAACCATATCATTTGCAGAAAACTCATCGCTGTAGTGCTTTGGATCAATTATCAATGTTTGCCTTTGAGATTGAACATTATTCCGAAATAGGAAAAGAACCAAAAATACACCACGTTCAACATCCGCAGCACGAAGACTACGCAGCTAGTAAACCAATCGTCAATTGGAAAACATAAATCGTCATTAAACATGCTATACATGCTATACAATTAATGCCAAGATGTTATATACAAACTCGTTACCATAGAAAGTGCTTGGTCAAATGTCTGGTTTGCAAATTCAACAGTATTCAAGATCGGAAGAGAATCGGAAGTAACCAAATACTCGATTATGTCCAATCGAGCTGTTTCATACGTGTCATATGCCAATTTAGCAAAAAGCGTTTGGGCATTGCTGACAGAAATACACGGTGTAAACTTGCTAGAAACTTTTTCAGCAATTGCAAAAGTAGCGCTTGAATCAAAGGGTGAAGAAGCAACTTGGCGCATCAGCTTCAATACAGATAAAGATAGATTTACTCTTTGGAAAGATGCACCAGGAAACATCGATGCCATCTATATTTGATCAAAATCACATAAAATTAGAAAGCTTGCGTTTTACAACAAATAGTCAATCTTGAAAATACACACTAGAAATCTTTGAAGCCACAGTAGAAACTCTTCTTTAGCAGAAACACTCGTATTGATTTCATTGTTGGCAACTTCAGCTTCCTCTGAAGATAATATGCGGTTATTATTAGCAATCTGGCGCAAATTGGCATACATGACATTTTTTATGCGCTCAAAAAATCGCTGTAATTGAGCAAGAAGGCGCTGTCTTGAATCAGAACTTTGAACGCACATGTTTACTTGTAAAAACATCTTGACAATCTCGTATGTGCTCTGTTCAATATCTTCAGAGGTACGGCGTCCGGAAGTCAGAAGCTCGAGTGCATCAAATCGTAGATCTATATCAGGATGTGTAATGGCGTGGTTCAAAATTTCCTTGATCTTGATCTTTGCTTCTGGGATGATCAAGGCTACTACAAATAGAAAGATTCCAATGTGCGTGATATTAAAATACACAAACTAGTAAAGTTATGTGTACTGAAATTGCAAAACAATTCATAGATTACATACATCCACTATTACAAATCGATTTCCACAGAGTCACTTGTGCATAAAGCACATATTGATTGCTAGCATATGCAGGTTGTTCAAGTGCTAAAAATATCATACTATTAAAATTGTAATGTGATCATTTTAACCAATCCAATTGCAATAGTATATTCTATACCCTGAAGAATTAAACTCAAGCTGGAAGGTTTAAATTTCGAAAGTTTGGGAATGATCCTTTCACTCAGTAGTTTGCGAACATTGGTATCTCCTGTAAGTATAGCTTGCACAATAAGATCTGGCCAGCTTGTACTCTAAAAGTAAATATAGAGTTAAATAGTGTAAATAAAATACTAAAACAAACGCAATATTGCAAAAATCCTACATTGTTCTTGAGTTCTGCAACAAGAGCTTGATAAACAAAATGTGTTACTGAAGTCCCAAGGATATGATTGCTATGTAAAATTGGTTGTCAGCTCAAAACCAAAGAATATTACAAATGGGTTTAATTGCTTCAAATTAAAACCTGATACCTCAGCAACGACAGTCCTCGCTCCAATACTCCTTTGGATAAAATAACATGATTTCTAGCAGGTGCTTCGTGCATGATAATTGAAAGAAGGTCATATTTTGCCTAACAGTATTGCCGAGTTAATTATTAAAACAAAGATTTATAAATTAAAAACAAGTTTACCTTTTTATGCCAGTCTAAAGAAATGAGTTTTTTGATCATGGTATTTAGCTCGTATTCAAGTTCAGGAACCAATTTTTTTCCTGGACAAACAAACGAGAGCACCGCAATAAAAAGATCTTGAAGCTAAAATAATGCACTATGATTAGTTTTTGATATTGCAAAAGTACTGCATCGCTTGTCAATATGCCAACTGGAAACTGTAATAAAGCAGTACCTTGTGCTGGATAATCATCAAAGGATCCTCCCAGCGATCCAAAATTAAATCAAAGCACATCTTTATAAGAAACTGGCTAGCATCTCTTTGTTCTTGAGATTTCCAAAACTCAGTTTTGATTAAACCCTTCAAAACACCAAAAATGCGTGTATATATTCCAAATGCTAAAATATGAAGTTGTGGCTCATTGGTAGATTGAATACTTTCAAAAACCCGATTATAGAGACGATGGATAATCTGTGTTTTAGAGCTAATCACACGTTTAAAAATTAGATTAGCAATCTAGTAATAGTAAAAACACGGCTAAACACAGTGCCTTGAATGCCAAATCAAACTTACTCTAACATTAAAGTTCCAAAAAGTTGCGGCTGAATTACATGCAAAAATCCATTTAAAAGGATAAGTGTGGCATCTTCAGATTTTGAAAAATCTTGACAAGAGTCGACAATTGCAGTAGTAGTGCGAACCAGCCAATCGGAAAGCTGATCTGGAACCCAATACGCAACAAGCGTGGCAGTCGACAATCCGGCAAGGATTCGGTTTTCATAGGTCAAAAAAGGCTCGTTGACAAATAAAATGGATATGTCTAAACTCTTTTTAAGAATAGCCGAATCGATGCTTTGAAGAAAAGATGCCGATTTAGAAACAATAGCAATATACGACTGCAGTAAATAATGGGTAGCAGTAATGATCGCTTTGTCAGGATTGTAATTGGCATTTGCTGCCTCTCGAATCAGTTGATGAGTTTCATTCAAATCACTCAATAATCGAGTTAAAATCGCCTCTATATTATTCAAGACGAGCTGTTCTCTCAATTGTGAAGATTCCAACAGCGAGATCAATAAACCAGCAAACTTGGGAGCACTAGTAACTCGGGATCTTGAAGCCAACTGATCATTGTCACTATGGAAACAATCATTTATCACCTGCAGCCATATCTGCTGCATTCTAGCATCAATCTGGTCTTTTTGGGACAAAGTTGCTGTTGAACATGCTAATTGAATAAACACCAGAGCAACAGTCCGTACAGATCGTTCAGTGCCAAGAGCAGTAAAGAAATAGTCTACAGTTTCAAGTAATATTTCAAGATAACGATGACTTGACATGCCATCGATAGCATTGGATTGATTGGCAGTCTTTAAAAGCAATACTAAAAACACAAGAGGCTGCATTAAGACAATGCTATCCGTATGAACATGCACAACACAATGACACTGCTATTCCATCCAGCTGACACTCTTGGATTCAGCCTCACAAAATATTATTACCAGCTTCTCTAAACAAGCGAATTTGCGAAGATGAAGTGGCATCAGACGCAATGGCCAACTTCAAGACTGCACATAGCTGATCCATAACTCGACAAGAAATCAAACAGAATAATTTTATTTTTTGGGCGATAAACTCCAAGTTGATTCTGGGCTACTTTGACCAAGTCTTGAGCAGTCAAAATCCTACTTGTTATCATGTATGTTGAGCCCAATCTGTTTCCTGACTGGGTTGTATCTGCCTTGACATTGAATTGCAACGATTATATCCAAACTTTCAGTCATATTCAAGGTAATTCACATCCAGCATGTCGCTTCAATAAAGATTTAAACTCATCAATACAGTCCAATGCTAGATTATCTTCCTATATACGCTGCTCATAAGGATCCAAAAATTCGACAATCTGTTATACAATTTGTTGGTTACAAGACTATAGTTCATCAGCATGAATGGTCGAAACGATGCAATGTTTTAAAAAACATCCTTGAATCCTGCATTGATTCTCAGACAGACATGATTGCTGTCAAGACAGCAATCGTTTCATTGCGAGAATTAGGGAAACTTGCAGTCCGATCCGACAAGAAGAATGTTAGATCGAGCAATGGCCCAGTTTCAAATCCACACATCTATTCAGCCCAGTTTACGAGTGTACTGGAAGACTTCATCTCCAGGCATTCGTACTCTACAAATCCATTTGATACCATCATGCTTATCATTAGTATTTGCAAAATCATTTTGGAAACCATAAGCACAAGGTCTTTAGTCATTGAGAATTGTCTAGTAGATCTGGTGTGCACTTGCCCGTTTGAAGTAGTGCGGCTCGCATCTGTATCTCTGCTTGATGTCTACAAAGTTCCCATTTCTCAAGATGCATGCAAAGCACTGGTACAACTGGCAGAGAATATGATGACAGAGCATCAGACATTGACTAGGCTAAAAGCAGCATCCATATGGCAGCTTCTGTATTCTCGGTGCAAAGTGACGGTCAACGATTCAAGTAAGATTCACATCAAGTTTATTGCAACCAATAGTCGAGTTGATTAACTTTAAATGCAATAGATCAACTTTCCATCACAGACTTCAATCAGACACCAGATCGTATGGAAATGTGGTTAAAGGCTATGAATCAATTACTATGTTTTCAGTTAAAATGCTGCAATGAAAGTAATATTTTGAACTCAGTTGGAACTGGAAATACTTTTCATGGTACTTTGGAAGCAATTCAAGGTATTTCTTTGGTGATAAATGACTGCTGTTTTTTCAATTGGTTTTGTTTAGCTTGTTATTTGAAGTTAGGACTTGATTCGGTTTAACATTAATTTGATTCAATAATTTAGTGATTTTCGAAAGTAAAACTGCATCGCATACAACTTCAAAGGAATCGATGGAAAACTCCATTCATCTTATACTTTGTGCTCTTTCCATCAGTTCCAATTACATCATTCAACATCCAACCGAATACGACGATTTGGTGCCGGATATTTCCAATAATGGTGATACGAGTGAACGAGATTTAGGTTCCGTCGTGTATGCATGTTGCTGGAGAAGTATCAAGTGCTCAGCATCCATCATTACACTACACACTTGTTTAGTATCCAGATTAGCAAAAGTACCTGATATTCAAAATCAAGGATTTGACGCAAAATATGCCAATATGTGTCAACATCGGGCAGTAAAACAGTTGATTAATGTGCTTGCTACTGTGAGGCACTGGGGGGTATCTCAGCATTTGATCAAAAACTTTGAAATAGTATGCTCAACGTTACAACAATCTGACAAAGTCACGACAACTGATGAGTTAACATTGGAATCCATCCTTCAAGAGCAGATTCAGATATGTCAGGAACCCGTTGATATTGTTCGGCAAGATGAACGATACACTGGTCAGTTTCGGATTGTTTGTGTTCTTTTGAGTCATTTACCATCTGAGGTGCAATTGAAGCATATATCTCCTCTGGTCGATCGGTTTCAGTCATGGAATGCTCAAAACTCAGACTGGTCAATGGTACCTTTTTATTTGATACATACAAACCTGCTTTTACTTGGTTTTACAAAAACTCATGCTGACAGTTTTTATAGGCAACCTGCATTTCTATGTTAAGATTGCTAGTCACTGATAGCGTGATTGGGCCCAACTTACCACTTTGGGAGATGCTTGAAAAAACTATACAGTTGCTGAATGATACAAAAAGGTAAGCGATTGACTGGATATTATAAATCTATACCATGATACTTGACAAGGCATCTTATTTTTGAGCATTTTAATCATCTCGTGATCAAGTTTTTCGTGGAGATCTAGCCTGGTATTGCTTTTTGCATCGTTGCTGAAGCGATTGCTGTCACCTGTAAAAGGACGAGTTTTCCCTGCATTAAATGCACCAAAAATTGCACAGTGTGCATATCAGACTTTAGAATGTTTGATGTCTTGTCGTCAATCATCAATTTATTCCCAGATTGAATTTACTCCGCACACTATTTTAATTATGCTTTCAGAACTTAAAGCAGTTCATGTAAAGGATATTTATGAATTTTCCAAAATTGAAGAGTTGCAAGCACGACTTGTTGATTTTATCATGATTTCTCGTATTGGACAGGTATTCATATACAACACGTTAAATTGCTATTGCATTTTTGTTAATCTGGATTGTTATATATGATGTATTTTGATATTGATTTTTATTCCATGATATTGTAGCTTCGCCAAGCAGCAGGAAGAGCATTGGCTACTATTGTATCTCATTCAGATCGCCCAAAAATCTTGCAGAGTCTATTGAATGCCTATACGCCCCATAATAATTCTTCCAATCAGATACATGCATTGCTTGTGAGTTTTTCTATTCTCACACCAGAATCAATGGACCCTCAGCGCGGAAAAGGTAAATATCACTGCATGTATACATGCTTGATCATCTTTATCCCAATACAAAACTGTTATATTTATTCAAATGTTTTAGAATTACTGGCTAGTTTTGCACTGATGTTAAAGCACACTTTGACGACAAAAACATCTGCAATGTTAAAATCATGCCTGTCAGAAATGTTTGTTTTGCTTATGGATACTTCCTGGGTTCATGTAATTGATGAAAGTTTTTTGTCCATCCTTTTGCTCACAAGACGCTATTGCACTGTAAGTCACTATCTGTTTATATATTCTATTGTATATTGATAGTTTCTTGAATAGCTGATCTCGTATCAATTAAATTATAGTCACTATCGTTGGCCGATCGAGTTATAGTCAGATTTTCCAACAAATCCATGCATACTTCAAGCGAGATAAAAGCAATAGTTATTTTAAACCTGAGCGCTGGTGGTGCGTCATGGTTTTTGTCCATGAAGGATCTATCATTTTTTGAAAAAAATGATATCCAAGATATTCTTTTGGAAATTGTTTCAAAAATATCTAGTATAAATCCAGCCAGTGAATTGCATTTACTTTCAGACTGCCTTTATGATCATTTGGATGCTATTTCAGCAGAGGCTCTACCAAGCATTTACTATGCGCTGATTCCGTATTTGAAACCCGAATGTCAAGCTTCAGATAGCATCAAGTGTTCATTGATTCGATTACTATGTAATGTGCTGATGAAATCGCAGGATTTGGTTGAACCAAACTGGCAGTCTCGGTTTTCTTTCATGACAAATTTGGTATTGTGTGGAGAATCTAATGATATCTATAATGCTTTTGACGATACTATTTGTGCTTTTTCAAAAGAGAAAATAGTTGATTTGTCAATACATCATATTCGGTGTTTTATGGATATCTTTCTTTCTCCATATCTTTTCAAATCAGCTGGACACGCTGCATACTCTTTGGATCTTGTAAAAGTAAAGTTACAATTATATTTTTAATAGTAGTTTTGAGCACCTTACTAATCTGCCACATCTCAACATTGGCTATACCAATAGATGCCAGTTCTTGGATACATGTCCAGAAATATGCTTATTGACCATTATTTCAATGCCCCACAAACTCGATCCATTGTCATGTCCTCATTGATATCATCTATTGCAGTGTATCTTACCCAAGACTCGTTTGCCTTTACAGATTTAGAATCTCGATGTATATGGATCCAAAAATGTTTTGATGCAGAAACTTTTAATGACTTTGCTACCACAGTTATTGGTGAATGCACACAATTGTTTTGGACCAGCCTTTCTATGCACATTCGGAAAACTCCCATATCGGTTTTAAAACAGGCAAGTTTGCTGCAAATTCTACGTAATGACTAGATTTTTAAATTTTGATCCAAAGCTAAAATATCAAAACTAACATGTTGAGTGACCATAGATGCGCCAGCAGGCAGTTCCTGTAACTTACTTTCCAGTTTTGATTGCCATGGTATGCAGTGTTGTAACTCTTGCGGTTAAGACACAGTCGGTACTGCAATTGAATGTGCGTCTAGTAGAGATTCAAGAAGCACAAGGTGTATTTCGACTGTTCAATACGTGCACTAAATTCAGCAACTTAACTTTACATCTTTGTTCTAACAAAAATTGATTTATTTTGTATTTTTCCAGATTGGCTCGTAATCCTATGTGACACTGGGTTCAAATATTCAAAAACAGCCGAGCGTATTTTAGATTTGATGAATATCAGGAAAATCCGCGCAATGTGTTGAATGCAGTTGAGAATGTAGACCGGATTGTCTCTAATTCGACAGACCCAAGATGGTTCATCTAAAATGTTCAAGTGTCATAGAGTTACATATTTGCAAAGTATAAAGGCTGATGTAAGATATACAAATCACCAGTGCATTGCTACCTGAAGATATTGGCCATCCAATGCTCCCATACCAGCACGAATCTTGGTCTCACGAATTTCCTTTAAATCACAAAACACCTGTCGAATAAACTCTGCATGTGGGATATCATCTGATGCACTATATCAATTAAAGCAAGATTTCAACAGCTATTCAGAAATTCGATCATGACACACAATCGGACAATCTTTATGAACTTACCTTTCTAAGAGCGCAGTGGCAATCTCGATATAATGAAATGGTAGTGCGCTAAACTCTGCATGCATTTTCTCCTGGGTCATCATGTCCTGTAATGATGCTATATATTTTAAAACCAATCAAGATATGACTGCATTGATGAGTATGTTAAACCTTGAAAATCCAGCAGCTACTAAAGTTACTATAGCAGTGTCTTAGACATAACATATCTAGCATAAACCCTATTTAAAACTCACTAGGATCCATCCATTCAGGCGGTACAATGGTGCACTTGTCTTTTGACTTGAAAGCCAATGCAAGCCAAAGTGGTACAGATGTCCGAAAAAGAGGCCGGAATGGACCATATGTTGCCTAGACAATCAACCGTCAATATCAGTAAAGTATAATAAAGCCAAACAATGCCAGTGAGTCATACTATAAAATCAAATGTTTTACACAATCATCAGTTTGGCATTGATCAACTGCACAACAAGTTGGATTGATACTTCAAATTTACCGTTGCTAAACACAGTTTATCCATACTCTCTTTTGGTAGAATAAATATGGGCTCATTTTCAGCAAGAAACTCGCTAGTTACCAGTGCATCCATTTGATACAAGAGCAATCCGACTGTTGGTAGATTTGCAGATAAAAACAACTCGAAAGTAAGCCCAACAGTCACGTGGGTTATCTCACATTTAAACTCTCCAAAAGCTAGACTTGAAGCGATATCCAGCCATTACTATTCAAATCGTTGGTAATGGCTTGTTTTCAAGGAATGAAACAGTAATTTATTTGGATATTCTTCCACTTCGCTCTTTTGAGCTGTCCTCAAGATACTTTGCATGCAGGTATCCATTCGGGTTGTCACTACTTTTCAACAGTGGGTTGGGAAGCGTATCTTTTACATTTCCTATAGATGTGTATCTTATAATGATCATGTTAGCACATTTACGTATCGCTCGACTCAACTGACACTTACCCACGGCTGTATAAACTACAGTATGGTATTTTTAATCCCAATATTGCAGCCCATACATCTTCGTATTCCCAGTCCAAAATAGGATGTACTCGCATAACAAAAGGCCATCCATTATTCGTAGCATCAAATTTTTTGAGTTGATCTACGATCCATTGATACAATATTGGGTCAGTTGTTGGACTAATCTGGTGAGCACTGTTTCAGTAACTGACTGTCAAATACACTTGACATACCTGAGTGTGGATCTGTAGCTCTCTGTCCCATCAATATGGCCTTGACTTGCTGATTCAAATCCAAAAACTTTTTAAGAGCAACCTTCATTCCTCCTACCACTCTCGTTAGATCTGCCCTTAATCTATAGTTGAAAATAACAAAAGTCAACTCCATTAAGCCATTCAAGTACTAATGAATTGATAGTAAACTATAATCATTTGCTCCATGCCAATCAGAATAACTCGCACACTTACATCTTAGTAAATGTGTTGACAAACTGTTCAATCTCTGGAAACGAATGTTCTTCAGATACATAAAGTAATTTAATAGGCATCACTTGCTGAGTTGAATGCAGACAGTAATACTCTTCGAGAGCAACAGCATATAGAAACAGTGTGATTGTGCAGTCTTTGCCTCCATTGAAACTAACTGCTGTTCCACACGGTCTAGAGCCATATTGACATGGTTAGATAAAACCCAGTATCACTCATCTAGCAATGCTAACACGGCAGCTGTGCTATATATTTAAAAATTAAAGCTCGACATGCATTCAATAGTTACAGACATCTTTAGCAGCTCACCCATATTGATCAAGGGTTTTGCGAATGGTTTCCATTGCGGCTTGTAGCTTCGATTGGACCTTGTCCACACATGTGCGCTTATCAAATATTTCTTTTAAAGACGTATATTTGATAGACGGTAAAACAGAATCAACTTCTAGACCCTCAAGCAGGGGAAAGTCTACATCACCAACAGCATGTAAGGATGCTAGTCTATCATCCATATTATGGGTTTTGGATAAAAAGTTGTTTTCATCCAAATCAAAAATTTGCCTAGAAAACTTCAAACTTTGTCGCTGGCACAACTTGCAGATTCTTATTGAATACGGCTGTATATACATTGACAATCTTGGTTTCATCTTGCACTGTAAAAGGATTCCGACTTTTTATTAGTGCATTCATACTTGGAATGGCGACCTTTGATTCGCATGCTGCAATAGATCCGTGGAATCGAATTACCGATTTGATTGATTCCAAATGCACAGCATATTCAACACCAACTGCAGTAGCCTTGATAGGCCCAACCGGAATTGGTGAGATCAGTATTGTATGTTTATTTTCAAAACCTTGTTTTAATTTTTAGATCAGTTTATACCTGATAAATCAAAAAACTAAATTCACTTTAAACTATAAAATATTTAATAACAGGCAAAACAACGGCTGTAAAAAATGCTGCATTAAAGGCAAATATGCATGTAAGAGCTCTATGGTCTGGCTTTGATTAACTATATAATGTGCTTACTGCTGTATATACTATTGATCGCTTAGTTTACTAGATTGGATATGGTGACTGCAATGCTAGAGCAACCTCAGGACATTTCTGGATGGATCTTGCAGAAATTTCGTCAAGCTCTAATATCATCCACTGGCTGTGTAGGTATGCTCCATTATTCTTGTGAAAAGACATGGTTTTGGGTTGTACACTAAGTCTATTGATATGGCATATATTAAACTGATACACCTTGAAATAATTAGTGACAATCAATGATATCCTGGCATGGATTCCGGCTAAATCTACACGACTGGAGTTTATTGGTTCAATCAGTATGGGTATTAGACTGTTGAGAGAGTCGCCTCGCAAAGCAATTGTTTTTGTAGAAGCTTCATCTTCAGAGGCTATAGCACAGATTCATTCGAGTGCTTTTGAATTTGTTCATGAAACAATTTACTTGACTGAACCAAAACGGCAGCACGAATCAGCAAATACTCTGTTTCTACAGGAAATTAAAAGAATTGGGCTTCGTATTTCACTTAGTGTATGCACAGCTATATTACCAGATGGGTGTGAATTGCTGTCGCATACGCAATTGAATATGCTTGCACAACGTGCCATAGACATTGCGCTAAAGCGATCACATCACCAAGGTACCTTGGCAATTTATATTTGCATCTATAAAGCATTGCTGAAATGATTTACATCAGTGTTGACACTAGGAGATTCTCATATTCCATTGGCGCAGCAGGATATTGTTCGGGCATTTGATTTACTTGGGTTTTCAAATTTGGCACGTCGTCATAACAAAAGTAACTTGGAGAGTATAGCATGGAGCGATATTGGAGGATACAATGATGTCAAGGTAAATCCGAGTTGATACTTGAGCTACACGTTGATGTTTATGAATGATTATAGTTTATGCTCAAACTTGAAAACTATAGTAGTTTGATTAATATTGAATATAACGTGAATTTAGACATGCTTAAATGAGAGCGTAGTTTGGTTCTACAAAAACCAAGAAAGTTTTCAACGGTTGGGTATTCGACCACCAAAAGGGGTTTTACTGTAGGTGACTACAAACAGTAGTAGAGCCCGATGGTTTGATTTTTTGCTCTATTAATATATTTGTGCTAATATCGATTTCAATCCAGATATGGACCGCCAGGAACTGGTAAAACGTTGATTGCACGTGCAGTTGCCAAAGAATCCGGAGCCGAGTTTATGGTGCTTTCACTGTCTGATCTTGTACATGGACATGTAAGCTAAAAAGTGGTTTAGACTAATATATAGCAACAGCTGTCTATTCTAGATTCTCAAACAGTTGATGTAGCCTAATTTATTCTTATCATTTATGAATCATTAAAGATAGGAGATTCTGAAAAGGCACTTGCCGAAGCATTCAAGAATGCTCGCAAACGTGCACCTTGTATTATGTTTCTTGACGAAATAGATTCAATTTTTCAGCAAAAAGAAAGCGGAGGGGATTTGAATGTCAAGGTAATGGAAATAGTAGAGCCTTGTATAATGAATAACTCAACAAACTCACATGCCCACTGTATGCCTGTGAATATCTTGAATACGTACATAGCTTGTAGCACAAATATCGGTTGAACTAGACTCCATGGCGTGGGATACAGCATCTGTAGTGTTTTTAGCAGCAACAAACCATCCCGAGATTTTAGATGCCACGCTGATGCGATCTGGCAGATTTGATCGCCTGATATATATAGGCCTGCCATTGCTTTCAGACCGCTTGAGTATTTTACAGAAAGTTACCAATGGTATGCTATTAGACCCCACATTGGATCTTGAATATGTTGCAAGAGAGTGTCAAGGAAGAACAGGTGCTGATCTCAAGGAGTTGGTACAACGTGCATGGCAATTTGCGACACAATCAAAACCATTGGATGATGAATGGTCTGATACTACAAGACTGTCACAGGATCATTTTACAAGAGCAATCACAGAGTGGAGTTTATCCAAAAAGAGTAAAACAGCAATGACTTGATGCAGAAACATGAATAAATTTAAACTGCGACTTGGCGAATTCAACAGTTTGTCAAGCGACAATTCCAAGAAATAAAATTTGACTTGCAAAACTACCCAACCTTTATATACTAAACAGGTCTGCTCTTGTAGTGGTTGCGTGCTCATCAAGATACTAACTACAGTTCAATGCTTGCTCCTGCTCGTCGTAGACACTTGGCAGTGCGCACTAGCACTTGCATTCAGTCATTGCTCTCTCCTAAACTTTATTTCCCTGGGCTTGGCTTGAGGACTGCGTCAGCCTTGACAGGGACCACTGCCAGCAAGCATTTGCTTTCATCGACATGCATTCACACCACTACTGCAATGACTGCCTTAATAACACCTCGTCCTTCTCTCCACCAGACTGGAAATGCAACGTCGCCACCATCTGTATCGACCTCGCTCATCCCCACTACCGCAACTACCAACACTGCTTGCACAGTCTCGCATCAAGTCTCGCAGCTTCTGCTATCACAGCAGGAGTCTCCTACACTACTGGAATCTCATCCAACCTCTTCTGGATCGCAATCATTTCTTTCTTTGTCATCAACCTCAAAGCATGCTCCTCAGCAATCTCGACCCCATAAGCCAACTGTCGCAACTACTTTCTCATCGATATATCAACCAGTATTGCAGTTTATCGTGCCTACTACCTCATTGATTGGATTTTTCCATAGGAGTGATTTTCATCAACTACCCAATACTTCTGCATGCACGTCTGGTCTACCAACGTCAACCGGTGTATCAAAACGACTACTGACAGGCCAAGTACTTTCAGGATCAATTACTGCACTAGACGCCGTGACAGTCTCTAGCTCTATATCTCGTCCATACCAACTCAAGTCCTCATTGGGTAGTGCATACACTATCCAATCCATCAAGGCTCCTGAATATTCAACTTTAGTAGCTACCGCTCCCGTCGAAATCAGTCTCCCAAAAATAGACTCGACTCGATCTCGTAAATCGTCTATTTTTGATGAATTTGAAAAGGTTGGCATACTGCTTATGGCTTTAAATCTTTTGTATTGTAGGATTCGGTCAAATGTTTAAATCCAATTTGAAACGCGAATGAGTTTTGACTTTATTTTTACAACTTGAATCATTGATTTTAAAAAGTCGGCCACACAATTGAAAAAAAGCTTCCAGTTTTCTCTTGCAGCCACTGGGAAAGCAAAAGGAAGTGATGCCATTATTAAAAACTCTGTTCGCGGATCGTCAGAATATGCATCCATCCAGGTAGGAGAAGATGCATATTTTATGCGTTACGACTCGATAGGTGTAGCAGATGGAGTGGGTGGATGGAACGAAGTGCCAGGTCAGTCGATTTTACTCGTGATTGTTATTTCAACAATAACGCTTTATCTAAACTCGATTTTAAATATATTACTGGCATTGCATATCGTTGTACTTGTGCATTACAAACGCAACTAGGCGCAAACCCAGCTCTTTACTCGCTCAAAATGATGCACTATACACATGCAGAATTTGAAAAATACGATGATGTTTCTATAGTGGATGATAGCATTGCAGATTATGCAGCAGTATCACCCAAAGATATTCTTACTAGAGCATACAAGCAAGTCAATGATGATGCGCTTCGTGAAAACATCCTGGGCTCCACAACAGCGCTCATTGCTGTTTTAAGAGAAAATGAGCTCCGTGTTGCAAATGTTGGCGACTGTGGTATCATGATTGTCAGGGCTCACCACGCAATATTTCGTAACGAGGAACAGCAGCACTCGTTCAACTTTCCCTATCAGCTTGGTACAGTAAGCAAAGATGGTCCTGGAGATGCACAAGTGTTTTCAATCCCAGTACAAGAAGGCGATATTGTTGTAATTGGATCAGATGGGATATTTGATAATGTGTTTGATGATGAGATTGTAGAAATTCTGGGTGGGCATACGCATGCATCCAGACCAGAGTTGTCTGACCCACAACGAATGACAGATGCTATTTTGTATCGTGCTAGAGAAGTTGCTGAAAACACTCGTTTTGGATCTAGTCCGTTTCAAACTCGAGCCATTCAAGAGGGATTTTATTACCAAGGCGGCAAAATGGATGATATGACTGTTGTTGTTGGTATAGTAAGGTATGTCTAGCCCATCAAGCTATTTTGCATACACTGCAAACATTTGGATTGACTGAATTTTACACTTTTAATAGAACTTCTGAAGACTCTCCCGATCGTCGGTGAGTTTTTGCCTTGTTCTGTTTCGAGCCCTGATAGACTCTTGCGTAGGCTAGCTTTGCTCAGTGAAAATAGAAAGTCACGTCCGCACAATACTGAACAGATCTAATATTGAGCCCACAAGTTTGATATACACATACCAATTAAAATGAGAGAAGATTATGTATCATAGCCTTATTTTTATTTTATGGCAGGCCACTACCTAGAGCCAATTGCCTTTTGACTATTTCTCTACTACTGTTTTTAATGCCAATAAACCGCGAGTTAAAGAGGCAGGTTAAATCATTGAAGCAGGATAGTGATGGCTGCTTTAGCCAAATGACTCTATAGAGCAGGCAGTTCAAGTCAATTCAGAAAAATTAGGGTTTAATTATTGCCTAAAACTCGAGATTAAAAAAGCAAAAAACATCTACTTTTACATCTTACCTAGGATTCAATCTAGTAAACCTATCGATCGGCAATGAGGATTTTCACATCTTTTAGTCTTGCTTCTCTTGGTGTGCTGCAACTAGCTTCTGCAAAGGTCTATTTCAAGGAAACATTTTCTGAAGGTAATAACACTAGGTTTTGTCACCATTGCTAGTCTATGCTGCAATACTGGCATTTATCGATGGATTTGGTCTTGTTGCTATTCTCAAATGTGCATTTGGCTCAATAGTCAAAGAATAGAGCGTTTTATACAGCGACCATCATACTGTGATGTTTTCAATGTGACCATCTTATGAAAAATCTGCCAGTGCACTTTCCTATATTGCATTAGTGCAATCAGCATGTTTCCACCCATCAGACTCTTAGTGGTCAATGCCTGTCATGTAAACAACGATTAGCCATTGGCTGAACTTTTTATTGCTTGGCTTGATAAACCCAATCAGACACTCTCCACAGCCGCTGGGTGGTTTCTGAGAAACTTACCGATTATGGCGCATGGAAGATCACCCCTGGAAAATTTTATGCAGACTCGGGGTCATCCAAAGGTAAAACATTTCACTATTCGATCTGCATGATTAATACTTGCATTGTGGGATCATTGATGCTGCCGTGTGCTGACGCCACAAATTCGGACCGCATTCAACCTAGGCCTGCAGACATCCGAGGATGCTCGCTTCTATGCCATTTCTGCCGCATTCGATCAAGAGTTGGATAACAAGGACAAGCCTTTTGTAGTTCAATTCTCTGTCAAGTTTGAACAGAATATTGGTACGTATACGTTGCTTTGTCTTGACTAGACATGTCATGTTCATGACCTGCTTGTCAAAGCATTGCATTGAGTCAAATGATCAATTCATCCCATATTTGCATTCAACTAAATTAACCTTTTTATATTGTATTTATGCATTGTTTCAATCAACACTTTTTTCATTTTAATGTAGATTGCGGTGGTGGCTATGTCAAGGTAATATGCGTTTGAGTTGAATACCCATTTCAACAGCTGCACGTAGTTGTATGTAGAGCTTGCATTGATACTAATACTTGAGCAATTTGAATTGACAGATCATGCCTAAACCTTTTGATCCTAAGGAATTCGATGGTGGTTCGGTAAATTTAGTAGATTGCTTACCTGTAAATACTTGGTATAATTCTAATTCAAAAATATTGATTTTTCCATTGGATATCTACGATTTAGAAATACAATATCAGTAAGTAATGATTCAGACAGATTGGGAAAATATTCTTTGTTGATTGACCGATATACTGACTTGGGTTTGTTTAATTGGTGACACTTTAAAACGGTAGTGTTTGGCCCTGATATTTGTGGCCAGAGCAAGAGAATTCATGCTATTCTCAACTACAACGAAGAAAACCACTTGATAAAGCAAACGATTGATCCTGGATCTGATCAATTGACTCGTAAGTAGGAATTTTACTGATCCATGTCTTGAATAATTATAAATTCTCACCCAACTCGCTGCATTTTGGAACCATGAACAGATCTTTATACGTTAATCATTAATCCTGATCAGACATACCAGATTCTTGTTGACTTGGAAGAAAAATCTAGTGGATCTATTCTTACTGGCTGGGACATACTTCCACCTGCCCAGATTCCAGATCCCAAGGCAAAGAAGCCTGATAACTGGGTTAATAACCCTGATATGGCTGATCCTACAGACGTCAAGCCTGAAGACTGGGACGTTGCAGAGTTTATTAAGGACCCTGAAGCCCAAAAGCCTGAAGACTGGGACGATGATATGGATGGTGAATGGGAACATCCTATGGTCAACAACCCCGAGTATAAGGGTATCTGGGTTCCAAAAGTAAGTATATTTTATATCATTTACAGCCGTATTCACGTAAAGTGGAACATTTGTATTTATCTTGCAGTCATCGCTTCAGGATAGACAATGGTTAAATATCTGCTGCACTTTCCTACTGGAAATTGGCACCAAATCAGACATGAGACTGTTCATTTATATACTTTGGCATACTTATCTAATGCTTGATTTATGAATACGGCTGTAATACAACCCCCATTTATTAAGCTAATGCTACTGTACTAACATGTTACAACTGTGGACTGCTAGTCCATTCCCAATCCCGAGTACAAAGGCGTGTGGATTGCTCCCATGATTGACAATCCTAAATTTGGTAAGCGGCTGGTTTTTGTTATATCAATGAGTGTCTGCCAAAGCAATATCTGATTCTACAACGGCGGTGCTAACTGATATAATCTAGTGGCTGATCCAACTCTTCACGCGTACAAGTCTGCCTACATTGGCTTTGATCTGTGGCAGGTCAAGTCTGGCACTATCTTTGATAACATTATCGTGACCGACTCTATTGATGAGGCTATGAAATTCGCCGAGGAGACTTACGTCAAGGATGCACCTGCAGAGCGTGAAGCCAAGAATGCACTAGATGCTGCAGAAACTGAAAAACTTAAACTGCAACAAGCTGATATAATTCCAGATGGATTCCCAGATATGCCATCAACTAACCAAGAGATGCTGGATGAAGAGGATGATGAAAAGGACGAGCTTTAAATAAAGTTTACTTTTGTTGTGAATACATCGACCATGCATGTCTTTTTAAAATTAGACCTACACTGAAGAGTATACTGGTGCTCTACTCAGGCTAATGGTAGGCTCAGACCTTATTTGAGTTGAACAGTTGGCCCGACACGGTTCAAGTGTTTGACTTGTTTCCTGTTCAATACAACATAATCAAAATGAAACCTTGCATTCCTTTTCATTACTTATTGATTATCTATACAATATTGTGTATAAAAAGAGCAGCCATCCATACAAGTTTCACTATCGGCAACGAGTTTTAGCAAGACATTATATATACTATGAGTATATCCGGCGCGTTCAGTTCCTTTCTGGAATACCTACAGGTACATTTCATTCACTCAAAGCTGTCTTTCCATACTGTAGTATGCACATGAACTATACAGACCCAACACTATGGTTAACTCTATTTTGGTGTGTTGCATATCATCCTTTCTGGACGTTGAACATTGTGATACAAACAATAGCATCTTTCGATCATTTCAAGCGCTAACATATCATGGCCAAGCCAGTTAGTCCCAGTTTTGTCGGCAGTAAGTTGGCTTATAAAACCAACATAAATTAAAATGCTCCATGGTGTCTAACCCTTATTGTACATCCTTTGCATTAGATACGATACATTCGAATTGACTTTGCAACGCGTATTGGCAACCTTGCACTTCCACCGTTAGACTTTCGTGCTCAATTTCTATTATTGGTGGATATTTTCCCATTAATTATTGTTATATTTCTGCTGGCAGCATTTCAATCTCTATATATTATACTGTGGTATATATTCTTGTTGGCGAGCATCGTTGCCATCATGGGAGGTGAGACTGATATTAACTTTGGCATTTGTAATGATGCTACTCCAATCATGAAATTGGACATGTCAACCATTTTTTGATTACTAAAGGAACATAATTGACTTTGTAATCCGTATTTACGTACGATTATGATGAGTTAGGATCGATTCTCATTGCCATACCATCGACAATGATATGGTATGATATTCCAGTATACATAGGTGCACTTTTACTTTCACTAGGAATCACAGCATTTTTAGCGTGCATTGGGCTATATTTCCTGACGTATCGACTTTCCCACAGACGCAAGAAGCTTGCCAAAGTACAAATCAATTTCTTTGAACTCTTCAACTTTATATATGTAGATAGTGTATCGTCAATGTGAGCTAATGCATGCCTTTGTAACCATTCTAAACCAGGTATATCCACACACGGCTTCAGTAGAGCAATCTTCATTAACAAGTTCTACTGGGATAAGCCGCGGAAATAAAGACAGTGATGAAAACGAAAGCGACTCGGCTGGAAGTGAAGAGGAGTCACAGAATAACACAGAAAGACTTGACCAAGCTAGTGTTTATAATCGCTACAATAGTAGTGATGATCAAGAGAGTGTACAAATGATTGCATCATCTGAACCAAATATACTGACTATTCATACAAAGCGTGATTTTCCGCGTCAGCGTAAGTTTAAATGGTCATTTTGGCCCAACTTTTAGTAGTGATATATTAATAAGATGCTGGATGAAACTTGCTAAAATAAGTTGATAACATGCTTTGACATTGTTTTAAAACACCAATGGGATCGTGTAGATATTGGATTTTTATTGCTAAAGTTTACCATCGGGCTAGTCGTATTCTATCTTGGCCTTTGTGTAGGAAGCTTCATTCCATCCGTATACAACTTGATTCGTGTATCTGCTACTGTAGTACTGAGTGAAGATGTAGGGTTTGTCAATACAGCTGCTATTCAAATGCATATCTGAAAAAGCATACTATAGCTTACAATCTGCCAATATATTTAGTCATTTTCGGCTATTCCTATGGGTTTGGGAATTGCGCTCATGTCATTTGCATTGTTACTGCTGATCTATACTATAACTGTATGCTTTCAAAAGGTAAACATGATTTTATAATTAATACCATTGCATTGGAAATAATCTACATGAACCACTACAATGCTAACTCTGGCTAAATATAGGGACGAATTATATTGCACAAAGTCAAGGCATTTTCAATGTTTAATATGGGCACACTCGTGTTTTTGCTGCTCTCGGCAGTGTATATCCCAATATCAACTTCTCTATTGACTGTGTTTGGCTGCACGGTACAAACTTGCTCTGCAGGTAATTATATTATGCCGACTCTAATATATAGTGTATTATTTTACTACTGGATCTGATATTAAAAGTTATGCAATGGATGTTTGTCAGGCAGCGAATTTGTTGTACACAGTATAGCTCTGGGTAATATATATTTTAGTGTGATGCACCAAAACCCGACTTTTTAAATAGGAAACTAAGTTGTGTAATTCAAACACAATTTGTCATTACCGGTTTATTTGTAGATGTGGCTTCGCTCGCGTCTGATCTGACTGCATCTGCCAACACAACTGCCTGTGTCAAATGCAGCTTTAATACAACTATGTGTCCAATCGCATCCTCTCTCTGTCCAGGTGATACAGATTTGCGACTCAACGCCGATCCATCACTCTCCTGCGCAACAGAGATTCTTCCTTACTACGGGCCAGGCGCCATTCTTATGCTCATTGTAATCTGTTTGGGTGTTCCGTATATTTATTACCGACTCACATCTTTAGCAACAAAACTGGTACAAATCATTCCACCCAATCCGCTTTTAGCAAACACACCACAAAGCATTTGGCATTTACAAATGCAGCTCTCTGCGAACATTTGTCGTGGATTGTACTATGGGTACAAGTATACATGGCGGTATTATACACTTGTGTCTTTGAGTCAAAAACTGGCTGTTGTAGCAATATCGGTGTTTGCAGTACTATATCCCAGTAACTTAATAGTACGTATATGTTATTGAATGTGTGATATTGGAGATGTGTTGTGTATCACCAGCTTGAAATTCAAGTATTTTGGTCCTATGTTGTTGAAAATAATGTGTTTTTTAATGTATAAAATTAAGATGGCCATTCTTGCCATACACGGAGTGTGTTTATTTATTGCCATCATTTTCCGACCCTATGATCAAGTTGTAGAGGTAATGTTTAGTAATTTGATCAACTATCCAGGTGTTTATTAATCATGAATTCCTACCGCGTATTTTGCATTGCTGATCAAACTCTATACTGATATTGTATATTTGTGATTGTAGAATTTACTCAACATAGCATGCCTATTTTTGAATGCTATGAACGCGACCGTAGCACTCCTGATTGTGCTCAACATTTATCAATTTTCTTCTGGTTTAATCTATTTTATCTCGGCATTAAACATTGCGCTTCCAACTATCTTGCTTATTTATTTGATTGTGATTGATGTCAAGCGTACCAGTATGCTCAAGAAGCAGATCAAAAAAGCCAAGATGGATGATCCTGAATTGGACCGACTGATCAAAGAGATTGATATTCAAATGAATGCGTATACGATCAAGACTCTTGTGCGATTTTTTATGACTGTAGGCACAGTTGCATTTTTATCACTGGCACTGACGTGTATTGGATTTGTGAGAAGTATTGTCGAGTCGAATACATACTCTTCATCTGTTCCTACTGCAGTGAGTAGTTTAAAAATGTACATGTGGTGTATATAAGTTTACATGTATAGACTAACAAGTTTATACTTTGAATCTAGGCAACCTCCAATTCAAGCGCAATGTACGAGTTTGCAGGATATTCCAGCTGGAATGAATTTACAAACAAATGTTGCTGCGAATATCAAACTGCATCACCTCAAACCCAAACCAATCTCAATGAGATTTGGAAATGGTAAAGTTGATTGCACACTAATGTTGCATTTAGTTGATTTAACATTCCAAATGGATTAAATTTCTGGATTATTCTTAGTTTACCAAACAAAATCAGTAATGGACAGTTTCTATACAAGGTATATACTACTTTATACTTGATAGAGATTAAACTGTTTGATACAATTGGATCATCAAAATGGGATTTATTGCATTTTCACTAAATATTAAACTGGAAATAGGTTCGCAAGCGCAGTGGTTTAGGATCTGAAAATGGATTGGCCATTCGACCTTATTGCAGTTCAACGTTTAATTCATCAGCAGTGTGTGGCCAGCCATCTTATAACTCAACATTCCACAGATACACAGTTCCAATTTGCGCATCTTCAACGAATGATTATTCAGACATTCAGAAGGGATCGTTATGGTGAATTACAATCAAGTTTAATAAAGAGTTTGCAAGTTGAAATTCTTTCCAACAAAATGTCATCTGTCTTTGCCAAGACTGCTCTGCGTGCTAAAGCCTCTCTCAGACTCGTCCGTGGTGGCCACAAGGTTTCTTCCTGGGGTAGGCATTTGCTACTGCACTATGAGCTGTTTTGTACAAGTTGCTCATTCAACATTGTTACTATGAATAAAAACTGCAAATGGTTCGCTTGATCCAACCTTGACTGCAACTAGGTCCCATCCATTTCGAGTAAGTCCTGTTTAGTTTTATCATTGCTACTGTGGTGATACTGGATTACAATATATTACGACTTGACTCATTCAACTCAATCCTGCGACTGACCTGTGTTTGTTGAATTTCTTGCTGTTGTTGAATGTAGAGGCATCAACTGGGTTGGCAACGGTGTAAGTGTACTATGCTGATATACTGGACTGCAGTTTTAATTATGGTTTATTTTTGTACTTGAGTTGTCTGGTATCAACCTGTCCAGCCCATGAGCCATGCTGCACTTGCAACTGCCATACATTTGGTTCTTGAAATTTCAACCCATCTGAAATTCACATCGATTGACCATGACATATAGGCCGTTCCATTCAGTTCCAAAAACCCTATTCTATTCAAGAGCGTTTTCTGGATTGTCTCTGCTGCTGTCTTTGCCATTCCCTTTTACAGTAAGATCTTTTGGCTGCATGTTGAATGCATTGGTCATATTGCAAGGTGTGCATGATTTTAAACATGCATTGTGTGATTGGAATGGATGACTATTATGTAGGTGTTGAGCGCAAGGTATGGCATCTGCGCGTTGCCAAATGGGAAGCCGAAAAGGCCAGCAAGGAATAAACAAGTCTGAATCCAATATGGAAAGGACTGATATTGCTGTCTAAGCCATGTATACCTTTGGAGATTGGCTTAGTCCTACTTTTTCATTTGATTAAATCCCAATAGACCCGATTGAATCTACAATTCGTTAAAGCAATACCATTATTAGGATGATCATAGCATAAGGATATACACAAGACAGTACTTGATAGACATCGATAGATGAATCGATGGATGAATCGGAATAACAATACAAGCCAATTGAATACAAGATTAAAATGGCATTTCGAGATGCTTTTCCTAAAACCAACTAGACCATCCAACTTGCTCGGTCTTGGTCTTGACATTTCCATGGCCAACCAGGTTGCTGTCGCGGATGACACTATTCCATACGGTGCTGTCATTGAACCACCTAGCATAGGTCAGATATGCTCAATTGATATTTATTCGTTGTCCAAGTCGGCTGAATGCCCAGCCAGATAGTGGCTGGCAAAAACATTTATAAAATTGCAAATGTCAGCAGAGTGAATGCAATGGTTTATTTCCAGCAAACTGAAGTCGTCGATGCATGCTCAATGATTTATTGCTGTTCTATCGAATGAACTCTTGAATGAACCGAGCCACTATTATCCCTTCATTCGAATGAGCGCAGTACAGACTAACATTGCAATTAATAATTTAGTAAGAAACCTTAGCACTCCCACACTTGCTCATTCCAGCAGTCACAGGAGTCAGCGCAGTATTGCCAATTCAGAGTCTATGCATGAAGTCAGTATCGTGTATCCTGCATTACTATCGCAAGTCGCAATGGCTTTTAAAAGTCGGGTTTCATTGGATACACATTTAAAGGATTTGTTGGAATACACAGACTCGTTTTTTGGTCGGGATGGTGTTGTATGTCAATATGAGTTGTTTTCACTTTATATCAACCCTTTAGTTAATATTACATCTTATTTTCATTGTAGGATGTTTTGTGCTATATAATCAAAACCTCGGATCGAAATCTTTCTTTGTTGCTCGGTAGGGCATTGGACGCACAGGGATTCTTTCATGATGTAACGTATACCCACAGACTGCGTGATAGTCCACATGAACTCTACAAATTCGAAAGCTGGGAGTCAGAAGATACTAAAACAAGAGATTTGGATTTACTACCTCATGGAGTGTTTACTCTACTTACTGATTGCTATGTGCCAACTTGCACTCGCGATCAACTGTGCTACAGCATTACTTGTCCACGCAGAATTGAACAGGTGGGACTACTCTTGCTCAATTGAACATTCCAAGTGCCTGCTTGGCTCTACTATGCTATACGCTGGCTCACTGTTACGGAAATCACCAACTAATCTATGCAACCGTATTTTATTTAGAGAACACGGCTTCATCGCCAGGCTAATATGCTGTTGAGTCGGCACTACAGTAAAGGGTCTATTAATGAAAAGGTAGTTGAGCTTGTTCAACAATTCACCATTTTTTTCATGATCGCGTTGGTTTCAAGAGCTATTTGCTAAATTATGCTTTTGACACTTTACGCCTTAGGCAATCGGAACGCTTTGGTCTACCTCTGTATCAAAGGAAATAGTTGCTTCTGTTTCTGATAAAGAGAGGCTTCGACAAGAAGTGATATTCGAGATTATTAACGGCGAACGCGAGTTTGTCGAGGATTTGGACATCATGACAAAGGTAATGGTGGCTTTTGACAATGCAGCGTTATAATAACATTTATGTAACTCGAAGCTGTAAAATTTTCAACTGCACTCAGGCTAATAACTATATTTCAAATATATTCAGGTTTTCATCCAGCCACTGCGAGAACGTAACATTATTGAGCCAGAAAGAAAAGAAAAGTTTATCCAAGACGTGTTTCTCAATATTACAGAGCTTCATACAATCAACTCAAAGCTTCTACGCAAGCTGCTTATTCGACAAAAGGAAAATCCAGTGGTTGACAAAATCGGTGATATTTTCATTAATATTGCTAATGAATTTTACCCATATGTAGAGTATGGTGCAAAGCAAGTGTATGCAAAAAACTTGCTGGACGAAGAAAAAGCAAGCAATCTAGATTTTGTAAAGTTTTTAAAGGTATCCCTTTATATTTGTGGTGGTTTAAAAGTAGTTTAATGTTTATTGAAATAGTTCAACATGACAGGAATGCGAAAGACTACCAGCATTACGAAAACTTCCACTAGAGAGTTTCCTAGCACGTCCAACAACACGAATGGGCCGGTACCCATTGCTATTGAAGCCTGTGATGGAAAAATCCGCAGAAACCCATCCAGATCGCACTCTTATTCCACAGGCACTTTTGTCTATTCGAGAAGTATTGGCAAGTATTAATGTCGAAGCTGGAAAGGCAGATAATATTGTAAAGCTGTCTCGATTAGATAGACAGCTCCAATTTGACGAAGGAGAGAAAGAAGTTAGTGTTTTTATTGCTGCATGAGCTTATCAGATATTTTGATGTGGAAATGATCAGGCTGTTTATCTTACTCAATGCATTATATTTATTTGATGATGTGCTAGGATTTGCGATTGAATGATGAAGGTCGCACGATTGTTCGCGACGGAAAACTCATGTTAAAAAGATCTGGAAATGATATGGAGCTGAGTGTGTTTTTATTTGACCACATGTTTCTTATTACTCGGAAAAAAGAAAACGGGCACTACAAAGTTGCTCGTAAAGTAAGTTTGAATTTTACATCTAGATTGATTTGATCCTCATCTAATACTTTGGCATTATGCTAGCCAATTCCATTGGAATTGCTCACCTTTCGACTCGACAAACCACCACGTGCTGGAGGCGATCTTGTTTCTACAGCCACTTCTAAAGCTGCTACACTATATGGAGTAGCAGCGCAAAAACCCAATTCCATCAGCCACAAACATACACATTCTGGTTCAAATCCCATGGCATTAACAGATTCTGCATCACGCACATTCCCTATTTTTATCTCTCATTTGGGTCAATCTGGCGGCCAATATACTTTGTTGGCATCTTCTCAGGCCGATCGCCAATCCTGGTGTGATGCTATTGAGAAACAAAAAACTATTCTTAGTGAACGCAAGAAAAGGTTTGAAATTGTTAGCTTGGTGAGCTCAGGGTTTCCAGTCTCAAACCGCATCAACTGTTCGATATCCTATCTTGATCGGCTGATTCTTGGAACTGATTTTGGACTTTTTGTTGGAACCGAATATCCGACTTCTACTGACTTGTTGACCGAGTTGAACGAAAACCGATTTGTGAAAGTTATTGATTTAGAAAGAATTGTTCAGGTTGATGTTTTGCCCAATAATGATAATCTTTTGGTGCTTTCGGGTGAGTGGGTAGTGTGGATTAAAGCGTAATCAATATGCTTGACTTGCTTTTATTCAACCTGGATTCATGCCGCGCTAACCAACATGTCATCTATTTCTCGTATACTCATACTGTGATGTGTAGACAAGACACTGCTGTCATTTCCTTTGCAGGTTTTGAATATATCGGAAGTGGATACTACAGGAGCTGGATATAAAGGCAAAAAGATTGGATCGCACGTGTCGTTTTTTAAACAAGGTATATGTGCCGAACGGACGTTGGTTTGTGCAGTCAAGTCCACTGCACTGACTGCAACAATCAAGGTGCTTGAGCCGGTTGGGCTAGGTGTAAATAATCTTCGTGGCAAGATCGGTAAACTTTTTCGTGCTACCAATGACGCTCTTCGTGTCTACAAGGTGAGATGGATATGAAATAGCATAGTGACGCATCTGTATTAACACTGAATTGTTGTGTTTCAGGAATTCTATATTCCCACAGAATCTAAATCAATTCACTATCTTAAATCAAAGCTGTGTGTTGGGTGTGCAAAAGGATTCGAGATTGTTGATTTGGAATCTCTGAATACTCAAGGTATGTCATGCCTATTTTTCTCTTTCAACCAAAACATGCTTGACAAGCATAGTACATAGTTACCAAAGTGTATATCTTTACCATTTAGGGCTGCTGGATCCAACGGACGAGTCGCTTGATTTTGTCCTTAAAAAGGAAACTGTGCGTCCTATTTCAATCTTTCGAGTGCGCGATGGCGATTTTTTTTTGTGTTATAACGGTAAGTAATTTGATTTTACCCTTCGAGTGTGTAAATAGTGGCTGCTGCATGATACGGCAAAGTTAAAATTGTATTACCTGTTCTTCAATCACCACTACAGAATTTGGATTCTACATTGACCGACTTGGACGACGCGCTAAAACTGACTGGCTTGTTCAATGGGCAGGAGCGCCGACCGCATTTTCCTTTGCCCCACCTTATATCATTGCCTTTGAGCCATCGTTTATAGAGATTAGGCATGTAGACACGGGTGAATTACAACAGATTATTCAAACAAACAATTTACGGGCGTTGAATGCAGATTCCGATGCATTGCATTGCGCCATGGATTTGATGGACGATATGCAACAGGTGTTTCGATTGCAACCCATTGATCAATTTAGATTGAGATGAATGTGACAATAGGAAGCAGAAACTCCACGTTACTATTTTATTGACTGCTGGTGTTCAATTGGAATAGCCTGGACTTGGGGTACCTATAAGCTGATATCATTGGGTTGCGTCAAATCAAGGTACACCACTTGGTTTTCCAAACCGTTATATCTTGCCTGATCACCACTTGAACCCATCCGATATAGCAGTCTGCAATACTCTGATCATTCCATATTAGATTGAATCCACTTTTTAATGAAACGTTTTATTTCAAAATTGTTCATGTTTGACTCGACTCGAAACTATGCAGCTGAATACGGGGATAAGGATATGCCAAATGAAACTGACATGTTGATGGTAGATTTAATTTTCTAGAATAGGTCGATGTTGTACTTGACAGTATGTTATGGGCAACAATGGGATGGCTATCCAGCATATATTGAGCTTATTGTTTACCGTCAACAAGCTTTCTGATGTGCACCATTCAATCATTTCAAGGTAAACTTTCTCGAGATGGAACCGACTATTCAGTTTGCTTTCTCAAGCTCCAATCATTTTAATTGAATTCGCCATATCATAAAACCTTGCGCTTTATTGAAAACGTACAGATAGGATGGCATTAATCATGAATAATAATGAAAGGTTGAATGATTCAGGTTAAAAATGATACAGTATAGTCAAATTAACATCAAACACCGTGGCTTTGTGATGAGATTGGCTTGAGTGAAAGCCAAACACCCAGTAACGATCCAGCAGCCAAGTATAAATGCTTGGGTGCAACATTCAACGGCCTGAGTTTTCTCACAGCAGGCGTGGCAGTCGCACCAACAGTTGGATGGTCTTCAAAAGAATCGGTATCCAGTGCATTGCCATGACCCGTACCAGCAATATCGTCACAAATTTCCTCTGCGGTTAAAATTTGTGCCAAAGATCCACTTTCAATCAATCGAACTTCAATAAATGATTCGTCAAACGCAAACAAATATTGATCCACAACTGCAAAATGGGTCGGCGAGCCATGGAAAGATATAATCCATTGACCTCGAGCGCGGTGACCAAATTTGTCAATTACAATGGCAAATTCTTGGAAACACAGAAGAAAAGAGGCATCAGGAAGACGGAAAATGGCTACAGGTGTCTGGTGCTCGCGATTAAGGACAAAGCTAAGAGATTTATCACGGTGATCAAGAATGCCTTGAGTTTTTAAAGTCGTGAGCTGAATCATTTCAAAGCCTTTGGTCGAGCCAATGCAAAGCATAGAGTTGAGAAAATCTACACATCGACTCTCGGATGGAACATAAAGTTCCTATAGATTTAAAAATAATTGAGCAACCACCATGCCAACAGGACACCTCATTTAAATTTATAAACTCCAAATTTACCTTGTGAACACGCAACGACTCTGTAATATTCAGAATATCGCGATTGCTGTTGTGAAAAAATCGACCGAGTCGATAGCGAATTGGGTTTGCAGTACCTCCACTTGAAGGTTTCCATATTTTGATACTGGAATTGAGTGGCTGTGAATTGACGGTACACACTAGAGGCTCGCCAGATAGTATACCTTGTTTGAAAAAAGAAACGGGGGACGTGACTCGACGACCTTTAGTAAGGGGTGCGTTATTTTTATAAATAATGTCTATCGGAAATGTATATAAGACCTTGTCTAAGCACATACCCATACAATCAACGTTAGTACGTGTCGCATGACAATAAACAACGACAAAGCCGAGCAGTTGCAAATATGGAATTTCATCATCGTCTGTTTTCAAAATAATAAACCATGGCACCAAGTTTGTCATTTGAAAAACTTACCAGCAAGAACCAACATGGACTGAGACTCGATCTGAATATCAATTTTAGTGACCCGCTTCATATCAATAATCTTGGTAAATTCAGAAGATTGTACTGAACAGATCGAGTTTGATCGCATCGATAATCCAAAGCGTGTTGGTATGGAGGGTGCTACTTCGATGGGGCCAGTCCATGTATTTGCTTTTTTTATCGAGTTGTCTCGATCAGCGATATAAACACCATTGGATCCACCTACAATGATATAGCCTTCCCACGTTATCACACTTGTAGGGAATGCGTCGGGAATTGCAGTATCGATTGGACCACGCCATAATGGAGTCAATGAGATGTAGCTTGTTTGAATTTTGCGAACTGCTTTTTGTTTTTCAATGGCTTCCTGCCATGATTCAACCTCTGAGTGATTTACAGCTTGGAGAGATAGTGTGCCACTATCTCTACCACCAAATGAGATTTCAAACGTAGGAAGTTTAGAATAGTCGATTGATTTGTGTCTGGATTTAAGTTGTCCTTCTGAAAAACTGGATGTGAAGTTTGCCGAAGTGAACTGATCCCTAGATACAGTGACCAGTTCAAGTGGGAATGGATGTCGTATAATTTTCAAGAGGCCATTCGACTTTTCTCGAACGACCAATAACATATGGTCAAATAAAAAAACAGTTACTTCGCAGTCATTGTTGGGTCGCCGTAAAAGAGTTAGTTTTCCTTCTCGTATGATTATACGGCCAGGACTCATAAGCCGCAATGCCTAAATAATATAAAAATGATGAAACAACTAAGTCAATGTGTTTTTAAACTGGTATGTCTTTAACATGAACATACATCTTCAGTATTTTCTTGAGGAGTAAAAGTTTTGGATAGTTTTTCAAGCCGCAGCAGATTGACTGCATGACCTGCATCTCTATTCAGTCGTGTAAGAATTTCTTGAAGTGTGTCTCTAGCTTTTGTCATTTGAAGCGAGTCGGGATGATCATCGGAAGTATATTTCAAGATTTCTTTAAGAAGCAGGGGATAACGAGCAAATCGTGTTGTTGGGGCGGCAAGGAAGCTCTCAAGGGGTAATTTTCTTAGTTCAGGACGAACCATGCACTCCTAGAATCATACACAAAGCGAGATTAAGTACAGCTTCATACAGTGCATTTAATCCAGCTAATATGAATCTGATTTATCATAATATACTTGCATCCAAGAAATAACAGAGATTAGGATTGATGCATTTTTCGTCATCCAGATATGCCTTGGCATAGACCTGATGGCCACCGTAGCCAACATAAGCCTCAAACTCTTTGATTAAACCCAGAAATGTGTCACCAATGCCACCTGATACAACCAAATTGGATTGCAAAGCAATCAATCCTTTGATGAGTTTTCGATTTGCTGTGAGCAAGTCGTTTATATTAAAAAAAACAGTCTTGATGAATGCATCGCGCCTATCACTCTGGATGATTGTTCCTGAGTTGAGTGGATCCATGAATATCTAGTATTTCAACAGGATAGACAGTGTCAATAAGTTGAAAAGCAATGATGGACCAATACACAGAGTATTTACTTTGATGACAGCCTCTAAATCCTGGACATAGTCACGCTCGCCATTAATGAGTTCAAAAATGACTTCCTGTCGCTTGCGTTCCTTTGGAGTAAATGATTCTAGTATAGTGATTGAAACGGTCTCTCTCCACAGTGCGGTGATTCGAGGTTGAAAAGTAGGCTAATATGCAAAGCAAATAGACAAGATTGATAAACTTAGTATATTGAGTGGTATACGCAATGACACAAAGATGATCCAGTGCCAGTTAAAGATAGCCTTACTGGTGCTTCATTAGTGAGTCGACCGTCCTGGGACACGCAGATTGAAGATCTACCTGCAAATGTAGTGATGGGATCGCCATACTGTAGATTGTGCTATGATTGACAATGTAGTTTAGTAAAACAAAAACATTCAAGATCTGATGCTAGTCGTACCTCTGCAAGTGTGCAAGGACACGAAAGACTTGCACATATAAATGTGGAAGGACACGTAGACATGTAGCAAGGAGTCAATGGAAGAAAAACACCAGATAGAGAATCTACAGGTGGATCAAGGATCAGACAGAGAGGAATGTGATTGTATGTAGCCAGATTGTTAATGTGATCGCCCGTGGCAGCAACAACGACACATTTTCTTGTAGCAAAAACCTCGACCACGAGTTGCACCAACACAAGATCAGTAATACCGATAATGTTGCTAGTTAAATGCTAGTCAATCAGCAAGAGTTAGTTGAATAGTTTGACATGATAAATCTAAACACGAATGACATACAACAAGAGATTCTCCCGTGATGGCAGGAGTACAAGACAGACCAGAATTGGTGATTTTGGAGAAAGTAGAGCCAATCCTGATATTAGTTTCTGATGACACAGAATCAGCACTGACGAACAAGGGAATAGCTTGAACAAGATTAGAGTAAATACAAGACAATAACGCTCTTTCAGTAATAGGAAGTAACAGTTGTTTATCCAGTGCAGAAGCAAGACGTTGGTCTAATATTGAACTATCCAGATGACCACAACAATCCTGTGAATGAGTTCCATGAGAAGATTGGTAGTGAATAGTAGGTGGTTTAGATAATGGAGAAGACTGATTTGAAGAAGCTTGAATGATAGAAACATGGTTATGTAAACTGGAAGAGCGTTGAAGAATGTTACTATTAGAAGCTTGTGATGTAGCAGTTTGAGGAGCAGAATAAACCAGTTGAGTAGAAGATAAACTGGTCTTTCGAGAAGGCAGAATGACAGGACTCGTCATGGCAGAATGAACAGAATTGAAGCTTGCAGCGTATGGAGAAAGAAGCGAAGCATTCTGATTGACAGTGTTAGTCAAGCTGTCTGTTGGGTTGAAATCCTTTACTGGAGCAGCCATGGCAGCAACTCCAATCTTGGTTGTGAATTCCATCGCAGAATTCAAGCGAATTCAACTTTATCAATTTAATGTCTTGTTCGCTCAACAACTCGTCCAACAACTTGCTGCTGCTCATGAGATTCTTATCTCGTTGTTTATTACTCAAAGACTGTCCTGATTCTTCTCTTACAAAACAACTTCCTTTTTCATGTCAATTGAATCGCATGGCTGCTGTAAGTCTTGTCGAATCAAGTCTGTAATAATCTTACTAAATTCATTTGTCTAGTATCTCGAGTGTATGCAGGTTATGTTTGATAATGTTTATAAACTACAAGCTTCTACTCATCCTATTGAGTTGGATCTTCTCAAGTCTCAGTTACATACCTTTTCTCAGTGGATTGAAGACCAGAAATTGGTAACGTAAATCACTATTCAACTCTCTTGTTCTGTAACTGATTTGCTCTTCTTTGTATAGAAACTCTCGTTGGAACAAATTCATCAACACAAGGAATCAACTGTCGATGCAACCAACAATCTGTCTCTTGAATCGTCTTCTTCATCTAATCAAATAGAACTGCATCGACTTGAGCTTCTTAAACTTCCCATTTATTCTCCAAATCGTCTTGCTACAAAAAATACTATTCTACAATCCGAAACACTATCAGGAGAAATCGAAATGCTACCATTTAAAAGGTAGTTTTTTAAACTGTTTCACATAAATACTTTGCAATCGACTAACCGTTTTATTGCCAATACAAGAAATGTTCAGGCAGATAAAGCTGAATTGCTTGGTAGTGCTGCTCAGTCAAACCATCTGCTTTCTACACCTTCATCTTCTGGTGTAACCAGCAAAGCATTGGCTTCGATTATTGAACGCAATCGTAAACTACAAGATGATTTATCCACAGATCTCGCATTTCATGCCGAACAGCTTAAACTCAATTCGCTTTTATTTCAAAATAAACTTGAAATGGATGCCAAGGTAATGGTTTCCTTGCTTCGGATCTTGACCCCTGTCTTGCATCACCGTAAATGATCTTTGGATGATACTGAAATCATTGTATTGTAGGTTTTAGAAGAGACTGATGAGCAACTGGGTCACAACCTAATAAGATTGCAGCGTGAAAGAAAGAGTATCAAAGCATTCACATCTAAATCATGGGGAACAACCTTTTTGATATGGGGCAGCATTATAGTCGTGATACTGTTGGCCATGTTTACATTCATGGTAATGCAAGTTGCGCGTCCTGTTCGTAGATACTCTCATCGTACTACTACCATCAAAACTACATCCTCAACCACCACTAGCATACACTCGATACCACCCGATTATTATTTTGATTAAAGTGTTGTCGGCTGTCTTGCACAACATCATTCAATAAAATACAAACAGTCCAATTTTAAAACATGATTCAGAATAAAAATATGTTATTCAAGATAAATGCTAAATCCAATCAATGATAAAGGAATGGTGGAAAAACAGAATCAAATCAATAAAATGGATGAATTAAGCAGAGCTGGCTGCACGGAACTCCTTGGCAACATCGCACATGTTCTTGAGAGCAGACTCGGTCTCGGCCCAGCCACGAGTCTTAAGACCACAGTCGGGGTTAACCCAGAGAAGACGGGTGTCAATATACTTGGAAATGGCTTGAAGACGTTCCTTGATCTCAGTAGCAGGTGGAACACGAGGAGAATGGATATCGTAGAGACCGGGACCAATGCCACGAGTGTAGCCATGAGCCTCAAAGGCACGCAACAATTTGAGGTCAGACTTGGAGTTCTCAATGGTAATGCAGTCGGCATCAAGGTCGGAAATGGACTGGAAAATGTCGTTAAAGTCAGAGTAGCACATGTGTGTGTGGATCTGAGTCTCGTCCTTGACACCAGTGGAGGAAAGCAAGAAGGAGTTGACAGCCCATTCGAGATAAGCGGCATGAGCTTCCTTGCGAAGGGGAAGACCCTCACGAATAGCAGGCTCATCAATCTGAATGGCAGGAAGACCAGCAGCTTCAAGATCGCATACTTCCTTACGCAGAGCAAGTGCAATCTGGAAAGTAGTGTCCTTTCGGGGTTGATCATCACGAACAAACGACCACTGAAGCATGGTGACGGGACCAGTAAGCATACCCTTCATAGGCTTGGTGGTGAGAGACTGTGCGTAAACAGAGACATCAACAGTCATGGCAGTAGGACGGCTGACATCACCAAAGATAATAGGAGGCTTGACGCAACGAGATCCGTAGGACTGGACCCAACCGTTCTCGGAAAAGACGTAACCCTTGAGGTGTTCACCGAAAAATTCAACCATGTCGTTACGCTCAAACTCACCGTGGACAAGAACATCAAGACCGACGTTCTCCTGGAAGCGAACAGTCTTTTCGATTTCAGACTTGACAAAGTCATCGTACTGCTTCTGAGTCCACTCGCTCTTCTTGAACTTTTGACGAGCAACACGGACATCCTTGGTTTGAGGGAATGATCCGACAGTGGTGGTAGGGAAAGCAGGCAGATTGAGCTTAGTCTTCTGAACGGCTTCACGAACAGCAAACTCGTGTTGACGCTTGAACATGGCAGGAGAAAGGTTCTTGAGCTCTTCCTGAACCTTGGGGTCGTGGATCAGAGGAGAAACCTTGCGGTCCTCAATGGCAGCCTTGTTGGCAGCAAGCTCGGCAGCAACAGAAGATGGGTCTGAAACAGCCTTGGCAATGATCTGGAGCTCGTGCAATTTCTGAACAGCAAATGACATCCACGCCTTGATGGTGGGGTTCATCTTCTTTTCAGACTCGAGAGAGTGGGGGGAATGGAGCATCGAGCAAGAAGGAGCAACAAGAACGCGAGCAGCACCGACAGCAGCAACAGCCTTCTTGACAGTGGCAATAGATTTGGCAAGATCGTTCATCCAAATGTTACGGCCATTGACAACACCAACAGAAACAGATTTGGTTGATCCGGCAATGCGAGCAAGGACAAGGTCAAGATCTTCGGGAGCACGGACAAGGTCAACGTGAATGGTATCAATGGGAAGATCAGCAATGAAATCAAGGTTGGATCCAATAGTACCGAAATACGAAGCAACCATGATGTTGAGCTTGGGGCAAGCAGCACGGATAGCAGCGTAGGTCTTGGTGTAAGCAGCCTTGAGAGAGGCGGGCTGGTCGAGAGCAAGAATAGACTCATCGATCTGGACGTGAGTAGCACCGGCCTCTTGCAGCTTAGTAAGCAGCGAGGTGTATACAGGCAGGAAAGAGTCGAGCAGCGACAGAACATCAAATCCGGCCGAAGCGTTTTTGTCGCCCTTTCCGAGCAAAAGGAACGAAATGGGACCAAGCAAAACAGGACGAGTCGCAACACCAATAGATTTGGCCTCGAGGAACTCTTCAACGGGTTTAAGAGTGTTCAGACTAAACTTGGTGGATGAAGAGAACTCGGGAACAATGTAATGGTCTGAAAAGCAACAAGAATCAAGTCAGTCAGCAGATCTATAAGCAACACATTAAACACTCCAATTACTTACAGTTGGTATCGAACCACTTTTTCATCTCCATAGCAGGAACATCGATTCCTTCAGCGGGACGCTGCAGACCACGACCCATAGCAAAGTATTGGTCAATCTTGTTGGGAATAGAGTGGTAGCGATCGGGAATGACACCAAACAGGAAGGCATGGTCAAGAACATGGTCGTACATGGAAAAGTCGTTGGATGGAACATATCCAGCAGAGAGAACTTGACTCTGAAGCTTCCAGTGAGTAGCACGAAGTGCCTATTGAACAAGTGTACAAACATAATAAGCCAACCAAACATGAAATTGCATAAACAATAAATCAGATCTTCAATGAGTGGATTTGTCAGCAACACAAAAATGGAATCAACAACAGCAGGGGTTGAACAAGACACTCAGTTGATGATTAAACAGTACAATTCATATATTCTCAACATGTATCGATGCAACAGTATAGAATGTTTAAAGATCAGTTCAACTTCCGCCCAACAAAACTAACCTTGGCACCAGCAAGCAGGTCGTCACAAGAGATCTTGCTAGCCCAGTAGGCTTCGACCAACTTTTTAAGGTCACGAACAGCACCCATGCGAGGGAAACCGAGATTTGTAGCAACAACAGACATGATAGTATAGTAATAAAGATCTGAATGTACCGACAAGATCAATACAAAGAAACGCGTTGTATTTATAGCGACTTGAGAGCCGAGTGTTGCTGACTAATCCAACCCAACAGCCGCTCTGCAATGAATTGTTCGTTGATATTCTAAAATATTCTCAATCTTATTCAACTGTCTTGTTCAATGCTATCCACCAATCTAACACTCACAAAAATAATAGTTTTGGAATACCACCAGACTAGTCATCACAACTGAAATAGTATTTAATATAGACGCTATTTAGATGATAAATGTTGCATGGCTGTATCCACTGTATGTGTCGTCACACCCATACACCATGCAATCAATGTCTTGTATCGACTGGATTTGAGATGTCGTTGTTCATGTAGCTTGTGTACTGCCTGGATCAGTGTATTGTTATTATGAGTTGTTATATAAGCCAACCATTTTCAAGAATTTAAGCGGATGATCTACAGCCGTATTCACGCAAGCGGACCATTTAGATCCATCTATTCTGTTTTGAAATAGACAATGGTTGAATAATCATTACACTTTCCTACTGACTGACTGCTTTTTCAATAAACACAATGTCCATTATATGATACTTTGAGAATACAGCAGTTGTTTCCATGTCGATTATCAAAAGACCAGCCAACTAATGAAACTCACAAAACAATATTGTCCAGTAAATGTGGTATGAATTGTCACCAATCAAGCATGACTGCTCATCATGTACTTTGGCATCCCTATTCAATGATCCGCTTCATGTAAATACAGCTGTAGTGTGGGGTTGGGCTTGAGAAAAACATCCAGTGGTTCGTATACCGCCAAACTACCAAGTCCGACTTATACCGTCCATATAATCTGCACTGTTGATATAAAGCAAAGAATACATCAATCCTATATATGCCATCGGAAATAAAAAATGGGGCACTCTCTTCCGTAATGACTCGAGTCTGTTTGTGGCATTTGTTTCAACTGTTCCGATACAAACAACCGGAAATCTATTACAACATTCCTCTCCGACCCTTTAGCTTCAGCCTATCAAATAGGACACAATGGTTGTAGCGAGAATGTTAATGAATAAACCATATCAGCACTGGATTGATACTAGCAAGATAAACTAGTAATGCATTGTTGAAATAATAGTTCAATTCATTCTAAGCAATCATGCAGCCCTTGGTTATAGGCCGCAACTGTTATCTGCTGTCCTAATGCCTTTTCAGGAAATTAGCCGATGTGTGAATTAAATTTTCATTAGTAGTCAGATAAAGGGCTCATAGTGCTGATTGGTTAGCACGCTCCGTAGTTGAATAAATGACAAAGCAACAAACGGAAAGTAGCTAAAATCCATCGCGGATTAGCTCAACCTTGAGTATTAAAAGAAGCCGTATATCCCTGATGTCCAAGTAACGCTTTTCATTCCATCTACTCAAGATGTCACATACTGAGCCTGCACTCTCATTACCATCAAAGTCGTGTGCAAATTCATTCGGTTTGCAATTGATTTCGACAGTATCCGCAATCGTGGCGTTTGGGTTTATACTGGTACTACCTTCGTATCTTCGAGTCACCAATCAATCCTATCACATTGTTTTTGGGTCGGTCAGCTCTATAGACCAGTACTTTCTTATATACTATGTCGCACCTCTGGGTATACTTACTACAGCCATGTACATCAGATGCTGGAACAACGATGCCGATGTTGCCAACGCACTCTGTTGCTCTAAACCCAATCAAGTACCTTCTAGATTTTGGATACCCCGTTGGAAAATCATGTCTAGGCTTAGCAATGCCTTTTCTGCTTGCTCAAGTGGTGATATCCTATTAGGATCCATGGTGGTGCTATCCAATGTGCTATGGCTGATTGTTCCCATTATCATCAAGGTTCTCATGTATCCAAACGGAAAATTGCTTTCTACTCGAGGATTTTTAAACCATATTTCTAATACTGCAGGTAAATATATTTACTCGAGCGATTGACCTTGTTCTATCAACTCACCATTTTTGTGTTTTTTAGCCATGACTGGAGTATGGGATGGTGGTCTTGCAATCGTTTTTGCTGTACGAGAAAACTTGGCTGCAAAGGCACTTTTGGGAAATGATGCTGGACAGTACCATCGAGGAATCAAGTACCATATTGTTCTTGGATACGCGAGCTTTGGTTTTATTATCTATCATGCAATACACTTCTTGGTGCTGTACACTGTAGAAGGCAATCTAGCGTACAAAATACTTCCCTGGCTGAGCAACAAGGCGTATACCAACTCGATGGGCATCATTTCTTGTCTTTCGTTAATTTTGATGATTATTTCATCCATCTTTAAAGCCCGACGATCAAGCTATCGCATTTTTTACTGGACGCACCAGCTGTACATTGCATTTTTACTTTTTGCCATTGTGCATGCATATCAATCTATATACCCTTTGATTGCTCCATTGCTATACTTTATCTACGACCGTATTTTGCCGCGCTTAAAGACATCAAGAAACACCACGGCTATCATAACCAAGGTATCTTCGGATATTGTCAGAGTAGACATTCCGATCCTAGCTGAATTTAAGCAAACTAGCACCTATGCACCAGGAGATTGGATTAATCTGCTTATTCCGTCCATTTCATCAGTCAATTGGCATCCCTTTTCCATTGCATCGTATCACGCCACATCCCCAGATACAATGACCTTTTTTATCAAAAACTATGGACCATGGACAGCATCGGTTTATAATGCATCGAGTGTTTATGGTACTTCTGTCGCTGTCAAAGTAGATGGTGTGTTTGGATCTCGCAGTAAAGAGTATCTTGGATACAAACATTTGGTTTTGGTTGGTGGCGGTACTGGAATAGCAGCACTTATACCTTATATGCAGCATTATTTAAAGGCAACTGACGGTAAAATCACATTGGTTTGGACTGCTCGCAATGCATCAGATATCTGTGCTTATCGCAACATGCTTGAGCTACTGTCTCCCTCTTCAACACTTATGGATCGTGTGACGGTACATATGCATCTTACCAGATGTATTCCTACTGCTGAGGTGCCAATAGATGATGACGAAAAACTTGAGAGAACTTGCATAGATTTGTTTACCGAAAAAGAGTTGGATGCCAAAAGTGTTGTAGAAAACGAGAGTTCCATTTTCATGCATTCTCACCGCGTTTCTACCTCTGCACTATCCTATGGTACCATTCCTCAAGATAAGAAACCGTGTCAAACCATGTTTGGCATCTATGCAGCTATTCTTGCTGTGGTGATGTTTTCGTGTGGTATAACTGGATACATTCTTGGAAGAACGTTGATTCCCGGATACGAGACCCAATCGTGTCGCCTTGTACCGCAAAATACACTATCATTCATGGACAATTTCATGTGTTGGTATTACTATTACTGGGCACCAATCGTGTATGCATGTGCGTTGGCCACGGTTGGCGGGTTGGTTAGTACCACTGCAATGAATTTCTATCGGGGTCGCGGATCTTTCCAGCGTTATATTACCCAGGATGAATCAGCCACCAAACCACTCATTGAAAGCAACACTACACATCCCTTGAATGCAGAGACGCTGCAACAATGGTTTAGCCCAGTTCAAGAGCGACCAGAACTAGACACAATTCTCAAGGGTGTGTTTAGTCGTTGCAGCGATAAAGATACGGACAAAGTAGCTGTCATGGCTGCTGGACCTGAACACATGGTACGCGAAGTCGAAAGAGTGACTGTAGAGGGTGGACAGTGTTTTTATCGGGAATCATGGCAGATTTAATGCAGTATTTGGCTATTGTATATATTTATAAAGTTTATCATTTTTATAATCAAACATGACATTGTTCAAGTATTATTACAAGTGAGTTTCCAGTGTTGGCTTTTTACAAGGGATTCAATGCATTGTTGCAAGGTAGATAAAAAGTAGTCAGATGGGCTGTTCAAGGTCATCAAAAATAGTGAATGGCAATTTTGTCATAAATCTCCACATCTATCTGATATGGAAGAACCCAACAATGGATCTTATCACCCGGCTGGGATGGACCTAAAACAAGTCATTTATATCCACAGACATGGTGAGCCTTATGAATTCATCTGTTTGCTGGAGTGGCTTTTGTATAAACTACTGGTTTACTCTTGGAATATGCCAACATCACATTCAAGATATTAAATATCTGATTTACTGCTACGAATGTGTTAGGTGCGAGAACTCCAACTCATGGCAATCTCATTGGTCTTACTAGTGCTAGTTTGTGGAACCAATGCAATTTGTCGCCGTTTTTAAAGGCTCTTCAGACTGTAGGCGACCATACACACTATATTGAGCGTACTTCTGATTTAGGCGAGTCAGTGAATTGGCTTGATAGATTGATTCCAACTAGGCTGGTGTATAACAAGACCATGCATTAGAATGCCATGACTTGATCATGTGTAAACCAAATATCATTGCTTACTGATCTAATCTCTTGTGAATGCATTGCTGTGATTTGTATGTGCGGGTAAATATGATGCTCTACAGGCCATGCTGCTCACAAAGTACCTCCTACGCTTTCGCGGATTGCATTTGGTGCTCCTAGTGGGACCGTTGCATCGGAGCAGCATTTGGCTGCGTCACGAACTGTTCGACAGCTCAAGAGTCTGCTTGAAAAGGCAGGGGTCGGAAGTTGGTAAGCATTTAGTCTGTTCTGACCTTCTAGTCATCTTACAGTTTCATATTTTGCTAACATGCTTGATAGTTTCTCTGGACAACTGACTGATATTGGTAAACTTACACTGTACAATCTTGGCCAAGATTTGCGCAAGTTGTATATTGACAAACTTGAATTATTGCCGCCTATTTTGGATTCGAGATCTTCGCAATTGTTATACCTACGAAGTACTGATTATACACGTACTATTGAATCGCTTCAATTTCTGCTACATGGCTTATATCCACCATTGAAACGTCAGGCACCTAATAGTCTCAATCTGCAAATTCATGTTTTACCTGATTCTGCCGAAACTATGCATCCTCGGGATGATTGCGCTGCACTCGCACTTGAAATCAAGCGATTCCGTGATACATTCTTTGCTCGCAATGCCAACCGAATTAAATCTGTCTTGTCCAAGTTTCCTACCTTTGTGCATGCATTCGACGGTACGGGTATTAGCGATATGAACAAGGTATTCCGCATTTACGATACTCTGCAGTGTCTTGAAGGCAATGACCTTCCCTTTCCAAAAGGAATTACCGAGTTTCACATGCAGGAACTCACAGCTCTAGTTGTAGACCAGTGGGGTAAGCTTTTTGGGTCTAGCAATTTTATTGCTAGTATGTCGCTTGGGAGATTTGTGGGCGAATTTTCTCAGCAGATTCAAGCTGCTTCCAAGGGGGCCAGTAAAACCCCCAAAATGGCCGTTTATTCTGGCCACGATACGTAAGAAACCCGATATGGTCTACTATTGCTTTGGTGTTGAAATAGCCATGATGCCAACCTTGCATTTTTTCATATCTAGTACAATTCTACCTATTCTTGCTGCCTTTCGTGCATCGGATGGAACCCATCCCGGCTATGCATCCAATGTAAGTTAATAGCCACTTTATCATTTATTTTTTATTCAAGCAAAACTCAATCCTGTTGATATGATCTCGCATCTATCTGGCTGACAACTATTCACTCTGGATTGGAAATTTTTATTATCTAGCTTTCATTTGAGCTATACAAGACTCGTGCAAGTGATTCAACTTGGCGTCGATTGACTGGATGGACTTCTCCATCTCAGCATTATGTGCGTATGTTATATAATGGAAAACCGCGTCCACTTTTTGGATGTGCTTCTCAAAACCAACATCTCCCTGGACATCCAGAAATGTGCACACTAGATGCATTCATGGCCGAAGTCGACCGTATCACTCCAAAAAACTACGAAGTCAAATGCGCGACTCCTATCAAGGTTGTCCCTGATTGGGACTAATTGAGTGCAAATCTACTGTTTAATAGTATTTGTCTTTTCCTCATATTGAATTTAGCTGCTACATTGACAATACTTTGCAAAACTATAATCCATGGTTTGAGTTTCCTAATGTGCAACTATCCATATATCTTTTCCTCAATCCAATACCATTATAAGTTAATGGACTGCAGTCCATTAAAACCTCATTTTTCAAACTATGCAATATTGTCTTTAATGAATGGTGCTAGACTACCATAGTGTTGAAAATAGCCCTCCAGCCTCGTAAAATTTCTCGACGTTTTCCAATAAAAAAACCAACCGTACTTGTGAATTCAGCATAGATTCAGTGTTTTATGGGAGAAAAGTCAAAGGTTTATTCAACACTATAATATCATTTAAAGATATACAACTCATATATCCTATACTTGAATTCACGTTGAATCAGTAAACAACGGGTGTGATTGAAGTGCCAAATAAGCTGGTCGTTGTAATGATTGGATGGCAACTTTAATATCTGTATTAATATCTTGAATCAACGCATCTAGTTTACACACATCACTGCAGAGTTAATACTTGATTTAAACGAGTTGAACCAGATTATTGATCATCGTTAGTGACTTGCCTAGAGATGTATAGTTTTGTTCTGGCCGAATGTAGCCAGCAACAATCACTCGTAAATCTGCTCCATAAAAGTCTTTGGGGAATTCATGTATGATATGCACCTCCTAGTATGACAGATGAATCAGTACCAACTCGTCTTGGTGTCATGACTCAAAGTAGTGTATGGAATAATGTAGAAATGAGTTCAAGCGACTTACTGCAGATCGCTTCTCGTTCTTGTAAAATGGATTCCATCCAAAACTCATGACCATAGGCAATACAGCAGACGATGCATCATGACCCACACAGGCCCATCCATAGTAGATTCCAGTTTCGAGAAGCTCTCCAGCAGTTTGTGCAACATTCTCTGGCAAGTTTGCTTGCAGTTTGACAAGGACAGTAACAATCGATTAGTCACCGTCTGTCTTGATAGTCGAGATGATCGAATAGCAAGTTGAATCTTGTTGCCAGCAAACTGTAATCAAGGCTTACCAGTTGGAATGCCAAGCTGTTTTCCACCACGACCAAATCCCTTGCTAACTATGCCACTCAACTGTACTGGATAAGGCGATTGGGGTTGTTCTGGCCCAACAACATCTGGTCTGATCATGTTCGTCTATCCAAAAATCACTCTTCAGAATCCTTGAATATGTGCAAACCATTTGCATTCAAGATTCATAATATATATATAAATTCTGTTTATTCTGAACCCATCTGGCTTCCAAAAGATGCTGCCCACTTCAACTCACCCTAAATTGTGGTTCATTACACGCTGAAACTAGATCTAGGTAGTCTACATTCCCTCAACCTCCATCGCATCAACTACATCCTTGTGTGTCTTGCCTACATTACCAAAATCGTCATTAATACTTGTTGGTGCATCAGCAACTGTCTTTTGACTGGTCGTTAAAGACTGCACAGGTGCTGTTAAGAGCGGTGATTTTATAGGTGTCGGCTCAGTGTGTGATGGCATGGCTACAACGTTGGGCACTGAAGTTGACAAATATGTATCCGATTTCACTTCAGTCACATTTACACCATTAGATGCTGCTGTAAGATTAGGAAAATCATTTGCGGTTTTATCCAATATAGCTTTGTCGCCTCGCCATGACTGATATGCAGCAAGACGATTTTTACACTGTTCAATAGTAAGTCCTCGGCGCCATCCATTCTCGCCATCTAGCCAGGCTGCAAACTTGGCATTGCGCTTCGACTGGATACCTTTTTCTGTAGTAATGGACACGGTCAAGCCATTCTCTGCCATCATTTCACTGCGTTTGCGACGGAAATAATCCTCTGTATTATCAACAAAAAAAATCTTGTATGTGTTGACACAAATCTTGAGCTCTAGCCCAGATCGAGTCTCAACATACAGTGGTGGATCCTCCGTGACTTCTATAGGCAAAGTGCGTTTTAAAAAGGGTTCGTTGCGACGGAAGCCTAGCGCCTCAGCCATAGACAGCTGCACAAATTGATCAACATACAAAGACCATTTTTCCTCTGATGAAATTGTATCGTCTGAAAGCTGGTCGTTTTTGCCTAGTAATTGGACTGTAAGCACACGCTCAGGTATAAACTAGACAGTCAAGTTGAACAGTAAGCATATATACATAAAAGTTGCGTTTACAAAACATATCATTCTGAAAAAAGGCAGCTACTCACAAATTCCAAACGATATACATTTTCTTCTTGAATAAGTGTTTCGGCGGATAATCTGTACATGGCTTCCTGGCGAGAAGAAGTAGAGGGTCTTTCGTGATCACGGTAGAAAAGTGAAATCAGATCCATAGACTTTGGATCGCTGATAATGAGTTGCATCTATAAAAGAATATCAATCAAGTGAGAATTACGGCTTAACAAGCTATACATGATCAAAATAAAACTATTATAGACTCGCAGGTTTGTAGCTCACCTGCTTGACAATACTTGAAATTAGGCGATCCACAGTAAATATGAGATATCCAGAAGTCCAAAACATATTGCGGGCACGGTCCTCAAAATCAACGGCATCCATTGCATTGCATGAAAAAGCCTGAATGTTTTTCAACAGTTCAGAGTATCGATCACATTCAGAATATCCAGAACCTATAGACAAAATAGTAATTGCCAGAAAACATTAGAAAGTCCAAATTAGACTGTACCTAGGAATTACATACAAACGTATAACCTACCAAGCTCCTTTTGAAGGCCAAGCTCCAACGCAATAAAATTGTACATTTCACTGCGGGTGGGTAGTCCATCTAGTTCATCAGAAAGTTCCTTCATCTTTTGTAGCCGTGAAAAAAGCATCTAGACTCGAGTAGTCAGTGTGAGCAAAATCATTCATCAAAAATAGCTCTAAATAGTCGACAGTATCACTAACCTGGTACAGTCTGAAGAATGCATAAATATTCGTGTTTGCATAAAACGAGTAGGAGGTACGTTTGCGAGTATTATGCTCGAGTTTGCATTCACTTTCACCAGCCATGCTCATTTCTGTATCAGCCATAGGTACATCAACATCAATGGATCCATCCGTGTTCATCATTGTTCCATCATTGGTTTTTTTAAACGTTTGTGAACCAGGAATGCATGCATCCGGAGTAGCCACATGACCAGAATAAGCACCATGCGAGTCAGCATCGATGGCCATAGCCGATTCAAAGCCGTTTCCGCTAACAGGAGTATTCTCACTATCCTCATCGTATCCAACCAAATTCTCAATCAAAAAGAATCGCTTTACAAACACATCCAAAAACTCGCGAATACGATCGTCATCCGGTCCAGATGCAGGACTAGGAGGCTCAATATAAGAAGCAAGAATGCGCCTGACATGACGGAAAATATCCAATCTTTTAAATGCAAAATCAAATTGGTAGCGGTTAGCCAAGTTGGAGCGTTTCTCACACTGCTCGCGCTGAAGAACCTCGATTTCAGTGACAAGAGACTTGACATTCATGGCCTTACGGTCAGATGCTTTAAAGTGAATACCTTGGTGATCAAGAGCTTTGGCACAGTTTTTGGCATCAATTTCTCTCCATACTTTGTTCCATTCCCGTTGTGAGCGCTTCCACTCTTCATCCTTTTGCTTTAAACGCTTAAGTACAATAGGAACAGCAATAGCAGGATTTTGGTGTAGAGCATCAATCACTTCGGCGCCACGATCCTTATCGTACACCTTTTTGATAGCGCGCTGATAAATTGCAACAGAATAGCCTCCAAGTCCCGGTGAAAGTCGAAACTTTGTTCGTTCTTCAGGAGACATGATTTGGAGTTGCTTGGCAATGGGTTCAAGCATTGCGATAACACGCAAGTTAGATTCAATATTGAGATCAAACTCATAACGCTCCTCCTCGCATTTGTACATGGCTTCTTCATATGGTGTTTTTTTGTGCACAACAAAACCAGTCTCGGAAACGTATACAGGATGAGAAATCCAATCATTGTTTAGCACTTCCTTGGCAAGCTCATCACGACCACTAGTAGCTGGACGAGGAATCTATAACAAAAAACATTAAGTTTAAAGCCACACCCAGTCGCATCCAATGCATAACCACTTACATCCTTGGGTAGCTTTCTATAACTGTGGCCACTGCGTTTGCAGCTACGCAAATCAATTTCGGGTCGGTCGGCTGGAATATTGTAAATGACTTCATCATTTTCATACTTGACAAATTTCTTGAACCATTCAAAAAGCTCAGGGCTGCGCATCAAAAAAGGCTCAGTGCGTTCAACAAGAGTTTTGCTGTCAATAATCTCCTGGGTAAACAGATTCAACAGTTTAAGGAATTCGTTATAAGATGCCTTGTTTCCAATTACCCGTTTGCATCTTTCAAAAAAATCCAGCTCGCCAGAAGATGCCACTTTTCCCCTGTAAGCAATCGATGTCAAGGGCATTGCCGAGGAAGAAGGAATGCCATTGCCAGTCCGAATCTTTTTTTTAGGTGGTGGAAGCTGGCTAGGAGGACCAGCATAACTCATGGGAAAATTGGTACCAGAATGGCGCTTTGCCTGTTTCTTGGCACTTTGATCAGCAGATTTGATCCCATTTTCCGTTGCAGAGAGAGCGTGTTGAGAAGATTGCTGAGGGGTTTGTGGATGTGTCTGATTTTGTGGTTGGGCTTGCTGAAAAGACTGTGACTGAGGTTGACTATTATCAGGCAAAAACTGCTTGAATTCGTCTAGCAAATCTGGTGCCTCTTTAAACAGAATTTGAACCTGGGCATACACTTCTTGGATTGGCTTTCCTTCTCGTTGATATGTTTGCAAAATTTCTAAAAATTGCTTGTAAGTGTCAGGCTCTGTCGAAAATCGATTCTTGATCTTATTTACATAGTTGATCGCATGGTTAAATTCGACTGGACCACGATTACTACGAGCATTGGCATCGTGGCCAAAAGAGCTAGCATTATCATCGCCATAAACCTGCATAGGAGGTGGACCAGAAGCAGAGGAATATTGAGAAGGTTGACCAGAGCCAGATAGATGTTGAGTAGAGCCGTGTGGAGCTCCGTAACGCACTGCTCCAGAAATAGGTGCATTTGAAAATCCATCTTTTCCTTGATTAGAAGGAACATGCTTGGCACTCATATGAGAATCACCTGAATGCAACATATGAGGAGGTGCGCCGTTATGCATTGGTAAGCCATACGCAGCGCTAGGATGTGGACCCCCTGGAGCAATAGAAGGCAAAGATGATAAAGCAATGCTGCTACCTGGAGGACCATACGACACACCATCACGACTTGCACTATCGCCACGGTTAGTAGGATGATAAGGATCATTTCCTGCAGATGCAGCGGGAGCAATCTGGTTTACAACATAAGGGTGATCACGCGGGGTAGTCACACGCACAGGATCTGCGGGATTGTTGGTTGGCTCAATGCGATACCCTGGTGGTAGAAAAGTATTGAATCCCATAATCAGATTTGGATGTCCACGAAACAGGGACGATACACGTTCGATTACTCCAGGCGTGTCAATTGCTTGCGATTTAAAGTCTTTCATGATATCCAAGAATCGATTGTAAACCTCGGGCTGGTCACCAAATTGAATTTTTACTTGATCCAAATATGATAATGCATCTCGCACATTTAATGGGCGATACCCGGCCGGAGATGGATTTGGCTCATTGAAATTAAATGCAGTATTTGGTGGTCCTGCAACTCCCGCTGATGTATGTGACTGCTGGCTTGTAGAAGGTGATTCTGGTCGTGCAGCTGTTGAACTGTGAGGCTGCATGTGAGTAGGAGTTATAGTTCCACTTGATGGCATAGATCCACTGACTATTTGATTGTGATGTCCCTGCTGAGGCAATGATCCGCCAGCCGGCATCTGCGCGTGCATGGATGTCGGTGGGTGTGATTGAATGGATGAATGTGGCTGGGGAGCAGAAGAATACAATCCACTTTGCGATTCATAGTGTGAATGACCGGAATTCAGTCCAGATGAAGATGGAATTGACGGGGGTCCAGACATAGGCTGGGAATGTGGAATATCATTTAAAGAATGAGATGCTGGATACGAAGTGTACTGTGTGCCTGGTCTAACATTGGGTCCATGCAACGAAGGCGAAGCATGAGAAACGTTTGAAAGTGTTAGGGGCGGCTGAGTAGGTGCCATTTGAGAAGGATAGGGCGATTGAGCCAAAAGATAGGATTGTGGGTGAGATGGTCGGTCAGTTTTGGGTGTTTGGATTGGTCCTCTAGAGTATTCCATATTATTACTGCTGGAAGTGTTGAATGCATAGATAAATCAGGCATAAGTGTCATGGACAACATCAAGTGTATTTTCAGCTATAAATTAAAAATAATATACCTTTGTGGAGGATAAGATCCACCAGGGCCTGGTACAGGTGGTGGAATCTGCGACATGGCTTTCAAGTGCTAATTTGAGTCCAAGACAATAACTAACCAAACTAGAGTGGATTTAAAAAGTCGGTCAGATTAAATTGTCAGAAAACTGATAAAAAAGTATGGCAACATGTGTAGAAATAAACACCATCACGAGTGCGATCAAATCGAATCATGGATGCATTTGAATATGCTTAAATACGGAAAAGGACCTTGTAAACTCAATATACTAGATGACTCATAATAATGGATATTTAAAGCAAGTGGATGGCTCAAGGTCATTGAGTTTGTACATAAAAGTATCAAACTATTGGGGCTGTTTGATGATCTAAAATGAAAACATTGGTGTGGACATTAGCCCAACTGATACTTGACCCAGCAAGTAAATAGCATTGACATCTTCGCGAGGAAAAGCTCAATAAAAACTTTAAAGCTAATCCAAACGAGACTCAATGCAATCTATAAAAACCAAACTGATGTTGATAGTCTAAAATAACCATATAGAATGAGTGTAAAGGCCCGAATATTCAAATATGAAGAACGAGTCTGATGGTCATCCATATACAAAAATAGACTTGATCTTGTGCAGCTTGACGAAGCACAACCAATATCAAGCCAGTCAACACACCTAATGGCTATTTATAGATACAAAACAGATGGCTGCCTGGTAATTAACACAGCAAGATGGTGCAACCAAGTGCAACAATATCTTGACGCAAACATGAGATTTTTGGCTTCGAGCGGGAGCAATGCATAAGTCACGTGGTGATTAGACGGTAATATTTGGGGAATTACAACAATATACAGACTGTGCTGTAAAAGTATATTGTGGCGCAGCATACTAGCTACAGCGAAATGAACAGCGTCCAACAATTGCTGGATGCATGGTTACATATCCAACAAAGTGGAGTGAATGACAAGTGCAAGATAATGAATTCACATCAAGGAGTATATTCTAGCCCTTGGATCTATAAATCCACAAAACCAGCAGTATATCCAAAATCACAATGACGATTACCCATTACCAGTCCAAAGCATTAGTTCAATCCAATGGTTTTTTCCCATTGAAGGAATCCATATGGATTGATTAGAAAAGGGTATGCAACAAGTCCAAACTTCTGCCAAAATGCCCAAATCTAAAAGGTAGAAATAAAAGATATCTACAGGCATTTAATAAATAGCATGCATTTTACATCTGCTATAGGAGTAACGGCACTACTGAATCTTTGTTGAATATCTATAAAAACAAGACATTATGCCAGCAATGAGTATGCAGCTGGTTTTGAGTCCTTGTCTAAAACATGCTTACAGACTTGAAGATATGGTATTAAGCCATTGGAAATTATAAGATCTGGGTATGACATGTAGGCACAACCATGAAATCACCAGCGGTACTCAATGCAACCACAGATTCAAGACTCAGCATTTCAATAAGAAGCCTTGATAGGATAAAAAGTTTGCACAATATCTACACATGGGAAAAAACCTGCTCAATACGATATCAGTAGCAGCTAGATTTGCCTTTCAAAAGGTAGTCAATGCAGTCAAGAGTGCTGAGATGAAGCATGGATTCAATTGATAGACTTGATTGAAAGTGGACTAGAGTCGAAAGCAGCATTGAGTCGAATAATCAAATTAATACCTACTTGATGTACCAGACTCAAAGCAAGACGAAAGAACAAGGTCAGTTGGTTGTTAGAATCTCGGGCTAAATACTCGATAGGCTGAAAACCACTCAGCTGAGCGTGATGTTGCAGTAAACAAAGGTCAAGATCTGGCTCGACAGACCAAAATGTGTGGTTGGCCTGTTTCTTGCTGATTGGCTAGAGAATAGTCACGAGCAAGCCAATCAAACTCATATCACGTGGACTGATATTTGGATTTCATTTTATCTGAATTCTCATCCTGTCATCAGTTGTAATATGCTACGGAGATTACCAACAAGTATTACGCTTACTCAGGCTGATATCACCGAGTTGGATCAGTTACGTGAGAAGCAAGCTAATGAGAAAGGATCTTGCCAGAGTGAGCGTAATCAAGGTGAGCTACTACAGTCATCTCAAGAGACATACTTTGAGCAGCATATTGACAGTAATACTCAAACTCGACTGTTTTGTTGTGGTTTAAATCACATATTCAAGATAAAAGCGCACCCAGTGTACTAGATCGAACTGTGGCATTGAATTCAGCCAACGCTGAGAAGCAGCACAAGACCCGCGATCGAATTGGACTTGTCCATCCTTGATTATACTATCGTTATTTCAACCCAATCACCGCTATACAACATTGACCCAGTTTAAAAAGCATCTGAAAATATAGGTTTCTTTATCCAATAATCCAACATGAACATGTTGCTATGCATGCAAACTCAATAAAAGACATTATTTTTTACCAAGCTGGTCAATCATGGGATCGTCCCAATTGATAAACTTTCCAGACATACCAGAAACACTGTGTAATGCAACGTTGGCAATAGCTGCTCCTGGGAGTTTGGCGGATAGAAGATTGCCAGACTCTTTTAGTTTAAGGAAGTAGGCATGATTGGACTGAGACATGGCTGATGCTCCTTTATCACGAATTTCCCCCTGCATGTCCGTATCAACCACTACACCATTTTCAGCAAGGTCAGTCATTAAATCAAAAACCTTGATCTACCAGCCATGAAATGCAATCGCTGGTAAATCATTAAACCGAACCTAGTATGAAATTCAAGTAGATCACCTCCTGGACGAATAGCAACACTTGTAATAAGCGGCTCCTCAAGACCAAGTCCTTCAACTAGCATATTCATGGATGCCTTGGATACGCAATATGGCACCCATCCCACATATGCGCTAACTGCAGCACCCGAACTAACCATCACAATTCTACCACCTCGGCCTGTTAGAGCATCTATCTGCCGCAAATAGGGTAGTGCACGCTGAACCATCTCAACTCCAGCAAATACATTGACTTGCATCAATGACCGCCATTTGTCCAGATCAGCATCAGCAACCTTGGAGAGTGGTTCCAACACACCTGCATTGTGCACAACGGTATTGATTGTTCCAAACGCCGCTACACATGCATCAACTGCATTGGATGCTTCTCCAGAAATAGACAGATCAAACACTTGATAGCGGAAAGTAGCTGGATACTGACTTGAAAGAGCTTGGACCTCCAAGAGTGAGTCGAGCGTTGATCGACCAATACCAAATACCTGAGCATTCTGTCGCAAACAGGCTTCTGCAATTGCTAGACCAATCCCTCGAGAAGCTCCTGTGACTAATATAGTAGGAGTCATGAATTTATGGAAAGTGTCGAAGCTGCTCAGTTGGGTGACAAATATTTATCCTGCTATACAGCACTGATTTCGGACAACTATACTTTTATTTAGCCTTGGTTGAAGTCGTAGAGACCAATGGCATACTTTAAACTAGCCCACCACTCTACACACTCTATGTCTAGACTGAGCTCCCGTTTAGCCTCAGTGAAGCTGCACGTGATGAGTAGACTGGCTGTAATGAATTGGTTTTGGTGGAAACTCGAGTGGATGGTTTAACCCTTGATATTACCAAACATGTCTCGAGAATTTAATCCAGAAAACATCCCTTCATCCTTTTCACAGACACCTCCAGAAACAACTTTACAACAGAAGCAATTTAAAATAAACTTTGAAGATGGTAGTAGCACATCATCTCGCAGCAGTAAAACACGCGAATTGAGCAAGGTGAACAGCAATAGTCAGATTCACTATACATCCGTGAGTTATCCCAAAAACGATATTACCAATTCAGTAACTGACTCGGCTCATCAAGATAAATGTGTGGTGCCAAATATGGACGAGACATATTTATACACAGCAAGAGCAAGTCAAATCAGTAATCCGTTTGCAACACCGCGAGACTCATCACTTCCACCACATCCTAGAGCTAGTCGCATCATATCAAGCACACCGTCTAATATCACACAACAGGGTTCTAATACTGCACATAATAGTCAGTCAATGGCATCTCCCACTATGGAAAGTGCTGTATCCAATCCATTCGCGACACCCTTGATGAGCGCCGTATCTAACCCCTTTGCAACGCCATTAGACAACACCATGTCGCCAATACTTGAAAGTGCACCTCCATCTCGACTGAATCAGTCATCCAATACTGCCTCATCGCATTTTTTAAAAAAGAAATCGTCGAAAAATGGATTGTCAGAATCCCAAACAATACCGCATTCAAAGCAGCATCTTGACCAGGCAGGTCAGTGCCTTGGATCCATCGAATCAATCCAAGAAACCCACATGTTGCCACAACTGGAAGTAGACCCAATGCAGTTGCCTCGGATATTGACAAAGAAATCATATGGAAAAGATGGGATGAAAAAATCGACAGATGCATTGCATAAGCGAGATCGCTCCAAATCAAGAAAAACCGCTTACCATGTGCAATCACCAACAACCAGTATGTGACTCGAATCTTTTATTTCATTTCAATCTTGGCCAAATGTGGTCTATTATTTGTATTTATTGGAGCTATTTTTGACATTGTATTTGCACCAAACCAATGGCGCTCAATACACTTTTGTTTTGTAGATGAGTTTGTGGCAATTCCAATGGACGATATAACGGATCTATGCGGCAACCCTGTTCATTATAAATCCAAGTCAAAGTTATCCCACAAGAAGCTACATACAGATATACATTTAGCATCTACAATCAACTTGAACAACAGTGATATATCAGCCATGACTGGTAGATCCGATGATGGTTTAAAGACAATGGCATCGATTACAAATTTGACTTTACTTCCGCTAAACGAAAATAGTATGCCAGTTTCTGATCAGCCCATTAGTGTAGTGTATGTTCAAGAAAAATCAGGCAAGAGATTGTTTCGCAAATCAATGGGCGGACTTCGTAAAGCAGAGGGAAGCATTTCACCTAATGCATCGACCGGAGCCCCAAATATGAATTTGTCGCGAGTGAATTGGCAAGATCAACTGTGTGAATTGGCCAAGGTATGTTTAACAAAACTACTTTTTTTAGCTTTTTCTAAAACTATTTTATTTGAATTATAACTTATTGAATCACTATGTACGTGGAATCAATCCACTGGCAGTTTACCAATAGCCTCACCTACACGATCCTTTTGATTCTCCACAGTCTCTATGCCGGTTTATGTCTCTACTCACTTGTTCTATTCCCGCTAGCTGCAACACCTGCATTTCCTACGACCAGCCCGCTTAAGGTGAATCAAACAATCAATTTAAACGACACACTATACACCACACTGGCTCCGCAAATACTTGAATTCCAAGTTACTGCACTTCAGGATGTAGAATTGCTTACATCAACAAGCTTTCGCTTTTTGGTGTTTTATTCTATGATAGCAAATGGATTGTCGCTTCTTTTTCAGCTGGGAAGCTTAGCTGCATTGATGAGTACCTTGAATATTGCTACAGAGAATATCAGTAACAGCCAAGCTGACGTGTTGGTTAAAACAAACAAGATAAACGGTGATGATACAGCTCATCAAAGCATGATGGATCTGACCCAACACATGAACATTCAAACCAATAGTGGATTCAACTTGGAACGACCTCTACCACCAATACCTACGCAAATGAATAGTGTCAACGCAGATGCAAAGATTGAACTGTTGCGTTTTGCTTCTGTTTTCGACACCAAAGACATCCTATTTACTTTATCAACGAATTGGCAACTTTTTTGCAGGATTCTCATTGTATCAAGTTAGTTTTTTAAATTGCACTTTTAAACACCATGTGTGGGTTATAGATTGCTTACGCTTTATATTGGTTATTATAGCTGCGACAGTGTCATTTATTTCCAACGCACTCATGATTCCCATCGATATGCGTATTAGCCAAAGTGGTACAGATGGTCAATATGGTGGTGCATATGGTATGCCCAATTGGTATTTTGATCCGTCAAAAATCACTCAGGATTTGGTTGTGATGGATTTACGGATATGGATTGCATGCAATATTGTACGTGGGGTATTTGGCATTGTGTGCTGGATCGTGTGTATTGTGTTGATTAGTTGGAAAAAAGTAATGCGTACTAGTAGTATGACGGATAGGAATTATGCAATTAAAAGGCGAGTAGGGCAAGGAATCATGCCAATATAGCAATTGAGTTGGCTTGGATTATATTAAACACTTGAAAAGTAGTGCACATCAAAAATGAGTAGATGGTGGACGGGACATGACCACATGTCCTAATATGCAAAGTTTTGAATCATAGTAATAAACTGCCTAAATTTATTTAAATCTCGACTAAATCCTCAAAAAACAGCATATCAACTCGAATAAAAAAGATAAAATAAGAAATATATACTATCTCTATAGAACAAATCGCTTGTATGTGCGTCTGTATTTACTATCCACTTTGTCAAGATAAAAGCTCCCAGGGAAAAAGTTGGTCTCGTCTACAATACCCTGAGGCTGATAGTCGCAAGCATTATGGACATCCTGACGAAGCTGCATTACTTGGTCAAAGTCATTGGGATCAACAACGGTGCGGGCGGCAAGACGGGCTGAAAGATTGAGATGCTTTGCCATACTTTCAGTTGAGCCGCGAACAGTAAAGGAGAAAAAAGAAGATGCAAGTCCAGATCCATACGAAAACATGCCAACTCGCTTGTTTAACTAGTGTGTAAAGAAGTTTAAAAAAAAGTAGTGTTGGCAATCAAATAGAACAATAATGTAGCACGTTCGCCATGACTAGATTGGACAGTTGGCAAGGCGTTTCAAATAACATACCAGTTCATTTGATGGGACGCTGGAAAGAAGGGAGACAAGACCGCCATAAAGAGAAGCACAATACATATTTCCCAGGTTTTTAGCGGCCATCAAACCAGGCGCAACACGAGCAGAAAACATGTCTTTGGTTACTCCCATGAACACTTTTTCAATGTCCTTGTTGGTGTAGGTCTGCTCAATAGGAGTAGAAGCATGCTCTTCAAATTGTGCAAGCTCCTTTGCAGACGGGTTACGACGCAGATCGTTAAAAGCAAAACGCCCATAGGATTTTTGAACAAGCTTGTTGTAAGGGCAGTGAAACAAAACATAATCCAAGTTGTTGCGATCAGCATTGACTACACCGCTCTAAAAGTAATGAATTGGTTAGGACTGCATTAAAAATAAACAGCAGATGCACTATTATGCCCGTCTTTTTAATATATTCACGCGCATTACAAGCCATTTCGATACAGAGCAATCTTACCTGTTCAAGTCTATCCAAGTAGTGATTGTAGCAGGTATCCAAGGCCTTGATATAGCATTTGTTGCTCAACTGTCCATCAACTTCTGGGTATTCAGAGTGCAAATCAGGCTTGTAAAAGTCCCAGACATGTTCAAGATGCGATACACGCATACGATGATCGAATACAATTGGAGCGTTTCTGCCCAACAACATGGCAACAGCACCAGCACCACCAGTAGGACGAGCATTGCCACTTTTGTAAATGGCAATGTCTGCTGCAACAACAATTGCAAGACGACCATCCCACGAAGAAGATTCAAGCCAGTTGATGGTATTGAATAAAGCATTAGTACCTCCATAGCAGGCATTGGTAGTATCAATACCTTCGACGTTTGAGTTGCCAGACTCGACAAACAGCTGCATGAGAACAGACTTTACAGACTTGGACTTGTCAATAATAGTTTCGGTGCCAACTTCAAGACGACCAATCTGGCTATAAGAAACATTATACTTGTCCATGAGTGATTTGACCACAGTCAGACACATCGAGTTGATATCCTCGCGATCGTCACAAAAGGCCATCTTGGTCTGGCCAAGACCAATGGTATATTTACCAGAAGACACACCATCAAATTGCTCTAGATTTTCAAAGCATCAGTTTATATATTCCAATACCCAATCCAAAGTTGTATAAAGCAAATCAAAGATGATAGGGTTAGCAACTAGTTTAACTCTGCAAGAGCTAGCCAATAAGGGAAACAGTGCAATTTGGAATACAATAGGTTGAGGCTCATGCAATTGATGAGCATGACAAATAGCTTGAATGCGGGATCAAGATTAAAATGACTAAGCGATGATATCAATGTATAGCGATAGGAGCGTTCAAAGACAAAAGACATAGCAAGATCACAGCCATAATGTCCAGTCAAATTCAATCATGAAAGCAACAAAATATCGAGTCTAAATAGATCCAAAACTCACCAAGTTGGGCTTGGTCGACACACTAAAATAGTCAAAGTTGACGGGACCGGTTACCAAGACAGAAACAGACCAAGATCAGTAGGTGGATTTCAAGGTGACAGCATCAAACACCCGTATTAGATGGCCATTTGAGATGATGGTGAATAGAATATAAGACAAAGGTAGATCAAATCGAGTCAGTAAGCAGAAACATTACATAGAACAGGACGGATGTGCTGATTCAGCAAAAACTCGAGCCTTCAATTCTAACTGGTCGGGATATCCAATTGCAAGTTTCTTTCAAATGGAAGCAACAGAAAGGTAGTCCAGCCATCAGTATTCAGACTGACAACTCAAACCCATTGTTGCTATGTAGGCCATACTCGAAAGGATTTATACAAAGACCAACCTTTTTGGGAAAATATACTTCGATAGCGTGAATACCGACATTCATGGTATTGTCGGCATTCAGAGGTAGTGGAACTCCAGTTCCGACCGAAAATATATCAGTGGGTGCGGAAACAGGAGTGGAGTTATTTAGATTTTGTCCATTTGTAATAGAATGTACGCTGCCGTTTGAACTGCTGTTGTTGCGAAGCATATTGGTGATATTACTATACTGCGGGTTAGTTGGACTACAATAAAATTTCGATTTGTTCCAAATGCTGATGGGCACAAAATACTCGTTCAAGGGATACTATTCACGTGACTGCACATCGACTACAGCCGTATTCACGCAACATGGAACACTGAATAAGGATGACAAACAGCCCGTCTCATGACACGATACTTCACACCAGTTTTACTGAATATCATATTAACACTGAATGGTTGACATGGGAATAACTGCTGCAGTTTGATATTGTTTTCTTGGACTAGAACATATTCGAGTTTGTAATCATTGACAATATCAAAACAAACTCAATATCTGATTTAAAACTTGTTGATTATGTAATGTATATCAACAAGACAGTCTCGGTTTAAAAGTATAGTTTACAATCATATAATGAACATTGTATTTGAAAGGGTTGCAGATGTCTAATCAAGTCAATCTGTAATAAGAAAACTAAATATTTAAGCCTTGACCCAAAGCAGAATAGAAATGCGTTTCATTTTACGTGAATACGGCAGTAATAAACTGCTAGACTATTTATGGCAATAACAGATGCTCAAACCCTTTAAATTCCAGTCCAACAATCTCAAGAATGCAACTAGAAGATGGTTTATCAATACCATTTTGCCTGAATATACAACTTTAACAGTACAATTCCTGTTCAACACTATCCAGTGTCTGCAACACACTTGGTATTCAACTTGCTCGAGTTTCCCCGAATGAGTGCTTTTGGTCAAAACAGCTGTGATCTTGCTGTGACTGCGAGCGGTAAAAGCACTATATTTTCACGTGACTACACAGCTTTGATGAGCCAATAAGCGTGCGGTGAATCTTGCCATCACAACTTACATTTCAACAAAGTGTATTCATTATGGGCTTGTTTTTCGAAGCCTACGAATCAGTTCGCAATGTGTCTGGGCTTCCACCCGACCAATTCCACACCGTTGTTGCTATCACTTCTCTTGTCTTTGTCCTCACTGTTTGGCTACTTTCGTATGCTTTAAACCAACCTCTTGTAAGATTTCAAAGATCTTTATTTCCTTGACAATCTACTGTTCTTGTTGAGCAGTCCTGGTTTTAACTGGATCGTTCGAGTAATGCATTTGCTAAAGCTTCACTGTTATATCATTCAACGAGATGGACAATGATTCAACAACTCTTTTTATTCATTGGGATCTACTTGAACTGCGGATTAGCCCATTTGATATTCATCAGTGTCTGGTGAATTTGATCTAGCTAGCCCACTTATAGCTCTTTCATTGATTTAAACTGTTGAATTTTGGTCTAGATGGAATCTGCTGTTTCTACTTTCAGTCCATATTCCTCATCACTGCTATTTTCGTTGTTTACAAGTCAAACTAACTTTAGATTTTCACTATTGGTCACGCCAACTCATAATGACAGAAATCTAAAGACACTGGATCAGAACCTCCAAGAGTCCCAGTCTCCATTCCATTTATTGGTGCTGCTATAGCCTATGGAGTTGATCCTATCAAGTTTCTTATAGAATGTCGTCAAAAGGTACTTGATTAGCCCGTATTTCTTCCATGATTGCTATTAAATTGTAGACAATATCACTTTCAATCTATACGCAATATCTTGTAGTATGAGCGTTTGAAAACGTTGTCATGCGAAATGCAAATTTGGATTCTACTGCTCTTTCATCTATGTCTAACTGTTGTGTTCAAAACGGCTTATATAGTATGGCGACTGCTTCACCTTTGTTATGCTAGGTCGTAAAATGACTTTTTGTCTAGGTCCAGATGGAAACCACTACGTATTCAACGTTCCTGTTGCAGATGCTACAGCTGAAGGTGCATACAAGAAACTGACGGTGCCTGTTTTTGGTGCTGGTGTTGTGTATGATGTACACAATGCTATGTTTATGGAACAAAAAAAGTAAGACATGGTTGAATGAGAAATAGTAGGTGTATAGATTTGATATTAACCATTTATGATTGATCAAACTTGAAAGGTTTGTCAAGGACGCTTTTAACTCAAACTCGTTCAATGCATATATGCTCAACATTTGGAATGAAACAAATGCCTTTTTTAACGATTGGGAGGATCATTACGACGCTAATATGATTTTTGATGAAATGTCTGAACTCACTATTCGTACTGCTTCACATTGTCTGCTCGGCAAGGAGATCCGCCAACAGCTGCACTCTACAGGTAATTCATGCATGCCATTCTTGTATTTTCTGTATCAACCAGCTTGATATATTCGCTTTTGCTCATATCACATCTTGACAACTCTAGTTGCTCAGCTGTATCACGATCTTGACTCTGGTCTCGCACCTATTAATGTGTTTTTTCGCTGGCTGCCACTACCGGTTTACTTTAAGCGTGACCGTGCCAATAAGATCATGTCTAAAACCTTTGTTGATATTATTAAAAAGCGACGTGCTACTAATAGCACCGACAACGCTGATCTGATGCAAACTTTGATGTTTGCTCGGTATCGTGATGGAACCAGCATGACAGATGATGAAATTGCTCATCTTTTAATTGCAACTTTGATGGGTGGACAGCATACTAGCTCAACCACTCTTTGCTGGATGCTTTTTGAACTTGCTCGTCGTCAAGATATTGTTGACAAGCTTCTTCACGAACAATCAATGGTTCTGACAGGAAAGCCTGACACTCCGCCCGAGGATCTTCCCGAATTCACCCACGAGCAGATTCGTCAACTGACTTTCCTTGACTGTGTGATGAAAGAAACTCTTCGTCTTCACCCACCTATCCACACTGTTATGCGTAAAGTTGAAAAGAGCATGACTTATCGTGGCATGACTATCCCTGCTGGTCATTTCATTTGTGGTTCTGCTGCTGTCAGCCATTTGGATCCTACTCGTTTTCCAGATCCCCTCAAATTCGAGCCTAGTCGTTTCCTCAATAATGACGAAGGATCCGGAGAATGGTCCATTAACACTATTGATATTGCTCAAAAAAGTGCCCGATCCCACTTTTTACCATTTGGTGCTGGTGAGCCTTTTATGCATTTGTTTAATTCAAACTCTTTCAGTCTTTTGTTTTTTTCGGTAATACTGTTTCAAAAACATGAATCGTTTAAAACTAATTATTTACTTTTTGCACAACTCAGGTCGTCATCGTTGTATTGGTGAAGCGTTTGCTTATATTCAAAACAAAACCATTCTTTCCGCCTTTATTCGTCGCTACACTCACAAACTGTATGTTGACCCCAACACTGGAAAAGAGCATTTTCCTAGCTCTGATTACACCTCGCTGATTACAATTCCAGAGAAACCAGCACGTTTATCCATTACCCGTCGTTCTGTAAAAGCTTGAATGATGCGTTTTTTCTCGGTTTTAGGGGTATCTGTTTAATGTTTCAGAATAAACTCAGCGCTGTTATAGGTTTAATCACATGCATATTTAGACGCCATTTTATGCAATTATAGTTAGAGCCTAATTAGTGTAAATGTCACCAAGTACCAGTGAAACAGGGTTTCATGGACCCTAATAATTGTGGTTTGCCTCACCACGCGGTCCGACTTTGTTTGTTACCAGAAACGTGATGGCGTTCCTTATAACCAAGTCATTCAAAAAATATAAATAGCGATCAAGATACCACCTTATACGATCATATTCAGTTTACTTGATTCAACCCTAACAACTATGCCTGCCACCAACGAAACCCCCAAGACTGCCTTGCCCACCTGCCCTGAATGGTAAATCGTATTGGTTGATGTAGCTTGTACAAATTTATGTTGTTAAACTGTATATCTTCTCCAATAAACAGTGGCCTTGATATCGACTTCTCCGCTATTGACGAGTCCCAGAACAAGGGCTGCAACTGCGAGTCGACCAAGTACGTACCAAATACTCTTTAATAATTTTAATCATAGTGATCATAAAATTATTAGTGTTTAAAAACCTGGCCGACTAACTTGTATCACTTTTATATTGCTTTGCCTCACTAGGAACCAGTGCACCATTCTTTAAATTACTGCATATGATTCCATTTATTGCGATCCTTGATACGTCGTTACTGGCTTGTTCAAACTGCAAATAACAATGAAATATGCGTTTTAAATTGTGATTTTATGTCTGTTTCAAGAATCAATTTCTGTGGATGTTTAAGTGGTTTCAAATTAAGGGTCTCTCAAAAACTACACTGTAACTAGATGGTGATGTGAACATGGATCTGGACATGGATCTGTATCTGGAATGGTGACTTGTATAGTTCTTGTAATAAACACTGCTTGGTCGAATGATTGGGTATTGCTATACCAACTATTTGTCATTTAGATTGTCGCTGCGACTCATTCCACAAACATACACATCACTCGATTGCAACACAAAAGAGTTGCCAATCCATATTGAATACACATTTGCTTTGGCTGTAGCCAATCATTAAACGGATTACAATTCACAACACTCTTGCTGTATGTCTTGGTAGATGGGTTTCATGATTTTATTGGCATAGTATGGATCATTGTGGCTACCAGCATATTGGCAATCATCGCAATATACCAAAATGCTCCGTTGTTGAATCCCCACCAACCCAACTTGTAACCACCAATACTTGCAATATGCAACTAGAATATATTTATCAATCAAAACATCTCACTGCACCAATCGATTGTTTAGATTTGGAATATGTGATGTTCACTACCATCCAATCAGAAACCTGTATTTTAATCATGCAGTAACATCAACTACCAATGGAACCTCGAACCAATCCGACTCGCATACCACACATGATCTGTTACTTTGTCCATGTTGACTGTTACTGTTGACAATCAGTATTGGTTTATTCCTATCGAGGCGAGTTGATAGCAATGCGTATATTGTAATGGCTGTTTTCAGATCACTCGTCTGTCTGTCATGCAAAAACAAGAATTGCATTTGGAATGCTTGCTCATCAAGTGTTATGGATAATAAACAACAAATGCATTTCTAAATTTGTAGATTTGTAGATTTGGAATACCAATGTGAGTGACAGTACCATGTTTATGGAATACAACAGTCTATCAGGTATATTCAGCTGCATGGCTTACATCACAATATATTCGCATGACATGACAATCGCTTGTCCACGTTAATCTACAAACATCTTGATGTTGCCGCCTCGTAGAGCATTCAAGTATTTCTGTTTCGCGATTATCGTTTCTTGTTGATTCTTTTGGTACTAACCTTGTTTTTTCACCCATACAATAGTGCATCTCGCTTGCTAATGCCATAATACCGTATCATTTGTATTCCAGCCATGGATGTTTGTTTTTTGGAATTCATCCATCAGATGTGGTTTAATGACATGTTCCAACTTGCCGCTGGATATACCAAAATACGCACAATCAGTGTCCATGATACAGTATTGATGGTCACTTTGATCAATGCAATAGTTGACAAAGTCATGGTAAAACTGAAGCATTCACAGCTTTGCCAACTGATACACAGCAAGGCCGATCTGAACTGGACAGCTTTGTTTGAATAATGTCTTTTTAAAACGGATTTCATCACCTTTATTAATATCTTGATGCACAGTATAATTGGCTTGTCCAACATTCTTGATATAGTTGTCCACATTCACCATCTTGACTGTTTTGTGTTTCAGGAAGTTTGCAATACATTTCCCGTATGATGAATTGTCAATCAATTACATCATTTCTCATGTAGTGTGTAGGCTTGATTGGTATCTCCAGCTCGCATGTCATTCGAAACATGATCCATGAATGCATTGAACAGTGTGTTACACTTGTATTTTACAGTACAAGCTACACTGGAAACATCCAAACATTTATTCACGTACCATTTTAGCAACTGTATGGAATAACACTTTATTTCCAAAGAAACTGTCAATTAGTTTGTTACACTTGTAGTTTGGGTTTACCCGATCTTGTGGTTCAGCGCATATATCGTTGAACACAAGTCCCACATTGTTGAATATTGGCGGCATCTCGGCAAAGACATTCCAGAGTTGATTCGGCACGGTAATGTCACATTCAATAACACCAAATAGTGATTCTGTCATGACATGTTTGATGATGTTACGGTACAGCTCCATGACCTGATGGTTACCGCATAGCATGTCTTGACCAATGACATATATACAAGGCATTAGCATTATATCACAGAATTTGTCGACAGAGCTTATCTCGTCTTGTTCTTGTCCTGTCTTGTCCATGATAATGATGCAATACGATGCTTGATGGTCCAACGACATTGTATATGTATGTATGACACAACACATTATTGCGCTTGAATAGTTGACATTCACAGTATTTATTATTCATTTTCCAGTGGTATGTCAATGCTCATCCTGTAATTGGAATGTCATGTTTATGGATATCCAGATTCAAGTATTGGATCAAATAGCAACGCATTTTGGTTGCTTCTGTCGTGGGTTTACGTTCAAGTTGTTGTAGTCATTCAGTATATCGAATATATTGGTGTTGTTGACGATCTCATTGTAAACCAATGTTGGTACGGCTTTGCACTTTATATCATTACCGAACCATTTCCTGGATGGAATATGTCAATGTTTGACGTGCTCAATCACATTCACAGTATATGGTCCCAAATCTGGATATTCGTCGACATACTTGTATATATTCTGGGCTACTCTGGGTAAATACACCCATTTGCATTTCAGTATCGAATACTGTCAAGAACTGGTCCATGGATGTACTGTGAGGTACTGTGAGGTATTGGGTGACAAGTATGATAGAATGTCTTTGAATGTAAACGACCTGTTTGAAATCATTTGGTAGTTATTGTTACATTTGATGATGCTGTCCATTTCAGTGTTTCCGAAAGTTGAAATTCGCATCCCCAAACATTCAACTTTGTAACCCATTTGCTTGTGAGATGTGCTTGATTTTGCATGGTCGTTTGATACAAGATATTCATCGATCACCCGTCAATGGGTAATATCATCAGACTTGTATCACCTATTACAACCATGAAAAAAGCATCCGTTGAACTCACAGTATTCGTTTTGTCATCATAGCCGTCTACATTGTACTTTGCAATCGTTTTGTTCTGTTCAATGTCCCGACCCAATTCTTGCTCAATGCTACGAATCCACAACTGTTCGTATTTGGAAACGTTGCCATGCTTTTGTGTGCTTTATCAGGACTTGCGTGAGATATTTCTTGATGGCATTAATATCATATGAACCCAAGTTGAAGTCGTATACTGGCAACACATCCAGCCATTCCAGCAATTTGTTGCGCAACGACTTTCATGCCTTGACAACTTCAAACCTATCAATATATATAAACAACTCTGTGTACTTGGATACAGATCATGTAGATATTTCATTTGTATGTTATTCATCTTGATCATCTTGATCATCGTTACATCCAATGCTTTTTCACTCGTTCCATCTACATGAATGAGCTCTGGGGTTGATTTCTCACTGCCCATAAAACTGATGCTTGACAACTCGTGTATTACAAGATACTGCAACTTTGAATCTGTATCCAATTGACAATGCTTTAACCAAGTTTCGAAATCATTGAAATTATAGGAAATCATAGGAAATGAAATGAAACAAGGACAGTGTCTCAGATCTTGAGCAGCACACACCGTATTTGCTTCAAACATGTCAAAAACACCAGTCTTGGGTTGATAGTTTCCATTATCGAATAGTATCTTTGGTTTGCCCTGATTACACATTAACAAGTATCGGTTGATTTCTTGAACTCACTCAAATGTATGGCATTCAGCACATTCAAAGACTTTGGTCAATTGGTTGATGTTTTTGATACAATACAAGTGATGAGTATGAGTTTTAAATTGGTATATATGTCTGTGATCCATATTTGTTTGTAGTGTTTATCTGAATGTCTTTTCATCATTGGTTTGTTGCTGTTGAATCTGTACACATTGATGCTTACAGAATAATGTTTTTCAATATCATTCGGGTGTTTAACGTCAATCCCAGAATAATCTTTATTTATCTTGATGCCGTAGTAATCGTGAAACAACTCTGGCATTTCTTGACAATCTATGTCATCTTTTTCTGGCATTTCTATCATGAGCAAGACAATACCAGAACCAAAGATTATTGGGTGCATCTTCAAATGACACAATATTTGGTGTTTTTGATGAAATCTGGCAATACTAATGGTGAACCAGCAGACATTTCACGTAGTGGAGTCGACAAAAGAACGTACTCATATATGCTCTCAACGCTCCACTTTGAATTCGACGTTTCAGTCGGTCAATGATATCGTCGCCAGTTAGTTGTTCCAGAATACTATCAACTGATGTATTAATCAATGGCAGTTTGCATTGAAAAATGAAGTACTACCAGATGGATTAAACTGAATTGTTTCTTTGGTCGCTACATTTTGCAGTATATACCCGAATTGAACACCAAACCAATATCCAATGTTTTGATTGCTGTGGAGCGTAAGCGCAGATTTCCGAGTGGGAATCAATATCCCACTTCAAACTGTTCATTGGACAAGAATGTTTGCATTTCCCAAAAAGAATCTGATTTTCAAGTTGCTTGTTGAAGAGTAAGCTAGTTCTACAAGCTGAATATCTCAGTCCATTTTGACAACACATTTCTGACATATCAAAATATAAAAGCATTAGAAGCACTGAATTAGATGTGAGAATATGCCAATGTAGCAGATTGCACATTGCAAATATTTTTTTGTAAATGGATGGCTGATTGTCATTTTATTTTCAGTCATGTATCTATCCCAAGAAATATATTCCCGGCTTTAATCTGAATTCGAATATAATCCATTTAAATATCTCAAATGGAGATCGTAACAAGCGTGAAGTTATCGAGTTAGTGGAGTATACTCTTGAACCGCTACATGAAAAGACTAATGTATTTACATGAAATTATTGTGTTGGGTAATACTATACAATGAATTTCGAAATCAATACCCACAATGAATATCTTGAACGCATACGGAATTGGAATCATTGCAACCCAAATGAAAATGAGCAATTGTGACAATGGCATCGAGATTATTATCAAAGAAACAAGGATAAAGACCAGAAAACATACAGATAGTACTATTCATTGAATTCCGATCTCGAAAAGGAGAGTAAAAAAGGATAAAGAAAGCAAAAACACAATTCCAGAACAATAAATAGAAACAATCACAACAAGTGCTTTATTCAAGCAGATATAAAGATACATTGATTGAACATGGAAAAGAAAGTTGTTCATTCAGAGTAGATTAACAAGTGGTTTCCACAACGATGGACATGATTGACATGATACCGAGTTGTCCCACCACAGTGTAAAAAGACTGCACTATCAGTTCCACGATCATTGGTAGCAACATCATCATCACTGGAATCTGAATGTGTCGTCAATTGATGAGAGATTGTTGGTTGACAAACTGTCTCACTGCAATGGAAAGAGACATTTGAGTTGCTTTCATTATTGCTTGAATTCAAGTGTCAACATCAACTGTTGGTATTCACACTCACTACAATGACAACTATTGCTGTAACAGAAACCAGTCTCTTGTAATGAATACACAATTTTATTGAACATTTTCAATAATCAAAGTAGCACTTGAGTCCATCCATTTTTCGATGCTCTTACTCCGGTAATCTACAGGAGTACAGCCATCGTCATCATATGGACAACATTCATCATCAAACTCCGCACCACCAGCCATACGCCAAATAAGACACGCTGCCCTGTGGAACTCTAGTGCGTTCCTGTTTGGCTGCAGAGTTGGATCGCCAAGAACAAAGTACAGCGCCATCTCGCCATTAGATTCGACTGCTTGTCGATTGCTGAACTCTGGAAGCCTTCTTTGTTTTCCAAAACGGGTGTCTTTGAGGCTTTCAATTGCCTCGATCCAATTCATGTGCTTGTCATCGTTCAGGAGAACTGAATGGTTGACTACCTTGACCACCAGTTTGTTATCCACCACATCCACGTATCGCTCCAGTTTATCAAATTGGTCGTGACACTTGATACACAGCAACAGTCCGTTTTGGACTTGATGTTTCTGCGCTAGACCAGCTCGTAACAGGATAGGAGATTCGTTGTACGCTACTCCAATGTTCTTTTGGGCGATGATGTGTGCTCCTTGCAAGGACAGCTTATCCCAGCAAAACAAGCAGACTCTGTCTCTTTCCTCGACAGCATTCTTCAAGTCCCTGTGAGACAGCTCACTCTCTTTTGGGACATTGCTTATATTTCTAGCCGAGTTGGTTCTTGATGGTGCCCTTGAAGAAGCTGGAGTGTGGCAGCTGGATGAGCTGTTGTAATTTTTGTGGAATGGCAGTATGTAGTACTCAAACATCTCGTCAATGAATGTACGAGGATGCTCTGAGTCTGCCAACTGGACCTTGGTTGAGAACTGCTGCTGCTCTGCAAATTGGTTGGCAGCCAGCAGGTCGTGCAACTGAGTGGTGTGCGAGGTTTCTCCCTCTTGGATGATGCCCAAGAAGAAACCTCGTTTGTTGTCATCCTGCCATTCAGACTTGGCTCTCTGTGTTGGCAGGTCTGAGGTGTGAATGTTGTAGTATCCATTCAACAGTTGTGTTGCTGCTGCTTTTGTTGTTTCAATATTCATTCGATGTTGTTTTTTGGAGGGAAAGAAAATGAAACTCGAACCAACAAAATAAGCGCAGTCATCAATCAAATTGGATAATATCCATCAATAATCTTTTAGACTCGTACAGTTTGTACAGTGTTGTCATAAAAGTCATGGTTTGACACATTTTCATCAAGTTATCAGTGAGTATCAGTGAATATCAGTCAGCAAAACTGGTCTCGTTGGTCGATATACTACTATAGTGTAGTCAATTGAATGATGGTATTGACACTTGACTAGTCACTAATACATGTGAATACATGACAAATGCTTAATTTGACTGTGATTTCACACAAGAATGCTTAATTTGATAATATTCAGAGCATGTGAATTTGAATACATTCTTCACATAATATCGAGTTTGAATGTGAGACAATCATGTTTGATTGTTTGATCTTTTGTTTCGTTTCTTTCAATAAACTCCGAAATGACCAACAAAGAATTTACATCAGATATTTTGACAACTCTCCAGTGCCTATCGAGACAGTTTATGAAAAATGACCACAAGGAACTTTTTGCTAGCCATTTCGGAGTTTATTGAAAGAAGCAAAACGAAACAAAAAAAGATCAAACAGCCAAACATGATTGTCTCACATTCAAACTCGATATTGTGTGAAGAATGTATTCAAATTCACATGCTCTGAATATTATCAAATTAAGCATTCTTGTGTGAAATCACAGTCAAATTAAGCATTTGTCATGTATTCACATGTATTAGTGACTAGTCAAGTGTCAATACTATCATTCAATTGACTACACTATAGTAGTATATCGACCAACGAGACCAGTTTTGTTGGTCGATATTCACTGATACTCACTGATAACTTGATGAAAATGTGTCAAACCATGACTTTTATGACAACACTGTACAAACTGTACGAGTCTAAAAGATTATTGATGGATATTATCCAATTTGATTGATGACTGCGCTTATTTTGTTGGTTCGAGTTTCATTTTCTTTCCCTCCAAAAAACAACATCGAATGAATATTGAAACAACAAAAGCAGCAGCAACACAACTGTTGAATGGATACTACAACATTCACACCTCAGACCTGCCAACACAGAGAGCCAAGTCTGAATGGCAGGATGACAACAAACGAGGTTTCTTCTTGGGCATCATCCAAGAGGGAGAAACCTCGCACACCACTCAGTTGCACGACCTGCTGGCTGCCAACCAATTTGCAGAGCAGCAGCAGTTCTCAACCAAGGTCCAGTTGGCAGACTCAGAGCATCCTCGTACATTCATTGACGAGATGTTTGAGTACTACATACTGCCATTCCACAAAAATTACAACAGCTCATCCAGCTGCCACACTCCAGCTTCTTCAAGGGCACCATCAAGAACCAACTCGGCTAGAAATATAAGCAATGTCCCAAAAGAGAGTGAGCTGTCTCACAGGGACTTGAAGAATGCTGTCGAGGAAAGAGACAGAGTCTGCTTGTTTTGCTGGGATAAGCTGTCCTTGCAAGGAGCACACATCATCGCCCAAAAGAACATTGGGGTAGCATATGATGAATCTCTTATCCTGTTACGAGCTGGTCTAGCGCAGAAACATCAAGTCCAAAACGGACTGTTGCTGTGTATCAAGTGTCACGACCAATTTGATAAACTGGAGCGATACGTGGATGTGGTGGATAACAAACTGGTGGTCAAGGTAGTCAACCATTCAGTTCTCCTGAACGATGACAAGCACAAGGATTGGAGACGGGCTATAAAGACACTAAAGGGAAGCCGACAGGATAATCAGGAATTTATGGATGATAATCGACAAGCAGTCGAATCTAATGGCGAGATGGCGCTGTACTTTGTTCTTGGCGATCCAACTCTGCAGCCAAACAGGAACGCACTAGAGTTCCACAGGGCAGCGTGTCTTATTTGGCGTATGGCTGGTGGTGCGGAGTTTGATGATGAATGTTGTCCATATGATGATGACGATGGCTGTACTCCTGTAGATTACCGGAGTAAGAGCATCGAAAAATGGATGGACTCAAGTGCTACTTTGATTATTGAAAATGTTCAATAAAATTGTGTATTCATTACAAGAGACTGGTTTCTGTTACAGCAATAGTTGTCATTGTAGTGAGTGTGAATACCAACAGTTGATGTTGACACCTTTGAATTCAAGCAATAATGAAAGCAACTCAAATGTCTCTTTCCATTGCAGTGAGACAGTTTGTCAACCAACAATCTCTCATCAATTGATGACACATTCAGATTCCAGTAATGATGATGTTGCTACCAATGATCGTGGAACTGATAGTGCAGTCTTTTTACACTGTGGTGGGACAACTCGGTATCATGTCAATCATGTTCACCGTTGTGGAAATCACTTGTTAATCTACTCTGAATGAACAAGTCTCTTTTCCATGTTTAAAACTGGTTGTAAATATCGGTTTAAAAATGATATCATTTGGTGCTCTACATATACTGCTCAGCGTCCTGCGACTCTTTTAACCAGATTACAGAATATAGTCTTGCTTTGCCTGCATTGGGTACACGCCAGTCTTTGGCATCCGTAAATACATCTGCTGCCTTGTCGCAGATCTCGCTTACTGAAGAAGATGCAGCTGCAGATACAACACATTTTCCAGATGGGCGACTCGATCGTGATGATCAGCAAATCGATCTTCGCTCTCAAAACTCATGGACTATGCAAATTGGACAGATTTCTACTGTAGAAATGCTTGAATGCCATGTTATCAATGCATTTGCTCCATGGGTTCTTATTTCCGAACTGAAATCATTAATGGAAGCCACTGGAAATCCTGTTATTTCCGAAACATCAGCTACTGCCTCGGATGTCAGTGAAGATACCAGTATAAAGTCTTCCTATGACAAGTACATTGTCAATGTAAGTGCCATGGAAGGCCAGTTTTATCGGCCTAAAACTGTTTTTCATCCACACAGTAACATGGCTAAAGCATCACTCAATATGATGACACGCACATCTGCTGCAGGTCTTGCTGCATTGAATATCTTCATGACTGCTGTTGATACTGGATGGATTACTGATGAAAATCCAGTTGAGCAGTGGGAGAAACGAGAAAATGCTCCTCCACCTCTTGACGAATGGGATGCCGCCATGCGAGTTTTAGATCCCATTCTGGTAGGCGTGCGTGGTGGGGACCGTATGTGGGGAGTATTTCTCAAAAACTATACTGTAACTAGATGGTGATGTGAACATGGATCTGGACATGTATCTGTATCTGGAATGGTGACTTGTATAGTTCTTGTAATAAACACTGCTTGGTCGAATGATTGGGTATTGCTATACCAACTATTTGTCATTTAGATTGTCGCTGCGACTCGTTCCACAAACATACACATCACTCGATTGCAACACAAAAGAGTTGCCAATCCATATTGAATACACATTTGCTTTGGCTGTAGCCAATCATTAAACGGATTACAATTCACAACACTCTTGCTGTATGTCTTGGTAGATGGGTTTCATGATTTTATTGGCATAGTATGGATCATTGTGGCTACCAGCATATTGGCAATCATCGCAATATACCAAAATGCTCCGTTGTTGAATCCCCACCAACCCAACTTGTAACCACCAATACTTGCAATATGCAACTAGAATATATTTATCAATCAAAACATCTCACTGCACCAATCGACTGTTTAGATTTGGAATATGTGATGTTCACTACCATCCAATCAGAAACCTGTATTTTAATCATGCAGTAACATCAACTACCAATGGAACCTCGAACCAATCCGACTCGCATACCACACATGATCTGTTACCTTGTCCATGTTGACTGTTACTGTTGACAATCAGTATTGGTTTATTCCTATCGAGGCGAGTTGATAACAATGCGTATATTGTAATGGCTGTTTTCAGATCACTCGTCTGTCTGTCATGCAAAAACAAGAATTGCATTTGGAATGCTTGCTCATCAAGTGTTATGGATAATAAACAATAAATGCATTTCTAAATTTGTAGATTTGTAGATTTGGAATACCAATGTGAGTGACAGTACCATGTTTATGGAATACAACAGTCTATCAGGTATATTCAGCTGCATGGCTTACATCACAATATATTCGCATGACATGACAATCGCTTGTCCACGTTAATCTACAAACATCTTGATGTTGTCAGTGCTATTTACCAATGGCATATTGGTGGAAAATATACAATGAATTTGGAGTCATGACTGAGCTATTACCAGACAAGATTTGATTGTATTACCAAACAATACATACTGCGACTGTCGAGTTGTAATGAAACATTAAACGTTATTAGCCAATACAGTAAAAATATTGACGTGTAAAATGCAAAAGTAACAGCCCGACGTGGGGGTCGAACCCACAACCTTGAGATTAAGAGTCTCACGCTCTACCGATTGAGCTAGCCGGGCTTTCCTTAAAATGTGGCAATGTACATTTTGTTTGCTACACAACACTCCAGCGTGCAGTTTGATTACAACACTCCAAAATACTTGTGTATCATATGACTGCTAACTCATATCAATACATGTCTGGCCACTTGATTACAATATTCAGCCATTATGCTTGCTATATAATCAACACTGTTACGCTTGGTTTGTGTTGATATATCTGTGAATTGGTATAATGGTTTGGTCGAGTCAAAACCTCATTCAATATCATGGCTCAGACTTGTATCTGAGATACACGGCGTGTTTGTAGTCGTCAAAAAATAAAAACTGGGCTCATGATTGTGTCGAATGCTACCAAATGCTACCAAATTCTACTAAATGTTGAAAGACCGTATCTCAAAAATGCTTCAAATTATCAAGATATTTGGTTAAACCACCAACAATTGTCAGATATCTATAATCGAACATCAAAAGCAGCATTGACAGATATCAGTAGGCATCAGTAGGAATCAGCAGACATTGATACGATAATGCTAACGGAACGGAACGGAAGACAGTCAAGTTTTAAACCCAACAGTATCCAGATTTGAATCAACATATGGTTTAACATTTGCGTGGTAACAGACACATGACGGATCGGTCCAAAAGCATAGGCACAAATGTCGGTATATAATATTAGCAAACGTATGAGCTAGAGAGTGATCATGTCATCTTAGATCAGACGATAATCACCGAGTGCGTTTGATGCCATGTTCAATCCGATATTGCAATTGGTATAAATTACACCAGTTTGTGTATAATGGCAGAAATATGCATCAGCCTGGACGGGCTTTAGTAGATGAGGTATATATTTAGTCCAAAATGCCTGGCCACGTGTAACAAATACAATGCCAGACCAATACGAGTCTTGAGACTTGCTTAAATATTTGTATTTTACGTGTATTCGTTTTATTCAAAACTTTACTACTCTCCAAGTTTTAGACAACCATTTTCAATTTAGTATGGGAACTACCTCAAGCAAGTTTCAATGGAGTGATGCTGCCTCAGGCACACATGCATCACTAACAGACAAGACTGGTCTTCCACATCTTCAAAGATCTGTGAATAATCAAGAACTTTTACACGAACTTTCGAGGATGCTTGACCATTTGTGTAGCACGTATCCAGTCGAGGCCAAAGCCGAGTTTCGAAAACCATTGCAATGGACTTCGTCCTTGCCACCTAGCGCGTTTTCATCTCATGGAAGCTCCAATCTATGGATAGTTGGAAAGTACGTCAGATAGTTTACTTTCAATAACGGACCATGTCGGCGCTGGCTATTTATTATCTATTGTAATGCTAATTCATAATTTTTTAAATCAACTGCTTTGTTTTTGATAAATCTGCTGCAACTTGCTGTTATCACTGCGGCCTGCTAGAGGCTCAAAATGGGTAGTAGCTTCGAATATACAACGATCCGATGGTCAACCAATGTTTTCTATAGAGCAGTCTACAAGTTCCAACGCAACTGTACGTACGGCAAAGGTTTCTTCCGTCGAGTACTTGCATCGCGCATTGCAAGTATCCATAGAACACAAACTGAGCGAGCTCCAACAACTGGTTGAAGGTAGGCGCGTCGCACCTATTGAGTGTTAATCATACAGAAAATATCATACTCTAATAAAATATTTCTAACACAACTTGTAAATAAATAATGCAATTCTTGATTAGCGAATCCCGATCCTTTTCTAAACATTTTTGGTATCAGCGAGAATGGCGGAAAGGGATTGGTTGAGGCGTTTGACATTTACAACAACGAGACAGATTCAAAACGACGAGAGCAGTTTTCAAAGCTGTATAAGCTTCTTCTTGTTTTAAATTCATTCGATTTGCAGCTGACCAAGACCACTCTTGAAAATTTGCACATGTATGACTGACCAACTAACTGAATATACATTTATGTTGTCAAATCTACAATTCAAAACAGCTATATATTATAGAATGATACTAAAACATTGATAAAGTGATAGAATTCTTAATATTCACAAGGTCACCGAGGAACTTCAAATGCTACAAGCGTTTTGTGGCCAAGATGAAAAATTTGCATTAAAGTCTATCAACTGGGAATCAGGTACTATCATTTATTTTGATGAGCTGTATTTTTTAATCATCCTAGTATATCAAATGCAATCTTTAATTGCTATTTCTGGATGAGGTTTAGTTTATTTTAAATTCACTAAACTTTTTAATATAATTCCTATAGATTATACTTTTGCAAATGGCGCCAAGGCACCTCCATGGCGTCAAGTATATGGTGAAATCTGCTATATTATTGTGCAGCCTCATGATCATGAAGAGTTCATGATAACAGCCAGCAAGACAGGATATTTTATAAATAACGGGTATATTCCCGATGATAAAGGTCAGTTTTTAGGAACATCCTATCATTGGTGCCAATATTAATCAACATGTCAATTCAACAGGAAATGAACGGCTTGATTACAGCCAGTCTTCAGAGCTTTTCAAAACACTTACAGATCTTTTACGTACCAAATCATCCCACTTTGCCTTGCATATTGACAAGCAAGAATATGTATATCACCAGGCTGACACCCAAGGTAATTTGACTAGTTTTCAGACGGTTAGAAAAAAGTTTAAACTATTTCACATCAAATATACTGATGGATTTCATGGTGTTTTTAGGAGGCGCTGGAATGGCTGTAGCAGCCGAAAATATAGATCACGCTGCAGATGTACATATATTAGTTGAAAATCATTGTTGCAGATAGTCATGATTTTCAATTAATTTTTTGCTATTTACTTTTTCAGTTTACAGATGAAGACGAATTAGGCGAGCATGGCACCATTAGCAATCATCAAGGAAAGGATCGTAGGAATGAAAAAGATGCCGTCAAAAAGAATGCCTTGGCCAAAAAAAAGTGAGTAGATTGTCAATTGATTTTGTAAAAACTGCGAGTTTACTTACCAAATGTTGCATTACTAAGAAACAAGCTTCAAACCAAGGTGCAACAATCGGTCGAGCCATCATTAAAGTGGAGGTATATTTTGTCTTTTGTTTTATCTGATCAGAAATTGTATAATTTACATGTCTATATTTTTAGAGCACTTGGTCTTTCAACTGAAGATACAAAGCATGCTGGAAAGTTCAAGGCAAAAAAGGGATCGTCTGAAAGAAAAAGCCGATCGCCTACATCCAAAAAACGCATGCATAAATCACAAAGCACCGAGAATGGGGTATACCAAGACAGTGATTCTGAGGTATCTTCGGAAGAGGAGCAGCAGGAAAAGCGTCAAGACAATGCAGAACTTCCAACCGAATACTATCAAATACAAAAGTTGGTCAAATATCTACGTTCTGGAAATCAAACAGCTACAATCATTGCAATTTGCTCACTTCGCGACTTTGATCTGAGCAATGGTGAGTAGAGTATTTGAGTTAACAATCCGTTTAGTTTGTCATTTAAGCTTGATGATAATTTTAATTGTTCTGTCCATTGCATCAATCTCTAGAATTCAATCAACTAGCCATTCGTGACGTTGGAGGTCTTGAAACAATTGTAAATCTATTGGATACTGAAGATCCAAAGTGCAAAATTGGTGCTCTCAAAATTCTCAAGGATATTTCTCAAAATGGTGCAAGGTTTATGCCATGATATACTGACATGCCATTCCATATACATCGCAATCTCAAATTAGCCTGACATTTAAATATGTGATTTTAATAGTTCAAATTAGATCTGCTGTTGCTGATTTAAATGGCATGCAGCCATTGGTAGAGCTACTTCAAGAATCGGATGAAAACATAAAGTGTCTTGCAGCCGAGACCATATCACACTGTGCAAAGAATGGTAATGCTTGCAATGCGTTACAGTTTAATGCATTTGAAATCAAATGCTTACAACTGCTTTTTGGGAAACATAGCTCGCAATCGTAGATCTGTTCGTCGCTACGGCGGTATTCGAAAGCTTGCACGGCTTCTCAAAGCCACGCCTGGATCGTCAGAGGAAAGGGTGGCAATTGCTGGTGCTTTGGCTCTAGCTACTTGTAGCAAAAGTTGTGAGTTGATGGTCTGATATCAAAGCTTTTCAGATGTGTTGGGTTTGATAACAGTGTATTGTTTTTTAGCAAAAAATAAGGAAGCCATTCAGGCTGCTGGGTCAATTCCACTGCTTGCAAACCTGCTAGAATCTCAAAATGAGCAGCTTTTGATTCCAGTCGTTGTAATTCTTCAAGAATGTGCTTCTGATGAAAATTACCCGCTTGCCATCAGATCGTCTGGCATGATTCGATTTCTTGTAGAAAATCTGTCAAGCAAGAATCAGGAACTGCAAATGCACTGTGCAAGTGCTATTTTTAAATGCGCAGAAGAAGACGAAACTAGAGTGCTTGTTCGCCAATGTAACGGTCTTATGCCATTGGTAAGCCTTTTAGATAACGTCGCCAATAAGGATTTGCTGGTTGCTGCCACAGGAGCAGTTTGGAAATGTGCTCAAAACCGTAAGTTTGTATTATAATTGACTGAACAATCGTAGACTGGCGATTTCTGACATAGAATTGGGTTTCAATACGATACACAGTCGAAAATGTGACGGCATTCAATAAGCTCAATACGATCAAAAAGCTAATTGGTTTAATGGAAAATCAGCCAGAAGATGTGCTCGTAAATGTTGTTGGAGCTCTTGGTGCTTGCGCTCAAACAGGTGGGCTTTATTCGTGATTACAGTATTCAAAAATTGAAAATAGCATAATTATCCAAGTGCTCATAATGATGCCAACTTACACAATGTATAGCGGATGGTCGTCAAAGTATTCGTGAAAGCGGTGGCATTACCCCGCTTGTTAATTTACTGACTGGGACAAATCAGGCATTGCTTGTCAATGTCACTACCGCAGTTGGTGCATCCGCATTAGATAGTAAGCGATTGCCTCGAGTCTAAACAAATTGAGATTTTATAGATCTGAATGCTTTGTTTTGGCCAACTTCACTTGAAATCTGACAAAGTATCTTGTAACGACACTAGGCGATAGCATGGCAGTTATTGACCGACTTGATGGCGTGCGTTTGCTTTGGTCACTGTTAAAATCACCAAACCCTATGGTTCAGGCATCTGCTGCATGGGCAATATCTCCTTGTATTGAGCATGGTAAGAGTGGCATGTATTTTGATAAACATTAGTTTTGAAAGTTTAAATTGTTTCTACTGGAAATTTTAGCAAAGGATGCCGGAGAAATGGTTCGTTCGTTTGTCGGTGGTTTGGAGCTGATTGTTTCTCTCTTGAAATCGGAGAATGCAGAGGTTTTGGCTAGCGTATGCGCAGCGATTGCCAATATTGCCAAGGATGGTATGTAGTTTAAACTTCAAACTTATGAATACACGAAAATCAGTCTGAACCATCGCTTCACTATGTGATGATACTAATATCTTGCACTACAATAGAGGAAAATTTGGCGGTGATTACTGATCATGGTGTAGTTCCCATGCTTGGAAAGCTATCCAATACTCGAAATGATAAATTACGAAAGCATCTTGCTGAAGCAATTGCTCGCTGTTGTCATTGGGGAAACAATCGGGTTGCATTTGGATCTGCTAGTGCTGTTGCACCTTTGGTTAAATACCTCAAGTCTCCAGATGAGGAGGTTCATAGATCGACAGCTCGTGCACTTCACCAACTCTCCATGGACCGTAAGTTTGCATTGAGCTATATTTAGACATCAACAAGAAACTAATTTAATTTTACTGATAGCCGATAACTGTATTACCATGCATGAGCACGGTGTTGTTCAATTGCTGTTGGGGATGGTTGGATCGCTGGATGCGGCACTTCAAGAGGCTGCTGCTGGAACTATAGGAAACATTCGTCGGTAAGCTCTATTATTCCAGTAGTTTTGTAGATCAATTGGTTACATGCGCGGTGGTTTAACAATTTTATTTTAAACTAGACTGGCGCTTGCTAGTGAAAAAGCCAATCTATGCTGATTTGTTAAAAAACAAGTTGTATTTCTATCAAAAAGCACAAGAAGTGATGATGAATTGAGATATTCGGGAGAGAGGAAAAGCTTGGCAGACAAGGACGAGATTTATAATGCGCTTCAACTAGCGACAAAGAGAATGAGAATAAATAAAAATTGTTCGTAACCATCAGTGTTGTGTTTGGAACGATTACTTGTATAAAACTAGTCCAGCTTACGCTTGTTGTTTTGCAAATATCGGCAGATTGCTTTCTGTTGATTTAGTTCTTCGCGTAGAATGAATTGCTTTATAGATTTATTCTGCAATGATTGTTTCTAAACGCAACAATCATCATATGATGCTCATAACTTATAGTTTTGAACCGAGACTCTTGTTTTGGAAAGTTCAAGAGAACAACGATCGCATGTTTCAGGAGTGTAATCATACATGCCAATCACCAGAAAATAGTAAAAGAGTTTAGAATATTGTCCAGTAATTTTCAAGTAAACGAACTGTTTACTATCCATTTTGGAACTTTTAGTTCTATTTTACATGAATAAAACTTTACTCCAATGAATGGTATAGATAGGAATAACATTGAAGGAGATGGTATGGATCAAGTACTGGACAGCGAGCTCATGGACGCAAAATCGCTGGCTGAGATGAAAACAGAACATGTTGCATTGGACCTACAAAGCAAGTTTCAGCAAGATGTTGGTATTCACTGCAAATCCATTGTATCAATGGTGTACTGTACAGGTGTCTTTATGATTAACCATTTAAGCATTATTATTCTAGTCCAGCAGATGAAAGAAAGAAAGGAGTTGCTTCTGAAGCAGGCCGTGATGAGGAAACAACTCTGTCATAAACGGCTAGAGTTCGAAAGACTTCAGTCAGAAGTTGCTCAACTGGAAAAGGACTCAACAGGTAGCTTGGATAGCCGGCTTTGCATATAATATGGAGCGATTGATTTAGTTGAATTTGTGTACTAATCTGGATCTACTCAAACATTGACAGCTGGTATTGATGTTCTGCATTCTTTGCCTTTAGTAGGTTTAAAACGAGGATACCCGACAGATTCCATATCTGAGACTACTGCTTCCAAAAAATACAATACTCCACTTTTATCATCCCAAAAAAACTCGACGCAATCCAATCTTAATCTGATACAGCGGCCATGTAATATTGAAACCATCAAATCAATATCTGTTCAGCCAGAAATTCAAAAAAAGCAATCTTTAGCAAAAACCTCGGTTCATGCCACTGCAACTAAAAAGCCTTTGATTCATAATCAACGTCAACCTGTTCCTCAAATTGCGCCAATCGTTGATACACCTGTTGAAATAGAGCCGATATCAGGATTCCGTATAAAGTAGGATTTAAATGTTAATGTTATACTATTCAATGCTTTCCATAATCAAAGCGTAGACACTTACATTTGGTTTTAACAATTTTAGAAATCGCCTCGTTTCAAAAGACCAGTTTGCAGAGCGAATGCTGAATAGACAAGTCATTCCAATTTCTCAAATCAGAAGCAATATGACAGATAATGATATTATTGGAGATTGGGTTGTTATTGGAATTATTATTTTTAAAAGCGAGTGTAAAAAGACAAAGGATGGCGATGTATTTTGCATGCTACGCATAGGAGATCTACGAGGCTCGTCGGTCAATTTATTTATGTTTCGCGACGTATGCCAGAGCCATTCCAATGAGCAAGTTGGAAGTTTGGTGGCCATTTTGAATCCCAAAATCATCAGACCCTCCGAGGTAGCATTATGTTTTATTTGCTAAACTGACAAATATGTATATACTGACTCGGGTGATGTAGAGTCGAGCAACTTTGGGCTTGGATTTAGATCATACTAAGAAATGGATGAAGATTGCCGATTTTACTGATTTGGGATACTGCAAGGGAACGCTACAAAACAACAAATGTTGCTCCCAGCCAATTGATAGGTATTTCTAATTGCTGTATTTTTCTGATCTGGCTCAATATATGTTTGATTTCATTCAACATAGTTACTTTTTACAGGATGCAGGGACAATACTGTGAGATCCATTTGTCATCAAACTATAAATCTGCAAAATCCAATAGACAGGAGTTTGCATCAGGGTGAGTAACAGTTTATTTAACTGACTATTTAGCTGCATGATAAAGTAACATTTAAACATGTTGAATCGGCCAATAGCAATGCAGCATTTCATGTCGGTAATCCAAGCAAAAAGCTATCTGGGAAACAACGGTCGTATTCCAATGATGGTACATATGTATTGTCTGGCCAAACTCTTTCTACAACTCATACAGGTGTTGATGCTGTTGCTCAACGAAAAGAGTCATTACCTCCAATTTTGAATGCAAAACAGGTTCTTGAAATGTAAGAAATCTTGCAACCACTCTGAATGGCAATGTTTCCTTGATATTCAGCACAGTACCAATTCAGTTTATTGCATTTACTACTTTAATCTATATACTCTGCCAGAAAATCACTCATGAGCTCAAATACTGCTGGTGCTAGATCGCTACGGGCTTTAAATAAGAGCCTGGATTGTCCTGGTAAGCTTAGCTAAATTTTCAATGCTCCATCAATCGTATTATCTATTTCATGGTAAGCCTGAAATACTTTGCTTTAAACTCACGTATTGCTTGTCGTTACAATAGCACCTGCAGGTATGGCTTCAATTTTTGGCCCAGCAGCGATTGCTCGTATGGGTGGTAACCCAATCTCTGGCGATCGATTCAAACCCGTTGTAAACAGTAGCCAATTGGTATCACTGCCTGGATTGACCTCTCCTAGTAAATCATTAAAAACAACACAGCCTGTCAATCCTATGCTAAAATCAATATCAGAGCCTAGATTGTCAATGGTTCGTAAAGATATTTCGCGGATACAATCAGCTCATGTTCTTGCAAGATCCAAGTCCAATGTCCAAAAAGACAAATCTCCACCAAGCAGCGATGTTGAACTTGAGATACTGGACTGATCCTGTTTAATAACCCATTCAGAACATTGATAAATCACATCTAATTCAATTTATTAAACTTTTGTTGACGATTTATACATTTTCCAATTTGCTTTTAACTGCATCTACCAAGATACCCGAATATGCCTCTAGCATAGCCTTGATAGACGCGTCTTTGGTGATGTCAGGCTTTGCCTGGGCACTAATAGCATGTGTAGATATGGAGTTGACGTACTGCATAGCATCTTGTATGCTTCTCAAAGTAGAGTTGGAAGTTGTGCCACTCGTATTCAATAATTGTTCAGCAAACTTGTCTGCAAGTCGCTTAAATAGAGAGACCTCGGCTAATATTACATCATCCGTATTGCTTGTGAGCAAAGTTGAACCAGTTAGAGTAGGGGTTTCAGCCAAAGTTTTACAAGGCTTGGTGATGGATGCATTGCTAGCATGAAAAACCACTTCCGAGGTTTTCTCAAGCTGCTCTGGCTCGTGGTCAGATATTCTTAGATCATTGGTCATGCCAGTGATATCGGACAGCTCAGGTTGTGGCAATTCCAGAGATGCATTTGGTTTACTAAAAGTAAACTGTGACGCGATCAAAGGACTTTTACTTACATCCCATTGTGTGTGTGCAGCATTAGCAGTGGAAGTAACGCTTTGCAATGTAACTGGCTCAGTGTATGCAATTGGAGATGAGTTTGCTGAAGTGCCTTGAGATATTTGGCGTACATGATCGGGCTTTCCAATACATTGGGAACTATGATTGAGAAAAAACTGAGAAGAGATGCTCATACGAGATTCAGACCGACCCAAGCGACCTTTATCCGACATATACTCTTCAAATGTCAAGTTGTCCAACTCTTGCTTAAACAAACCACGCTCAAAAAATGTGCTGGGCTTAATTAGTTCATCGTGTAAAGCTACGTCAGCTGTAGTATCCTTGTCTATTTGATCACTTTCAGCAAAATCACTGATAGTATTGTCAGGCTTAGAAACAATATGCACTCCTGACATGACCGATACAAGGATATTTTTGGATATGGCCTTTGTATCTATATCTTTTTCTGGATCGTTATTTCCCAGTGCAATATCTGCGGTGATATTCACGGGATCTACAGATGGGTTGGTTAAAGAAGTAGGAGAGCTCTCAGCAAGAGATAATGCTGCGCTGGGTTGTGCTGAAATATGCCCAGCCTTGACTGATGGGGAATTATAAAATGTTGACTGGTTAGATTCTTTTATAGGAGATGATCGACTTTCAATCGAGTATCGTCTTCTCAACGAAAAACTATCTGTTGCAGCAACAATTGGTTCCAAGACCGGCATCTCTGTATAAAGAGTAATTGCGTTTCCATCGAGTCTCTAAAGTATATACAGCCATAAAATAAGAAACCAGTGTGTTCAGAAACAGTTGAGAGCAGTAAAATAATGATGGGGTGTATTGACATAGCAAAGAAATATAGCCTACATTTGCCCATGGTCCTTTGATGGAAATCTGCACTCGATCGGTAATAGATCGACTCGCAATCAAATCCTCATTCATGGATTCTTTGGATGATCTAGCCCAAACTGGAAGATCGCTTTCGTCGAATTCAAAAGCAAATACTCCAGATGGTGCACTACCGTCAAACTTGTGTTCCAACTTATCTTTGAAAGCCAGATTGTATTCTCCACTAGATTTTAAAGACAAAACTGATAAAGCCGCGTTTGTATCTGTAGTGTTAAATGAGACTGGTGTAGAGATGTTACTTTGAAAATACTCTGTCCCAGCATGCGTTGTAGTGAACGACACAGGTGATGAGGCTGTGGACGAGATTAAAGTTGTTGCGTGCTGAGGGCTGCTTACTGGTGATATAAGTTGTCCTCTGGCCATACGGTGGCGAATTGCCTCACAAATATACCACACAAATATGCACCCGTCCGAACTAGCAGAAACAACTCGTCTACCGCCATCGATAAATGTCAGACTTGTAATGAGATCTCCATGCCCAACAGCTCGACCAAGACATGCACCGGTAAGAAAATCAAAAATACGAATGCATTTGTCAGAAGATGCCGTCGCAAGGAACAGTCCACTGGGATCTATAGCAACCTTGTTAATAAACAAAGTAGACGAGATATTACTGGAAAAGGCCGACGCAGAGCTATGTGGCAAATCACTGCTACTAGCATCTAAAGTTGGTTTGCGTGTGTGTGTCACCTTGCCCGTTTCTGTATTCATGAACACTAGACGCCGATCTTGCGTGATGATCACTGTTGCTTTATTTGACCGCTCAATAGCCATATCGTATACTGTTGATCGAATAGGTACGTTACTGTAGCATGTATAGTGTGGCACATCATACGCTGTATCTGGCTAAATAATAAAAAATTGGTTACCTATCATGATTTCAGCCTCGTCCGCCCCTTCAAACATATTCAGACTTACATTGGGCGGATCCAGTTTTCTGAAAATAACTGATTTGTCGGCAGAACAACTAACAAGTCGTTGGCCATTATGGCTGAATTTCAGTCCAGTGATTGTTGATGTATGATCGTTAAATGTTTGAACCAGATCGAATGGTCCATCATGAGAAAGTGACGATGCGTCAAATAGGTGAATAAGTCGATCACGACTTGCGGATGCCAGCATCATTGGTAGATTAGGACCTAATAAAATCGCACAGCAGTATAACATTTAATGATTGTCAATTCTTTAGTCTTGAAAAAATCCCATGCCAAGTATAAATACCTGATGGAGAAAAGTCGAGTGAAATCACTTCTGCATTATGTGCTTGTAGCGAGACAATCTCGCGAATCTGTGGAAATTCATACACTCTAAAATTTGCAGACCATTAACAACATAATTATTTCAAAACAGCAATCATCAAAGCAAAGTAAAAATACCTAATTATACCATTTCTGTCACCGGCAGCAAGTTGGCTACCATCAGGACTAAATTTGAGGCATCTAATACCCAGTTTTTCTTGTTTATCGTTTAAACTTGCACTATCAACAGCACCCATATCTAATCGGTGTATATTAGTAAATTTATATAAAAGAATCAACCCGCTAAAATCATTGTGATGAACACTCTAGTAGTGAATAAAACAGTCTCACCATTTCGAGTGACACTTTGTCGATAAGCATGCTCATCTGCATAGAGAATATGTAGCACCTCTGCTGAAATGTTGTGATACGAGTTGGGTGCATCAATGTCATCCATTGACCAAATACGTATGGTACCATCAGAAGAGCAAGAGCCAAAAGTAGCATCGCCAAATTGTTTGTACGGGATCGGTTCAACTCCCCACACGCAGCTGCTATGGAACATCATAGTGCGACGCTTTTTTGACTGCTGTGGTTCTGAAACATCCCAAATTACAAGACTATTGTCGCTGTATATTACAACAAGGCAGTCCTCTTCAAGATGGTTTGAGATCAGGCGTAATGAAACAATGTCTGGATACAGTGGCAAGTTTGACGCGCTATTTGGTCGATACATGTGCTGTAAACTATAAAGGTATCAACATTTTGCTTGTTCAATACAATACAATTTCAATTTGCAAACTCACCTACAAGTGTTGCTTACTTGCGTCATGTGACTATGTGGTCCTGGAAGTGTCGATATGTATCTGAGAGTTGATGGCTCAAACATTCTAGAATCAATGTAAAGTCAATCATAAGTGCCAACAGCCAGCTATATTTGATACAAATACGCATCATCAATAGGATATCAACACACCGAATGCAACCGTTGGCACCACCACAGGCGATATGGCGTGCCGAAATATCTAGCGAGGTAGCATAATCCATCTATGATTTTAAAATCCATAAAATCCATAAAATAGTTTCAATAACTATAATTCTCACACTTGTAATTTTAAATATATAGCTATTTTATAAAAGCATTTAGCCTACTTTAACATCGACCCATTTGTCCAAGTAACGCGAGGTGCTAAAGTGACAAAGAATCCCAGATTTTGTGATTGCGTAGACGTATGAATCATCTGAGCCGGGCAACGCAGATGAAAACGCTTTCCAACTAGAAACTTCCACAAACTCAGAGTTCACATGGTCTCCAAGAAATGCATTACAACCTTCTAATATGTGATATCCCTGTTTTACACCACTTCCACTCCTATTGGAAGCGAGCTACAAGCCATCCTTGTTAGAAAAATGGCACTATTTTGACAAAAGGTAATATACACGCATCCACCACAGTTCAATACCTTTGTTTGTGGTAAAATCTTGTCAAGCATCCAAAACTTTGCATGGTTCTGACCTACAGTCAAAAAGAATTTTCCTAGCGGGTCAAATGAAACGCTATTAATCTAATATCACAACTCAATTTAGTTATTTTAAAATGGCATGGCTTGAATATGTGGAATAAAGTGTCAAATTAGGTACAGCCAAAGTACACCTTTGAAGCGATTCGAGCACCAGCTAAATGCTGATTTAGACGCCAGTCCCATAAGTAAATAAACCCATCGTGTTGGTGTCCTACAGAAACTATAAATGACGAGTCTGGAGAGAAGCAAAGCGAGGAGATTCCATACTTGTGTCCATATAACTCGGCAAGTATCACCTGTGCATCACAATCCCATACTGCAACGCGAGGATGATGTCCAGTCTAAGTATTGTATCAACACACGAGTAAAGATTTTAAAAATCAATATTTTAGTCAATTTTATAAAACATTTATAGATTGTTTCATCTTGCTTTCAAGATAAACAGGAAACCAGTCGATCAAATCAAATTACTTCTCCAAGCGCAAGATATTGACCGGATGTATCAAATACAAGACTGGTGATTGGTCGTAACGCAATTGGCGCAGCAGATGGTCGGAGTAATGAGGCGGCTAGATCGGAGACTAGATTATTTCCTGTAGAGATATGAATAAATGAAACTTGTCGTTGTTTTTGAATATGATAAAGCACAGCGGTAGCACCAGAGGTAAACGCAGCAAGACCTCGTTGGGGATTAATAGCAAGTCCAGCTGGCCGAGTAACAGTCAGTCCCAAAATTCGTTCGAGCACGATCTGAGAAATAGTATGTTGGATATTTAAACCCGATTAAAAAAATATTAGTTTGAAGATATAATATAATAGGCGACTATTTCAGTCAATCTGAATGCACATATTCCAATAGTTTGGTAACCATTCGCTATAAGCTATGCAGCCTGGTGAACCGGCTATAGATCGACTATCCGGACAACAAAATCAAAAGTTTACCGCAGGTGTTGTATTATTAACAGATAATTGTTTTTGACTGGCATATTCACCAGAGCCTTTCTGCTTCTTTGTTCTGTATTGAGTTCGTGCCTTTGAAGTGAAGGTAGATTTTGAATCCAATGTAGACTCTGCCAAAGACGTGGATGATGGCTGATGAACTGGAGGCTGAAACGGTAAAACTGAGTGCGGTTTTATCTGTGATGTATCTAAACTATTATAGTCTTCTTTTCGTTTATTATGTGCCTGCTGGACATGATTAAGATACGACATTGAGCTTGATTGGCGGCAAAACAAATTCAAGATTTTATTGAAGCAGCATAAAAAGATGAAATCTATTCACGTGAAATCATGTGACACTATATCTTTGCTGCTGTTGACTCGGCTTGTGCAGCAACCCAATTGGATTGAATGAGTTCTATTCAAAACATCTCTAGCTCGGCGGGTGAGGTTGAATCTAGCGATAGGGGGAGGAGAAAGAAGAGAGATGACAATGAGTATGAGGATGGACATTACAGTCAGAGCCACGACTCTCGGCATGGCTCCAATAAAAAAGAAAGAAGCAGGCATCATGGCAAGGACAATGACCGAGTAAGCAGACAAGACAAACATAAATCCAAAAGCGAAAACAGGAGTAGAGAGCGAAACAGGAGCAGAGGTATGTGCTGGTTGCCATTACCGAGTTCTTGAACAACCGCATATGGATTTGCAACAGTCTGGCTTACTTTATGATTCTGTTGAATGACGCTTTGCTTATACGGACTAAATCCAATGGCATTTGTCAACCTGCTCGTTGGCCACTTGGCCGATACATTCAAATCTATATTGGCACAACTGCTCAATAATGGATCTAAACTTTCTATATGCTTTATTGTATTGGGTAAATGCCTTTTTGATCGACCGAGAGTTAGATGCTGACCATGCCAATGACGACGAGAGCCGTGGTGCAAAGAGTTTGGACAAATCCAGTGTAGATTGCGACGAGAGTCGTCAAAATAAAAACCATTCTAGCCCCTCCCGAAAGAGCAAGAGTAAATCTAGTCGCAAGAGCCGTAGTAAATCTCGAGATTCTTACTCCAGCACTGATTCGGGATCTGAGTCGTCTGCTTCTTCACGTTCCACTAGCCACTCATATCGTGGTAGGCATTTATTGGATCTGGCTGTGTATTCGTATCTAAAAAACTGACCAATTCGCTATGCCTTATTAGAGCAACGCAAGAGCCGAAAGAATCATAAAAAGGACAAACATCACAAAAAATCTTCAAAATCAAAGGTATATTGCTCATGTTACTACATCGAATCGACAGTATGCCAATCTAACCCCATTGTGTCCATTTTTTAATAATTGCTCACTTATAACTTGATCATTTCTTTGAACATCAGAGTAAAAAGAAAAGATCTCGTTCATTGTCGCCTTCAAGCAACGAGAGTGAGCCTGAGCGGCGCAGTGTGATTACAGGGAAAAAGATCAAACTCAAGGTGGTCAATTATCAGTACTATATTCAACTGTCTACCACGAAATTGAATCAGCTACTCACTATTCCCAATGCATTCAAAACCATATAGGTCAAAAAGACAACCAATGACAAAGTTAGAGATCTGAATAGGCTTGATTTATTGCATCATCTCAATCAAATGTATGACTGAATTGAATAAACTTGGTATCCACCCTTTTGCAGCCGACTCGGTGCACAAGTAGTTTCTCAGACCATGCTGAATTCAGGCTTTATTGAATTTCAACTGGCTTGCCAGATTTTTTGATGATATCAAAGATTTCCTGCTGGCTTCGAGTGGTCTTGACCTGCACAATTTGAGTATCTATACAAATATCGTAGCTAGACACTCCTTCTGTCTGAATATTCGATATAGGCAATTCAAAATAAAATGAGAACGCCAATCAAGCATGTCAAGAGCAAGGGGGTTAAACGTATACAACGACAAACAATATCTAGTCCAGTTGACTGACAAGTTGGATAATGTAATTCCTATAACAAGTCGTACCTTTTTAAGAATTCGTTCAATAGCACTAGAGCATCCTGAGCAAGTCATGCCAACTTTGTATGTATACGTATTCTACATATGTAGATATCAGTGATATTAGTCGATTGTTGCTTCCCAATGAAAGATGTGGATATCAGCATTTCAATAAATATATAGTTTCAACACATCTATCAATATACCTCCATGGATAACAGTAACGGTGGCAATAGTGAGTAACGAGTTGAAAAGTAGAATTTTCAACTTTGCGGCGTTTTGCAGCTCAACATCGACAATGAGAGGACAGATACAGCCAACGGCAACTGGTTCTCGTGTATCTGGCGAGGTTTCATCTTATAAACTAACTAAAGGAACTGCCAGCTCTGCTCTTGAACGTGCACAAGCCATGTTGAATGCGGCTAGCATTGGAAATAGTCCCAACACTCGTCGCACTCTAGGTTCCGCTCCCAAATCTACTCTTACTTCATCCGACCTCGCTCCTGCCATCAGACACGCTCAGTCTATATCTCATCATCAGCCACAATCATATTCATTGCAAAGACAATCATTATTTACTTCAAACGATGGATATACAGATAGTCTAAGTAATAATATAGACCATGATGATTTTATAAGTACTAAATCGACTAAGCATGGCAGAGCGCAAACAGAGACATCTAAAGATGGTACAGATGACAATGAAGATGCCGAGCTGAAAGCTTATCTTGCATCCTTGAAAACAAGACAGGCAGAAAATACTGCTAGCCATAAACCTACATCTGCTTCGATTTCTAGTCCTGCTGAATACAAACGAAACGACAAACATTCTTCAAAAACTGCCTCGCTAGACAACCCACAAATTCCCCATCAAAAATCAGTATCATCTGCACCAGTCCAATCTATAAAGCATAAACTAGAACCAAAGCACACGGATGGCGTTTCATCAACTCCTGCGACTCCAGTGTCGTCCTATTTGAAAAAAACTGTGTCTCCGATAAAAACAACTGCTATATCCACGCTGGAAAAGAGTAAAGCTGTTGGAGATATAGAAACTGACTCTGATAGTGTCAGTCTTGAGGAAGACATTGAGAACAATGATGTCAAATTGAATATTCATTTCAAGAAATCCGGTAAGCGCGTCAGTCTGGTAGAGCCTCGCGATTTCCGACTGTCTACCTCTGGACACATGTCAACATTTGGTACAAATCATACTCTACTACAATCCACTGTTTCTGCTAAAGATTTAGATACATCTAGCTCTCACCATCTTGAAAGCGCTGATAGTATTGGTAGTGATTTTGAAGCGTTTTTGAATATGCGATCAAAAAGTTTGATTTCCGTCAATGATCCTATTGTCAAGCTACATAGCTCACCAAACGTTGTACAGAAAGAATTTTTTGTATCCAGCGAGACAAAGGAGAAATCTAACGTTGCACAAAATCAATCTTCTGTCATTACTTCAATCATGCCACATGATACAGTGGCTATTCCTAAACCAGTTGCCGAACCTAAACCAGTTGTTATACCTACATCAACTTCAATCAAGATCATGCCGACTTTGGTCGAATCAGCAAGACACGAAACTGGAAATAGATTGTCCATAGCCAATACATCATTCACTGTTTCTATGAAATCTCCAAACATACCGCATACATCTTCAAATATATCTGATGACATTTTGGAAGAATTTCTGACTGCTGAAGACGCAGATATATCTGAAGACATTTCATCTTCCAGCCTTAAAAAAAGTTTGCAGGTTTCTACCATTGAAGATCCACATCAGCCGATAGTCACACCATCAATTGTACCACAGCAGACACAGGACACTGCGATTTTAAACCAACTTTTGAACAAAGATACGAATCTTACAAAAACCATCAATTTAATGCCAAAAAATGGTATACCTATTGCTGCTACTAAAGCAACAGCTGTAACTCTGGCTCAAGCTGTAGTACCCGATGTTTTTGAATTGGCAAATAAGCAGCATTTAGAGCAGCCTTTTGTAACGAATCCATTGCAACACGCTCTTCCGTCAGGTATTGCTCAACCACATATATCAGTTACTCAGCCATCATCACAAAACTTTCCCCACTACGCACCAAACAATCCATACTATCCACAGCCAAATCTCAATTTCACGCCGGCAAATTTTCATCCAGCAATGTATCCAAATTCATGGAATGCATACACCACACCGCCAAACTTTTTACACTATGGAATATACCAGCCAATACATCCATCAGGTCATACACAGCCAAATCCGATTTTTTCACAATGCAGTGGATATCATGCATGTGGGTGTTGTGCAAAAACCGCACCAAAACCACTCGAATCGCAAAATAAATCAGGTTTAAAAGCTGATGTGAGTGCAGTAACAAATGCACTAGATCATTTGAATACGGTTTTACAAAACGAAAGCAAAACTCATATTGTAGACGAGAAGAAATTTGAAGTGTCTGATAGTCGGCACAATCATTCAAGCCGTAAAGAATCTGAATCTGAAAAATTGTTGCATTCTGAATCAGCAGCATCCTTGCATCGCGAACCTGCAAACCAAAATAGTATTTATGCATCACAAGGTATATCTTGCATTTCGTTCTAAGAATTATGTAAAAGTGCACTACTCGCACTCAAGCGATTCTATATTGACAGCTGTATCATTAACTTTAAAACTATTTAGGTATACCAACAAACCTTCCAACACTGATGATATTGGACAGTTTTACAAGTAACCACATGGACCTTTTGCAAGATTTTGTGAGAATGAATATGCAAATGGCCGACTCACAATCATATCGGCGGATGCATTATACAACATTAGATGATGTACGACAGTTCGCATTAAAAAACAGACCTCCAATAATAGATATTAACGAGGCATTATTGCAAGTTAAAGAAGACGCTGGAGAAATTTCTGTAGGCCGACTTCAAGCATAAAATTATGCCATGATTCAACCAAAATCTTGAAAACAGTCTTAGATTTACGACCGTGTTCGTGTACAATGAACGACTAAATAACAGTGCCAAAGTGCATAATAAACTGTCAGTCTCATCAAATGATTGATGCAAATCTACTGTACAACATTGCCCTTTGAGCCCATCAACAAGGTTTACTAGTCCTGTGCTCGTCTTGTATAAAACTAAACGACTGTTCACATTACAGTTTCAATAAATTCCACATTCTTGACACTCGTCCAATCTCCAATCCTTGTTTGCTATAAACCAGACACTGCAAGTAAACATTGGGTGATTGCCAGAGAAATTACTGTTGCATTCCTGAAACGTGTAATTCTGTTCTGTTGAACTAGATCGCCAATGCGACTTTACAATACAACAAATATAAGTTTGTATACAGTTGTATTGACAAACTGACCCCAATATTGGGATCGTAATGCATAAATCTGGCTTTGAGCCTGTCAATCGTGCAATATATGACCATGTCAAATAAAGTGAAAGGACAGTTCAAAATTATAGTCTGTAAACATCGTATGATGAGCGTTGTGCTGATTGGAGAGTTGAAAATATTGATTAAAGCCGATTGCAGTAGGAAAGCGTAATACTCGGTCACTGTTTATTCCAAAGCAAGATATAGTTACTGCAGGATAAAAAGTGATTCATTTTACATGAATATAACTGAATACATAAAGCATGATAAACTACATCTTCGATAGTATATCAAAATCACAAGGCCGACAAGTCTATCCGTTAACAAACAGTAATTCCTGTACTAAGATACATCTACACATTAGTCTACTATTTAGTTTCATTTCTCTTGAGTAGAAGATTTGGAGAGTTTTCCAGCAAGATAAGCTCCGATAAATGTCCAGGTAGTTGCATTTTTTTCAGACAAGCCTTCCTGTGCAGGCTGATCTAGTAAAGTAAACGTGCGCGAAGCCGGCATAAACGATCGAATAAGTCCATCATCCCTGAGTGAGTACTAGATATGCAACCACATGTCATCTTAATCAATAAAAGCATACTATGGAAAGTAGAGTACAATCAATAATATAATGGAAACGATTCCATTTCATACAACTAGTAAAACCATATGAATGCATTGTAGTCATAACTTATGCTGAATAGGATAATGTAACGATACACATAAAACAGTGCGTTGACTGACATATCTAAATATACCTTTTCTTCCATTTCACCATTTATGACTGATTCAAGTGCATTCAATTCCTGGCGGCCATATGCAAGTCGTTCCATGATGGCTGCTTGTGATGCAGACTGACGAAACTCTGTACGAAGCCGATTCAGCATATATGCACGAAAATCCTGCCTCCGTTGCTCCTGTTTTGGCCATCTCCTATATGCTTTGATATACTGTCTGTAGAGACCAATGACCTCTTGTCTTGAAGCCATTTGTGTCGAATTGTATAGCAAGAATTTATAAAAGGAAAATTACAATTTTTGCTCATCTAATGATGAAATTAGACCAATTAGAAACTAACCAAATTCAAACTCGATGCGAATCCTCAACTTTGTAAAATAGTTGAATGCAAGTGCGTCTTAGCATTGATGTATTTTTTAGATTCGAGCCAATACAACTGTGAATTTTCTAAACATGAGCTGAGCAATCAAACATAATGTACAGTATCTATCTTTGAGCGACACATTTTACCACCATATTCATGTAAAATGAATCACTTTTTATCCTGCAGTAACTATATCTTGCTTTGGAATAAACAGTGACCGAGTATTACGCTTTCCTACTGCAATCGGCTTTAATCAATATTTTCAACTCTCCAATCAGCACAACGCTCATCATACGATGTTTACAGACTATAATTTTGAACTGTCCTTTCACTTTATTTGACATGGTCATATATTGCACGATTGACAGGCTCAAAGCCAGATTTATGCATTACGATCCCAATATTGGGGTCAGTTTGTCAATACAACTGTATACAAACTTATATTTGTTGTATTGTAAAGTCGCATTGGCGATCTAGTTCAACAGAACAGAATTACACGTTTCAGGAATGCAACAGTAATTTCTCTGGCAATCACCCAATGTTTACTTGCAGTGTCTGGTTTATAGCAAACAAGGATTGGAGATTGGACGAGTGTCAAGAATGTGGAATTTATTGAAACTGTAATGTGAACAGTCGTTTAGTTTTATACAAGACGAGCACAGGACTAGTAAACCTTGTTGATGGGCTCAAAGGGCAATGTTGTACAGTAGATTTGCATCAATCATTTGATGAGACTGACAGTTTATTATGCACTTTGGCACTGTTATTTAGTCGTTCATTGTACACGAACACGGCCGTAAAATGTTTTAGTAGCTTAAATTCTTATTAAGCGGGTTATTTGGATTAAGCTTTGATGAGATGCTGCGCTGAATTCTAGGAGGCTTTTTGACTAATAAAGCTGTATCTAGTTTTGGCTGAAAATTTGTGACAGGCTGGTACATTCCTGGCTTCCACATATTTTTTAGCGTGTCCATTTCTACAGAGATAGAACAGTGCGATAGCTGATTTCTTATACTTTGATTTCTATTGCTTGCTATTATGTGTTGAAGATTATTCAATAGCTCTGGCATAGACTGTGTATTTTTAAAAGAAAGAGTATTGGTTTCAACTGGTGAATCTGATAGCTGTAATATCGTCAACAGCCGCTTTCTTTGTTGATGTTGTGGTGCACCAAGTGAACTACCAGCAGCGCGACGTGATTGTGATGGCAAGTTTTTATGCGCTGGTAGTGATCGATGATGTACAGAAAACTTTTCTGATGTAGTGAGTAAGACTGGCGAATGTACATAGCTGGTACTACCTGTTGACAGGCGTGATGACGCTATTCCAGCGGACGATGATAAAAGAGTGGCAGTCCCTGCAGCATACGAGTTTCTAGATTCTGTGTCAAATTGAGGTTTGTTACAAAAGTAGTCACAAGTCATTGATGAGCATGACAATAGTCTTTTCTGATCGACACTATTGTTTTGCTGATCTAAATCGTTTTGCGCGCGCTCTAATCCTAACCGCACCTTTTCAAGCCGCTGCTCAATAATGTCACCTCGAGTTTTTACAGTTGATGATTTTCTTTGATGCACATCATGTTTTTGATTTCGTACTGTTTTGCATATTGATGAAGATTCTGTTTTTTGAACCAAAACTTCGTGTCGCTGGTTTGGCTTGAGCTTTGATGTATTCAGTGATCTAGCAGACCAAAGAGATATCGGCAACATAGACGCATTTTTCAATTTAGATATTCTTTTCAAGTCATCAGACTCTGCATTTGTCCAATGGTATAGCAATCGATCATAATAGTTGAACGAACTAAAAAATTTACTATGACCAAGGTATTTAGTGCTTGGATAGAGTCTTTCAAATCCTCCTTTTCTTGCATTCTAATTCCAAGTGTCCACAATAGTAATTTTGTTTAAATTTGATCAGGTGCAAACCACATGAAATAAATATAAATCATATAATCAAAACCCACCTCGTCTTCTGTTTCTTTGAGAATTTTAAGATCGTCTGATGTTAATTTTTGCAAAATATCCAAACACTCATTGGCCATCACACTTCTTTGCTTGTTCCGTTCAAGCGTCGTTAGAAAAGGACGTTTCCATTTAAAGGCGCTATTTGTGTTGGTTTCAAGCAGATTATTCAGTAACGTTCATTCACAATACAGTATTAATTAAAACCCATATTTATACTTATGCATAACAATACGTTTTAGAACTTTGTGCTGCTTTTGCCATTTCTAAATCTTTGATTCTGATACCAACAAGATTAAAAAGATCTACGGCGACTTTAGATTTGAGCTCAAAGTCCAAATCACAAGATGCTTTCATTGATGGAGAAATATTAACCTCCATTAGCCACGGTTTTAAATCTGTGTCAAATAAAACATCAAATCCAAACATTTCATAGCAACTTCTTCTATTGAATTGCAACATCAAAGTATTGTCAGATTGAGATGAGTGAAAATGTATCAGTTTGGCTGATGGAATATATAGTATTGCTTTACCTATTGTTGACATAAAGTCGCACACCTCCAGTATTTTGAGTATGTGCACTCATAATGGTTTTAATAAGGAGGCTGCGAATTTTGTCCATTACTGGCGGAAAGTTATACCCGTGAAGTGTCATGTATTCCTGCAAGGTGCTCAGTGTCCTGAAATTGTTGGAATTACCATTCTATTGCTACCATTATCAAGAAAATCAACCCTGTGAATTAAACTACAATCAAACACATACCACTTGTTGTCAGACAGATCAAACTTTTTGTCCTTATGTTGATTAGAAGATTCTGCTTCAGGTGATGAGTTAAATACTGCTGTAGAATTTTCTGTAGACCGCACCTTATTAATACTATAATTTGTTAGATGAACAAACCGATTTCGAATGTTTTTCGTTGTAAAGTTGTGCTGGTACGGCTCGCTTGCGAATCGAACAATCCCATCTTTATACAAATAAATTCGTAATGGATCAAAGCTAGTCACAACGACATATAGTCGCAGATCAAATTTACGTTGGTACACTAGGAATGGATTTGAAATGTACTGCGAGCATATAAGATCGCGCTTTTTTGGAATCTCTGACCATTTGTTAATAACTCGTATTCCGTTTCCACGAGCTGATGCTGGTGGTTTTAGAATCCATAGTGGATATTTAGAAAACCCTCGTTTTAGTATTCGTCTTGAACGTGGCAGTATGAAAGTTTCTGGTGTAAAATCCAATCCCTAGGCATAATCCAAAAGCCATCAGTGTGATATTTTAATAAATAGGTTTACCTAGAAATGTATTGATAAATGCTTACGCTGTGTCCAAATCTTTCTCTCATTTCCATGTTGTTCATGTACATACGATCCTTGCGTCCAATTTCAAACGACATTGGAAAATGATTGATTTTTTGCCATGGCTCGACATCTTTATATTTCTCTGAAGGAAGGTGCTTTCCCCAATATCCAATCCAATTTTTTCCAGTTTTGATGAGTTTGAATTGAACAGATCGTAAAGCATTACGTATTACTCGTGGCGAGCCTTTACTGACTTTCCAAACCAACAGTGATTGGAGATGTTTGGAAAGCAGACCGACTTTTTGGCCCGGTTGAGGAAAATACAATACTGCTTCTCCATCCAAAAACAGACTGCTACATATAGGAGATTTAAATTTCTGTACTTGAGATGGCTGCGATAAGTGTTCAACTGAAGTACAGTTTTCTCCATTTAATGGTGTATGAATGCAAGTGGTGATACCCGATACGAATGACGTGTGTCTAGAGTCATCATTACTGTGATTATCACTTGTAAATTTATCATTTTGCATGTCTTGCCTATGCTCCTGAGAATTTTCGAGATCCACTGATGCATCATCGTCCTCATCGTCACACTCGTAGCTTTCTATGTTTGTGTCACTCAAGTTATCATAGTCATCAGGCTCGTCAGTGTCTGATAAACTGTCTGTGCTTTCTTGATATTCTACGCTAGAATTAGTACTGCCTTCTATTTCACTTTTGTTGACCAGCATCTCTGTTGGATATATCAGTATTGAAGTCGCGTCCCAATGTTAACGATAGTGTGTTAGTTGTCAGTTATTAAAACTTGTAGCCTACGCTCCAAAAAATGGATATTATCGAGGTAGATACCTAATTATGTAGAAATTCCTTTGTTTCGAGTGTTTTTCTTGTGCCAACTTTGTATAACTACACACTATTTGATGTGTCAATTTTGATACAGGATGTATTCGCTATATTCACGTAAAATGAAACACCAAATAAGGTGTCAGTGTAGTAAACAGCCAGTCTCATGAAATTATTGGCAGTTTACTGGACAACATTGTGCTTTCTAAACTATTAACAGTTGGTGACAGCGAGCATGAGAGTGGAGATATGAGATAAAATGAGAAATTGTCAGCAGCCATTACTCTTGGTGTTCTTTTGAAAATATCAATATATTGTCTATTGATTGAATGACAAGAGCATCTATTGCTTGTATCTCGTGCACTACGACGACAATCTGACTCGACATAATTAGTTTGCTGAACAGCCTTTAGCTTTTTTCAATTCAATATAGGACAATGACCTTTTGATCTTATTCTGCACGATTTTCGACATTCCACCAATATAGCCTGAGCGCTAACCTAAGCCAATCTAATTTGAAAAAATTCTTTAAAAGTGTCAACACATTGTCATTTTCAATCCATTGGTTGGTATAAGCGAATAAAATAGGCTGCTTGATAGTAGCAGAAACTTGGGTTGCAAACAAATAGATCTACAAACTAAGCGACAATAAATGGTATCTTAAATATCAAAATGCTATGAAACGATCTCAAGTATGATAAACGTATATCTTTAATATGCATAACAAACTGACTATTTAGTTTGATTTGAGTAAGCCTATACATGGCAAGATACGATGATGTAGTGCGTCATGTTTGATTGTCCATCAATAATTTTGGAATTTTTTACCTTGCCAAAAATCATTTTTTCTTCTGAACCTCGACCACATTCATTGTTATTAGCATGAGGTAAATTGTTCATACTAGCCCAATGGCTGAAATGAGTGACTTTGATTGCTCACATAAATGATGTAAAACATACTTTGAACAATAGGCGAATTTAACCTGTATTTATCAATATAGGATAATCACACATAACATGCTTCAATGCCATGTCAAGGGCTGCAATGTCGACAATTTCCCTTTGCAAATTCAAGATGCTGAAGTAGAAACAATAGAAGCAGACTTTAGCAGCGGCTTTATTCGACGGCTTATTCCAAAAATTCACTGGCCTGCATTTGTTCATACTGCTCTTTCAGTATGTACATTTTACTACGCCTTTACCCAAATTAATTACCATTTGCAAAATAGCTGTTGAGCACTGAATAATTTATTATTCCATATCCTACTATTAGATTGGCATAGATATATTGCCAGAGACACTTCCAGAGGAGCCAAACGAAGAGCTTTTGCATTTGATTCACAAGGTTGCTCTCGAGGTAGGAGTGTTGATTGAATTTTACATTTGAAAGATTGCAATCACACTACACATCTACTGTAAGTATATAGTACGACCACATGAATGACTAATATTGTCATTTACTAGACTCGTGTCAAACAAGGAAAGATGGTCTGTTTAGGATGCAAACACGAGTATGTGATTACGAATGGCATTCCAAACATGTTGTTGCAGGAAAATGAAGTATAATATTTGGGCTAGATATGTGTTCAAAAATAGTAGTATTTATTGGCATAGTATATTTTTAATTTCATTCAAATGCTGCTCTGCTTTTGGCCACAAGTCATTGTCGCATGTATTCTATCATCAATTTTCAATATTCATGTAAAAGCATGTTAGTTTCAAAAACTTTGACATACAAAATGGTCTAGCTTGATTGATGGGTTGATACTATGAAATTACCTCCAAGAATATCAGATTTTTTTTGCTTGCCTCGAGAAATCGTTCCATACGAGCTCGCCGAGTTCTTGACAGTTCCGATTCTGATGCTTGATCTTCAACCAGACGCACTACACGATTGTGCAAATGACGAAATACTTTTGTGACGTGTATTTTCCTCAACTTTCGAGATCGTTCATCCTTGACACTTTCTTTTCGAAGCACCTGCTCTAGCTCACTTAGAAACTGTCTTTCGCGATACGACAGCTCGCAAATATATAATTTTAGATCCAGCTCATCCAACTCGTTCACAAGGGGTTGAACACGTGCTGCACCGCTAACTATACATGTACGCAAACCTTCCGCACCCATGATGTTTGCCCGAGGATATGTTGATGGTAATGGAAACTGTTGTATATTTGAAGTTGCTGCATCTGCTCTTTCTGTAGCACAAGGTTTGACTGTTTTTGAAACACCATATTTTGATGATAGTACAGTGGCAATAAGATGGGGATCTAAAAAAGATCTTTCTTGTCTGTATGGATAAGGATATGACTTGGCTGTGGTGGAAATCGATGGTAAAAAGAAATTAGATGGCGCAGTTTTTGATATCCGTGACAATCTTGTGCAAGGCTCCTTTCTAAAAGTCTGCCCAGAGTTGTGCTTTTCATCGTGTTTGGATCTGTTATTGGGCGATTTAGCTGTGGATAAACAAGTCCTGACTAAATTAGGTGCTGCTGAAAATAACTGTTTTGCTACCTTTTTTTTAGAGTCACTTGCGTTTGGCATTTGAATTGAATCTATTCCAGTTTGTGACTGGATTTTAGCACGTTTCTGTATCTTTTCTTTGGATAGGGCAATGTGAACAATCTTGAGCGGCTCCCAGCTTGTCTCCCAGTCCTGTGAATATTGCTGAACTTGACGCCAGCCACTTTGTCCACCAGATGAGCCTTTTAAAACATGGCAGTAGGGATGAACTGGATCTGGCCGCTGATAGTAAGACTGCGTAAAGAATTGATCGTTTTGTGTTGCAGTATTTTGCTGATCAACAAGTTTTTGATTATCATTATTTTTCAAATCCTGACTACTCTTGTCATCATCATTTGTATACGATGGCCGCGTTATAAGAACCACGTTGGCAGATGAAGACAATGATAATTCTGGTTTCAAATCAATCGGCACTCGTACGCTTTGATCTTTCTGTGTAAGAGTAGAAATATTAGGATGGGGAGATGCTGCCAACTTTGCTGCTCCAAGAGTCTTTGATGTTTGCTGTAAAGGAGCTTGTGATGATAGGGCCATCAAATTTTGACGAGATCCCAGCGATATTGAACGCCGAATTGAATGATTTTGACTAGATCGAGCCAGACTGGGGGTTTCGTCAGTATTTTCAGCAAAATTAACCCAGCGTGAAGGAATATTCACAAGATCTACACTATCAATGACCTCCTGTCGAAAACTTTGAATTAATCTTGCAGAAGTCTCATTAGAACCGTTAGTCTGAGAAGTAGTCTCGGCTTTGATGGAAGTACGTCGAAGTCTTGATACTCGATTATTTTTTGATAGTGCAGCGTGGCCTTTTTGCAATCTAGATCTGGTCATACTAAGAAAGCTCTTCATATCTTCTTCTGATTCCGAGTCTTCTTCAATCGTATTTGAATAATTTTGAATACATTCGCATGCTGCATTTTGTGCAATGGCACTTGATCGACGTATGCCGTTGTATAAAGCTTTAGAGTGATTTGCGGGATCATAAAACGGGGCTGGTGTTGCTGCCGCCATTAAGCTAGTTTTTGACAACTGTGGATTGATAAGTGTTGTTCTAGAACTAAAGCTATCTTTTAAAGATGGTCTTTTTTTTTGGGAATCTGAAGTTTTTAATCTTTTTCAAAATATTCAACACAATGACACATAGTTAGCCTTGTGAAGAATATTTTTTAATGTTTTTAGCCTTTACAATAATATACATACCTATTTGTACTAGATAAGCCTTGATCTGGTTCAATAGGAACAAGAGTGAGCCTTTGGATATCTGAAATGGAGTGTAGTGACGTTAGACTACTACCAAGCTGATGTTTTAAATTAGACCCGTCTTCTACTTTTAATACTTTGATCTTGACCAGTTTTTTTTCCGTCAGTTGCGAAGTGATCAAAGTTACAGATGGTAGCTGTGCAATCAATCTTGGTTTCAACGAAGCTATGGTTTTTTGTTCAGATGGCCATTGCGGGTCATAAGCAAATAAAGGAGGCTGTCTGCATGCAAATTCTGTTTCCATGAAATATCTTATCTTTTAGTGAAGTAGATGTGCTTTTTAGGAAATTCCACTTGTGAAAGCTTATTTAGTTTATACATTGCACAGTAAAACACGTGGCGTGTATCCTGTTTTGAATAAATATATATATATTGGACATGCAATGAATATATAATTGTTATAAATTTAAAGCTTCTATTTAATAGTATAGATTTATTAAAAGCAATATTTTGATACCGCTGTTTATTCTATCAGTTTAATGACAATAAAATAATCAAAATATTTAAAAACGAATACACGTAAAATACAAATATTTAAGCAAGTCTCAAGACTCGTATTGGTCTGGCATTGTATTTGTTACACGTGGCCAGGCATTTTGGACTAAATATATACCTCATCTACTAAAGCCCGTCCAGGCTGATGCATATTTCTGCCATTATACACAAACTGGTGTAATTTATACCAATTGCAATATCGGATTGAACATGGCATCAAACGCACTCGGTGATTATCGTCTGATCTAAGATGACATGATCACTCTCTAGCTCATACGTTTGCTAATATTATATACCGACATTTGTGCCTATGCTTTTGGACCGATCCGTCATGTGTCTGTTACCACGCAAATGTTAAACCATATGTTGATTCAAATCTGGATACTGTTGGGTTTAAAACTTGACTGTCTTCCGTTCCGTTCCGTTAGCATTATCGTATCAATGTCTGCTGATGCCTACTGATGCCTACTGATATCTGTCAATATCTGTCAATGCTGCTTTTGATGTTCGATTATAGATATCTGACAATTGTTGGTGGTTTAACCAAATATCTTGATAATTTGAAGCATTTTTGAGATACGGTCTTTCAACATTTAGTAGAATTTGGTAGCATTCGACACAATCATGAGCCCAGTTTTTATTTTTTGACGACTACAAACACGCCGTGTATCTCAGATACAAGTCTGAGCCATGATATTGAATGAGGTTTTGACTCGACCAAACCATTATACCAATTCACAGATATATCAACACAAACCAAGCGTAACAGTGTTGATTATATAGCAAGCATAATGGCTGAATATTGTAATCAAGTGGCCAGACATGTATTGATATGAGTTAGCAGTCATATGATACACAAGTATTTTGGAGTGTTGTAATCAAACTGCACGCTGGAGTGTTGTGTAGCAAACAAAATGTACATTGCCACATTTTAAGGAAGGCCCGGCTAGCTCAATCGGTAGAGCGTGAGACTCTTAATCTCAAGGTTGTGGGTTCGACCCCCACGTCGGGCTGTTACTTTTGCATTTTACACGTCAATATTTTTACTGTATTGGCTAATAACGTTTAATGTTTCATTACAACTCGACAGTCGCAGTATGTATTGTTTGGTAATACAATCAAATCTTGTCTGGTAATAGCTCAGTCATGACTCCAAATTCATTGTATATTTTCCACCAATATGCCATTGGTAAATAGCACTGACAACATCAAGATGCTTGTAGATTAACGTGGACAAGCGATTGTCATGTCATGCGAATATATTGTGATGTAAGCTATGCAGCTGAATATACATGATAGACTGTTGTATTCCATAAACATGGTACTGTCACTCACATTGGTATTCCAAATCTACAAATCTACAAATTTAGAAATGCATTTGTTGTTTATTATCCATAACACTTGATGAGCAAGCATTCCAAATGCAATTCTTGTTTTTGCATGACAGACAGACGAGTGATCTGAAAACAGCCATTACAATATACGCATTGCTATCAACTCGCCTCGATAGGAATAAACCAATACTGATTGTCAACAGTAACAGTCAACATGGACAAGGTAACAGATCATGTGTGGTATGCGAGTCGGATTGGTTCGAGGTTCCATTGGTAGTTGATGTTACTGCATGATTAAAATACAGGTTTCTGATTGGATGGTAGTGAGCATCACATATTCCAAATCTAAACAATCGATTGGTGCAGTGAGATGTTTTGATTGATAAATATATTCTAGTTGCATATTGCAAGTATTGGTGGTTACAAGTTGGGTTGGTGGGGATTCAACAACGGAGCATTTTGGTATATTGCGATGATTGCCAATATGCTGGTAGCCACAATGATCCATACTATGCCAATAAAATCATGAAACCCATCTACCAAGACATACAGCAAGAGTGTTGTGAATTGTAATCCGTTTAATGATTGGCTACAGCCAAAGCAAATGTGTATTCAATATGGATTGGCAACTCTTTTGTGTTGCAATCGAGTGATGTGTATGTTTGTGGAACGAGTCGCAGCGACAATCTAAATGACAAATAGTTGGTATAGCAATACCCAATCATTCGACCAAGCAGTGTTTATTACAAGAACTATACAAGTCACCATTCCAGATACAGATACATGTCCAGATCCATGTTCACATCACCATCTAGTTACAGTATAGTTTTTGAGAAATACTCCCCACATACGGTCCCCACCACGCACGCCTACCAGAATGGGATCTAAAACTCGCATGGCGGCATCCCATTCGTCAAGAGGTGGAGGAGCATTTTCTCGTTTCTCCCACTGCTCAACTGGATTTTCATCAGTAATCCATCCAGTATCAACAGCAGTCATGAAGATATTCAATGCAGCAAGACCTGCAGCAGATGTGCGTGTCATCATATTGAGTGATGCTTTAGCCATGTTACTGTGTGGATGAAAAACAGTTTTAGGCCGATAAAACTGGCCTTCCATGGCACTTACATTGACAATGTACTTGTCATAGGAAGACTTTATACTGGTATCTTCACTGACATCCGAGGCAGTAGCTGATGTTTCGGAAATAACAGGATTTCCAGTGGCTTCCATTAATGATTTCAGTTCGGAAATAAGAACCCATGGAGCAAATGCATTGATAACATGGCATTCAAGCATTTCTACAGTAGAAATCTGTCCAATTTGCATAGTCCATGAGTTTTGAGAGCGAAGATCGATTTGCTGATCATCACGATCGAGTCGCCCATCTGGAAAATGTGTTGTATCTGCAGCTGCATCTTCTTCAGTAAGCGAGATCTGCGACAAGGCAGCAGATGTATTTACGGATGCCAAAGACTGGCGTGTACCCAATGCAGGCAAAGCAAGACCATATTCTGTAATCTGGTTAAAAGAGTCGCAGGACGCTGTGATATCAGAGACGGATTTTGAAGCAGTGGTAATAGATCGAAAAGAGTAACCATTGGTACCATTCTTGTAAACATCAATAACCTTGAACACATCTGTGATAGCACTGGGAAGAGCACACGCTTCGTCAGAAATCAAGTGCTCATAAAAGCGAGGAGGTTTTCTTACAGTCTGTGCAGCATTGTTGATGATTACATCTAGTCGCTTAAACTCTGTTTTGATGTGCTTGCAGAACTGATGCACCATGGCAATGTCACGAAAATCAATACCATATATAAAAAGCAAGCCTTTAAACGATAGATAATCTTGTTCCTTGGCATATCTGATGGCAGCATTATGGGGAAAGCGAGTAGTAACAATGACTGTAGCACCCATTCGAAGCAGTTTCAATGCAATGCAATAACCAATCTGGTTTAATACAGTCAAAATATTAAAAACCACAGATTAATATTTTACACAATCAACAAGATGCCGTAGATAGTAGATGCATAATAAAAATAGTAAAATGTGCGAGAAAAGCGTGCCATATCCCACAGATAAAATATCGGGATGACTTTTGACCCTCTCATGATAATTGCCATATGGCAAATCAAAAACTAATATTACATTAACACTAGCGCAATATCATCAAGGCACGAATGCTATGAAATTGCGACTCTGTGCATGTGATTGTATGACAGCAATAAGAATAAAGCAAGCATACAACATACCTTGACTCGAGCACCTGTAACCAAACACACACGACCACGCATATCGGCCGCAAAGGACCGCTTGTTATAATTGAATTCTGCACATGATGGACATAGTTGATCATAAAAATGATGCAACTGGCGAAAATCAGCGGGACAAATGTGACAGGAACGAGGAAAGTTGAGCATTCTCGGCTGGGTACTTGGGGGATTAATATCACAGGGGGTAGACAAAATACTCTCTTCAGAAGCCACGGGAGTGTTGGAACCAGCAGTGCTTGACTCGCTAGCAAGCAGGCGACTTTTTGAAATGTCAAACAGATCAATGTCATTTTTTTTTGAAAACGACTCCAAATCCTCTACCGTAGACAAGGATCTTGGAGGAAGCGGAAGAGTAATGCTACCGGTAGCATGTCCTACCAGCTTGTGATGGCGCATCTGACGGATACCAGTTACAGCCAGTTGAGCACGATCGCTTTCTTTCCGATCAGCGAGTTTTCGCTTGCGATGAGCTCTTGAATCTACATCAGTGGGTAGCAGAGTGCGTTTGGCAATATCAAACAGCTCCCTAAGCTTAGGACATGTTTGGGCATGAGCCTTGTAGGTAGGATTTTCAGTATAAACACTGAATATTCTCAATGCAGCATCCAAGTCAGGTTCTGAAATAACAGACTCCCAAGACGGAATAGATTTTTCCTTTGCAGGAGTGGAGTTGGAAGGGGTAGATTGAGAGGTCATTTATAAAGGGGTGTAGAGTAGATATCTAGTAGCAATGAAACTTGACAGCACAACCCAACATTTACCCAACTGTAGCGAATAAAAAAACTGATTTCAAAAAAATATATAATATGCATCACGTGTTTAAATGAAATCGATATTGACCAATGAAAGATGTGTTTGATCCAGCCAATGGTTTTTGGATTGATTCGTCCAAGTAAAACAGCAGTTCATATGAGCCAACCAGTCTCGCATACAAATCCAGTGTTGTTGAACAAAATACAGACTATTTTTATGAATCTCGATAGTGAATGTCGCGACGCTGCAACTTCAATAGATATTCTCAGTTCTTTCCAATGTTCTCTTTCGGCAGCCATACATTGTACGAGCATCAAGTTTGAAACCGGATCCATTCATTGCAATTCAGATATTGGATTCTACTGTTCTGACGTTGTGTTCTAAAATCGCACATCTCAGGATGCAACTGTTGTTTTTGTGCTCATCATTCGATGTTTGGTTGGATACAAAGAGAGTTGAAGTGCAGAGCTGTGATGCGAACATCCATTCAGTTCTCTATACAGAAGCTAGACAGCTAGAGTTCAACAGACATGACATTGTCCAGTGAATTTGGTGTGAACCATTTCATGAAACTGGCTGTTTATTATATAATTTAGCTTTCCTATCCAGTAATCCGTTTTACATGAATACGGCCGTAATGCCGTCCATTTGTGACTCTGGAGTGATTGCTTTACGCACTAAGCGGATTAAAGTTGATGCACAGACTGAAATGTAAACATACTGTCCGCACCAATAAACCAATGTGATCTGTTGGCAGCATCTTCTGATACGATTGGCAATAACAAACATAGCCCTATAAAAGCAATTGACAAAGCATCGCCCATTCATTCTTGTGTGCCATCACTGACTAGGGAGCCATTGGGGCTAGTCCAGTACTGGAAAGACTAACAAACCCGAATTGCAGTTGTATTCATGTGAAATGGAATACTAAAAGAAACTGGCCAAATGTTCACATCACAGTTTCATACTTGTTCAACTCCAACTCTTTTCCTTCAAATATTGAGCAACTGCCAGACAACAGCTATATCATGAAACGTGCGATTTTTGCTCTTGAACTAGAACGTAAGCGTACACGAGACTTTATGATACAATGATGGGTTGGCAGAGTTGTATTGGCAGCATCAAATCAGTTGAATGCAATATCTGATTTCAGACTTGACGATCGTGCAATATGACTATGCCAAACGAAAAGAAAGTGATGGTTTGATTTTGTGAGCATCATGTGATGAGCGTTGTGTTTATCAAAGAATTGAAGCAGTCAATTTGCAGCAGGAAAGTACAACGAATATTTAACCATTGTTTATTCCGAAGCAAAATAGAGGCAGTGAGTGCAAGATAAAAGTATTCCACTTTTACGTGAATATGGCTGTAAATTATTTTTGCTGTGCCGGATCCCTAGTGTACTTTTGTCTGTTTGTTGATTTTATTCTTCCTGTTTATCTTGCTTGGTGCTAAACAGCCCATCAAAAGTAACACCCGAGTCCAATAAACAAGTTGTATGGGTTTACTCTGGTCAATATTCGATAAAAGAAGACTGCGTGTTGCTCGAGTCTCTTTTGGAATTTTATATTCGCCTATAATTTAAACTCTTGCGCATAGTTGTTTCTAAGCCTAGTCCGCCCTGAAAACCTCATCGCCACATACCTTCAGCCTATTTCTGTACCTAATCAAACCAGCAAAGCTGCTTTTTATATCTGTACGTTCCATTATGCCTCGTCCTGACCCAACCTTCAGCAAAACTATAACTAATTAGAACGACCTAATTTTGTGCAATTCACACTTGTAACCTTGCATTATATTGTTTTCTAATTAGTCATGTCAACCAATATCAGTAATAAACTTGAGATCCACGCTTCTACTCTCCGCAGACATTCGTCAATGTCGTCACTGTATACCATCATTCGTCCATCAGTAGAGAAATCATCGGTATATGCTGCTATTAATTCGGCAGATTCGGGCAGTGAGTATAGTTTTTCATATCAAGACTCGTTGATTGAAGATAGTCTGCAGCCTTCTTCACCAGCAAGCAATTTGAATGCAGCCATTTCAGGAGTGCACTTTGTTCCATCTGTTCCATTTGAGCATAATCGCAAAAAGGAGCATTCGTTAACTCTGGCAAAAACTAAACTAGACCGTCTGATTGCTCTTGTTTCTGATTTCCAAAGGGATGAAATGAGGTCTTCAATGTCCACTCCTGAGCTGGGGATTATTGAACCTTGCAAAGCTAAACGAGGAGGCTGGGCTCGTCACTTTGGCACTCCTCCAGTACCACGCATTCCATCCGTATATAAGGATACAGACAGTAAACCAATCACTAGAAACGGCCCTTCTGACACTACTTTTTGCGCTGACAGGTTTTTAGATCCTCATACTGACAGAATGGAATTTAAGCCGTGCGAAAAACAGTGCGCGTCAAATAAGCTACCTGCTGCAACTGAATCTGTGTATATTGACAAACATTTGGAATCTGTTCAAAAAACAACTAGGTCTGCGTCTGTTTCTACTTGCGAATCAGCCATTACTTTGATCTCTTCTCCCTTTGCGCAACCTTTGGCTGCTCCATTATCTCCAGCCTTGTCTACATTAGGCACACCGATTCAGTCAATTTTTTCTCAACGGTCAACTTCCTCCACCCTTATATCCGGCGACGATCCCCACCGTACAGAGCCTGTCCTTTTCTATCATCCAAAATCTACCTGCAGCATGTCTTCCTTTATGGGGGGAAGCACAAGCGAGATGACCCTGTCACCGTCTTCTCCAACAGACTCGGTCCCACACAAATCTTTTGGCATACACTTTCTTCAACAATCTCATACACGCAGCAACCGTGCTCTGTGTGAGAGTGCGGGGCCGCTAATTTCTACCTCGAAACCGAATACGAGTTTGCGTAGTGCGTCGACTCCTATTGAAGCTGGTCAGGTTTTAAGATTACTAGATCAAGGAGAAAAACGATCAAACGAACCATTGAATGCATCGCCACATTTCATGGCATCAAAGTTTATGAAATTATTTAAGCGTACAAAATGATGTAGACTTGGACTAATTAAAAGGCATTTTTATTCACAGCTGTATTCACAATGGAGCATATTTATCTTGCAGACTTTATTTTGGTTTGGAATAAACAATGGTTAAATACCTGTGCTTTCCTAGTACACGTTGACTTTGACATTCCCAGTGCTTGGAGTCGCATACTGTGTAAGACCACTTTGTACTAGAGCAGCTGCCAGCAGGATTCAAAAACGAACAATGTGCAACCTTGTATCTTGCGACACTGCTGCTTGCTAAACGACTGGCAGATCACGTTGAATCAGTCGACTGGAGAGTTTAGTAAATTGACACTCCATAAATATGAGCGCTTAATAGACTGCCAATCTTAGTGTTCTGTTTTGCGTGTACATGGTGGTAAATGGAAGAGGGTCCAATGATCGGAGTTTATACTTATCGTAGTGACTTGCAATGAATGCCTCAAAGGATCGCCAGCAGTCTAATGTACATACACAGCGATCTAGTCGTCCAGTACTAGCTCAGCTGGTACAAGGGTGGTCGCTGTCCCGTAAACCTCGCCGAGCGTCCGAACCATCAATCATGCCCATGACCACCAATCGCTCTTGTTCCAATCCACCAGCATCTCTTGAACCCATGTCTGTGAGTGCATCCGATGCCACTGCTGCTAGATGGATTGGCAACCCTTTTGGCAGCTATAACCTTCGACGTCCTTCTTATCAGGATCAGCCAATATATGCGAATCACAATGCTGCTGTTCAAGATATCACATCTCAACATCACTTTATTTCAACCAGCGTTCAAACCAATCATACAGATCGAGTCTATGATAGATCTTTAGCCCATACACTGCATGTCAAATCCGTTGCAACATCTCCAACCACCAGCAACACCACTTTGCATGCAGAGCAAACAGACTCATCCTTCCAACAGCATTCTCTCGCTCATGCCAGCTCCAAATCTGATTCAACCAGCAAGCATCAACCATCCGACCCTTCTACTTTTGTACCATCATTGTCTAGACACTCTATTGCATCGCTGTATTCGCTTATTAATCCAGACTCTTTGGACCAGCAGCTGTACCGTTTGCCTAGACCGCATATCTATGGTGTGGCTAATGCATCGTTGGCAGAAGACACGTGTGATTCTAGTATATACACTGACAACACCATGAGTGATTGTGACGAAGACGATGTGTCCGTTTTGGATCAGTGGGTATTTCCTAACCCTGCTATTCTTGATGAATCTGAGCTGAGCCAGAAGCATAAGCAATATTAAACAAGGATGCCAAAGTACATAATAAACAGCTCATTTCATAAAATAATGTGTTGATTTCCATCCTATTTGCTGCACAACATTGCACAACATTGCGCCATATGAAATCTTGGGTAAAGTAGACTGGCTTTTGTGCTCATTTTTATACAAAATTGGATACCTGTTACATCTGTTTCAGTAAATTCTACATCCTTGACTAATATTTACAATTGAATTGATTGAAGAGCCATGATTTGATCATGACGAGCAGTTTTGCTAGAACATCCCAGATTCACACTATGCACTTGATTCGAATTTGAACCTTGATTCACAAAAATTCCTCAAGTACTCAACATTCTTGATGAGTAGCAGTCATGTATATGTAAATAAATAAAAAGATTGGAAACATTACGTTAATCTTTACAGTGACTGCATAAAAGTATCTGTCAAATGGAATGTGTTTTTGGATTTAGTGCATTGATCATCCAACTTTCCTTTGGCACTGAATTACAATATCTTCAATTAGATGACCATGACAAAGCAAATCACTCTTGAAGAAGTTTCTCATCACAACAAAGCTGGTGACTGCTGGGTTGTTATCCATGACCATGTGTATGATCTGTCGCATTTCATTGACGAACATCCTGGTGGTGCAAAGGTAAAATGTCAATCCTCGACTAAAATGGCTGTTATACGGCTATGAAATAATGCAGCACTTTAATAAAACAGATGGCATGGGCTGATCAATCTGATGGGTTTAAATTATGCTGCTTGATCCGACATTACTGTCATCTGTAATGATGTAGGTAATTCTTAAACAGGCTGGCAAGAATGGAACCGCTGCATTTGATCAAGTTCATCCTAAAGATATTATCCAAATGCATTTGCCCAAAGAGTGCTGTCTTGGAGTTTTGGTTCAAGATGGCTCTAAACATGCGGTCACCTCGACTTCTGCTCCAACCATGTATTCTAGCCCACTCAATTTGCCACCTCTCGATTCCATACTCAACCTATTTGATTTCGAGGTACAGTTTGATGATCCGACTATGATGCTGTATTGTTTGTGATAATACTGTTGATGAATGCTGGTTGATTCTGGATCAATTCATGTGCTTATTAAAAAGCTAGAATTATACATTGCTTTGAAATCTTGATCCATGTCTATTTTCTAAACCATGCAGTGTATGCTTGATACATTTATGTCAATCCTAGGCAATTGCTCGATCTTCTCTATCAAAAGAAGCATGGGCGTACTATTCATCTGGTGGTGATGACGAGCTCACTCTCCAAGAAAACCATGCCGCGTTTCATCGTATCTGGTTACGACCTCGCGTCATGGTTGATGTCAAAACGGTGAATGTATCCACCACTATGCTAGGTGTACCCTCTTCTCTTCCAATCTATATCACTGCTACTGCGTTGGGCAAACTGGGTCATCCCGAAGGTGAAGTGGTGCTGACTCGTGCTGCTGGAGCAAAAGGAATCATTCAAATGATCCCAACTCTGGCTTCGTGTTCATTTATGGATTTGGTTGGTGCAAAGTGTCAAGGGCAGTCACAATTTTTTCAGCTTTATGTCAACAGCAGTTGAGTGTACTTGAATAGGGTTTGTTGCATCGCATGTTGGAACAAGAGGGGTGGTGAATATTTTAGCTAAATCGTCTTGATGTAACAGATCCAAGTATCACAGAGAATCTGATTCGTAGAGCTGAAGCCAATGGAATCAAGGGATTGTTTATTACAGTAGATGCTCCTCAACTTGGTCGTCGTGAAAAAGATATGCGACTAAAGTTTATTAATGACACACCTGACGCCATCGATCCCGATACACCTCGCACAAACAATTTGGGTGCAGCCCGTGCCATTTCCCATTTTATTGATCCTTCTCTTTCATGGAAGGACTTGGACTGGTTTCGTAGCATCACCACACTTCCCATCGTTCTCAAGGGCATTCAAACAGGTGAGGATGCTATCATTGCAGCAAAGAGTGGTCACGTTGCCGGAATTGTGATTTCCAACCACGGAGGAAGGCAATTAGATACATGTCGATCGGGCATTGAAGTGTTGATGGAAGTGACCGATGCGTTGCGCAAGGAGAACCTTGAGGGAAAAATGGAAATCTATGTCGATGGTGGATTTCGTCGCGGAACAGACATTTTCAAGGCATTGGCATTGGGGGCTAAAGGTATTGGTCTTGGTCGACCATTTCTTTATGCCATGTCAGGGTATGGTCAAGCTGGAGTTGAACGAGCCATTGATCTTTTAAGGGAAGAACTAGAAATGGTCATGCGATTGATGGGTGTAACACGATTGGATGATATTAAAAGAGAATCGTTGATGACTTCATCTCTTGGTATTCATCTAGGTTCACCATTGTTTGATTCGCTATCTCATCGAACATACGAACCATTAACAACTAGCAGCAAGCTTTAACCTTGCTGATATGGATTGTATCTACTTTTACAGCCAGCAACAGGGGTACGAGAATGGAGATGAAATAAAACGAGAAACTATCAGAATGATCACTCTTGATGTTGTGGTTTTGAAAATATTGGTAGATTGTTTATGGGTCGAATGGCAAAACCATCTATTGTTCGTGTTTCCTGTACCAAGGCGACAATCTGGTCCATTGACATGATCTGATCGTTTCAATTGAATAAAAGGCAATCTCACGCATTGGGTCTTGTCGACACGATCCTCAACATTCCATCAATAGAATCTGCACATTAGCTTAAAGTAATCATGACATGTTACACAAAGAATTTGCATTGAAATGTTGCAACAACCGCCTGTTTGATGATATCAGGATGGTTTCAAAACATGGCAGAATTGGGTGATTGAAATATAAATATCTTTTGTGTTCAATTGTAGCACATCATTTGACACCCGCTTATGAAGCGACAAGGACACAAAGTGCATTGATGATTGTCAAATTTGTGCAAGAACGTGATGGTCAATTACCTCGATATATCAACTGACAAATTGGATGAATGTGCATCTTTTATCGTTGCTATAATGGTGGGCGATGTTAAATAATTAAATTGAAAATATTTACGGAAAACCTGCAATACACTTATTATCGTTTATTAAATATCGCCTTAATATGTTGTTTCAATATCTATTGTAAACATCGGCTGATCTAGTCTTGTAGTCCAGTCTACCGTAAATCGGATTACACAAAAAATAGTTTGATCAATAAAAACAAAATATTAATTTATAGGCATTTGCTTGGCTTCTGATCGTTCGTGCGAGTCGTGCATCCGTTCATGCCTCTTCAATGCATCCTGTAACACCACATGTAAAATGAGTTTTCTGTAATGGTGGTTAGAAAAGCAAGCAACGCATTATATTTACCTTTCTCAAAAATGTTCGACTGCAGCGACCGCATACAAAAGGACGCTCAGGCATATGCTGCCGCATGTGTCGATTCAAATCGTGCCTGCGAGTAAAAGACATGCAACACAGCTCGCATGCAAAAGGTTTTACATTTTCATGAGACTTTAGATGAGAGTTGAGATTGAATGCTCGTGTAAACGACTGTCCGCAGACTGGACATGTTGGTAGCTTTCTAGAACTATCCTCGTCAAAATCGGTTGGTGGAATAAATGGCCGTCCTGGTGCACCGTGTGGGATTGATAAAGTGTGATTAGTCGGTGTGGATGCAGATTGTTGTTTGGGTAAAAGTGGTAGATGGCTATTCCATTCAGAGCCTTTTTGCGATGTTTGAGTGATATCTCCCACTGAATTAGAACGGTTTGAAACAGTCTGTTTTTTGCAAGTTTTACGCTTGGGTTTGGCTCGTTTAGACCCAACGCCTTCATCTGAATTGACCTGCAATGCATTACTATTTGAAGAATTCAGAGTAGCTTTGGAAAAGTTCGCGGGACTACTATTGGATGTGATGGGACTCGTACTGTTTGTTGAAAGATGAGATCGTATATATTTGTGAGTGCCAAAGCCTACAGGTTCTGGGGGTGATGTTGCAACAGACAATGCAGGAGTTGTGTCCGAGACTGATAACCCATCACGAGATGAATGCGACGACTCTGGATAAAAAGGTTGAGGATCCTGGTCTATGCAGTCCATTGTGGAACGATAGGCAGATGTTGCAAAGTGCGAAAAAGGTAAGGAAGCAAACAAAGGTTGTGCATGCAACTGAGCAGACTGATGGATTTCAGATGATCCTTCATGAGCATTGTAGAACAGCTCAGGTCTTGGAAGATGTTGTACTCGTTGAGGGACTAAATGAGCCATGACTGGATCATGTGAGTCGGACTGGAAACTAAAATCCGAGCTTATTACTCCACCATAGTCCAATTCATGCGTCATCACTGTGCTACCAGAAGACAGCGGAGTTGTAGGATATGTTTGGTGGTGCAGTGACAGATGCGAAACAGGAGTAGTGAATCGATATGGGTTGTCATCCGAGTATGAGCATGGTAGTTGTGATGTATGGGAAGCCAGACGTGGCTTGTGTTGATGGTAATCAGGATGCTTTGGGTCAAGTTCTTCTATGCTTGTCCGACCATCGCAATGATAATTCTGTTGACGAGCATGCTGATGCGACAATGGCTGATATGCAGTATGCTGGTGATGAGCCATGGCAGACATACCCTGGTCATAGGCTGTATCTGAAGACTGACCAGACATTGTGGAATAAGAGGTGAGATTATAAGCATCCATGCCAGATGGTTTGAATCCAGGATCCATACTGGATCGAGAAGTGTATAGATCTGAAGTTGGAATGGGAGGAAGCAAAGCAGACACTCCGGTTGAAAAAGCACTACCCACAGGCGTATCAGTAGAATTCATCAGTGAATAGTTGAATCCAGTTCCTTTTGTAAAGGACTTTCTGTATGTTGAACCTTTCAACTGTTGTTGCATAAGAGCAGCAGTCAGCGGAGTCTGCGAACGCGTGAATGTCGAGTTGCTTTGCTTGTCCAGCATTGATTCATGTGAAAAATGCTGCGGATGCGATTTGGATTCGTCTGCAGACATCATTGAAGATGGAGTAAGTAAGTTGGACTGCAGTGGTGTGCTGTAACAGTTTCTTTCAAGATGTGAGCTGCTGGGTGTGGTAACGCTCTTACTGCGATTGTGTATAAATCCGACAGTAGGAGTGGAAAGTGTGTGAATGTCTTGACTGTACTGAACTGGACTGTCCACTATTGAATCTGTGTTTAAACCAGGAGTCCAGAAACTAGTAGAAGGCTTGGATGGAATGCAAGATGAATGATCTGGATGGAAAGCCACGTCAGAAACTGACTTGATACAAGTCGAGGTGTTGATGGGTTTTGCCAATACTGAAGATATTGGAACAGAAGTAGACGCTGTTAGTGTAGATCGTGATGGTCTTGGAGATGATTGAGTGAGGCAAGTGACTTGCATCAGAGTGAGTGAATACACTGCATCTGACTCTGCTGCATCCAGCTGCAAGTGTCGGTTCTCATGTGGAGATTCACTGCCATTTATTCCAATCGACTTGTGAGAGTTCAATATACAAGAGTTTGTAGTGACGGCTGCAATGGAACCATCCGTGCACTGCTTGTTGTCCATAGTAGCTGCTGTGCTGGTATGGGCAGGGTAGTAGCTCTCCTGTGCAGAGGTTTCAAGAGGCTTGACTAGTGCACCGTCGACAGAAAAAGATCCTTCAAGTCCAAGTAATGGCTTTTGCTGCTGACTGGGATGGTTGTGAGCTGTATGTGGCAGTGATCTGGTGGGTGACATGTTCACAGCACTGACTCTTGGTAGCTGTTCTTCTGCTGCTGTCTTGGTACTATTCACTGAATCACCAAGTGTTGCTGCAACAGTATCATCCAACTCATGACTGTCGTCCACTTCCAAAGCTTGCAATCCATTCGTAGTAGTGGGTTCTGCCGCTCGCGCTATCCCATCGTCGCATATTCCACCTGCTGCGAGGTGTAGGCTTTTTAATGCAACAGGCCGATCCGCATCGTGCTCTCCATCCTCTCGACACTGATCATCATGGCGTGCAGGTATTTCAACAGGCGCTTCACGATCTTCAAGCCTCTGCCGTTTTGACGCTATTGTGTTGATTTTACTTGTCGGCTTTGGACTGCATGGAAATATCTCCCGACAATGACAGAATGAAGTCGATTCAGTTCCATGCGTTTCTTTGGTTGATTTTATCTTGCTCTGTTTTTCAAGCTCTTGTTTTTTACAAGCCAAAACACTGCCATCATCAAGCGGTAATTGTGCATTAAAAACTACATGCCAGTGTCTAAACTTGTCTTGTGATGCTGACTTGCTCATTTGCTTATTGATTGGCTGGTCTGCTTGTACTTGTTTATGTTGTACCGAAGGGATATCTGTCCTGTTATTATGCCAGACATGCGTCGCGTCCATATGAAAGTTGGAAATACTACGAGAAACTCCCAATTCAACTCCTGAACATGAAAGTACTGATATGGGCAATGATGACTGCAATGTTTGATTATCATTACCATGAGAATTCTCAATCTCTTGTTGCTTTGGTTCGGTCCAGAGATGAGTCGGATGTGATGGAGAACTAGGATGTAGTGTCATAGACTCGTTGGATACTGATACAAATGTATCCTTTATCAAATTGCCATCCTGTCTTGGCATGCTTTGGTATCAATTGCTTCAACTGATTGTTGAGCTGGTGTTGGCGTGGCTGAACAAAACAGCCTGTATATGACAATCAGCAATATTTGAGTGAGATTTTAAATAGACTCAATCGGCAAATACCAGACTATTCAGCAATGAATTTCAAACCTTTACCTTGAGTTTGTTTTGAATACAAGAAACAAAGTTTCGTTTTAGAATGATAGGTTAGACGATACAAAAGTTTGTAGGCCAGTTGAGCTTGTGCTTGCTTGGTTAAGAATAACTGGTCACACCTCGAAGCTATCAACGAACATCTGCGAAAGCGGCAAGGAAGAATACTAATGGCTGTGTTTACACTTTTCTGGTGTCAATGATCTTTACATAAGCAAAGTCAATCTAATTATCCAGTTGTAATTCGTAATAGAATAATTGAGCATCTAATTGGCTTGCATAATGACGGCCAACCCATATCTGATTTGCGGCCAATATTGATTTCCCTCCCTTGAATTACATTGCCCCGATCTATATCATAATGCCTCAATACTATATTGCAACAAAAAAACCGTTGAAACCGCCAGCGTATTGCATTTTAGCTTTGGATATCCCATCAGTCTTTGGTTCTGTAATGACAGAATGTGCTTTATTACTGGGTAATGCAGTCATGCTTTTCGGTGTCGAGTGGCTGAATTTGGCAATGCATGTGCTCTTTCACTATCTCTGTATATCCAAAATATTGGCATCAAGCCACAATGCTACATCAAACATACCTGATTCAAGACATGCATCTCGAATGCAAAAAGCTTTATCCTAGAGTCCAATTGCACACGATCGTATTCACGTAAAATGAAACACAATCTCATGAAATACTGTCAGCTTACTGGACAGCGCTGTGCATTCTAGTCTTTTGCTGGTGATTGACATGGAAACAACTATTTCCAAAACGTACACTCTTGAGCTAGAATGTATCTGATATTAGGATACAGCAGATATGAGTTTGACAACATCAGGACAATCGGGTTCAATATTTGAATGGTAATGGATAAACCCGGTGATTGACAATGTATGACTGTCAAAGTGAGGACGGGCTCAAGACCATAGTTTGATTTTGTGCATTATATGAACAGTGAATCCGTTTTCGATAGAAAAGCGCAGCAAGTATTTAAACATTGTTTATTTCGAAGCAAAGCAAGATAATCACTGCAGAATGAACACAAAAGCGGTCCATTTTATGCGAATGCGGTTGTAAATCTAACCCTACCAAATCGGAAACTTCAATCGCACCTGTGCAGTATATTATACACTGGTACTTGGACACACCCAGTCCAAGTATGCTTGAATAGATGATCATATGATACACTTGAAGTTTACGTAAACCCTTTCTTGGCCAAGATATCCTGGCTTGTTTTCCAAAGCCGTTCTGCCCGATCACCACTACAAAGCTCTGATATATCCCATCTAGCATCTACAAGCCGCCAAGCCGATCCAGTCAAGACAGCATCACTTACAGCAGCCAAAACTTGGGTCAAAACACCAACTTCTGGTGGAGATGCAAATATCCATGAGCAATTGCGCATAAAAAATGAATAGATTCCTGCACCCGTAGCTTTTGCATGAAGACTGGTAGATACACAACCTGGATCAACGACTGTTGCTACTATACCTGTCTTTGCATAATGGTCTGCTATGTATTTTGTAAAGAGGACATTGGCAAGTTTGGAGTCGCCATAGTTCAACTGAATCAATGCAAGAGATTAGTCAGACACGTTGGTTGAATCCACTCGACTCATACAAACGCACGTTACCATGGGAGCAAACGCTTCTTTGTCATTCCATCCCTTGAGTGTGTCTGGGATCCCATCCCGATGCGAAGCACTAGCTGATCCAGAACTGACACAAACGATCCTGGTTTTGGATGCCTTCAATTTGGCTTCCAACTTTTTAAACAGATAATACTGCGCAAGATAGTTTATCTGCATGCATGATTCAATGCCATCTTCAGTTCTCACATAATCAACACCAGCAATGCCAGCATTGAGCATGAGAATATCGATCTTTGGAGCGTGCTTAATAATGGTTTGGGCCAGCTGTCTGGTTTGAGCGAGAGAAGACAGGTCGCCATGGACGGGAACGAGAAGAAGTGGATCCGTTGTGTGAACTGAGAGAGCCTCGCAAGCAAGAGTAGCCTTCTTGAGAGTGCGACCATGCACAAGAACCCGAGCTCCTTTTGATACAAAGATTCCTGCCGAGTGAAATCCTAGGCCCATGGTTGCTCCCTAATTCAACATGTTATTCAAGACGATGAGTAAACAAGTATCCTTTGTAGAATGATTCAAGATTCACTGCATCGAGTGCAATCGGTTTCTAGCATGTTCGGAATAGCACCAATCAAACTCATACACCAGCAACTCACAGTGATGACCACTGTCTTTCCAGTTAAATCAGGGATCGAATCGAGCACCTTTTGAGCGAGCATTGTGGTCTTGAATCAAAGTGGTATTACTGTATCGTAAAATGAAACACTTGTTTTATGGTGACGCCTCTATTTTTCAGAATAAATGACAATATTTATTACGCTTTCCTATTGAAAACTGGCATTCTCAATTCTTTAATAAATACAGCAATCATACTATTCAGACTATCCATTCTTAGTGTCATTGCACAATCACTAGCAGAACCACCAGAGTGCACAGTGTTGTCCAGTAAATTGACACCCATTATTTCATGACATTGGATGTTCTATTTCACGTGAATTCAGTCGTGAATGGACAGAAATGGCAACATATAGATTCACAACCCAATCCTATCGAGCCAGTTCCTAAATAGTATACTCCAACTCACAAAACATCTAAAGTACAGTTCAAAAATAAAGCCATGTTTATTCTTCGACTAAGCTGGAAGACGAAAATGGAATGATTTTGGACGAGTAAGCTGGTCAAACCCAAGAGTAGATAACGAGCATCCACGTCCAGAATCTTTAACTCCGATCCACGGCAACGCAGGATCTAGGTAGTCGCATCGATTCAAAAACACCGTGCCAGTTTGAAGTCTAAATTCAGCCAAATTTAGCATCTATAATCAAAAGCAAATAGATATTCAAGTTGGTTACCACTTACGCATCACCAATCTGCATTGCTGCATTCACATCCTTGGTCCAGATGGATGCTGTTAATCCAAAATCACTATCATTCATGAGACGAATCGCTTCCTCATCGCTTGAAACTTTCATGATTCCCACCACAGGTCCAAACGTTTCTTCAGTCATGATACGCATAGTGTGGTCCACATCCACCAAAATCTGTGGTGCAACATAAGGAGTTTTTTCCTAAAATTGCTACTTTTGTTAATAAATGCTTCAGTTGAATTTAAATCATGCAAGCAAAATAGCTACCTTGGCTGCAGAGAAACATGATTCTGGAATAAGATTTTTGGCACCTTTGGCAACAGCATCTGCAACATGCTCCCGGATAGCCTTGGCAGCCTGAATGCTAATCACAGGACCAAGATTAACCCCTTCTTTCATGGGATTTCCAAGCACATACTGTTTTGTGATCTCAACAACCTTGTCTACAAACGCTTGGTATACGTCTTTATGAACGTAGATGCGTTCCACGCCGCAGCAGCTTTGGCCAGAGTTGTACATGGCGCCATCGACAAGACTCTCTGCTGCACTGAGCAAATCTGCATCACTTCGAACAAATGCAGGATCATTTCCACCCAGCTCCAATCCCACAGCTACCAAAATAATTCAGTACAATTTAAAATATTAAATAAGATTAGCAAATGCATAGCATAAGCAGCATTTTAGCTTTCATGATGAATAAAACTCAACTAATAAACCTGTCAGCAGCCGCACGGTTAACTTCACGTCCACCACGAACGGATCCAGTAAACTGCACATGGTTTACAAGTGGATTTTGAATAACAGCTTCAGCAACTGCATGGTCCATACACAGATTTTGAAACACGCCGGCAGGCAATCCGGCCATAGCAAAAGCCTGAGCAAACCGCTCTCCGCAAGGAAAAGTTTGAGGAGCTTGTTTCAAAAGCACAGTATTTCCGGAAAGAAGAGCAGGAACAACGACATTCACAGCAATCAGATATGGATAGTTCCACGCAGCGATCGAAAAGATGACACCAAGAGGCTCACGACGAATAAAACGATTAAACCCTTGTTTGACAAGAGGAGTGTCGACAAGACTTTCTTTGGCAATTGAGAGCAGGTGACGGGCTCGTTCCTCAAAACCTCGTACTTCGTTCTTGTTCTGCTGCAATGGTCTATATGAAGGGCAGATCCAGCAATAAATTAAAAATCGCGAGCCAATAGAGAACAATTATCCAGGAAGCAGACCGAGGGTTATTGACAAACAGTCCATAGACACTGTCAATGCTAACAGAAAATATGCAAATTCACCTTCCAATCAGCCAGGTCAGTTCCAGACAAATATCGTCTTGCATGCCTACAAAATGCTCAACAAACTTGGTAACCAGGGCAATGCGGTTTTCGAGTGAAGTAGCTTTCCAGGCAGCTTGAGCAGCATGAGCTTTATTCACAGCAGCCATGGCCTCTTCACGAGTGGATAGACGCACAGTCTTGTAGACACTCTGGTCAACAGGCGACACAATAGAGCTCTCTGTCTGCATGCTAGCGTGTAGTCAATATCAAGCAAGATTAGTAGATGAGCCAAGAAAAAACCAAGTTTAGATTTTGTCCAGCAATCACTCCATGAAACTGTCACTCTTGTTTAGCATTTCATTCTATGTGAACACACTGAGTTTAAGTTAATAATTAATAATTTATTATGATTGTCCAGTTATCAAGTTTCTGGAATTGAATCGTTTAGTTGGCAAAACCACCACCACCAAAACCACCACTGCCAAAGCCATGGTTGAAACCACCATTACCAAAACTTGAACTCCACATGGGCCAGTTGTCAATTGTTCTCGAACCAAACGTTGGATCATCATCAGGAGATCGGCGTTCAAGACTTGGTAGATTAGATTCAAAGTGAGCTGATCGTCGTTGGATTAAATTTTCAGCCAAAGGTGCTGCTATCATATCCGCCGATCTTTTTTGTAAGGCTGGATGGCTTGGCATTGGAATCACAGCAGCATGTACTGTTGCAATGATTGATGCTGCTACAATGAAGGCACTGGTGAATTGCATTTTAGTTGTCTAAGTGTATAAAGATTGTTGTTGGTGATGAGTTGAAAAGGTGCAAACTACACTACTATTTATAGACAATACTCGATGTATGGTTAAAAATAGCTGTGTACTGGCTGTCTGTTCAATACACTTGATGGCTTCGACCTGCTTATACATACACACTGTGAGCCAATGGACGTGTTGGGTTCAATTCTGTATCGCGTTCTGGTTGTAGCCAAATTTGCGTTGTGTACTGATATGAGCCAACGTGTGTTTGTGTAGTCCATGCATATTTGTATTGAAACATACTATCGCTCCATCATCTCGTTGGAAAACATGCGTTTGTGAATGACCGCAAAACAGACTAGATTGAGCTTGCCCAAATGTGACATGCTCAGTCATGTAGATATGTGTGTGCTTGTCCACATTACCAGCCAAAAATGTTTCATCGCGACTTGAGCTATACATGCTTATCTTGGCTATCGTTCAACTTTGACACACAAATACACATTCAACCCATACAAACATGTCCATGGTAACAAGCACCCATACAGACACTTGTTCTGTTATGTAACTGCTGTTTTAAAAAATGTATTGAATTTCAATTTTATTAAAAACAGTTTTAGTATCGCAGCCGATTGACACTCTTGGTAGCTCAACATTACGTAGGTTAATGCACGATAGTCTATCCAACTGCCTTGTTAGCACACTTGCGCCTACGTGATTCATAAGCCACTTGTTTGTAACATTCTCCAGCTTTACGCAGTGTAATGCCTAGTTTGTATTTTTCCAGTACCGCACGATTACGATGCTCACCAGGACCTTCCTGATAAGCCTCTTTGCGTTTCTCTTGAAATAAATCCCATATTTCCAAAAAAATTCCCAGATTTTTATCTAGAATAGAAAGATATTGGGTTGTTTGTTTGCATGCCTGATCATCTGCCTCGACTTGAGAGCGAATACTTGCTTGTCTAGATGTGGACTGAGCCAACCGAGTGTATGGAACTTTTGTTTGTCTGATTGGTTTAGATTGACCATCTGCTATTGAATACGGTAAATCACCATCTTCTTGAGAAGCATCACGCACTGCCTCGATATCATTTGACTGTTGATCTGGAGACTCGTCAAATTCTGGTGGATCAAGTACTACATCACCTTGATACGCAGCTTGATCTTGATACATGTTTCTTTGTGGCTCATCACTAAATAAATCACGAACTGCTGGATCAATCGGAGTTGCACTCATAGCAACTATCAGTCCAGTAAGCACATAGATTGCACTGATTTTCATGGCTGTTGATGAGAGTGGATGGCTTAAGATGGAGATCGTATGGATAGAATATAAGACGAGTGTTTTGTTTCAATTTATGTCTTTGTTGGATTGCTTTTCAAGCTATATTGGTTCCGATATCTCCCTTTCGGCACCATACCAACCAGCCTCACCATGCAGCTACGGATTATGCGTTGTATGGCAGAAATATACTATTTCCTCAATATACAAGCCTGTACGCTTGATAATTAAAAAACGCACAAGCTTGCTTCGACATCAAGGGAGGATAGCTACGTATCGGGATAATTAAACTGGGTGGTAGTATGAAATGGCATAAAGATGATGCATTGCCGCCCTCTTCCGAAAAGTATATCATTGGTCAAATAAAGTCGAGTTTTCCATCACATTATCACAATCATTATGCAACAGTAAGCCGTTAGACTCCAAATTTCATTTTTCAACACATTGCAAGTATTTCATATCAGAAAATAATGCCGTTCGAGTTTCATCATAATAGCTTGAAATCCAAAACCATGCCTGCGACATACTATTTAGTCCGATTTGGATTTTTGAAGTAAAGCACTAAGGCGTTCTACAAGAGGCGGATGAGAATAATGCCAAATACTGTATAGCTTGTCGGGATTGAGATTCGAGCTGTTTTTGAGATGGATTTTGATAAGTCCATTTTTAAGATCGGTGGCATAGTTACGGTTTTTGGCGTATGCATCGGCTTGAAATTCATCATGGCGAGAGATGAGGTTCATGATGAATCCCATAACAGACTCGACAGGAGTGAAAATGAACTGAAATCAAATATGACGAGTGGTAAGCTAGTGCTACTGTGTATACAACAATACTACTAAAATAAAGCTTGAGAATCAGTATAAAACGTACCTGGAAAAGTAAGAATCCAATAATAATTGGTTTCGAGTCAAATCCAAACGACGTGTAGATAGAGTCCAGTGTAATGACCTTGCTAAACAAGTAGAAAAGAACAAACAAATGTGACTGAATGACAATCAAACGCTTCCATATATGACCAAAATGCCAATGTCCAAGCTCGTGTGCTATAATATAAACCCATACGCCAAAAGTAGTTCATGTGCTTAATAAACTGCATTACGAGATCCAGCACTGCCAATCAAAACAACGATTTGATTTGATGCGACTTTTTCATAATGGAATAGTCAAACCACCACTTACCGAGTATAGCAATAACTTCACTATGAGTAGCCTGTTCCAACAGAGTATCAAAAATAACAATGCGCTTGTTTTTGAAGAAGCCGAAAAAGTAGGCATTGGAGTGGGAGGAGCGCTTAGATCCATCAACCACGAATACCTTGGTGAGAGGAAACTTGACATCGGCAGCAAGCTGATCAATCTTGACCTTGAGCTCACCCTCTGGTAGGTTGTCAAACTTGTTGAACAGGGGCTGAATAAACGTAGGATAAACGACTATAGCAGCAAGCTGGAAGCAAACAAAAAAGATCCAAGTGTAGAAATAAAAGTTTGAGCCAGCCCATTGGATGATGAAAAGGAATACAGAGAGAACAGGACCGCCAATAACAGCAGTTAGAAAGAGACTCTTGAGGGAGTCAGAGAGATAAAGACCCAATGTCTGCTTGTTGAATCCATGCTTGACTTCCAGTACAAAAGTGTAATAAAGCGACAAGGGTAGGTTGATCACAGTGGAAGCGAGAACACAAACTCCTGCAAAGATGACAGACTGCAGGATCTAAACAAGGTTGTATCAGGAATAAAGCAGATGGTAAGGATCAATTCATCTAGATAATGCAGACATTGCAGACTCACCTCTGCCTCGACACCATAGCCAAGACGAGCACGAAGATTGCCAGCATATGTCCAAACCCAAGGCAAGAGATTGAATGAAAATATGAGTGTCGTTTCCAGTTGCGAGTAAGCGGTTGCAATGAAGTTGTAGGTTGACTTGTCATAACTGTAGTGGCGAGATTTCTCAAAGTCTTGAATGGACAGAGTATGGGGTTCGAATGCCTTGTGGACTTGAGCAGGAATGGTCTTGATGCCTAGCTTCTTGTGCTGGCGAACACTAGATGTGAATGCATAATAAACCAATTCAAATCAGAATATGAACGAATCCTCAACAGCAGCAACAGATGCAGCATACTTGAGATAGGTTTCCCAAAAGAATACGATAAAAGAGAAGATAAGAACATATTCCTTCCAAGGCTGCACATCCAAGTCAATGCCAAAGACAATGTTGGGACCCATTATAACTGTTGGAGTTGCTGGAAACAGGTTAGAGCTGAAATCAATTCATTAAACTTGTTTTATTGTCATGAAACCACCCAATTTTGCAGACCAAACAACTATTCATCTTTTTCATGATCATCGGATCCTTTCGTCTTGGCTAGTTTCTTTTGAGCAAGCTTTGCTTTAATATTGATAAATGTTCCCATCAAGAATGCGATAAAGTTGAAGAATGGAAGCCACAGGCTGGGCTGTAGATACTGTTGTCGCAATCGTAATGCGTAGCAATCCAATCCATTAAAATAAATGCATTAGTTGAATACCAGATCTAGGTCAATGTATGAGTTCAAGACTCACCTTGAATGCAAACAGTTGTGCTAGGGGAAAGACTGTCCAGGACACTTTCATGATCGACAGCAATCTTTGCTTGACAAATACGCCAGCATCTGCAAGCGATGCTCCAGAAATCAGAGCAATAAATGTCAGATATAAAGTGTTGAGGGTTGGCGAGATGACAAAGTTGCTTGCAAGCAACTTCAAGGCTGTTGTTTGCCATGCAGGCCGAGTTGAATTGCCAGTGAGTTTCTCTAGCGCTAAAAACAAATAATTCCCAGTCGGCCCACTCACAAACAATCCTACAGGTTGAGTGATTGTAGATGCAATAGTCAGGTTAAACACCAATCCAAACTACTTGATGGTCATTCAACATGATTCTATTCAATGTAGACTGCCATTGTATCAAAAAACAGCTATGCTATACCAACCATATGCAGCCATCTTCAATGCCTTGTCTAATCCATCGCTGATACGTTGGCCAGTTGCTAACAAAGCAATAATCTCTTGAAATCCGTTGAGAATCGAGGCAGTAATAGCCTTTGTCAGGACAGGCCTGGTTTCAATGGAAGATACATATGCAGCACCCAAAGTAGCAGTCCAGCTATTGGGGTTGGATGCAATGATCTCTCCAGATTGCGGCTGATGAACTGTGGTAACCGTCATGGCAGTCGTATTCACGTAAAATGAAACCTAAAAGTCAAATACAAAATACAATTTCTCTCAGGTTTACTGGACAGCATCGTGTCCTTTAAACTCATTAAAGTGCAGATTCGACATGATCTTCCAATTGTTCAGCAAGTACAAGTATTGCAAGATATAAAGTTCCATTTTGTCTATTCTTGAATTCTGCTGGCAATTGCTTTAATAGAAAGTGGGTTTGTACGGTATGCGACTTCAGGCACTGGGAATGCCAAAGTTAATTTCAATAGGAAAGCACAACAGTATTCAAATATCCTTGCAGTGATTTCCTAGTTTTTCTTTGGAATAGATTGGCCCACTTACATGAATACATCAGTAGAATGACTGCAGATTTCAGCACCAACAAGAGCGTGTTCGATCTTCAACAGACGATTCGTAGTTTTTGTCGTTTCAAGTTTCCTGCAACCAGAGCAAGCTTGTTGGGTCAACTAACCACACCATACAACCAAAGAAAATCCACTGCACTTGTCTTGTTTAAGCTTTCAGTTTAATTTATTATTTTTATTCTGCCTGTTTATAACTAAAGAGTTTTATCGAATATTGGAGCGAAATCTGGACTCGCCATCAACTGCAACTGCAATCTTTCATCGCCAGACTGTCTGTCATCTACTGAATAGACTATCCAAATTTATACTCGCTTCTTGTCTCAATTAGCATGAGCAACTACAAACGTAATATCCTGAATGGTTTGGATTGTAATTCCGAGCATAATACTGCTACTGGAAGCTTTGACATTCAAAATGAACTAGACCAGGTTGGCTTGGACGCAGCGTCCAAGCTCATGCCACAAGAACACATGTCGGATGAATGCAACAATTATATTGAATTGACTCCTACAGCAAGAACATCACCATTCCATGCCTTATCGCTTCCAAAGAAATCAGAGCTGCCATTGCAGCCACCCCAACACGACTCGAATGTCTTGGCCAATCCTTTGGGATCCAATTCAACTGTTCTTGCACAAACTATTCAGTATAATAAGCCTTTTTTAGAAACTAACCGACCGTCTTTGGATTCAAGTAATATTCAACATGAGATTAATTCAGGATCCACTGCTACAACTCAAAGTTCAACGCATTTGCGCAACAAAAACAAGCCCTATATTGCTCCTGTCATTACTAAACCGATTGCCAACCCCACTAGCAGTACCTCAATAAAACCCACTCCGGTCACTCATAAATCTGATGTAAATGAGTCTATTTCAAGTTTACCGTTAGATGCTACATCTCCTGTGCTCATTTCGCTATTGAGTCCGACAAAAACACCCATAAATGATGCCTTGTTGCGATTGAATCTGGCTGCATTTTGGCAGTGGATGCTTTGCTTTTGTATCGTGAATTTTGATTTAGAAATGGGTCAAGGTAACATCTTTTGTCTGACAGTGCATTAATTGTTGCAAGCAATAGTATCTACAAGCATATCTGATTTTTATTCCATTTTAGCTTTGGAGCTTGTCTATCCTCCAATTGATTTTACCGAAGGCGAAAAACGAACCATGTAAGTCATTTGTAATACAGGCTACTGATAGTAATATATAAGCTTGACGATTTATATTTGAATAGCGCTTGCTCTGCGTTTCCAGATTCAAACTCATTGGACAATCTTGGAGACTCTAAATTCACATTCCGCATGCGCAATTCCGACTTCTGCAATCGGCTCTACTTGAAACAACAGATCCCAATGCTGCCATTAGGCCCAGTATCACTAAACTCAATGTTATCACCAAACTCTGGTCAATCATCATTGTATACGGATTCTCTTCAGCTGAATAGCTCTCACATTGCACCATCTATCGAGTCACATCAATCAACACAAAGCAACATTGGTCTTCCAATAGATACGGACGGATACACATATGGATATGTGTTGTTTCGGCAGCAGGCTGATAATGAAGTTCGACGCGGCTTTCTGCAGAAATCTTTGGTCCTACTTTCACCCTATCCCTGGCCTGGATTGTTTTTAAAGATTGTATCACTTTTGGGACCAGAGTTGATGAGCTCGCTCGTAGCCGATCGACAAAGTAATTTGAAAATGACGAATTTGAAAAAACATGAAGAGACTTTGGCAAAGTCGTCCATGGCGTCTGATACTGCTAAATGTAAATCAACTACAGAAACAAACGTTGCGTTTCAGGGTATGGCTCTTCTTGAAGCAGCATGCTTCAATATTGCTTCCTGGTATGTTGACTAGACTTTAGTACTTGAATGTTTGTAAGGCGTGTGATGTATCTGGTTCGATATGATTTGAATCTACAATCACTAAATCTTTAAACTGTACATGACAGGCCACCCCCACCATCAACACTTTCACTAGAACTCAACTATTGTTCAATCCTTCTTCAACTTCCTTTTTTGGGAAAGGCACAGACGTTTTCGTTTCCGCCTACCAGTCGGTTTCCTCAACTCCACGAACTTCCTCGTCAAGGAATACCTCCTGTTATTACTGCTGGCACGGAAAACGCGCCTCCTGCTCTTTGCACATCTGGACACTTTTTTCAATTGTTTGAAAAATCGGTCTCGTCATTGTGGGTATGTTGGGAGCTAATGGTGCTTTCCGAGCCTATCATGGTTATAGGTGATGTACCTAAATCATGTAGCGAAATGGTATGGGCATTGGTTGAGCTAATTAAACCTGTAAGTTTAATATTTGAATACGCACATTGGGAGTGGACATACTTGTTTTCTGTTGACTGATATATTATAATTTGTAATGCTAGATTCCATTTGGAGGCGATTTTAGGCCGTATTTCACTATTCAAGACACTGATTTTCCCCGGTTAATTAATCGAAATAGGGTATTTTTATTTTCAGCAGTATCGATGATGTATATTGACAATCCTGGTGCATAGTTTCAATTTACCAACTGATTTTTTGTATACAAACTAATATCGTTACATAGCCGCCTCCATCAGGAACAGTTTTGGGAGTGACTAACCGAATGTTTCAAACAGCACTTGAATTTTGGCCACATACAATCCGTGTAGCCAAACCACAGTCCTCTACACCTAGTAAATCATATTCCGGCCTTGGTTCAACTAATTTAGCATTCAAGTAGGATATTTGCATTGTATGCTTTAAAATAATATTGTTGGCGATGCTGTCAAAGTATGCATACTAATTGGTCGTTCGCTTGTTTAAATCTTTAAGCAATAATGGTAGATTTCTAATGGATGCAACTATCGAGGTATTTCGTTTAATTTAGATACAAATTGCTGTTTTGTGATATTTTGGCTTTCAATTATACTAATAATTATTCGATACTAGAGTGTTTCGGTAAAGCATCGACCGTTTTTATCCAAGGATAAAAAACTCATAAAAGATTTGACAGACGCCGCAATCAACGGACAGTCTGTTGAATATCTTGATAATCTTATTCGTCGACATTTTATGGAGCTGACTGATCGGTTTTTGCATCCCATGAGTCGATATTTTGAAAGTCTAATCATTGGAAACTCTTCGCAAATGTACGTTTCTGTTTAGAATAATCTATACTATTAATATTTGAAATTGACTGATTTGTATTTTAGGACTCTCTCTCATTTACGAAGTCGACCTGAAATCAAACCTTTTCGTCAAAATACATTCCTTCAGCAAATAGAGCAATCCAGTGAGTCGATTTGAAGCAACTCAATCTAATCACTGCTGATGACTACTTTTGCATAAAATGATTCTAACTTTGCAATTTTCAATTCTACTAAGCTCCCACATTTCCCGTTGCGGCAAAGCGACCGATACCTGAACTATACAGACAGTTTTTAAAATCGCCTAATTTTGCTACATGGCTACAGCATCGCACCTCAGAAGTTGGGCGAGAGTGGCAAAACAAGTACTTTGATGTATTGTGCTATTCCGATATTGCTGCATGGGTGTGTGACAAACTGGCTATAGGAGCCAATGTCGAATGCATTGACTTATATTTCCGGCTAAAAAACGAAGTGGTATGATTTTGAATCAGCGTTTTTAATTTACTTTGGACTTGATATTAAACTTTTGTTTTTAACGGAAATAGAAAAAATATGCTCCGTTTTTTGTAGTTGAAGGGGATCAAATCAACTACGCACATCTGTCTGACCCATCTTCCAACACTGAAAAACCCTATTTCACCACTGCTACACCACTAGCGACATCTGACTTGCCCTGCAATTCTCCACGATCACGACCAAACATTGTTTCCACGACTAAATCCCTTTCATTGGCAAGATCAGCTTCGACTGGATACTCAGAACCTGATACAAGCCAAAATCGGAATCCTGACTTTGGTGTAGACATTACATCATTGCGTGTATCCTCTAATACATCATCTCAGCAACGAACCGATTTTCGAACTCGCCATGGCTCGATGGACTCGTTTTACAAGGATGCGTTCTCTTCACGCTCACAATCTCGAAACTTGATGGACCCTATGCCAAAAATATCTGCTGAAAACAGCACTCCCTCGCCTGTTCCACATACTCGACATCAGAGCGATCAATCACATCTTGTCAGCACCAAAGGGATGGGCAGCCGCACGGGATCACTTACGACTTCGCTGTCGACTATTTTTAGTTCTGAAATAGAGACATCATCTACTACGGGCCAGACAGCTATATTTTCAGCACCTTCTCGTTCATCCATATCTAATCCTACCAACACGTTTGCTTTGCCTTCGAGAGACACTCAATTTGGTATAGCAAGTACTTCCTTTTCCAATCCTCAAACCAAATTGTACAACTCCAACATGTCGAAATCTTCTCCAGAGCTTATGAGATATTTCTCTCCAGTGCTATCTCCAGCTGGAAATCGAAGTATAATTGGTGGATGTATTCCCTCACCATTGCATTATGCCCGCATGCAATCTCAGATGAATGCGCTACTAAGTGCACTGCCTCGAGAGTTGTGTTTATCGCTGTTGCCTATTAGTGAAGAAACACAATAAACGGAACTACAAACTTTGTTTCAGGATTATGAAATCAGTGTAACCAGATGGTATACATTTACTGGGCTTTTTATCTCCATATCTGCCCATTAGTTTAGTATTTTAAATAAAAATAAGTGTTTATGTATAGATGCGTTGCCTGTAGTTACTTGAATCTGTGTGATTGGAGTCATGATTGTGTTTAAAAAGGACGAGGTGTAGCTTATTTGAAAACAGACTGTTGGGGGTACAAACCAAGCAGCAGCCATATCTGGTGTAGAGACTATGCACAAGATCCAAAAGCCTTTGAGTTTCAGATCAACTCAAACAACTTGAGGGCTGAGTGGCAAAATGACTGGGGAATCAGAACAAGGTTTGTCAACACCATATCCAGCAATAAACTGGCACGATCGAGTGCATTACATATCAAAGCAAATAAAACATCCATCGCAAGTTGTTTCTAAAGTCAGACTACATCTAATCGTTGTCCATCTTATTGGCTATTTCCAATCAAAGATGTATAATGATGAGTCAGGTATTTTACTTGAGCATGTCAAATGCAATCCACTTCATTGGAAGCAACGGTATCAATGTAGTCTAATATTGGAATGCTCTAAACCCCACACTATTTTATAAAAATAGAACAGCAATTTAACAGTAAAAAAAGGTAATTATTAGTTTTTAATAGATAAAAGCAGTTGAGCAGCTTCGTTAGTTTCCCTGATATCTTCGGCATCCCGTTTTAGATCCGAAACATCCATGTCGTGTTCGTTGAGCATGGTGGACACATTTAGTGTGTTTGAGTGGGAGGGTGTTTTGCGAATGGGTGCAAGTTTGGTATCATTTCCTCCATACGTAAAAGATTCATCACTGCCAACAAAGGGGATCGGCACAAGCTGTCGAACACTTTGATCGAGTGGATGATGGTCAGCTTGGCCAAGTGGCGATCTTTGCTGAGTCTGATGTGTGGGTATGATGGGCTGCACTAACATGGGTGAACTGGGTGAAGAAGCAGTATTGTTGGAACTATACGTCGAGTATTCGGAACGTTCAAACCGAAACTGAAGTGGGGCAGGCAGAAGAATAGCTGTAGGAGATGAATGGAGCGGGATACGACGGACATCACTAGGAGGTAAAGGATTACTGCTTGCGCGGCTACGTCGTTGTTCGCTACTAGATGACCACTCATCGCTATCTCTATGAGTATTGTATTGATATGGCAAGCGAGAGTAGGTTTGTGTCGGTGTGCGATAATGGGTCTGATTGCAATGGGGAAGCAGTGAGTGAGCTAGAGGGCTCGGAGAGTAGGTTGGCAACGCGCCATTGATATCTAGGTTTCGGTTTGCAGCAACTGCATCACCAGGAATACTCCGTAGGCTTATAGCACGAGACCTACGTGATTGGGATAGAGCAGGGCTAGACTCTCCACCTTGTGATTCCGATGTACTGCCTTCGCCTATCAACCGTCTTTCCTTTGCTCTGCGATTCTGAAACCAAACCTATATTAATCGAATCGAATTTTAGTGATTAGTATCAATCTGGAATCCAACACAGCTGTAAATCAGGTGTAACCCTCTGTACTAATCAAGTATGGGAGAGTAGTACAGGGCCAATTGAAATTGACAAATACGCAGCAAAAGCATGCAATTTATCCATTGTGTTGGGATTACTAGTTCACAAAAAGCAATAAATTTTGGGGCCATTGGTTTCAAAATACAACACACCTGCACATCTCTGTTGCTCATGCCAACCTTTTCGCTAATGATACGGCGCTCCTCCCACGAAGGACGATCATTCACCCAAAAGTACTCGGTGAGTTTTTCAAGAACAGCACCTTCGATTTTACGACGAATGCGTCGACGATCGCCAGTGTAGCTGCCCATACTCGAGCCGCCCTCGTTTGATCGCATAGAGCCATTGGAAACTACAGTAGCAGTATCTGACTGGTCAGCCAGCATGGCAGAAGACAAAGCAGGCGTTAGAATAGTTGAGATCTCGCGAGTCAACTCTTTTTTGTCATGTGCCTTGAAATGTGGGTTTGACTGTATTTGTGATTGCGAGTCATCAGAATGCTGATCTAAAGGAGCCTGGTGCATAAAAGAAGTAGAGGGGGGAGTGTGCTGATAAGTAGGCATATGAGCAAGCATATCAGTAGAAATGATGGGCTGCAAAGACAACTTTAATAAAGCTGATTGAGATGGATCGCGAAGAGTGGGAGCGAGATTGGCTATTGATAAAGGAATTGGTGGCACTGTGGTGGGATAAGCGAGGGGAGTCGTTTCAAACTCTGTGTTGCCACAACTGGTGACACAAATTCTATTATTATTATTTGTGTTGTGGATATTAATCCCAATGTTGTCGTCCTTGATTACATTTATTGCTTGGTGAATATTAGAAAAGCCGTGCATTTCGTTTTAGTGTAATTTGGTAGCAGTGGCACTTGAGCTTAACACCTAAAACAGTCGAATCTTTTCGATATGTTTTAGTGCGGCTTGTATTATCATTGAGTGATGCAAATGGAGATGGAAATGAATAAGAATTAGCAAACTACAAAATATTTGAACATCCTACTGTAGGAATTCGAGCATATATCCCAAGATGCTCATTGCATATCAAATTTCAAATACTTGAAATCTGTAGAAATGCAAAGCTGATACAATTACGTTCTATCAACCCTCCGTAATCCATCTTGACCAGATAGATACCTCGTAATCACACCCCTCTGTCATTTAATTCAGTGGTCAACACGCTTCAACCTGCTATCTATTAATTCAAATGTAAATTGTATCCACACTTGGACTCAAATTGGTTTGGAAGCATACCAGGCGGGTAGTACAATGGGCTAAACGATGTATACGTAGAGCTGGTATTGTTAATTGGAAGAAAGGTGGAAAGCCAATCCACCCATTTCCCAGCATAATTTGGCGCGCAATTGCACTAAAGATATTGCAGCCCTTCAAATTCAAATGGCAAACAGTGCTTTAGAAGTGGTAAGCGTGCTGCAATTCATTGTTCTAATCTTTAACATGCCCAAAACAGAGCAACTGGATACTGGATAGGCCAAACTTAAACTATCAATAGCAACCCTAAACAATAGCACAATGCTCCTCCAATCTCTTGCTTCGACTTTCGCGGCTACTTGAAAACGGCCAATTATCTAAAACAAGCGAATTATATCTTGGGGTGGATATGGAATTGAACATCAAAACATTAAGCTGCAAAACTTGAACGCCACAACACCCTCTACTGAATGGATAATGCTTTGACAGATAGCTATTCCAGAGGACACGCATCAAACCAATGAGATCCACCTTGATTATGTTTGGTACCTATTCTCCACAACTGTTTCATATATGGGGAAAATTCGAAACCGACAAGGTTCAACAGACATTTCAAACCGCTCTCCACCCTGTATTGTATATTAGTGTGCAGCCATCAAATGTACGGCTTTGAATCGCTGCTTGGTGCTTTAAACCATTAGCCCCAGCTATGTACAAAGCTCCTAGTATCGTCCCTTCAATCCGCTGTATTCTTTAGAAACTGGCATTTACTATCTCGCGATATGCCTAGCTAGCAGTTTGTTTTCAGTACAACATAGCAAACCTTTAGATTGCTTTGCCATAAACAATAAAGCTCATCTATACAAATTAAAATTGCCTGCTTACTTTACTGCCAGGATACCCATCATTTATCTCTATTGACAACAGCATCGGTTGATTAGACTGAATTACACATCAAAAAATTAGGTTCCCACGCTTATGTTCCACTAGTTTTCATAGCATAATGCCCGAGATCTACAATCAATTACATTGTTGTAAAACATGGCTTGGTATGGATAAATAAATAAACATGGCCTAATACAAATGGACAATAGTGTAATTTCAAATGATGCTGAGATGCGTTTTTAAAAAGGTCAATCCAACATGTATTTGATCTGCATTGTTTAATCTCCAAGATCCCATCTAATTCGACTAAAGCATATATTTATAAACCTTGAATGTGCAAGGTCTGATATCAACTCTGACTTGTTTGACACTAGTTTTTCCCCATTTGGCAGCTAGTATTATACCACAATGTTATATTGCAACGACAGACTCGAACCTGACTGACTGATGTAATGAACTGTAATTACTATGCACAAGTCAAAGCATTTGGTTTCATTAGATTGCTGTAAAACCAGTGCCCCTGCTGGTGGCAATCATTGAAACATCAATTGGTAATGATGCTTGATAAATGCTAATAAATTCGCCAAGATTGCTAAATTCGTATTTATTGTGTGGCACTTGCAGCAATACCTAATTTGCCAGTCAATTGATGTGTTTCAAATAAATTGTATTTGTAATATTTCAGGCAAAATGCAGTATACCGAGTTGAGTTCAAGTGGCATGGTCAAGTGGAGTTGCTTTGAAATTGAAACATGCCTGGAATTCCGCTGAATAGATTAACCACACTGAGTCACTCAGTATTATATTCGAGCTTGGTGTTTATTCAACTAAGCATCATCATTTTTTTAAAATGTTTGAAGTTCCAAATCAAATTCAATATATGACCAATTTGACTTTAAATGGCGCCTGTCGAGTGCAACTTGTCGAGATTTGGACGATCTACATTGATGAGATTGACCATTAGCAGATGATACAATCAAACTCGACAGGCTAAGCAGGCTAACAAAATAAAGCGTGATTTCACGTCAAAGCTCTGGTATAAACCATGCTCGACTACCTGGACGGATCGGACATTTGATCTTTCAAGCTTTGTATCTATGAACTACTTGAATATGATATTTCCAATCCCAGACTCATCATTCACTCTAAATGCTACAGTGTGCCTCACTAATACACCGCCAGTGAAATTCAAAGGCTGGGGCACTTCTCTGTGCTGGTGGGCTAATGCTCTCGGTGACCCATCCATCACCATCAGAGACGATATTGCAGATGCTTTATTCAGTCCGCCGCCAAGAGGTTTGGGTTTGAATGTTGTAAGGTACAATATCGGTGGTGGGGATGATCCTGCCTGCCATAAACGCCAAGGAGCTCAACCTCATCACTTCCGTCATGGCGGGGATGTGCCGGGATGGCTGCCACATGATGATGGCAGTTGTACTCGTTTGGTCCAGTCAGGATCCAATCAAGGTCTGATGGAGGGTTTGGATACACAAGCAGATGCCAGACAATTGTGGTTTCTACATGCCGCTAAATTGCGCGGAGCTAACATCTTTGAAGCCTTTTCCAACTCTCCCCCTTGGTGGATGACTCATTCTGGATGTACTGCCGGATGGGATAAGGCATGTGTGAAGACAGAGAGTAGCTCGAGCAGATGCAGTCCAAAAAACAATCTCAAGGAGGAATATGTGGATCAGTTTGCCATGTATCTGGTGCGCGTCATGGTTGCCATCAAGCAGCTGCTGGGTATTGAATTCCAGACACTCAGCCCAATGAATGAACCTCATCCAGACGCATGCAACTGGCAGGCTGGAAATAACCAAGAGGGCTGCAATTACGATGTGAATATGCAAATGAAAATGATCAAAGCCACATATGCTGCACTCCAAAAACATGGGCTTCATGCCAAGGTATAAACGAGTCTAAAATTCATCATCTGCAGCTTTGAATGTTGTGTTGACCATCTGACATTACCACTGTTTGAATTTTGAATGTATAGATCAGTGGATGTGATGAAACCGCAACTGCCGTGCAGATTGACACATGGGTTGCACTGGACGACGAGTCTAAGTCGTATATCGGGCAAATCAACTCACATACATACAGTGCCATTGACAGAGTAGTCTTGCATCGACTGGCTATACTATCTCAAAAGCCATTATGGATGTCAGAAATGTGCTATGGAGGAACAGATGGCAAACACGATCACCAGTCCATGAATACACCATTGCAGCTTGCCGAAAGCATTGCATTGGATCTAGGAACTCTTCAGCCTGAATGCTGGGTATATTGGCAGGCTGTAGAGGATGAAGCCAATGCTAAGAATTGTGCAGGCAATTGGGGTGTTATTCATGCCGATATGTCTCCAACTGGCCAGTATTCGTTGGAGCAGTCCAACTCTCACCACAGGATCTGGGATCGCACCAAGAAATATTGGGCCATGGCACAGTTTACTCATTTCATTCGTCCAGGCAGTATTTTGCTGGCAGTGAAAGAGAGCAACCAAGAGACTTGTGGCAAACTGGCTGATGGTGTATTTGTCACTGTCGCTTATACTCCCAATTCAAGCGACAACTGGGGAACTCCGCTCAACATGAGTGGATCTGGATTCGATCCAATCTCTGGCTCATTGGTGGTTGTGCTGATAAACAAGACTAGTCGTGATGTATCTGTAGCAATCAACTATTCCATGCATGGCATAGTAGAATACTTGCCGGTTTGGAATAGTTCTACACCACCAACCATCTCCCTATTCAGAACATCTGCTACTGAAGATCTCAAAAATGTTGGTGTATCGCCATCACTAGTGAACTCCATTGTGTCACCTACCGCTCCATTGCCTGATATACCTGTACACCTGACACCCGAGTCCATAACAACAATGGTGCTACCAGGTGTTATGATGGCATCCGAGACAGCCCATGCAGTAGTCAATCACTCTGTATACATGTCTATAAGCACACAACACATTCAAAGGCATGTCTTCACACAGGGTGTCTACAAGATTGTGAATGTGTTTTCCAAGCATTGTCTAACAAGCAGTACCAATCCATCTGGGCAACCAACACTTGTTCAAAGTCAATATCGTCAAACACCAGACCAACACTGGCGTTTTGTCGAATCTGGCATGTCTACCGACACATCTCCAGTATTCTCCATCATGCACTGCGGATCTGGAAAATTGGTAGACATTCATGGTTGCTGCAGAGATAACGGTGCTATTATATCGGTTTATGGACGCAATGGACAGTCTAACCAGCAATGGCGGATAAAAGCTGTTGCTGGTCGTGATGCGTTTATCATTGCCTCTGCGATGCATAACAAGGTAATGGATGTTGCTGGTTGGAACATTGGCGATGGTGCAAATGTAGTAATGTGGGATGAAAACGGAGGCGACAATCAGTTGTGGCTTATTGAAGCCATTTGAACTTGATGGGCAAGGATTTGCCAGCTACTATCAACTTGAAAATAAAAAATTATAAAATCAGTATGTTGGAGTTTGACGAGTTTGTCAAAACAGTATTGGAAATATAGCTTATTGGGAAACAATTATTTAATTTTGAGGTTTTCCAACTGTTTAATTGGGTGGTGATTGCAGCTTTTGTCAATCAATATCTAGGGATGAATGTTTCAAGTGTGACCATAGCACGATATTGTTGGTGGACACCTGTTTGGCAATTAAAAATATAACAATCACAATGGATATCGAGTTTTAAAAGTGTTGAAACCATAGATCAGGAACCAACCGGAACAACGTTTATCCCCAGCATTGCAAGACTGAGGGTCAGTCCAGTAAACATCCAATAGAAACCCCTGGTAGATCTACCTTGGAACTCTTGAATAAAATAAAGATCTAGTCTTGCCAATACATTATGTGCAAATCAAGTCTTGTGGCTTTTGCCTTGAAGCCAAAACGATTGACCAAAATAGTAATTTTTTCGTGTCTCGAGTATTTGAGGCGTTTAAACCTTTACCAACTTCAAATCACCCATTCCAAAATATATCCAATACAGTTACACTAGCTCTTTTCTGTTTACACCAATGTATCATATGCCACCTACCAAGAGCTTTAAAAAGCTACTAGTCCAGATTGATTCGGCCTTTGAAAACCTTATGGCAGATCTCGAGCCTTTGGAACCATCACCTGCTGCATTGTGTACTCAAGACTCGGCATGGATACTCGCGTCGTCTGAATGCGACAGAAGCGGTATACATACTGGGATGAGTAGAACTCGTAGTGTCAGTGCTGATAGGACTTTTTTAAATGACTGTAATCAAGCCAGTACCCATCTAGAATCCAACAACTCCATGGCCGATCCCATTCAAATTATCAACCGTTCACCATCTTCGTTCTCAGATGCAATTTATTCCAATACTAGCAGTGATATCAGCAGTGCCGATACTTTGTATACGCTAGACACTGTTGAGTGTTTCCGCAACACTCATATCCGCAACCAGACTTACAATCGCAATGATTGCCGCAACAGCAATAAAGCGAATGCCTATAAAGACATGGCTGTTCACAATGCATTCAACAGCGGCAATGTCGATAAAAATGGCGTGGTTGAGCAAACTACTGCCAACTGTGACGACTATAATGACCAAGATATGGCCAGCACTCATCCAAATGCTCGAGTTTTTTTGGCTGATAGCGATCACTTGAATCACCATACTGAAAATGTGCACCAAACCAGCACATCCACTAATTCTGACGGCAGGCTTCTCAATGCAAATATGGAATATGGCTGTCATGTTTTTTCTTCACCACCATCAACAGTTGTCAGCCAACCCGTGCTAAACGCCACGAAACCGTTATCCGATGCAACTTCTCGTGTAGAACACGTTCCGGCCGTATTTTCCACGCTGTCCAAACCAACCTTCTCCAAGCCTTTAACCCGACACCATCAATCAACAAACCAAATCCTTGATCCCCCATCTGATGTTCCACAACATACACCAGATATTACCCATCATCCGCAATTAACGTATACATCCAACAAAGTTTTGTCATTCTATCAGACAATCTCTTCACCTCATGCATTCCACCTTGATTCTGCCTCTATTGAAAAATCCATAAGCACATCATCTCAAATATCCTCAACCTTAGACTATCCTCATACCAAGCATACCACATCCAATTTTACCACAGCAGGACAACTCATTATCCCTTGTAGAGTAGATTCGCGATATATGAGTGGTGATGATGCAGATCCAATGCCTTCTAAACTTCCATTGGCTTCAGTGGACCACGTTTTGCCTCAACCAGAAATCACTGCCTCATATTGGCCATTTCATTAAAACAGTGTTTGAAATATTACAATGTAGCTTTAAATCTCATTTCATGGTTCTATTGTTACTTTTTGGGGTGTTTTGCATGTATAGTATACCATCTATTTCCATATCCAATAGATTCATTAGACTTGATGGTAAACAAGATCAACAGGAGTTGTTGAATAGATATTCTACAGCTATCAACTTGGCAGCACAAAGCAAGATTCCATTACTTGCAAATTATATATTAAGTCCAAAAGTAGTTGGATGATCACAATGGCTTATTTTTGCGTATACGCAACTGTCTACCACCAATCGTGTAGTCATCAGGATCAACTTGACCCCCAACAACCGCTTCGGCACCCTTTGATTGCATTCCAATAAATGTATCATTATCCAAGTTTATGTAGCCCAGTGCAGCATCCCCTGTAGGTCCGGCTCGCCATAGCCATAGAATCACCATGGCCCATAGTGTCAACCACGTTTTTGCAGGACTGACAATCGCGCTAATGGCTCCGTAGAAAATTGCCATGGATAGGGCATCTATGATATGGTACAAGAGAGTGAGAACGACCATCAAATGTACGTACCATCTTCTATGAATTGGACGAAAATGTCTTGGATTTCCTGGTGTGTACAGCAAAGCGGGTGATGTGCAGCAAAACGATAGGTAAAATTCAAGTGGAAGTACCGCATAAACAATCCCATAAAATGCTAAAATATTGCATCCATCATTTAGCAAAAACATCAATAACAGTATACTGCTTGTCAAATGCTCATATTTCAATGTCCCTTACCAAATAGCCAGTTATCAAGCAGTGGTGTCCATGTTCCGTCATCAAACCAAATACCATAAATCATCATCCAGCCATACCTACGGCCAGAAGATACAGAGGCACTTGGCACAAACGCTCCAACAAACCACGGCCCAATCAGCAGATACAGATTAAACAAGTACAATGGGTAAAAAAGATCTGGAAATGTTGCTAGTTCGCAAAATCGAAAAAATGTTGCACGAATTGTAAAGATAAAGTCATTGAGCATATGGTCCAATCGTTCAGTCGGAGTAGCAAAGCGGCTCATGGAGAGATACAGCTGAGCTGCCTTGTTTCTGGAAACAAGCTTGTCTGAGGTGGTTCTGCGCCATGTTTCATACGTTCCCAGGTACTTTGTAGTAAGAACGAATAGTTTAGGAAAAAGTAAAAATCCAATAAAAACTAGAATGTAGCTAATGATGAACAAATCTTTGAACTAAAGTAGATTGAACCCAGTTGAAATATCAGTAAACTCATTGACTTGATCCAACAAAACTACCAAATATATGCTTTGATACGTACTAGAATTCCAAACTGCATTCCAATAATCAGTCCACCGATGCCCGATCTCATTTCTGGAATGCGCTCCCCATCGACACGAAACGCGAGAGAGTGATTAGAAGCCACGCCAGCGTCATCCACAGCAGTGACAACAAGGTTATGAGTCTCGGCATCGTCAAACAACTCGGGGGTCCAGGGAATTGTCCAAAGCGGCAAAAATGGATCTTCGTCGTGCAATGATTTCCACACTTTACCAACACCATGATATGTACCGTTTGCAAGAATGGGTTTACCATCAATCTGAGCAACTACTGATACAATAGCTCGTTCTGACCATACCAATGCACGAATGTGATTTGACTGCTTGATTAAACTTACAGGTTCGTGACCTGGAAGAATAAATCGGCCATCCTTGGGGTTTGTGACCAGTACAATAGGAGGTCTTAGACTGACATAGGCATCGGCAATTAAAGGAGTATCATGTGGCATGGGTAATAAAGGAGTGAAGATTGACAAATCTCGAAACGATATCATATCATGATCTACAACTACGATGCGATACACACCATGACTTTTCAGATCCGCCAACTCAAGTTCAAGAAAAGTGCCTTGAAATGCATACATAATTTCGCCGAGTCCTGCTGCAAGTTTGTGCAAGTGTCCACAAAGCCAAATTGAAACATGCTGAGAGAGAGACCAAAATGAAATGTCATCAGACGTGTGTCCAAAAAGAGTTGTTGATGTTGGGTAATGGCTCATTACAAACGTATGATTGTGACCAAGCCGCTTTCCAGCAAGAATCTCGCCTGCTAAAAAATCCATATCTTTAGTATCAAAGTATCCAAAAAAATTGATGGGTCTAGTTGCTCCCACATCCGGACTATTTATTTCCAAGTAAAAATTGAAATAAAGCATCAATAATCCAATATTTCAGTTTTAATGGGCAAGCAAGCGTACGTACCAAGCATCGATTGCAATAAACGAATATACTCCAAACTCCTTTGTCAAATGAAAGGCATACCCTTCATTCTTGACTGCAGACAAGGTACGATACATATTTTCAGAGCTCTCAAACGACGGAATATTGAAACAATCATGGTTTCCTCGCTGATCCCACCAAAATCGTCCTTGTTGACGACGCAAAACACCTGACGATTGCAAGGCAGTATGGTAAGCAACCCATTCTTCCCGATGCTGAAGAGACGTGAGCGTGCTATGTGATTTGGCGTCTGTCAGATCACCTGTGGCAAGAACGAGATCTGGGGCAATGAGATTCATTTCATAATTGAGGAAATGGTCCAGATGAGCAATACCGCCCTGACTACGAAATCGAGATACGTGTAGATCAGACACCTGGATTCACACATTAGTAAAATGCACCAGTGAGTTATAGATGAGCATATTCTAATTGACTCGTTAAATTAAGCATTCATCACTGGCTATATAGATTTACTAGAGTTCAAATCAACTGACCTGAACAAAATGGAACATGTTTTCGGTTCCGTTTGAGAAGGTATCAAAAGGCCCGACGGATCTATGTGGTATGGAGTCGACCAAAGACATATTAGAACCAGGATGAGTAGCAGAAGATCGTGCAGCACCAGCATGCAGTCCAGCAAGCGAGGCATCATATAATGAAAGGGCATATCGCAGGGTAAATCCAGATAGGAGCAACAGTGTTACTGCAGTGATGATCAAGGAGATCTTGCTGGTATTAAAGTCATGAGTGATTTTGATATTTCTGTCGTCGTCACTACTGTTGTTATCGATACTTTCATTGCCATTATCGCTGCAGGTGTATGACATCTTGAAAGGAAATACTGTGCTGATGTATTGGTTTAACAACTGCTACAACCGTTGATTCAATGTGTATACTGAAAGAGCAGCCAAGGGCAGTATATAGCGACAGACAGTAATTTGGTCAATACAAGAATCAAATCTTGAGATGATAACTTGAAGAGTTGTGAATCTTCAGCAGTAAAGACAAATTCTCAACTTCAACAATTTGAGCCAATGTATTGTCAAGTCCATTTTGCTTTGAATAGATAATAGTTGAATAGTCAGTTTTCCTATTGCAAATTGACAAGTAAACTTAATTCTTTAGTAATGTTCATGAGACTGTTTATCGCTTCAACTCTTATTTAACGCTTTATTCTGCGTGAATGCAACTGCAATAATTTATTAGTTTATTTTAACTGTCCAGTTATTTCGTATCTGGAATTTAATAACCACGACCACCAAATCCACCGAAGCCAAATCTACCACCAAAAAATGGGTTAAACACGGGCCAGGCTCTAGGTGGTCTCCAATTAAACAATGGATGATAGTCAGATCGACGTTCAAGATGTGGTACATCAAATTTGGATTCAACCGATCGTCGTCGTAAGATTGAATTGCCAATCAAAGGCTCTGCTTCCATATCCGGTGATCGCTTTTGTAAATCTGGACTGTCAGTCAGAGATTCCGCTGTCATATCCGGTGATCGCTTCTGTAAATCTGGACTGTCAGTCAGAGATTCTGCTGTCATATCCGGTGATCGCTTCTGTAAATCTGGACTGCTAATCAAAGGCTTTCCTTTCATATCCGGTGATCGCTTCTGTAAATCTGGACTGTCAGTCAGAGATTCCGCTGTCATATCCGGCGATCGCTTCTGTAAATCTGGATTGTCAGTCAGAGATTCTGCTGTCATATCCGATGATCGCTTCTGTAAATCTGGACTGCTAATCAAAGGCTTTCCTTTCATATCCGGTGATCGTTTCTGTAAATCTGCATTTCTTGAAATTGGAATCACAGCGGTATGTACTGCTACGATGATTGATGCTGCTACAATGAGTGCACCAGCGAGCTGCATTCTAGTTGTCTAAATGTATGTTATTGGCAGTAAACTGGGGCAAGTAAACTACACTACTATTTATAGACAATACTCGATGTATGGTTAAAAATAGCTGTGTACTGGCTGTCTGTTCAATACACTTGATGGCTTCGACCTGCTTATACATACACACTGTGAGCCAATAGACGTGTTGGGTTCAATTCTGTATCGCGTTCTGGTTGTAGCCAAATTTGCGTTGTGTACTGATATGAGCCAATGTGTGTTTGTGTAGTCCATGCATATTTGTATTGAAACATACTATCGCTCCATCATCTCGTTGGAAAGTATTCACTTGAAAATCATTGTAAAAAAGCAAGCATATTCTGCAGAGGGTACGGTAGTTTATTTTTACACCAGCCAGCTTGATTGTAATGGTCAACTCTATTTGATTCTACACTTGTGCAGCTACCATTGAAGCCATCTTTTTGCCACATTGCGACCATTTCAAATCGTTTGGTCATGTGATTTTGATTTTATCCAATAATAGTCACGTGAATATTGGTTTACCCAATGGCTGCTGAATATCAAAAATGCTCAACCATTTATAATACATCTCATACATTCACATTTGCCGTAGAAAAGCATGAGTGACTCTCTCAAAGCATATCTGGAAAAGCACTATATGGATGCTCCTTCCTCTTCCAAACTCCAAGCTATTAATAAACCAGGTTATACCAATATCAAAAAAAAGTCCAAAAAATCTTCCAAGCTACTTGCAGGCCAACCACTGCATTCTTCTACGGTTGTTATTGATGAAGATCCGGAATGGGAAACTCCAGTATCTAAAACACAAGCCCGTAAAAAGTCTCGATATTCTAGTACGTTTGACAATGCATCTGGATTTGAAAATGATGATGAGCCCATGGTAGCGGAAGTCAATGACCTTAGTGCTCGTTTCAAGACTCCTGAATCCAGTGGATGGGTGACTGTTCAAGAAGTCAAAGTGGATCCAGATCTCTTACAAAAACACACATCTTCACCGCAATCTCGTCGTAGCGGTAGATCAACAGATTCTAAAGACAGAGTATCCAATAGTCAGAAACAGCGACGACCATCTCCACCACCCTCTTCTGGATCAGACAACGAAGATAAAGCCATTACACGTCGTAGTCGTCGTGCTTCTCCGTCGTCATCACCTCCAGCTTCAAGGTCTCGACCAGATTCAAAGACAGATGCTACAAAAACCATGTCAGATGGGACACGCGCTGGACTACAAACAGGAGATGCTATTCGACAGCACTACGAGCAGGAGGACAGGAAACGACAAGCTTATTTGTCTGAGCTTTCTGAAAAAGATCTAGGCCGTACTGCAGCCACTATATACAGAGACAAGTTGGGTAAAAAGGTAGATCCTGCAGCACAGAAAGCAAAAATGCTTGCCGAACGACGTCGCAAGGAGGCTGAAGAGGAAGCACGCATGCAATGGGGAAAGGGTCTTGTTCAGCAAGAGGAGCAAGCCGAGCTAGCCAAACGCATGCTTGAAGAACAAAATGCACCTTTAGCTGTTTATGTGGATGACAAACAGTTGAATGATCAGCAAATGGCTAGAGATAGGTGGGGAGATCCTATGGCATCTATGGTTCGTAAGGATGCTGATGGTACATTTGATAAATCTGGGAAACTAAAGCGACGACGAAAAAAGGTATACAAAGGTCCGACTCCAGCACCCAATCGATATGGAATTGCACCAGGATACCGCTGGGATGGAGTGGATCGATCTAATGGTTTCGAGGTAAAATATTTTCAACAAAAGCACTCTCGCTCTATTATAGGCGAAGCTGCTTACAAATGGTCGACCGAAGATATGTGATGCACTCGACTGCCATTGACAGGCTTATTGAACAAATTTAAATAAATGTATTTGTAAACTTATACAACTTTTGCAATGCCTTGGCGACTATGCTTTGTGCGTGGATCTAAACCAGAGCATGCAAGTGGTTTTGGATCGAGACAGCAGCTGCCATGACGATCCTTTTTATCAAACAGTTGCCATTTCAAAAAATAAAAGTTAAAACTGTTCTATGGCCTGAGGATAAGACGGATCAAAATGTGGAATTTCTCGATCTTGCTAATGGAATGCAAACAGAGACTCCGCCAGCAGACGGTGGATTGCAAGGATCGCTTCTATCTGGTATTGGCTCTTTATCAGATACTCACACTCTTGAACATATTCTTTTGAAACAGCAGGAAATGTATGGGTTGTTTTTGGGTTTACATAGTCTTTTTATCGATTTAGTCTTGCTCATACGACTTTCGATTTATATTCAACAATAGTCGCAATCGACTGCAATCAACTACTCGTACACTTCAAGTATTCAACATATTCTCTGCTGCCCGCTTCTCAGAAAACTCTGCTATTGTTCAGGATTATGCCAAATTGCTTTCCATCACTCAATCGGATCTAGAACAGGTATTCCAGCGAGTTCGGTGAGTTTACATGTCGGTCCATTCAACCTGTATTACTGAACAGTTTTAATTTATATCTGTACTGATTTCAACAGTGCGCTCAAGCGAACAGTTGCAGATGCGCATGCAGATAAATATCAGCAGGTTATCTCAGAGATTGGACCTATGCCCGAGTTGGAGGACTAGTTGTATAGATCCATTCGGCCATACATGATGCTTATTGTAATAAATTAGGTATACCTTGCAAGCCAACAGAATGGAGTACACTGGATCAATGCTGCCCACACCATTGGCCCTGCCAAATTATTCATCAATGTGTTGTTAAAGTATGAATAGTCGAGTAATTCAGCATATGCTATTGAGCACCAATCAAGCTTATATTAAGCTATCATCAGCCGTAAAGTAACCGAAAATAGTTTAAAATTCATTTTAAAACAGTCTTTAAAAAGTTGCAAGTATAGAATGTCTTTTTATTGAGTCAAGAGGGTCAGACTAGGACATTTCTTGAAGCTTTTGTGTCAAGTCATCAAGTACATTGCTATGGGCTTCGGTTGATTCGGATCCGTCAAATCGTTTTTCAACAGTTATGGCTTCAAAAAGACTTGACATATTAGAGTCGTCGGTTGAGGGAATGACAGCTGCAGAGGCAGTGATGATGAGCATAGCGAGGCATGAGGTGATGGAGAATTTCATATTTGGTTACTATTTAAAAAAATACAGAATAATGAATACAGTAGGCTAGATTGTTGCAGAAACACACGGAATCAACCGACTCTTTATATACAAACTGATGGCAGTCATCTACGATTAACCCACTGAATGTGGTGCACGACGCCTTGTGTGCATAGAAATAAGCAGTCGATGTGGCACTCGACTATCAACCGCATCTTACAGAACTAAAGCCACTTCAACCACACTTATGCAAAACATAGTGTTTCTCTTTCAAAAATATAAACACTAGATAGGTTTATTCTAAGCTCAACCATCCACTCCAAAAAGATGCATGAGATCGCCAAGTCCTAATCGCATATTTCCAATTTCACCTGTTTCACCCTCCCCCAAAGCTTGATTGGCTATATCCTGTTTTCTCTGTTGAAGTTCCAAAATCCTATCCTCTACTGAGTTTTTGATCATGATGCGATGAACAATGACATCTCTGTAATACCAATGTAAACGAGTATAAGTCATTACTTCAAGTAATATAAAACATGCATAACCTACTTGGTCTGGCCAAATCGATGTGCTCGATCAATAGCCTGATTCTCTACAGCTGGATTCCACCATAGATCAGTTAGAATAACTCGATTGGCGCATGTAAGATTGAGTCCAAGCGATCCACATTTTAGACTGACAAGAATCACAAGAATATCGGGATCGTCGCGAAATCTTCTGATCGAGTCATCACGCTGTTTGGCATGCATGGATCCATCATACTAACAAATCCCAGTTAGTGCATCAGTAAATACTGCAGATCCATTTGAAAACAAAATCAACATAAAACCTAAATCATTGTACTTACTCGAGTAAACTTGATGTTGTTTTGGCCGAGCGGGGTTTCGATCAGATCCAACATTTTGGTAAACTGTGAAAATACTATTGGGCTGTTTAGTACAAAGTGGCAAGACAGGGTTATAAAGTCGATCAAATAAAAGATTACTTACCAATTGTTTTTTCACCAGGATGAGATATCCGTATAGCTTTGACATGAAATATGACTCGTTCAACTTTAGTGCTAGAAATCCATCTGTGCAAATTTAGCTCCTCCGATTCAATATTTTTATCAGTTTGTTCTAATGCTGGTCCTTTTCCTTTTCGATCCACAACTTTGTCAATTTTCCCACTATTCTGTTCAGGCAAAAATTTGGCTCGAAATGAGCTTAAAAGTACCAAAGTATCCATAGTCATTACGCCTCGACAAGTTGGACAATTGTGAACAGTTGATGCGTCTTCTCCAGAGCTAAGGTAAACAACAACACACTCCTGGCAAAACAGATGCCCGCAATTTGGAGAAAATACCGGCGTTTGCAATGCATCACAACAAATAGGACACTCGTCAAACGTCTGATCTTTAAGTCGAGCAACAATACTCGGTTGAAGTGTGTCAATGATATTTGCTATCCGTTGTTGCTTTTCCTCATCAGTAGCACCATCGTCGATTTTTTCAAAGTCATGACTAAGTAGCGATGGATGGCAACTGCATTCACAAATATAATCACTAATTAGCATATCAGCAATACTTGCGCTCAAAACTACAGTAATTTGTTTATCGATACATGCAAAGCACAGGCTATTTAGTACCCACCATGCCTGACGTAGCCGCAACAACAATAACAAAATACTGGTGTAGTTTTTCATGGCAGTACCAGCACGCAAGTATGTATTAAACCGCAGTTGCTGTTTTTTCTCCAAGCTCTCGTAAAATTCACGTTCAGGTTGAGTGAATTCCACAGAATCAATAATGATTTTCCGATCAGGAAGTTGAATAATGGGTTTACCATCCAACTCAAACGATTTTGATCTGCGTAAGCAAATGGCCTTCATTACTGCATGTAATCTGCGAATCGCTATTGAATGCTGACCTCGACTAAAAGGTTCAAAGATCTTTTCGCGAAATTGTGGCCATTTACAGTACGGCTAACAAGTTACACATGAATCAGAAACTGTATCTTATGTCGAGAATGATCAATCAAACATCACAACTACACACTTGAATACGAAGAAATCTAATTAAGCTGTACAGTTCGCTGATATTGTTTTGAACAGGAGTTCCCGTTAAACACCATCGATATCGGCTTTGAAGTTCACATGCAGCTATAGAAGCACGAGTACGCTTGTTTTTGATAAAATGCGCTTCATCCAAAATGACTCTACTCATTCAAGCAGAACGATCAGTAACCATACATTCAAATGACAACAAAGTAATTTAGAATAAGGCGTATCAAAGTATCCTATCTAAAATCATTGAAAGTTACCTATGAAATTTAAATCTGAAAAGCGGTCCAAACAAACTCTTGTCCAAACACTTGTCTTCATGTACCTCGTCATCACTAGCAAGATCTCCGTGACTGTCAAAATTAACCTTGGATTTTTTTGTTGGTGCAGGCCATTCTGAACCAAGAACTTGAAATGATGTAATAACCACATCAAGTTTTTCAAGAAATCGAATATCTTTGTTTCGTTTGGATCCATAATATAAATATACCTTGAGAGTGCCTTTTTTTACTCTGTCCGCTAGCTCCTGCTGCCACTGTTTTCAAATCTCAATAAAGATAAACAATTCTTATAGTGAAATGCGGTGTAAAGCAGCATACCTGGAGAAGAAGCGAAACGGGTGCGACGATCAGTGTGGGTCGATGATCTTCTGGGGATGGAGAATTGGATAAAATCAATGAAATACTTTGAATTGTTTTTCCAAGACCCTAAAACCGTTGTGATGTTTGAGTAATTCAGTTGGCATGAGTATAGTAGTTTTATTGCAAGATATACTAAAAGGCTCACCATGTCATCTGCCAAAACTATACATTTGAATTAAAAATGCGGTTAATTTTTCATTCAATTATACTATCAAACAGCAATACATACTTCCTCCTTTGTTGGTTCCATTTTCCATCTTGAGCATCCATTCTAATCCTAGAATTAAACAAACGTATCAATTAATCTAGTTTCTGCTTCAACCTTTTTAAAATATCAAAAACTTGCCAAGCTTTTGATGCTCTAATAATTTAATCTGAAGGTTTTCAGGAGTGGCCATGCGCTGATGGACTGGAGTTACGTCGGTAGTATGTTGAACATTTTCAAGTAGTTTCCGAAGATTCTCTCGAGTTTTGGCAGTGGTAAGTGGAGACTCTTTCAATATTTGATTGTTCATTCCAGTATCACTAGACTCGCTTTCTTGAGAATCATAAACGACAATCGGTTCATTATATTCCAGTCCGGTATTTGCAGTCGAAAAAGCCCCATCAGTTTCCCGAGAGGATTTGGATGCAAAGCGATTAAAGGCCGAGTTTTTAGCAAAACTGTTGCCATTATTCAACGAGTGCACCGGAAAGGTAAATTTAAAAGGATCGTTGTTTCTATCGTCAAAATTACCCAGAGCTTTTTGGTGAGCACGATACTTGCTCCATTCTAAATGATGTGATTCGTCCAACGTATATGCATCAGGTAAATTGGATTCATAGTCAGTCTTGATGGATGGGTTGAGTTCATTTTTGACCAAAGTTGAAGGATGCAAAAATGTTGATGGTAATGTTGAGAGTCGAGATTGAATTTTGGCAGATGCTCGAGAGTCTAGTCGAGATGGCATTTCATTTCGTTCCTGTTCCATTAGCATACGAGCAAGCTGCTCATCTGCCTTTTCTTGTTTTCTTTTTTCAATGAATTCATCGCTGTTTTCAAAGCGTTGAGGACCATTGAGCTCCTTGAACAGCTTCATAGCCAACTCTCTATCTGTATCTATAGTACTAACATGTATAGAAGGACCAGCAATGAGCTCAGCATGCATAAGCTCCTCATCAAATTCTGTTTGTAATTTACGAGCCAGCTCTTCGTCATTGTTGGCAGTTATTTCTGGAATATTAAGCTCCAGTACTGTCTGATCGTCGTAACTGGTAAAATAATCAAATGGACTAGTCTCGCTGCTATCGTAGTCATAATTGTCTGTATTGCAGCTCAAGTCTATTTCCACAGGAGTTGTAGTATGGTTGGCATCAGGGTTTTTGGAAACTAGAAGTACATGATTGGTGTCGGTTGAATCGTCAGTATCATCGGTGTCCCATACCCAATCATGCACACGGACGGTTGGATCTTGATGAAATGGCTGCATGGTTGGAATGCTTTTGGGTGCGATTTCAACGAGTTGATGTCAAAAGTGATATTTTCACGTGACTGAAATCAAAGTCATGTGACAATGTCCGATCTTTGCTCAGCGCGAATCATTCGAGTTTCCAGCATATTATTAATGGAAGCAAGTGATGATTCCACCATCAGTCGCAATATCGATGCTTGGGAAGCTATGTATGCTGAAGAAAATGAAGCATTGCAATTAGGAGATACTAGTGACTGTCTTGGAGCACTTGAATTCACTGACCCTTTTATTTCTACTCAACACAGCGGTATTAATGGTATCATGACTATCACTGTGTTTGTAGTTTGATTCGTATCACCGTTGTAATAATCTGGATTTATTACTGTTGTGCATGAATGATAGAGTTGTTTCAAAGCAATCCACATCGAGGATCGGGAGTGACCGGACTTTTTTTTGACTGCGATGATGGTCTGGACGTATCCAGCGATCACACGGGCGACCCTTCACAAAGAGTTGCCAACATTCAGACTAAAACTCATGGTAAGAGTTCAAATGATAGATTATCAGCAAAAAAATCATACTTAATCTTGCTATATCCATTATTGTGCTTCAGATCGTCACCGAGTAGAACACCGCAGTCATCACACATTTTACTCTTCTCCACCAGCATTCACCTCGCCTTCCTTTTGTACGGACCAGCCTATGCCAGTTCCTAGTAATCTTGATATAGTTCGAACCAAAAAACCTAAACTTGGCGATTTATTCCACAATTCAATTGAAGATGATGTCCAGTTTACTTTTGGCACTGCATCTGCTCTTGACAGCTCACAGGCAGTCGAGACTCGATTGAAACTAGATGACATTATGGATCTACCATCACAATCTTCTATTACATCCCCTTTTGATAGAGATCATACTTCCATTGCTACCCAAGAAGCAAAACTGTCACTCATGTTTTCTGATACAGATGACAACAATGAGGATACAGAAAACGACTTGCTGCTTCAACATGCTCAACAGCATTCGAAAATACATCAGGAAATGAATCAAGAGCCTTCTACTCGAGTTGACAGTATATTGAATCGCATTTTTGTTTCAGACGAGAGTATTCCTCATTCCTCATCTAACGAACCAGAGATTCACCAGATTGCTGGACTCAAACGATCTCGAACAGGACTGTTGTTTGATAGTGGCGATGAGGATGGAATAAATGAATACGATTCGTTTGGACAATCATTGTCTTCCCCTCAGCGTACTCGACAGCTGGAGTACAACTACAGTGTTTTTTCTCACACAAATGCAACCGCCGAATCGTTCAATTCCACCGCGTCTTCACTTGAGCTTAAAAAAGGTGCTGAGCAACCCACTTTATCAGCACCTCAGAATCATCACAATGCATTGTCCATGTTTAGAACCAGTGATATTCTTAATGTAACTGCAGACTCATCCACCCCTGTTAACATGGCCGCAATTAGAATGGATCCTGTATTCGCGATGATGCAAAATAGTAAAACTGCTTCTGCAATTACACCAACAAAAAACAATACTCCCGCATCTTCCTCAAAACACATACCGCCACAAGATCGGAGAGATAAAGCGACCCAACTGGATGAGTCATTGCGAAGTGCAGCTCAGTCAGTTATGGCTCAGATTGCTGCAAAAACCCTATCTTCTAGCATTACCGATGCTACAGAAAAAAATACGCCGTCTAATCGCGATAGTCTGTTGTATAAGCATGCACCCACTGATCGGTCATTTGTAACTGCAGTGACTTCATCTGGAACACGATTTTATTTTCCAAAACAACTGAAAAATGGACACTCTAGTAAACGATCCATTACAGCTGATCTAGCTAATAATCCCTCTACCTCATCCACAAAACTAAACACTAATTTAAGAGAAGAGGTGATACATAAAGAGTACCTGTCTACACCAATTCATAGGTTAATGGAGCAAGTCCAAGGAATTCGCACACAGCTGCAAATGGACAAGATGCTGGCTGATGAACACGCTAGCCGCAATATGGCTTTTAATCAATCCTCCACACTCATTAAACTTGAAAAGAAAGGCACGGCCGAGGCTTTGTGGGTTGATAAGTATCGACCCAAAATGTATGTTGACATGGTTGGAGATGAGGTGAGTTTTGTTTGTAATTGATATATTTTGAATAATCAAGTCAAAACTAAACTTGAGTTTTTTAGCAACTAAATCGACAAGTGCTTACTTGGGTAAAGCAATGGGACTATTGCGTGTTTGGAAAGCCCGTGAAACGAACATTGGCCACCATGAATCAATCTCAGTTTCGAAAAAAGTCGCTATTTGACCAGCACAAGGCAAGTGTTGTAAGATATGCATTCAAGTTTTTATACAAGCAAAATGACACTATCACTTATACAACTATCCTTTATTGTTTTGTCATATTGGCGTTTTACAGCCAGTGGATAAACTTCAACGACCAGATCGCCGTATTTTATTTTTGTGTGGTCCACCTGGTTTAGGCAAAACCACTCTTGCTCATGTTGTTGCACATCATGCCGGATACAATGTTGTAGAAATCAATGCCAGGTACGTTTTGCTCGACTTATTATAGAAATATACATGATTAAGCGATTTCGGTCAGCTATTTACAACGAGGTGATACTGCCATAAATATTGGAATAGTGATGATCGCACTACAGCGGTGCTCAAGGACAAAATTATAAGTGCGGTGGAATCCCAAGCTGTTATGGGCAACAAAAAGCCTAATCTGGTGATTATAGATGAAATTGATGGTGTTAATGCAGGCGGCGGTGATCAGGTAAGACTATTTCAATATTCCTGTTTTTGTATTGTGTTGTACACTATTATATCGGCTAGTTTTTATTTATATTCATTTACAATGCAAACCAGGCTTTTATCAAAATGCTGATCAAATTGACCGAAACCAAAGATAGTGCAGAAGACTCTGACTTCAAATCATCCAAAAAAGTAACAAAGCTCAAAAAAAAGGTACAACGCCAACTTAGACGTCCCATAATATGTATTTGCAATGACCAATACGCTCAAGTTCTTCGACCCCTTCGCCAAGTTGCACAAGTTTTCACGTTTCGTCCACCTCCATTTCAAGCTTTAGCAAAGCGTCTCTACGAGATATGTCGATGGGAGGGACTACATGCTGATCTTCGCACCATGATGGCGTTGTGTGAAATGACTCAAGGCGATATGCGATCTGCAATACATACGCTTCAGTTTTTGAGTAGCAAAGCGGACCATTTGACAAAGGAAATGCTGTTGGGAATAGATATTGGACACAAGGATTTTTCAAGAGGATTATTTAAAGTGTGGCAGATGCTGTTTAGTATGCCTAGTGTGAAAGAAGCCAAAAGAGTCGGATATATGACCAGAGACGAGATTGACGCAAACAGAGCACCGAAACAGGGTAAGTACTGCGTATGCATTTTAAAAATAGCATTTGTGGAGATTGGTAGTTTCATTTCTAATATTTGGTTATACTTTGCATCATTATAGTTCAAACAGACGTGTATATCGACCGCATTGTTTCTACTCTTCAGCATGCAGGAGAATATGACAAGATCATGCAAGGTAACTTTATTGCCATGTATATACTTTTCAGACCAAAATTTCATTTTATCGATGCTTTAAATTATTATTACTGAGCCACTTCAAGGCTGCTTTGAATTTTACCCCCAGACATCTAGATTTGAGACGATGCGGTCTACATCTCAAAAACAATTACACTCGGATGATATTTCTGACACTACCAACATATTCGATCAACTCGAGTCTCGTATCACTCGCAATCAACAGTTTGAACTTATGCCTTATCAGCCCTATATGTTGGTTAATTTCTATCGCCTTTTTGCCAATGCTCAAGGACGACACATGAAGATGGAATTTCCTCGAGCAGATTATGCCGCATTTGTTGCCAAAAGGGAAACGGAAGGTATCATGCAGACGTTTATTACGGCTGCCAAATGTGGAGAGTGGAGACAGATATCAACTGTTAGACTTGAATTGGTACCGTTTTTGGTTGCAATTTTGTCACCAGAGCTTCGACCAGTAAGTATCTGATTATACCAACGTGCATATGGCTGCAGCTTGCTTGACTGATTTATACTGATCTATATGCGTACATATTGGATATGCAAATGTATTCTAGGCAAACATCCAGTCACTGAGTCCGACAGAACAAGCCACGCTTGATCGATTGGTATCTATCATGTCGACCTTTGGAATCCGAATGATACCCAAAGTTAGGCCCACGGGTCATACATTACTTGAATTTGATCCGTAAGTTTTTAAAATTGTTCAACTCCTCAATGTTTAAATATGACAATGCTGCTGTTTGAGGTTTTAACTATATCTTATGCCGTGATGTGACAACATAAATGAGATCAGACCTATTCATGATATACTGATACTGGATCAGACGCGACAACCCATAAATGAGCCATCACAAACAATCAAGCAGCTTATATCTCACGAAGTACGTATTAATTTCTTACAATCATGCTTTATTGTTGTACATCTGGTTCAAATGCAGATCATGAACGACTGGAAATTGACATGGCTTATGATTTGCATATTTAGATTGAACGCAACATTGTTAGAAAAAAAGATTTGGCGATGCAGAATGAGATGGCAAAACGAAACGCTACCACATCTAGCCGTGTATTGAATCCAGAAGATAAATCCACAGTATTAGCCGAAACATTAAAGAAAGCGATTGTATCTAGACAAGTAATGGTTCCTATTGAAGAACAGGTACGTTTTAGGGTTTGACCGTTTGGTTATCTACTTTTGAATGACAATTCTGGTTGCTTATTGATTGTGCCATTGCTTTTGACTATGATTAGCCTGTACGTGACTTTTTTGGTCGACTGGTCGATACCAAAGTACCCACAGTCCTCGCCATGTCTGATAAAGGTAGTATGCTGTGTATTTTAATCTGAAAATTGATTTACATGACTCTGTACTGACCAGTTTCTGACTGTAGAAAACAAAGCACCAGAATCACTGGTGAGGCTAGCTTACAAATACAACGAAGGATTTTCCAACGCCGTTCGAACAACTGTCTATGTGAAGGACTTTTTTTAAATGGCAACATTCAGCTATTTGGATGTGATATACTTGAGAATGAATGCATGAGTGCAAACGCATGACTTTGTCCAGTGCTGAATCTAAATCATTACATTGAGTATTGACATTAATAAACCGAATACAGACATGACCGATATATCTCGTATCAATATACACCGAGTATGTCATCTGAATGCTTGTCAGGAAACTTGGTACACATTTTTGAAAGCTGTAAAGATCCAATAGTATGTGTATATGCTCAACACTTGTAGTTTAGTGAATTGGGTTCAACTCTGATTCATTGTCCTTTGCGGTTCCTTTTTAACAATCGGTAATTCGAGCTATTTGTCTGCAATCCGTGTCAAATCTAATCTATTTTTATCTGAATGGCTTTAATGGCACTTGGAAAAAACTTGAAAGTGAGCAGTCTTGCCATAAGCATATTGCTTGACCCTGTCAAACTAGATAGTTTCAGTTGCATGAAGATGTTCTGGTGAGTTGCAAACCCATTCTTCACGCTCATGCTCAGTCCAACAAAAAAGGTAAATCAAGCAGCTTAAATTCAAGTACAAGTTTATATACAAAGCAATGCAGATGAGCGACTATTTTGGGATAACCACAATATTCTCAGCACTTAGTCCACTACGTCGATTTAGTACTGACAAATAAGTATTCCATCCCAATGCAATGACATTGACAAACAGTGCCTGATGATGGACAGGAACAACATAAAAGTTGATCAACTGGACAGCAGGCCACAGCTGATAGTTTCCTATAAGCGCATCTGGATATCCCTTGACCAGCTTGGCTTTGATCTCATCCATGGTACGATTTTCCATGATTCCAGTTGCAGCAAAAAAGATACCGATAAATGTCGGAGCAAAAAGCAGTTGGTCCAGAGAGACTCTGGCCAGAAGAGCTTGGAAGGGGTTAACGAGACGAATGCGACGGTTGAGTAAGCCATACCATTTAACCATGGCTGGACCACAAATGGTTGTTCCAAACGCTGTTTGGCGAGCGACACGGAGCAAATCAACCAACTCGAGTGGAGTCTGTTCTACTCCAACCTGCGCTATCACATCTCCTGTTCCAAAAAGTACTCCTGAATACCATCCCAGTTCAATGTAAGCTACATGAAAGTAGTATCAAATGCAAGACAATACAAGTTGAATACCAGTAGTCAATGCCTGTGTAAGCATTGGTCGTTGTTTCAAATGCTTGCTATACCATCGAAATACAAACATGATACCAACAAGTTGTTGATCTGGTTAGAAAGTCAAGAATTGCATTTTAGCTTTTAAAGTTTGCTCAGCTCATCGCTATATTCACGTCAAAAACACCGAACATGTCAGTGAATAATAACCAGTCGGTCATGAAATGATTGATGACAGTTTTCTGAGTAATATTATGCTGTTTAAATGCTTTAATTCACTTGTTTTCTGGCGACCAGCATGAGAACAACAGCTGCATTCCTGAAGCGTGCAATTATTATTTTCTTGAACTAGAACGCGAACACTTGAATACTGTCAATGTATTGCTCGCCATGCAGTCTAACTATTCCTGTGTTTGGTATTGATGGTGCTGGAAAATCCTCATTAATATATCGTTTGAAAGGAGGTAATATTCCACTTGTGAATGCATTATCTATACAAAATTGCATTTGAATTCACTTGGATTACTATTGTAACTAACCATCAAAATTCTAATTCTTCGACACACTACTGTAATGTATAATAGATATAAGCAAACCACCACCGACAGGTTGGGGATTTTCGACAACGCAAATAACAACTTGTGTTCAACTACAACCATCTACTAAACAACCAGCTTGCCTTGGTTTCATCAATCCCATACCCTTTTGTTGTACCAAAAAAAAGACAATTCGTATGAATTTATACGATTTAGGCGGACTCGAGTCCATTCGAGCAATTTGGAAAAACTATCTGGCTGAAGCTCATGGATATGTGTATGTAATTGATGGATTGGATCTGACACGTTTAGGCGAGTCTGTCCAGGCACTGAAGGATATTTACTCGTTTCCTAAAATGCAAGGAAAGCCTTTATTAATGTAAGTAAAACCATGTTGGTTTTCAACAAATGTGAACAAAAATAAACCAGTCATATTAAACTTGGACCGTATGCCATTGTGCTTAGATTAATCACAAACCAACATTCGACAGATTGTATCACACTCGAAAAGTTGCATAATCATTTGCAAATGGCTGGAATACCAATTGATAATGATTTGGTTTCAATCAGAGCATGCTCACTTTATACACCTGGTACTACACCTGATCAGTTGTGGACAGACAAGCCAAATGTAGACAAATCTATTGAATGGTTGTGCGTAGCTATTTTCTCCAATATCCGGTCAATCAATGCGCGGATCAAGACAGATATGCAGATACAGCAACAAGAATGGGCTCAATATAAATTAGAGAAAAAAGTACAGTTGGAAAGTCGAGCAGCATTAGAATTACCACCCACGCTGATTGAAAACAGTGATAAACATGATTCTGTATGCAAAACTCAAGAAAGCTTATTCGAATCGAAGAAATCTAGTATACACAGATCGGATGGAAAAGTACATCCAATACAATGTTGCGTTTAAACAATAAAAATAGATTCAATTTTAGTTTTAGTCACAGTAAAAAAATCGATAAAATCATCAAGCACATATTTATCATGAGCAGACATTGTCCAATGATATCACCGCCATCATACAGTGTATTTGAAATTGCCAAAATAATAATAAAACAAATGGATGATCAATTATAGCCAATAATTGGGTAAACTGTGCACACTCATATACCTGAATAGCAATATAACCTGTTCATTTACATTCAGTAGATTAATAACAAATACACCAAAACTGTAAAATTTATCCATTATTAGCTGTATCACCGACACAGTCATCCATAGTATCTTCCACAACCATCCTCTCATCTATTCCATTGTTCAAAAGCTCATCATTTTCTTCAAATACATCAACAGGATCAACTCCGTCTCGAGTTGGTTCAGTTACAGGAAACGACAGCCAATGTCTATTCCACCCACTGTGTTCATGAAAACTTGGCACAGGAAGAAAAAAGCTGGATCCATACCCCGGAACACTGCTCCTATTATCATGACCACTGTCCCCAAAACTAACAGTGCTTCCTCTTGATCTCATGCGCGTGACGGCTGCACTCAGTGACCTTGACGAAGCAGTATCACGATATTCAGGAACAAGAATAACGCTTGCTCGATCATATGGAATTGTCCGAGGATGTAGTCCTAATAGATGATCTGTTTCAGTACTTTCATTTGCTGGCTGCCGTGAAGTAAAATGTGGTGTCGCGGTGCAAGGCATAGTTGGAATGGAGCGTGGAGCCTCGGTGACTTTTGACCGACGTGGATCTGTCACATAGGATGCTTCAAGTGTCGAGGATGTAGGTAGAGATACTGGTAGCTGTGACCGAATTTCTCCGCCTACAGTCGCGCTAGCAGATCGCATATGATGCACTCTAGTACGTCTACTTGATTCAATGCTACCATTCGCCACAATTGAATCCTTTCGTAAACTTGACCAAATGGGGAACCCAGCTGGCTTTCTTTCCAATCCTGTGTTTTCTATAGGATTGTTAATTTCTATGCTGGTAGTGCAACCGTATTCTCTTCCTGAATTACTTTCAATTTCATCATCATTGATTAGACCATCGTCTTGCATGGATGATTCTGTTTGAACTAGCTGTTCAGCCAAATGTTTTCTTTTTCTAAGAATACGAATCTGCCGCTTTACCCATCGACCAAACCAGTGAATATGCAGTGGAAAAGTTCCTAATGCTAGGATCATCACATAAAGGTATTGGTACCACACGACATATGCACGCCACGCAAAATATAAATGAAATACTAGTATATATAGGTATTTGTATTAGTTCAGTTTAAACCACAATAGTTGCTCAAAAATACTTGAAAGTGTTACCTATCCTGGTCAAGAAAAACAGAAATCCAAACAGGTATTCACTTCTAAATGATCGCTTCATGTGACCTAGAGCAAGTACAATAGTGGGAAGTTCCATAAATGCAGCGATTAAAAATGCACCTGGAAACTGCAGCACAATAGATGCAATGATGACAACTGGATATATAAGATGATGGAGCCTGAATTGAAATGTTGGTAAAGATTAGCCATATCCGACTGCTGATACAAGTAATCGGATACTAAATAATGCCTACCATCCAGTAATCAAATCTATTTGTTCCTTGTAGTACCACCATCCGAATATCAAATCGCACACTAGATACGAAATAAAAAACATGCTGGAATAGCAATGATGGGTTGAACCCCAAGTGTAAATTAGCAAATGAAACCAAACATTGTTTCAACATAAACAGACATTGCAATAGTTGGACGTACGAACAAACGACAGCAGCAGGATCATTCAAAAGTGGCATCATGGATAGATCTGAATCATGGGTGAAATAATCGTAAAGAAACGGCAGAGATGAAACAGTCATGAATACAGAAGACGTGGTGGTAAGTATCCATGATATTTGAGCAGGAGTGGTGAATGCTGATGGCCATAAACGCAATGAGCCAAAGAAGAGAATGGATTGCAGAATCAATGAGCAGGGAAATGCGACTGTGGATTACATGGAAAGATATTGAGATTGAGTTAGCTTTTATTGACAAGCAACGAATATACACTAGCAATGCAACAGGACAAAACCATTCCGACTGATGGATTCATCCACCATAAATAAAACATGCAATGGGTTCAGTACGAACGGTAGCTGCAATCATCCAACTTAAGCAATAAGATGGCTGGACTGGACAGTCAATACCATTCACTCAATCCAGTGTCAGTGCTGATAGGACAAAGCAAGACTAGTCTTGTTCAGCTTATTGGTAAAGCATAAATAGTTGCAGCACAATGCTGCTCTGGACAAATATAAGGATTCCCTTCTGTTATACTCAGCAAGCTCATTATGTAGTCAAGCTTACTATAGACGGACGGACACAAAAGCACAGTCCAGTCTAGACTTGGAGCAGCAGGCATACAGTTGAATACCAGACTGGTGAGTATATTTGGCAAGCTTGTAGGATTTTGATAGTTATGATATCAATTGCTTGCAATAGAATCCAGCTGGCTGATATTGTTATAATGAGAAAGGGTGTTTGGCTTAGTAATGCATCAGCCCTGATAAGCCACTCTGATGGTCTGAAATGCTGTTTAGTCGGACTTGGACTAACAATCACTTGACTTGCTGTTAAACTATTATCGAATGACTTGATTGCAATATTCACGTAAATGGAATACTTGTATTTCAGTGTATAAAACTGTCAGTTTCACGGAATAATGAATATCGATTTACTGAGCAACATTGAATCATTCACAGCCGTCAGTAAGGATGAAAATAAACTGGAAATGCATAAAAATAAAACTGTCAGTAACCATCATCAGTATATTCATGTATTCAAGACATTCGCTTAAACTTCAACTGCATTCTTGTGCGGTTGTTTGTTGCTTGTGTGATTCTTACCACTGAATTCACAGTATTCTTTTGATACTTGAATGTGTTTGAAGTGCAGGTTTATATTGTGGTTGCAAGTTTGCATCACCATCAAACATGAACGATTCAAGACTTTATATACAATCAGATTCGTGTATAATAGCATGTTGTAGTCAAGCGTACACAACATTCATCTGGATGCTGATAGTTTGAGTTTACTACTGCACGATATTTTGAACAGTCAAAATGGATCGAGATTGCTCATTTCTTGACTCGTTCAATGGATTGTTACTCTCATAACTGCGTCATCATCTTTACAATATGTTCAATATTGATGCGAATCCATCCAAAAAACAAAACGTACAATATGCTAATTATGATGTGTGTCAAATAACTGCTAAACAACAGTCATCTGGTATTCTACACACACTGACCCAAAACGGTCCATTAACCTGATTATATGCCATCAATGTCAACAATGTCAATCAATACCATGATTACCTTTATTTCAGATGTTATTTCAAAACAACCATCAATTGATAGTGACATGCTCATCTTTTACTATAAATACGTTACACATCAACTTGAATCAACCATCTTGCACTGTATTATTTATTAATCCAGTCACTCCAGTCACTCCCATTACAACTAATCCAAATGCCAGTTTTGCTTGTCTGGTGTCTTTCATTCAATAGTATTTTCAATGTCTTGTTGATCACAGACCAACGGATCATACTACACAATCCACATCCAGTCATTGTGGTATTGCATACATCGGGTTTATACACAACCAACACATATCTGGACGACCATACCATTGAACAAGTTATGATGTATTGTAAAAACTCGTACATCAGATACTCTAGTTCAAAAAACAACGATCGCACATTTCAAAAACGCAACCATTGTTTTCATACCAGCTGCTGAATGTTTACTTGTAATATTTGTTTTGATACAAAGTATAGTTGCATATCGGACAAGCTCAACGATGTGGCATGTATTGGAACAGGAATGTGATGCGAACATTCGATCAATGTTTGGTACAAAATGAACACAAAACCAGTAAACTTCAAGAGTTCAAAACACAGTATTGTCCAGTCAATCTGATGACACCCATCAAACAAAACCGGCTTTGATACACCAACACCGTTATTTAGTGTTCCATTTTACGCGAATACGACCATAAGTGTAATGCATTAGTTTATTAGTTTATTCTAAATTGTGATTGTCCAGTCATGATGTCTGGATTTAGTTAGTTTAATAGTTTAATAGTTCCAGGAACTCCAGGAACTGGATCTCCACGAAGGCCACATGCTTGAAGTCCATGAAGGCCAGAAATGAGTTGCTCCAAAACCTCCAAAGCCATAAGATCGACGTTCAAGATGTGGTGCATCAAAATTGGATTCGAATGATCGTTTGTTTAAATCGGAACCATCAACCATAGGCGATGCTACCGTATCTGCTGATCGTTTCTGTAAACCTGCACTGTCCGATGCTGGAACTGCAGCGGCATTGACTGCCACAATGGCTGATGTTGCTACAATGACTGCACTAGTGAACTGCATTTTAATCGTTTAAACGTATAAAGATTGTTGTTGATGAGTCGAGCCAGGTGTAAACTACACTGCTATTTATAGACAATACTCGATGCACGATTAGCATACGATTGTGTATTAGTTGTGTCTGACTAATACACTTGGTGGCTTGAGCTTACTCATACACACTGTGAACAATAAACATATTCATTGGTCCAACTTTGTATCGCGTTCCGATTGTAGCCGAGTATGCATTGTGTACTAATTGTAAGTCGTGTGTTTGTGTAACCGATGCACACTTGTATTGAAACATACTATCGCATTGTTTCAACATCCATTACAACGTATGGTGTTGTGAATGATTACAAGACAAGTAGACTGTATCGAATCTGTTCAAATGTAACATGCTCAGCCATGTGAACACTTGTGTTCTTGTCCACATTACCAGCCAAAAATATTTCCATCGCGACTTGAATTATACACGCTATTTCGACCATCG